TCAATAAATGTAGAAATAATTTGCTGATTGATGACTTTTGCTATAACCATGATAACAAAAAAAAGATAGCAAAATAGACGTTTTTTCAACGTAATGAAAGAGCTCTTAGTAAACGTAATAATTATTTGTTCATTGATGAGTTTGGCTATAACCATATTAAAAAAAAAAAAAACAAGAGAGACAAAATTGACGACTTTCTGTAGTCGATGATAGAGATCTTGATAAACGTAGATATCATTTGTTGATTGATGAGTTTGGTTACAACAATGATAAAGAAAAAAATGAGCAAAAGTGACAGTTTTCTCCAGGTTCATGAAAAAGCTTTTGATAAATGTATAAATCTTTTGCAGATGATGAGTTTGGCTATTACCATGATAACAAAAAAAAATAGACAGTTTTCTGTATTCTAATGAAAGAGCTCTTGATAAACGTAGAAATCGTTGCTAGATTAATGAGTTTTGTTATAACCATTATAACGGAAAAATGGGCATAATTGATGGTTTCTGCAATCCGATGAAAGAGATCTTAATAATCGTAGAAATATTTGCTGATTGATGCGTTTGGCTATAACCATGATAATAAAAAAGGAGCAAAAGTGACGGCTTTTTGCAACGTAATGAAAGAGGTCTTGATAAACGTTAAAATTATTTGCTCATTAATGAGTTTGGCTATAAACATGATTACAAACAAGAGAAGTAAAATTGACAGCTTTCTGCAGTCCGAATAATGAAATTTTGATTAACGTATAAATCATATGCTGATTAATGAGTTTGGCTATAAAAATAATAATGAAAAAAATGAGCAAAATTGACAGTTTTCTATAGGCTCACGAAAAGCTCTTGATAAACGTAGAAATCATTTATTGATGATGAGTTTGGCTATATCCATGATGAAAAACCAAAATTGACGGCTTTCCGCAGTGTGATGAAAGAGATCTTTGATAAACGTAGAAATCATTTGATGATTGAAGAGTTTAGCTATAACCAGTCTAACAAAAAAGAGCAAAGTTGACGATTTTTGGCAGTCTGATGAAAGATATTTCGATAAACGTAAAAATTATTGGCTGATTGAAGAGTTTTACAAAAACCATTATAACGGTAAATTAGCGAACTTGAAAGTTTTCTGCAGCCTAACGAGAGAGCTATTGATTAACTTAGAAATTTGCTGGTTGATGGTTTGGCTATAGCCATAAAAAAAATATGAGCAAAATTGACGGTTTTCTACTGTCTAATGTAAGAGGTTTTGGTAAACGTATAAATTATTTGCTGATTGATGAGTTTGGTTATAACAATGATAACAATAAAAGAGAGCAAAATAGACAGTTTTCTACAGCCTGATGAAAGAGCTATTGATAAATGTAGAAATTATTTGCCAATTGATGAGTTTGGCTATAACAATGATAACAAAAAAACAGGAGAAAAATAACGATTTTCTACGTCCTGATGAAAGAGCTTTCAATAAATGTAAAAATAATTTGTTGATTGATGACTTTGACTATAACCATGATAACAAAAAAAAAGGGAGCGAAATTGACGTTTTTTGTAACGTAATGAAAGAGCTCTTGGTAAATATAAAAATGATTTGTTCATTGATGATTTTGGCTATAACCATAATAAAAAAAAACAAGAGAGACAAATCGACGACTTTCTGTAGTACGATGAATGACATCTTGATAAACCTAGATATCATTTGTTGATTGATGGGTTTGGTTACAACAATGATAAAGAAAAAATGAGCAAAAGTGACAGTTTTCTGCAGGTTCATGAAAAAGCTTTTGATAAACGTATAAATCTTTTGCAGATGATGAGTTTGGCTATTACCATGATAACAAAAAAAAAAAAAAAAATTGACGGTTTTCTGCAGTCTAATGAAAGAGCTTTTGGTAAACGTAAAAATAATTTGCTGATTAAAAAGTTTTAGTATGACTTTTATAACGAAAAATGATCAAAATTGAAGATTTTTTGCAGCCTGATGTTAAAGTTATTAATTCGCAGAGAAATCATTTGCTAATTGATGAGTTTATGGCAATAGCCATGATAACAAAAAAAAAATTGACGGTTTTCTGCTGGCTATAACAATTGTAACAATAAAAAAGAACAAAATAGATATTTTTCTATAACCTAATGAAAGAGTTCTTGATAAATGTAAAAATTATTTGTTGATTTATGTGTTTGGTTATAACCATGATAACAAAAAAATAGCAAAATGGACTGTTTTTTGCAGCCTTATGAAAGAATTGTTATTAAACGTAATAATCACTTTCTGATTTATGATTTTGGCTATATCTATAATTAGAAAAAAAAAACAAAAGGATCAAAGTTGATGGTTTTCTGAAGTCTGATGAAAGAGTTCTTGATAAGCGTATAAATCATTTACTGAAGATGAGTTTGGTTATAACAAAGATAACAAAAAAACATGAGTAAAATAACGATTTTCTAGAGTCTAATGAAAGAGCTTTTGATAAATGTAGAAATCATTTGTTGATTGATGAGTTTTTGATAATTATGTTGAATTCGGATCTCAGTATTACCAATGAGATGCTTTGTTGGTAATTACTTTTTTATTTTTTTTGTCGTCCACAATCAAAACTCTAAAATTTTCGACGGAACGTTAACTGATTATAATGTTATAAACCGGGTGTCAGGAATCCTGAAAACGACGAAGTACCTATCGTCACATGCAAAGAGAATGATATAAAATGATGACGTTCGTTGTTTTCTTATTGGTTTGAAATTTTTGTTTTTTGATTTTTTTTTATGATTAGCATCTTATTTTCTTACCATTTATAATATTCTTTTATCTCTCATGATTTTACCGTTTATGCACGATAACTTACACCATTTGTATATATTATTATTATGGTGTTGATAATAGAGTGATATATTTTTATCCTTAAATTTCGTTAGTATATATTTCAGTTTAACTGTTGAGATTTAGTTTCTTTTTTTCTAAACTTAATTTATTAATCTTATGGATAAATTCTATATCGTTTAATCAATATTCGTTTTTGTTAATTTTCTGATTTAGTTTTTAATATATATTTTCCATTGTTATGTTCTTTCTAAATAATCGTTAGGTCTACATATACGTATTGCGCGTTTATACCTCATTGGATTGTTTAGCCGAGTAATCTTTTGATATGGGTTCTACAATGATACCTTTTACCTCTGATTCATGTGATGGTGGTTATTTTCGTATTTCGTCTCTTAACCCTAACATGGGTGAGTGGTCTGTCTCGGTGAAGATTTTGAATTGTTGGTCTGTTTCGCGTGGCTCGGGTAGAGAGCTCAATATGATTTTGGGTGACGAGCATGTTAGTTTTTTGATAACTTACCTTCTATACATATTTTCGATATTAAATTGAATTGGTTTTGTCTTTAATGTTTTATTTGTAGTTCACCCAAATCCAAGCCGTTGTTCGTGATGAATTAATTGATAATTATCTTTCAAGATTGATAATCGATGAGTGGGTGAGCATTAAAAATTTTGATGTATCACGGGTTAACAGCATATTGAGACCAGTACCGCATAGATTCAAGATTGTGTTTCGTTCGAACACTTTAGTGCAAAGTATTAATATGTGCTCCAGTAGAACCTATTTCAATCTAACTGAGTTTGTGAGTATATTGAGTGGTATTGTTAATCCGAATATTTGCGTTGGTAAGCCTAATTTATAAATTTATTTGTGCTTTTGGAGTTTATTTGCGGTTCCTGTTCTGACTGTATTATTCATGTGTGTGTTTCATAGATGTTGTTGGCAAAATTGTCAACGTGAGAGAGTTGGTTTTTGTTCCTTCCGTGGAACATTCTCAAGGAGGATATTTTGAGCTGTACTTTGGTTTACGTGATACTGAGTAAGTCACTATTCTTTTAAAGATTTAAACCAGAATATAAAGTCTTATGACTTCTTCAAATCTTAAAATTAGGTGTATCCATCTAGAGTGTCGTTTAACGGGTGACCTTGCAGTCGAGTTCTATGACTTATGGAAGCATCGTTCACGTAACACAGTGATATGTATTATCAAGTTTGTGAAATTAGAGCTATCACAGGAACATAGGTGGAGATGTACCAATGTTACCGGAAGTACGAGTATTATGTTGAATCCGGATCTCAGTATTACCGACGAGATGCTTTGTTGGTAAGTATTTTTTTTTTTCCGTTTACAATCAAAACTCTAAAGTTGGCGACTGGACATTCACTGTTTATGGTGTTCTAAATCGGATGTCAGGAATCCTGAAAATGACCAAGTACCGATCATCACACGGAAGGAGAATGCCATGGAGTGATGATGTTCGTTGATTTCTTATTTTCTTGGTGAATGGTTTTAAAAGATGATTTATTATTATTTTCTTAGCATTTATAATATTATTGAATTTTTTAAATTTTATCATTTTCCATATTTTTACCACACTAAACCCTAAACAATTTACCATATTTTTCTTACACTACCAAGTAACACCTAAACAATCCCTTATTTCACATGATTTTACCATTCATACAACATTCTTCCCGCGCATTTGCGCGGGCAATCACCTAGTTTATATAAAGTGAACAGCTAGCTTCTTCTTTTACCAAACGGTAATACCTTTACACACTTTTTGTTTTCAAACTTGTTTCTCGAGACCAAACAAATGAATATCTATATATTTTTTGAATCGTGTTGAATGATTATGGAATTGAGAGATTAGGGTTCAAGTTCCTCTGCTGTAATTTTGATCATAGGGACTTTGGAGATTGTGTGCTAAATTTGGATATCTCAAATAGTAATTAAATTTATGTAGATAATAGATGTATAGACACACATATATAATGTACTTCTCCTAATATTTCTTTAGAAAGAAAACCATAATCAATTTAATAAAATAAAATAAAAACAATAATCAATATTTTAAAAGTCAGGGGTTTGCAAACTCTGTAGCTACTAACTATGACTTGGCACCATTTCCTCCACCAAGATTCTTTTCTCTATATAATAGTGAAAATTCCTCCTCATAAACACATCCACCATTCTAAGCTCTTTCTCTCTGCAAATCTCCCATCATTTCCATAGCCTTCTTCTTCTTGTCATTTCCCCTAAATCCTTTTTGTTCGATCTTTTGTATTTTACCACTTCATAAAGTAGTCACAAAACAACATAGATACACATACAATAGAGATGGATGCTGAAAAGAAGAGTGCTCATTTTCGCCAAATCTCAACTTATAAACCACAACTACTTGTTCTCTCCTCAATCCAAGAACAACCTTCTTCAAAAATCTCAGACAAACCCAATATCAAAGCTGATAATGACGCCGAGATTGGAGTTTTCGGAGCAGAAAAATACTTCAGCATGAAGCTAGATCCTGTTGATTCCTCTGCGGATATCACCAAGCAACACGAAAAGGAAAACACACAGGATCATCCTCATCCTCATCCTCATCCCCAATTGACGAAAACGACGTCGTCTAGATCAAGAACAAGCCGACACGGAACGCCAAGTGTAAGATCCGAGTCAAGTTACAACAGTCAAACCTTTCTCATGAGGATTAACAACAATGAGAATAAGCAACGGAAAACGAACGAGACAAGCGTCTCTTTTGGTGGGTTTAGATGTTACGGTCCCTGCTCTGGGGTCAAAACCGTCCATACCGACCCAAAAATCTCCTGTAAAAGTAGAAATTCCGATCGGGATTTTGTTGCTTACGACGCAAGAAAGCACAACGACAAACCAAGACTCCATTTAGAAGCCAAGAAAGCGGATTATAATGAGCCAGAGAAGATCCCATTACCTATTCAAAGGTCCGATATCGCCATGAACCTCGAGAGAAAGCTCTCTCTGCTTACATGGGACGCAATACCAAACCAACTCTCTACCAAAAACAACAATCACAACAATGGTAATAACTCTTCAATGAGCAGCAACACGCAAGAGGAAGAGACAGCAAGTGTAGCGAGTTCTGATTTGTTCGAGATTGAGAACATAACGAGCAGTGTCTATGAGCCGAGTGAGGCCAGCATTGGATGGAGTGTGGTAACGGGAAGTATGGCAGATCAATCGGTGATTTCGGATTTCGATATGATGAAGAGGGTCACGAGAAGTGGTCCGGCGGTTAGAACCAAACCGGTGATTGGTGAGAAAGTCCGGTCGGCTGGGTTTTTGTCGGGTTGTAAGAGTCACAAAGCTGTCTCGGTTGTTGATAGTTCTAGAAAAGCGAAAGAAACAGCCAAGGTTGATCATCACGAGATGTCTCATCAGAAGAAGTTTAAAACTGAGATTAGGATTCAAGACTTGAGCTTTCTTTAATAAACAATGTTTGTGTGTGTGTGTTCTCAATTAGTTTTCAAATGTTTTTGTTATATTTGTTCGTGTGTATGCTAATGATTTTGATAATTTTGATCTCTTGGTTTATATTATAAAACCCTACAATTATGGTTCTCGAAAAGAAAAAATCAATACAACTAAAAAACAAAGCTATGGAAATTGTGAGTTTTCGTGGAATTGATACAAGACCCAACCAAGACTGACATTCAAATTAAGTTTGAGACACTAATTTTTACGATGAATTCTATAATAATTTTGAACTTCAATTCAGAAACCAAATTATCCAGAAAAAAATGATCCAAATTAACCACTGAACTTATATATTCACTCGAGTTTTTAGTCTTCGACCACAGTACAATAATACATGTTGCTTATTAGATTTAGTATCGTCTTTGGAGTATGATTTAAGTTTTTAACTATGTTTCTGCATGTTATACTACCATATTTGCAACTTTTAAGAAATGACACTAAAATATAAGGATTATCATTTCTAGTTTCTACACCACATGTTTCACCACATCACATCCATGAACGTTACGCATTAATTGGAATGGATTATATAATAAAAACATCGTAATTATATAGATCCCTCCCGTGAGTCACGACCCTACAAATTATGCATGTCAGCATGTGGATAGTAAGAGACGATTATAACTTGACGTAGAGACAAGGAAATATCAATTAGTCTGTATGAGACTACACAAAACTGGCATTAACGTCGGATATATATTTGTAGCCATGCAATTGCAAACTTAGGGTTGGTTAGTAGTAAATGTGAAGGGGAATGTTCTCAAATTGGGACCAATTCAATAACTCTAAACGAGCTAATTTGTTCAAAAAATTGAATAAATAGAGTATGGGCATTGGATGCAAAACATATAATTAATTGGACCGCCTTAGACTATATTTATTGAATTTATAAAATCATTTATGAAATAAAGTTTTCATCTATATATATTGGTAGACATCAAAATTTATATATGGAATATATATATATATATATATATATATATATATATATATAATAAGATGTTACTATATAGACATCTTAATAAATCCATATATGAACAGAACTTTACATTTTTTTTTCTATACAACAAAACATAACATAGTTAAAAACCTAATATTAAGCGAATAATTCATTGCTGATCGGTCCTAACGGTCCAACGAAATTAATGTACTACCATATTTGTTTATAATTAGAGGAAGCTGAAAAATATGTCTACATTAATCTTGTCTATATACTATTAAATTAAGTATTGTGGTACCACCAGCTATGAAGAATGTTTTCAACAATATTAATTACTTTGTGACCACCTTACCCAATTCCATTCGAAATTAAATAGGAAAAAGAAGTATACCTATTATTATGTTTTGTCTGATATACATACACATAAATACCCAACTAGAGCCAAGCAACTCCAATAAATCGACCGTTGAATATGAATAATGTGACACCTTTTTCATTCATAAATGTGATCCTCTCAAAACATATAGAACAAATGGAGTAGTTAATAACATTTTAGTTCCTTTTACAAAAAAAAAAAAAAAAAGAAAAACATTTCATTTGAGCTCAAAAGGTTCATTAGACTAGTGGCCCATGTTTATTCTGTTAAAATTACATTACTTCACTAGCCCGTAAACCTCCTTGGGAAGCCCATTTTGAGCCCATGGATATTGAATATGAACAAGTTGATACAACTTATTTTGCAAATGCAGATTAATGATTTGTGATAAGAAAATTTTAATCTACACAGAAAACTAATCTTTAGGGTGGGTAGATTAGATAAGTAATTAAGATATCATCATGATTATAATGTTTTGATTTATTACCTAATATTGTTGTTGTTACCAATTACCTGACTTATTTATTTGTTGTTGTCAACACATGATTTTTTCTATAATCATAAGAAAACTTAAACATCACATCACATTACTTTAACTGGATATATATATTTTTCTTAATCCCATCAATATATGTAAGGGTTGGGCAGATTTTAATTTATTAAAATCAATTAAAACCTAATCAAAAGAAACATGGAAATCTCTAAACTACCCCAAGGCTTTTACATAAGATGACAAAAATACCCTTCTTCTCTAACGTGACGTAATCTAATTGGTCAACAAAAAACCCCCAAAACCCTAAATCAGTTTTGCCCAGATCACACAATCGAGTTTTTAGGGTTTTAGCGGGTGCTTTCTCGGGAGGCAGAGAGAAGAGGGAAGAGGAAGTCTAATTCCTCTGCGTTGTTTGCAATTAGGGTTTCATCAGAAGTGAATTGAAAATGGTGGCAGACAAGAGCAAGAAGGCTAAAACCGAAGAAGAAAACGTCGAGCAAATCGATAGAGAGCTTGTCCTCTCAATTGAAAAGCTTCAAGAGATCCAAGACGACCTCGAGAAGGTAAAAATTCCAAAAAAAAAAAACCTTTTTTAACAATCATCATGTTTATTTTGCTTGAGAATCTCCTGAATTTTGCTTTTGCCGATGTTCATTTATTGCTTTGGTTAATGAGAAATTGTTGTTCTGTGTTGCACTCTCTTGTGTTTTGAGTTTTCTATTGGACAAATTACAGACAAAAGTCAGTATCTTTAGTACTTTTGTTGTTGTATGAAATGTGGTCGTTTTCAAATTGACTTGTCAATAAAACTGTTTGGGGATTGAATTGTTGTGTTAGAGTCCAAATCTCAATGACCTCTATTGTTTTTGGTTTTATAGATAAACGAAAAGGCTAGTGATGAAGTGTTGGAAGTGGAGCAGAAATATAATGTGATAAGGAAACCTGTTTATGACAAGCGTAACGAGATTATCAAATCCATCCCTGATTTCTGGTTAACTGCTGTAAGTAAGCTTCTCTATTCTGTTTTTCAATTTTAGATTTTCAGAACAATTTTTCTCTAATTGGAATTTTGGTATTTGTTGTAGTTCTTGAGTCACCCTGCTCTAGGTGAACTTTTGACAGAAGAAGACCAAAAGGTTTGTGTTTTCCTTTCGAGATTTCGCCTGATTGATTCACAGTTTTTCATTCTTGTTCTGTTGATTCGATATTTCTGTTTTGAACAGATTTTCAAATTTCTTAGCTCTCTTGATGTTGAGGATGCCAAAGATGTGAAATCTGGATACTCTATCACTTTTGTAAGTTTCTTTTGTTATTATGCGACTTTATCATATTTTGATATATCTCTGACTGATCTAAGAAAGCAGAGTTTTTTTTTAGTTTCTTAGTTAACTGATTGTTGTTAAATTGTGAATTGCAGTACTTCAATCCCAATCCATTTTTTGAAGATGGAAAACTAACAAAGACTTTTACCTTTCTCGAAGAAGGGACAACAAAAATTACAGCCACGCCTATCAAATGGAAAGAGGGCAAAGTAAAATGGATCTTTGTTGCATAAAATAAGTCTGTTTCTTAAGTTTTCACTGTTTGGGATTATTCTTAACTATGTTTTTCAATTTTTAAGGGCTTGTCAAATGGAGTGAATCACGAGAAGAATGGAAACAAACGTGCATTACCTGAAGAGAGGTATAAATCCGTCTCCCCATCCCCATTTCAGTTAAATTTCACCTAGCATAGATACAAGTTAAAAGTCTTGGCACCATGACTTAAGCCTTTCTAATTAGCAAATTACATGTCTGAGGACTCTCTATCTTAACTGTCTTTTTTCAGCTTCTTTACCTGGTTTCGTGATGCTCAACACAAGGAGGATGTTGAGGATGAGATGCAAGACGAGGTAATGATCCTATCTTTTTATGACTTGTTTGTAAGGTAACCTCATGTCTGGCCCAACTTGAACCCCGGAATTCGTCTTATAGCAGGTTGCGGATATCATCAAGGAAGATTTGTGGCCCAACCCTCTCAACTACTTCAACAATGTAAGCTATTCACCATTTCGTTTTTCAGTCTATAACTTTGTTCAGAGCGCATAAGTTGCTTGAAGATTTTGGTAAATTGTGTATGTAACTTTGTAGGAGGCTGATGAAGAGGACTTTGATGGAGACGAAGATGGAGATGAAGAGGTAAAAGCATCATCTAATTTCCTTTGTTTGGTTGAGTTTTCTGCTTAAAATTTGCTGCATCTATGATATGCTAATAATGTGCATGATGTGATGAAAGATTAGATGGAGATATTCTAAGACAGAACATTGTGTTATTATTAATGTCTGAAACCATTTCATTTTTGGAGATTCCATTATACGTTTGATCTGATAAGTTTTTCGAAACCATATCTATTTGTAGGGAAAAGAAGGTGATTCTGATGAAGATGATGACGAAGAAGACGGAGATGGTGAGGAATGATGGGAGGGTTCCCCAGAAACCACATTTGCTTACATGTCTTCTATAACAGAGTGTGTAAAGTTTTGTGTGTTGTTGAAAGGTTTTTAATTTTAAGCAAAAGTGGATTATGACGACAACAGACGAGCTTTTTTATTTTACCGTAATAGTTACATCTTGTTGAAACCATTTTCAGCCTTTTGTTGCAAAATCCTGCTTAAATGGTTTTATGAGTCTTACATAGCTTCATCTTTTGTCTTATTTTGTTACTTCATATCTGTTGTGTCTGTGTGACCTCACTGAATAGAGAATTCGTATGTCAATGGTGAAAATGAGGGCTCTTTGTGAGAATATAGCGATATGTGAATTTTTCCCTTTGTTCGTGATCTGCTTGCCAGATGAATGAGTTTATTTTCGTCTGGTAGGTAGACATGACTCTGTTTTCTTTTATCAAGATTTTTGAGAATCTCATTGGATCTTTTATTGTTTGGTCTATACTTTTTTGTTTTTGATGTGCCTAATGAAATGATTACCAACTCCTGTGAGCTCTTATCCTTCAGATCACTAGAACAAAGCAAGAAGTTGTAATTTAACTTCGACCAGTGTTCTTCTTCAGATTTCTATATATCACTAGCATTACGGCCCGTGCTATGCACGGACATAGTATTTATTTAATTTTTTATATTAAAATTTAAATATATTTTGGCATCTAACATTTATTTTGGTGTAATCTAAATATTTTAATAATTGGGGAATTTAATCAAATTCTAATGTAAGAGAGTATATATATTTCATAAAGTTTTAACAAAAAGCAAAATAAATAAAAAAATAAGCTACTAATCTAATTAATGGGTTGGGGTGAGAATAAATACACGTGTAAAACAACTGCCAGGTGGAATCTCACTCTCATCTCCCCATCTCAATCTCCTCTTCTCTTCGATTACCCAATTAAACGTGAATCAAGGTGAGATACTGTGAGCTACAATTACATACAAAGAAAGGGAGAGATTATTCCATAAGGTAAGATCACAGAGAAATAAGAGTAATCGGCGAAGAAGAGACTATAAGATTTGATTTGATTCTTCATCACCGATTAAGCTCCGTAAGGTGGCGGCGAAAATGGAAGCGGTGAAGAAACAGAGGTAGCTCCGACACGTAAGTAATGTTCCGAGTTTCATCAAATTGTAAAGTTATTATTGAACTGGTTTATTAATTAGATTAATTGGAAGACATGAACATGCCTGGATATGAATGGATCCCTATATGTTCTACTGTTCTATGAGTTGATAATGTGTTTCAGTGTAGTGAATTGATAATCCCTATATGTTCTACAGATGAGTATTATAAGGTGAGCATTACGGGTTAATCTTACCTATGTGTCATGGTTCTTTATATGGTTGTTTTTGTTTTTCTTTCTAAGATAGTGAATTAGAAACATAGCAACATGGTTTCAATGTTTTCCTACAATTACTCTGTGCTTGTAAAGAGCTTCATGATGTCACTCGAAGAGCAGAAGTATCAAGTCTCTTGGTCAGAAACTTTAAAAATCTGATTTTGATTGTTTTCTCTAGTTACTATGATCATTCGTCACCTCAAAAGAGGCATTCAGTTGTAGTGAATTTAATTTTTTTGGTTATGTGTGATGGGTCTTAGCATTTACTTTTCTGAATTGTATGTCTTAATAAGTGTTAAGCTTAATAATAGTATCGACCAGCAATTACGGGTTGATCCTACCTAAGTGTCATGGTTCTTTATATGGTTGTTTTTGTTTTTCTTTCTAAGATTAACGGAGTTGCATGATGATGACAGGTACATAAAAGAGTCATAGAAACATATGAAAGAAGATATCAGCATACATCATCCGAAACAGAAAGTAAGTGATAGAGGAATTCTATTTTCCTTAACTACTCGCACAAACTTAAAAATAACACATAAGTCATCTCAACATCAATATAATGATGCTGGGGGATAGAAAAAATACAAAGGTTCAGCATGATTCGTTGGTATCATCCGCTGCATACACTGCAAAGTTAATAAAAAGAAATGTTCAAAAAAAGAGAACAATACTATATTGTTATTTAGTATGTATATAGACAGATTGTTATTTATGTTGAAAGCCTTGACTTAGTCATATATGGAGACTAAATTATTCAAAGTTTTCATATTGATGTATAGTATAAAATAGAAAAGAAATATTAATATAATAAAAGAAGATGTATAAACTAACCGTGTAAATATGAGTTTACCTTCATATTTTAGTTGTCATGGTCATGGAACTGCTAACTTCCATAATCTATAGTTAGAAATGGAATAAAAGGGGTTAGCCTGATTGAGATTTGAGATAGAAATTGAATAACAGTGATGATTTCACAATCTGTGAGACATACTTGGCAAATTTTGGAATACTTCTTTGAAAACAACATTTGTAGTTGTCTTAGCACGATTACCCTCTTCATCGATGATAAGAATCTTCAAACCTCGTCGACTCTTAACTCTCGATACCGCAACGTATAGTTGCCCATGGGAAAAAACTGGTCTGGGTAAATAAATGCCAACATGAGATAAACTTTGACCCTGGCTCTTGTTAATGGTCATTCCAAAGCAAGGAACTATTGGGAACTGTCTTCGCTGAAAACGAAATGGTAATCTAAAATCTGTAGGCGTAAGAACCATCCTCGGAAGATAGACTTTGTTACCGGCGTTACTTCCAGTCAACACTTTTGCTTCGATAACATGATTTCCCAATTGTGTTACTTGCAACCTTGTCCCATTGCAAAGGCCATATTTCTGGTCGATGTTTCTGATAAGCATAACGGGAACGCCCAGCTTCAACCTCAAAACATGGTTAGGCACACCAGCACACTTTATGGCATTAAGGAATTCAGTAGATAAGCCAGCGTCTCTTGCTACAGAAGTATCAGAATCGCAGATTTTATCAGAACTGAAGTATTCCTTAATCTCTCCGGGAAGAAGATCCATGATGTGATTGTTCACCTCATTAACATCATCGTTTGTTGGACAAAGTATTGCACGCTCCCTGAAGAAAGTTTGATCATTGAGATTTTGAAGTAGATCTGGGTAGATACAATTAGCAATAGAGTCAATGGGGTGAAGTGAGTCAAGGAGAAGCATGTCTTCGGGTATATCTATAGTTGCTTCGCCATCATTAGGTTCTGAAAGCTTTCCATCTCCTAGCTTAAGAATCCAATCAGAAAACTCTTTGATGCTGTCTTGTTCCGTAGGATCTGACTCAACAGTTAGCCGCATGTTCTTGGTTAATGTAAGAACTTTGCAAGAGTTCCACAAAACTGAAGAAGTGAGAGAAGCATGAACTATTTGTTCTCTACTCCCTTTGGTTATAACTGGTAGTATTTGGCGGAAATCCCCACCAAATGTAATAGTTTTTCCACCAAAAGGTTTGTTGTTGTTAGCTTGTGCTATATCTTTCAGAGTACGATCAAGAGCTTCAAAACAATGTCTATGCAACATTGGGGCTTCGTCCCATATAATCAACTTTGCTTGAAGTAACAAAGAAGCAAGCTCACTATCAACCGAAATCGAGCAAGTGGAAGTTTCGTTCACCTGTAGTGGTATTGAAAACCGGGAATGCGCTGTTCGTCCGCCATCTAGTAGTAGTGCTGCCATTCCGCTTGATGCTACGTTTAAAACAATTTCTCCTCTTGAACGAATGTACGTAGACAATGTTTTCCACAGATATGTTTTACCAGTGCCACCAAATCCGTTAACAAAGAAAACACCACCAGAGTTAGAATCTACAGCTTCGATGATTTGCTCGTATATCTCCCTCTGTTCAACTGTTAACTTGGGAAACAAACGTTGATGTTCTTGGGCACAAGCATGTCTATCGTAGCACATCTCATCTTGTATCAACGTATTCATTGCTGCAGGGAAATTGTTGTTTTCTGGATATGGCATGGGGTAACTACGCAAAGTACTTCCATTTGTGCGTAACAACTTTTCAATTTCCAACAAAGCTTGATTTTGAATTTGCTCATCTGTCATCTCATGTCCTGCAAATTTTAAACATTTTTCTCAGTATTTGGGAGGTTTATCAAGCGTAACACTAAATTAATTTATTTTAGTGTGTACCTGGCCTTTGCAGTATTCGCCTTTGCATATATAGAACATCATCTGAGAGCTGATTCCATGTATTTAACCAAACATGATTAGGTCTTGACAAACTTTCAGACATTAAAAGCGATGCAAATAACCTTCTCATGTAACGACCATTTGCCCATTGACTTGCTTCTATTATTGCATCGATGTATTCCTGGTCATCTTCAAGGAGCCCTAAAGCATAACATGCATCTTTAAATGTTGGGTAGAGAATCCCGTCAACAGTTCTTATATCTTCATAAGATGTAGGTCCCTTGACTCTGTTTAATAGGATCCTCATGTAGAACCGTTGACCAGCTGATGGGGAAACATGATATATCCTTCCAACTGATACACTTCTTTGACGGGGAGTCCACTCCATTTGTTTCTTCTTCCACACAAAATGCGAAGGAAATTCAATGTAGGTAAATTTTCTCGCCTCGGGATCTTCTGCTTCCGCTTTCATATTTGTTTTCAAGAACGCCAAGAATTGAGATGTTTGGTTTTCTTCTTTGTTCAACACATCGTCTACGTCTTCGTCATCGTCATAAATTACGTTTTGCTCTCCAGGTAGATGAAAGCTTAACCTTTGTACCGAAGTGCTGCTGTGATGTAACTCAAAACCAAAAATTCGCCATGCTGCTTCACAAGGTGATATATACCTAGATAAGAATTCGATAAAAGTTGATGAGGACACCGCTAACGCATCTTCCCCAAAAATTATTCAAAAATTATATTTGGAAATAGGCAGAGTTTTTACCTGCAGTCATAAAAACGCTTGATTTCATTTGGACCAGTACCATCTTTAATTCTAGCTGTGACCTTGTCATTCCCTTTGTTGATGTATTTAAATAAATACTTGATTACCTTGCTTTGGTTGCACCATTCAACATTTATATGGGCTTGATACTTGAGTAGTAGTGTTGGATTGTAAGGTATGACAAAACGGTTGTCAAGAAGAATCCCATTTTTTTCAACAAATCTCCCATCATCTCTTCTTCTGTAGACAGGAAAACCATCTTTATTGATGTGTGTGCTGCTGGTAAAATCCTTAGGAAACTTTTTAGTGCATTTTCCTTTCTCCATGCATGGTGAATTTTGGTTGGCAAGTCCACAGGGACCATGTATCATCATCTCTTTGACAACTTCGTGAAGAACAGGATGCGTGGATTTATCTGGAATCTCAGCCCATATAAACTCGTCAACCTCAACTGTAGTTGGAATTTTGGCTTCCTTCTCTAGGAAGAGCAGTATATGAGCATGTGGTAAACCTCTTTTCTGAAACTCGATTGTGTAAAGCACTGCAAAATAAAATGACTTATAAATTTATGATGCATTGTAAAAGTAAATAATAATATTGATAGATATATAAAAATAAAAGAATGACTGGTACCTGCTCTTGAAGGACCAAATACATTGTTGTTCTTGATGTCCCAAATGAGATGATCTAGCTTCATTTTGAAGACTCTAGTCACAATATCTGCTCTATCTTCTGAGTTAAGTCCTCGTGCATTCAAATACCTTGTTATTTCGGGCCATTTTGGATTACACGTGAAGGTAATGAATAAATCTGGATAACCATAATGTTGACATAGTGCCATTGCATCCATATATTTCTGTTGCATGTAACGCGCACCTCCAACAAAAGAAGATGGTAAGACAATTCGTTTTCCACACATTGAAGAATCGTTGTTTCCTTTATCGGCAGAAGCTTCAACATTGGAATATTTATCTGCACGGAGAGTTTTTTGGTTGAACTGGAGATATGAGATTCTTTCGGCTTCAATCATGGTCAACCCATCCACAAGAAACTGCTGAAATAACTTGCCAGTATGCATCAAATAAGGCGACTCATCTTTTCTTTCCATGATCTTATACGCAAAAAATTCCCTCATGCTGACCTTGGTTCGTGGGTTTTCTGAATTTGTTGTTTTCTTTTTAAGCTCGAGATCTATGTGATAGCCATCTTCTCCGTAGGGAAACAAAAGAGGATACTGCAATGGTAGATATGCTGGGTGTAGTTCACTTATACGCTGCAGTTCTCTTGTTTTTGTTTCCACAATAATATCTCTAGGCCCCAAACATGTGTCAAAATCTCCAACAAATAGAGCAGCAACTTCTGAAACCGTTGGTAGATTGTAAGTCTTACTACTATCTGTTGAACGACCTGAGACCAATTTTAGTTTCAAGTTTGGCATCTCGATTGATTGATCAAACCGCTCCTTTGCCATTCGAAGAACTTTAGCATATGGATTACACTGGTCAAGCATACACTTGATTGCTTCGACGATATCCTCCCGTAGTCTTTTTGATTCAGTTGATGGTGCCGTCCTCTTAGAACTTGAATAATTAAGAAGTAAAGAACCATCAGTTTTTCTCATAATTTTAAAATAATATATATGAAAAGCAAATCCATATGAAAACTGAAAAATGTATGTAGATTATGTTTAAGGATTAAGAGTTACCTGAAGTTTTTGATTCTGTTTTTTACTTCGTTAGAAGTATCATGTATATACATCTGCTGAAATTTTGCTGGATCACCATCACAGGGAAGCAAACTACCAATCTTATGGACATTTTGTCCTTGCAGTCGAAAAATAGGTGGTCCACGTCCTCTGTTTATAGATGTATCTATCCTTCCACCCATAGACGTAAATGCAAACATCGAGTCATAAGGTCTGATGTTCTCTTTGAAATTTTTGCTGATTGCGTTGTTTCCATAAAGCAGATCAAGAAGCAGCTGCGGAGGCGTTGGTGATAGAGGGAGTTGAATTTTTCCATGAATGCAGCAAAGTGAAAACTTTGGATGTGCTGATTTGCGCCTTTTGTCGACACGTTCGTCATACCACATGAAAGCATTGCAATGCTCACAGGTATATGTTGCGTCACCAAGATCATGGTACTCTGTAAAAGGTAAGAAAATTAGTTTCATATAAGATTGGGAGTCTAAACTAAAATATTTATTACCATCAGAACTGTATAATGCGTATGGGGAATTAGAGGATGAAGCATGATTTGGGAATCTAGGTTGAGGGAATGTGTTGTTATTAGTGTCTACTGAGTGACTACAACTTGGAATTGTGTTGCTGCTTGATGGAACATCTGTTAACATAGTATATGGACGAAAAGAGATGAATTAGTTAGAAAAGAATGTATGATGTATGTATATTGCAATTAGCTTTACAATTCAAGGATCCAAAGAACAATACGTGTTTCACTGTGCTTCTTTTTCTCTTTTCTCTTATTCATAATACGTTGTCGAGCGATTAGCCGAGGAGAACTTTCTGTAGAATTTTCTTGCATAATTAATATAATGAATAACATCTTAGAATGTATTTGCATTGAGCCATATATTACCATTTGTGATATCTCTCAATGTATTATCTGATGATGAGCTCTGCATCGGTTGTGAAATAGGTGTAGCACATGTGGCTCTATTGCTATTAGAGCTCGATCCTGCATTCTCTATATTACAATTTTAGACAAACAAATGTGTTACTGGATATCAATATTGATTTGTATGATACGACAAAGAGATAGAAGTGTTACCTTTATTGCTGGAATCTTTTTTGTTCCTCTTATCTGCGATGCGTGACGACCTTTCCTTTCTCCTTTTCTGACTTGTTGTAGTGTCCATCTATCTGTATGTTTCATGAACTTAAATGAAGTTGTCAGAGTACTAAATATCAATTTATAGATAGGGTTGGGTTAATCTCATGCATAACCTGAGTACACTATATCTTCAAGCTTTGCAGGTCAAACAGAGGATTCCAAACTTCGTGACATTCTTCAATGGTTCTTGGTTTTTGCTATTTGTTTGCAAAGTAACGGATGTCTTTTGAGAGAATTGAGGGAGATGGTACCGTAGACTGAGTAATTTTATCAAAATAAACACGATCTCTGCATTGTGAACGTGGGATAGTGATTTAATTTATTTTTATTTATTTAGTTATTCACTTATTTGTTGTTAAATTAATTTGCGATTTATCTCATATTACATGTTTTTGTTTTGGAATATTTTTCCGTTTTTGTTGTTCCTTTTTTAAAAAGATCATTTTTAAATAACATAATTAATATTATTCAGTCTTCAAAATAATGAATTGACTATTTTATGATATTCAGATAACTGTCTTTTATACACTCGACATGTGTTTTGGTTAAATCCAGTTTATTGAACGTGGTCGGTGAAAACATGAGAAAGACAAATTTTCTTTTTTTTTAGGCTTGCTATGCTGTATCTTGTGCGTTTCAAATAAAATCTTCCTAGTGAAAAAAAGAAGAAGATTACTTTATCTTTAATTATGTAATCATTTATATGTTCTGAATTATACAATAGGAGGGATTAAATTATAGTTAAGTCAACACTTATTTTTATCGAGCCAAATTAGTAAATATAATAGCAGAAAATGAGATGACTATAATAAAAGAAAAGACACGTACGTACCATACATATGAGTTTAACAGGATAAATAACTGGTAATACTTAAAGCAAAGACATGATACATAATTTACATACTAAAATGAAAAGACATTTACATACTTAAAGCAAAGACATGAAACATAAATTTACATACTTAAATGCAAAGACATTTACATAAACAAAGGCGTGAAACATTTCAATAGTGAAGTCATAGCATGATCATTTCTTTTCTTTCTTAATCTCAGCCTTGGACAACAATTTAGGCTTTGTAGAAGACTGTTGAGCTGCATTATCTTCCGATGAAGTTAGTGATCGTTTTGACGTCGGAGTCAATTTAGTGATCTTTGAAGTGTTCTTAGAAGTCTGGATAGACGTGTTGCTGTTTTCATAGTTAGCCGCCTCGGAAGATGTACTGTCAATCTAAACAAAAACCAAATACCAAACTTTAAAATACATAAGCACTTGAAAAATAAATGTAATGGAACGTTAGAGTTAAAACCTGATTTCTAGTTGCATCTGAAGGGGTAGAGACAGTGATTGTGTCCGAATCAGGTTCAATCTAAAATAGATATCACCAAATTAATTACTTATCCTTAAATAAAATTTGTTGCCTATCTAAAACTTATTCAGTAGCAAACCTCGCTCATAGTCGGGTTTGAAAAGCTTGAGACCATGTGAGTGCTTGGATCAGTTGTGTTCTGCAAATGAATAAAGAACATTAATGTTGTATACCATGAAAAATGAATGTAACTTAAACGCGAAAGACGATATGAATTTACCACTTGCAAAATATTTTCCTGAAACTTTTGAACAATTTCGGGATTGTCGGTAAGTTCAAATACTCTGAACGTAGACTGTGAGTTGAATTTGGTCGAGTCTGAACCTTGTATCTTGAAAACAAATTGACGCCCTTGTAAATCAAGCAGCTCTTGCGGAATTTGGTCTGAACGATTAAACTGCATCATTTGACAAAAAATAAAAACATAAGTTTAAATTAAAAAGAGTGTTATTTTAAAATAGTGGAGTTAAGAAAATTGACCTGAACTTGTTGCTCGAGCAACTCATATGCGGATTTGTGAATGAGCTTGATGACATCCTGATCGAAAAGAAGAAATGATGCGCTACCAGTATGGTCAATAACTGTTGCTTGCACCTTGTACCTAAAACATAGTAGAGTAATTCTAGTATTAAATTGAATACTCATGGTAGTAGATAGTGATATAAGCAAACATGACTTTAACATGATAACCTGGTGCTTGTAGTAGTTACAAATGTGTCACATTTTTCACATTCATATTTTCCGGCTTCTATTTCTTCAGTTTCAGGGTTGAAGTAAGGAGATACTTTCTTGAAACATTTAGTACAACCAATATAAAACCATGGAACTTTTGTGTCGATGGAGAATATTGATGCAATAATGTTACATGCCCCTCCCTGAAATTAAAAGAAGATTAACATTCATTCTCATTAAAGTGTTGATAAGAAAATCACTTAAAAGCATAATCATGAAAAATCACCAGAACCGTGGAATAGAATAAAACATGATCATCAAACACGAATCCAAAGAAAAAGAAAATTGGATAATACCGAATGAATATCTGCAATTGTTTTTTGATTTGCCAAGGAGAATGAAGCTTTAGAATTCTTGCTTGAGCTTGAAGACGTAATTGTTGAAATCGTAGTTAAAGCTAGATGATCAGATTTGGCCAAACTGTAAAGACATATATTGAAACGTTATCTATCAAGCATGATATGTTGTTAGAAAATAAATATTGTGCAGAATCGTTTACCTTTCTTTAAACTCTATTATCTCGGCAATTGGGGAATTGATAAACAGCTTGGTCGAAAATGAAGCATTTTGTACAGAGATCTTGCCTGCTAAATAATAAGAATCAAATCAACTAATCCCTTAAAGTGAAATTCAGTAGTACGTTTTTTGAAAGGCATGTGACTATACCGTTATATGGCTTTGTCTTCATCAAGCTTCCAACTAAAACAATTGAACCATCTTTATTGCCCTTAACATAAGAGTACAAATCTTCTGCCCATTTTTCCCACAAAGTAACATCGATGACTGATTCCCTGAGATAATTATTAGAATGTTTCTTTTAGCAAAGATACTACATTATACAAATAATAAAATATTTAGGCTGGTAGAAAACTAACCCAAGATCTCTGAGCTGTAAATTCAATAACTTTGTCTGCCGCCCCGAAACATTAACCTCTTTAAGTTCATGCATTCCAATTATCTCACCAATAACGTCTGGAAAATTTAGGCAAACATTATATTGGAAGATAAAGTTGCAAGCTAAAAATTAAAAAACAAATTTAGGAAGATGAAAATATACCAATGAAAACATTCTCATTGTCAGTCCGAGCTTGTATATCAGAGAAAGGGACGAAGTTGAAACGAAATTCCAAGTTTGGAATCTGCTCACATTTCTTGACGTGTGTCATGGACATAAAGTTGATCTTGTAGGGGTGAGAACTGGCTCTATAACTCCCTCCATTATCTAAAATCTCAAAGTTCATAATCATGTAGCAATCTCCCTCTTCTAGTTTTCCCTGGAATTTTGTAAGTAATTGCGATCTGATGGAGGCTTGTATCCTATCTCCCTAGACAAAAAGAAAACGGATAGTTTAAATGAAAGGATAAAGCAAGTAAGTTTACAGAAAAGTTATATGAAAGTACCTTGTCATCCACCAGGAGAAGGTCTATTCCCGTAATATCTTTGGGTCTATCTTTCTTATGGTATGCCCAGACGCGAGCAATCCGGACTTTAACTTTGCATGTTGAGAGGTCAGAATTAAGCTGTGAAACTGGTGTTACTTCTAGCGGCATTCTATCTTCAAAAAACAACAATATCAAAATTAAAGAGATTTAGTTTCAAGGGAATGCAATCAGATTAAATAGAAACAGAGAGAAATACAAAAACCATAGAAATGTAGAAGAACGGTATATAATTTGCAGATCTATATATAATTGTTGTTAAAGAATCTTTGACAACTATAAGAAAATAAAAAAAAAACAGAAATTGGAGATGGTAAATTGATACCTTTGGGATGAGAAAAAGTCACTGATTTCTGAGAGTAATCGATGTATGATGATGAGAAGACCATTCTTGAGGTTTTATACATACAGTAGTCATGGAGATTTTGGAGGAGAAGAAGTGGAAGAGGTGGAGATCGTGGGGATGAAAGAAAATAGGGTTTTGAGAAGGAAAAAAAAAAAGCTAATAAAAACGAATGGATATTTTATCTGTTACTATAATTCTTTTATTATAATTTTTGAATAAACAAAATCTTGCGTGAAAAAGAAAGAGTAAGAAAATTGGACTTAAGCTGATGTGTCAATCAGTAAATGCATCAGTTATTGAAAAATTGACTGTTGATTTAGTATAATTAGATGTACTGTACAAAGATGCTCTAAAAATCTCAGATTCTGGTTAGTTGTAGTTCTACAGAAGAAAAAAAAGTCTCAAAGACTCCAATGTTCCAGAACGACCTACGCTTAAAGGTGTTTAAACCGGTTAAATCCGATCCAAAACGTGGTCTTGAAAGAAGAAAGAAAAAAACTGATCATAGTAGACTAGTAGTATTGTTTGACCAAAAAAAAAAAAGTAGACTAGTAGTATCATGTAGTTTACTAAAAAGTGGTATTTAAGAAAATTGCTCTCTAAATAACTTTATTAATAACCTACATTAAAATTTAATAGAATCACCTGAAAAGAATTAACTACTACTCGCAGCCATTATCTCAGATTAATTTAAACCGTTTTCTTTTTTTTTGTTGGAAATGTATTAATATTAATTTCTTAACCGTTACTCGCAGCCCCTAACTGTAACTATTTTTAGTTAACAATTACTCCATACGTTACAAGTTAACTGATTACAAACACTTCGGAGTATTTTATATTTAGGAAAAAGTGTAATTATATGAATTCAACTAGCTACTTCACAAAGGAGCAAATTAACTACGATTGGCTTATAATCATATATATCCATGCAGGCGCAGCAGAGAGATGCTAAAAGAGAATTCTAACTCCATTATCTAATCCTATAAAAAAAAAAACGTCCCTCTTATTAGCATTAATTACCATTATTAATCATTTTCTATCTCTCTCGTAACTCCAAATTTCACAGGGCAATCAATTAGCCGTCAATACCCACTTTCCCGTACAGTTTATAACTTCACTTCTATATCTTCTCTTTTACATATCTACCACTATATATTATATACGCACCTCTCTCTATCCCGTTGATTAGTGATCACAAACCCATTAATAATGATGAAATCGTTTTGCAAGTTGGAGTATCATCAAGTATTTGGCAAAGAAGATATATCATTCTCATTTCTAAACCACTCATCACTTTACTCTCATCAAAGGTAAATTAATTATTCATGCATGAGTTTTTTTTTACATGGTTAATTATTATAACAGTTCTTGATTCATGTTTTAATTGTTTTGTGTTCTTGATGCAGCGAGTTAGCGAATCCTTTCTTCGAATTGGAAGACGAGATTCTTCCTTCTGCAACCTCTACTAATTACTTTACTTCTGCCTCAAGCTTTCTGGCTTTACCTGATCTTGAACCCATCTCCATCGTATCTCACGAAGGTATGTATAATATGCACTTAATTACATTGTATTTAGATTTTAGATTGATCTCATGGATTTTATGTGTGCACTTCTCACTCTTGTCGTTCTGTTTAAGCAGATATACTTAGTGTGTATGGTTCTGCTTCATGGACCGAAGAAGAGTCGATGTTTGATTCTGATTTTGCGAAAAAGAGTGAAACCACAACTACCAAGAAGAGGAGATGCAGAGAGGAATGTGTTTCTAGTTGTTCTGTTTCAAAGACATTGTCCAAGGAAACCATCTCATTGTACTTTTATATGCCGATAACTCAAGCGGCTAGAGAGCTTAACATTGGTTTAACTCTTTTGAAGAAGAGATGCCGCGAATTGGGTATTAAACGTTGGCCTCATCGTAAGCTTATGAGCCTACGAAAACTCATCAGCAATGTCAAGGTATAAACAACTATACACATAATACAACTAAGTTATATAACAAGTTAAATTCCTCTATTGTATCATTAGGAATTATTTTTATGATATTTTTTTGCAGATTTTTAGTTTGCAAATTCTTTTTTTTTTTTTTTTTGGAAATATTGGAAACACTATATAAACCCTTAATGTATGGTCTACGATTTTAGTGAGTTTGACATGCCTATTTCTATAATTGTAACAGGAGCTAGAGAAGATGGAAGGGGAAGAAAATGAAGATAAGCTAAGAAATGCTTTGGAAAAGCTCGAGAAGGAGAAGAAAACGATTGAGAAGTTACCAGATTTGAAGTTTGAGGATAAGACAAAGAGATTGAGACAAGCTTGTTTCAAGGCTAACCATAAGAGGAAGAGAAGAAGTGGCATGTCCACGCCCATCACATCTTCATCTTCTTCTGCTTCTTCCTCTTCTTACTCTTCTCTTTCGGGTTTGAGTGATAATAGGTGCTCGATGGTCGTTGATGAAGAGGCATGAGAAGATGATGATAAAGCGATGAAGGATCTCTTATGAAGTTTCTCTCATGTGGGTTCTTCTATTTGTTTATGAGTGTGTTGTGTAAGGTTTAGTGTATTTGACTCTAAAATACAAAACTTTTTTTGACTCATAATATTAAATTACTACTAATATAGTAAAAGTGACCTCTCTCTTTTGTCTCAAATACTTGTTAGCTTTTCAATCTTTTTTTTTGTGTGGCAAACTTTAGCTTTTCAATCTACTTCCTTCCTTGAACACCTTCTTTATATTTGGACTGGAATGCATAACTTATGTTGACTGTCTTTTTTTCTTCCTTTTATATCTAAACTTTAGCAATATTTTATTATTCGAGTTGCTAAAATAAATATTTTATCTGATAATACCAGATAAAACGGACAAAAAAAAAAGTTAATTAAAAACCAAAAAGACATATTTGATGAACGCGAATAATCAGATCTTTTGTGAAATACCGCAAGTTTGTTACAACTTACGCATTTAATTAAATTTGGAATATAGTAAACAGAGGAGACATCAAACTCGATGTAATTTTAATTAACATATTTAAAACACGAAGATGTTAGATTATAGGCATGATATAAAAAAAAATGGAAACTGTTATCTCAAGAATATACGATTTTATTCAGCCTAATCCCTTAAATCAACGAATTTCAATTTCTTTTTAAGTGACCACAAACAACAAAGAGAACAAAATAAACAGAAACCATTAGGTCTGATTTGATTATTTTTTTTCTTCTTCTTAAATCATGCCTAAAATTTTACGCGGAGAGTTCGACCACAAAATCAAACATGATCCTGAACCAGAAGATGCGGGCACAATCAAATTCAGAGTCCATGTAAGGTTCTTGGGTAAAGATGATGATAACTTGACATTCACGACTTTGTCGTTTGCCGACGAATTCATCAACGATGATCGCAACGAGTGTCAAAGCAAAGTAGACTTGAATAGATTTTTAAAGGAAGCAGGGATCAGCGACGACGATATTGCATATGCTATGTCTCACTTTATTCTCTTTGTTGTTGCTAAAATAACTTCTTCTACAAGTGATGAGTATTCTCCAGGGTGTGCTTTAGAAGTATCGTTTGATATTCTTCTTCTCGGTGAGCCTCGTATTGGAGAAGCAGTTAAAGTATTGTTAGACTACGAAATCAAACACGATCCTGAACCAGAAAAAGAGGGCACAATCAGAGTCTATGCAAGGATCTTCTTCGATGAAGAGGATTACTTGGCATTCACGACTTTGTCGTTTGCTGGCGAATTCATTAATGATGATCGCAACGAGTGTCGAAGCAAAGTAGACTTGAATAATTTCTTCAAGGAAGCAGGGATCAGCGACCACGATATTGCACATGCCAGGCGTCAATTAATTCCCTATGTTGCTCAAATAACTTCTTCCACAAGTAATGGGTATTCTCCAGGATGTGCTTTAGAAGTGTGGTTAGCTCTTTTTACTCACGAAGAGCCTCATATTGAAGAAGCGGTTCAAATCGAAGAAGAGGTTCAAGTTGAAGAAGCAGTTCAAATTGAAGAAGCGGTACAAATCTCGTTTGACGAGACCACTAACATCTGTTTGAGACCCGCAAGCGAGGTCGTGGTCAAGTCCTTAACCAGGAAAATATACGAGAAGATTAGCTCTACTGGTCAAAAATGCACAATTTGTTTGGAGGAGTTTAACGATGGAAGAAGAGTTGTGACTTTACCTTGTGGACATGACTTTGACGATGAGTGTGTCCTGAAGTGGTTTGAAACCAATCACGATTGTCCTCTGTGTCGTTTCAAGTTGTCATGTGAAGATCAATGAACTTCGGTAGGAAAATGAGAACGATTGAGAATGTAGATTCGATTTAGGATTACTTGTTTTTTTTTTTAATTTTGATAATAATCCCTTTTTCATGCAAAAAAAAAGAAGAAGATAATAATACCTTTTCTTTTTGAACTCGATTTTTTTTGTTTTGTTTTGTTTTGGGACTTAATTTGGAGAATGTTGTGTATCATAATAACACTGGTACAAATCAAAGGAGTTTTGAAAAGATAAAATAAAGAAGAGGAAGAAAAAAAGAAAGAAAGACCCTTTTTGTGTGTGTCAAACACAGAAACACTTAATTAGCCAACATGGCAACATCTATAAAACAAAATATATTGATTAATTACCTATATCATTCTTATATATAAAATATATGGTTTCTAGAACCCATATATCTCTTATAAAAAAATGTCGAAAACTCCCATGCATGAGTATATTATGTACATTATAGCTCAAACTAGTCCTTGGTCAGACATAAGTCCAGTCATGATCCATAGACCATAGAATAGGTTACATACATCCTCAGTTAGTTCGGTTGCTACCAAATATACAGAGACATAGCTAGGTATTTCCAATGGAGGTATGAAATACAAACCTGGAACCCATTTAATTATTTTGATGATGTTGATGATGTAAGAAGTCTGACAAACTTTTTAATATTTAAAAATTTCAACTATATTTTTTTTCTCAATTTATACAGGTTTTCAAGTTTTATATTTATTTTTAAATGAGATAAACGTCAATAATCAGATAGACGCAAGTTTGTTACTCAGCCATATCAGAAAATTAATTAAAAGCTAAAATTTCTACCAAAATAACAAAAAAAAAAAAGGAAAATAAAAGCTTAGGAAAGAAGACATACACGGTTTGTAAATTAAGAAAAAACAAAATTATAAATGACTGTGACGATATCAAATTCCAATAGTATTAGATTTTCTACTGGAGATATATATATACCATCGATGTAGTGCCTCTATTATAAATACATGAATTAATTAATTCAAGAGAACCTAAACCCATATAATCGATAAAATTGTGTTTCCCATTATTTTTTCTTGATCGTTCTCGCCATCATGATTTCGTCCTTCACACACGAAATCGAGCACAATCCAGTACCCGAAGATGTTGGCAAAATCAAAATCAGTGTTAATACAACCAAAATATATCGAAGTATCAGCAATTGGGACCTCTATGAAGAACAAAAAGAATTCTCGTGTATCCCGGTTTCTTTACGTGAATGTATTGACGTAGAAGTTACCGAATTCTTGACGCGATCAGGAGAAATCACTCCCGTAGATGCTTACAATGTGTTACTAGACTTGTTTCGATTTATCGATGAAGTAACTTCTTCTGATGATTATACTCCAGGTTGTGCTTTAAGAGTGTTGATGACTCTTACTATCGGTATTCCTTCTGAACAAATTGAAGAAGACGTTTTAGGTTTAGAGGATGAGCACGATGTTATCTTTGAATTTGATCATCAAACTGAAGAAGCAGCTCGACCTCACGTTGAAGATGTTGTTCAAGTCTTGCTCAATGAGACCGTTGAAGAAGAGGTCTTTGGTTTCGAAAATGAGGGAGATGTTACTTTTGACTCTAATCATCAAACTGAAGAAGCAGCTCCATCTCAGTTTGTAGAAGTCTTTCGAATCTCGTTCAATGAGATTAGTGAAGAAGAGGATCTAAGTTTGGAGGATGAGCACGATGTTAACTTTTCCTATGAAGAAGCAACTCCATCTCAGCTTGAAGAATTTGTTCCATTCTACGGGTTGCCACGCTTATTGGTTCAGCATGATGTTAGCTTTGACTTTGATCATCAAACTGAGGAAGCGTTTCGTTCTGAGATTGCAGAAGTTTTTCGAGTATCGTTCAATGAGACCAATACTGTCAGGTTAAAACCTGCGAGCAAGCTCGCTGTCGGTTCTTTGAACAGGAAAATATACAAGAAGGCTAGCGATGTCGTCGATGAGAATGCCATGTGCACTATTTGTTTGGAAGAGTTTGATGACGGAAGGAGTATTGTGACTTTACCGTGTGGACACGAGTTTGACGAGGAGTGTATTGAAGAATGGTTTGTGAGAAGTCATATATGTCCATTGTGTCGTTTCGAGTTGTCACGTGAAAAATGAAAGGTGAAGGGAACCGAAAAGGTTACTAAATTTTGAATAAAAGATTTGTGGAAAATCATAATTTAATTTTTATTAAATCTTTTTCCATGGTTCTATATATGCTCTCGATTCAATTTATAGTATTGGACTTTCATTCAAAAATCATTATTATATTGATCATACTCAATTATTAATTATAATGTGATTTCACAATTTTACGGTTCTTTGTTAATCTTTAAATGTTTTATTTGTTTTATTATGCGATTAAGTAAAATATATCAATACCAAATATGATAGATGCCTTTTTATAATATTTTCGTTGAGTTAAGATTTTCTTGCTTAACTAAATATAATCATTCTTTATCTAATTTATTTTATTTTTCAATAATTTCAAAATATTCATGTCAACGATCAAATAGGGAAATCTTTTAAATTTTTATACAACTTTGAAATAAACCGTCCATTACATAAATAATAGAAATATTTAATTAATCATGGATTTATATTGTTCATGTAGATAGATTTGAATAAAAGATTTAAGTCTATCTTGTTGATTTTAGCAACTGAATAAAAATTAAATTATTATAAACGAGTACAATATATAGAGTTGGATTAGAAATTTAGGACTTAATTTTAATTGGATACCCTACAAGTTTTGGTTTCTCCAAAGGTTTTTCTTTTCCAATCCTATATTTTGATATTAAAAAAAAAAGGTAAATCAGATTTATTGTATTTTAAAAATGAAAATAAATAAGATAATAACAGAAAAAATGGAAACTTTGGAAAAGGTTTACAAAAAGGAAATCTTATCTATAGTTAATATACTAAATATATTTCCAAATCCCATCAGTAAAACAAATGCACGAATCCTTATCTAATAAATCACAAGTCACTTCTCTAACAACTGCAGCATTATCCTTCTGCCACGTGGCTTAAGTCTAAAATTATGCACTTTCACTTTTTCTTTACACTAATTTACGGATTAAAATCAAAATACAACAATTAATTGACTTTTTCAGCAACGGTTCCTCCCCCACCCCCACGATCTCTGCTTCGCTTCCTCTCTTTAACAATAGAACCACTTATTAGTTTCTACTAAAAAGAAAAAAAATCACTTCTCTTCATCTTTCGATTTTGTTTTCCTGCAACTTCTCTCCAGGTAAAAAAAGTTGAAATTTCAGATTTTGTTTCTTCCTAATTTGTTCGGTGGCATGAGCCACCATTTTAGGTTTCTCATCCCGACTAAGAAATTAGCTCTCTTTTTTTGCAATATAACTTCAATAGGGAAAGTCAATATCTTCGATTTGTTCTCTTTGAGTTTCTCTCTTAGATTTCAGGTTTCTTCTCTTTCAGATTTTTCATGACTCTTTCTAATTTTGCTTTTTTGTTGTTTGGGTTTTGCAGTTGTTTCAAAAACATGAGCATAACAACTTTGATTTAAATGGATGATCTGTTTATTTTCTATTATCCTCTCCATCGTAATGGTAAGACCCAAAACTCTACATCTCATCGGCATTCTTTGTATTTCACTATTGTCAAATTAACTTCCCACTAACATTCTTCAAATCATATACCTTTGTAGTTAATCGACAAAAAAAATTCGTTGATAAATCCTGTGATTTTTAGTTTCTTTTACACATGATACTCAATTACTTTATTTACTTCAATTTTATTGTTCGTGATTTTGAGCATGTTGTTACTTTGAAGGCGATCATATTACTCATGTGCTTAAGTTAATTCAGAGGTGAGCAATCAACCCTACTTTAGCAAATCCCAATTTATTCCTTTTTTATCAATTAATTATTATAGTCCTCTTTCATTTTCTTTGTGGGGATTCAAATATAGAGGAACATACATGTTGTGGCTTTGAATGGGAACTCCAGGCAATGAGAGTTGCAACATATTGCAAGCCGAGTATGTTAACGAATCATACATATTTGATCGAAACTACCGAAATTTCTAACTCGGCACAAAAATCTTACTCCACTTGAAGGTAATCTTTCACTGAATTTGTTCATATAATTATAATCATTGTTCTTGGTTAAAATGTTACACAATCTTCTTACACATTGTTCTGTAACAATTTTAATTTGTTTGAAAAGCCACGAAGTGATCACTATGTTTTGTTTAAGCACTTCCGTTTCTGATTCATGTATAGTTTTATAAATCTATGCTTTTGAGTTTTGATGCTCTATTTTCTTCTCTTATATTCTAGAATAAACATTTCTAATTACTACATGGTAAAAATGTGATTACAAGACACCAAAGGTATATTGAAGCATATATTCCCAGGATGTTTTTCTTCTACCTTGATAGGATTCCAACTCAAGTACACTTCAGGACTTGACAATCGCCACATCAACAAATTGTATACAAGAGTTACTCTTTCATTGGGAAATGCAAACAAAGCATGATATGGTGGGAAAAAACTGCATATGATGACTTTGTGGAAAAACTGCATTTGAAGAGGACTTGAACGCAAAAGGGAGAGATGTTGTGCATGAGGAACCAACCGAATGGTGTTTATAATGTTAATCCATTAGGACCATTATGGTCAAATATAGAATTTGTTTAACCTTAAGACGTAGATAAACTCTAAACTATGTGTGTGTCAGTGTCGACAACTTGATATGTTTTCATGCCCATGTTAATTAAAACTTGAAAAGGAAAATAAACTCAAATAACAATTAATTGTATTGAGTAAACAATCTAATTTTTAATTAAAGAAACTAATGCTATTTTCGGCCGTGCATAGCACGGGCCATACACTAGTCCTCTATAAATAACGTTCGTGACAACAACATAAACACACAAGAACCATCAGAAGTTTTGAGTTCTTACTTTATTTTTTTCATCATCGTCTTCATTCTCCAATCAATCATGAGAGTATATTTATACCACAATATCATACGCCATCCTCAACCAGAAAACGCCGGCACAATCACAATCAATGCAAAGATCGACGGTTACAACTCGACGTTTACTGGTTCATCGTTTGCCGAAGAATTCTTCGACGAATATGACGGCCAGTGTCGAAGCAAAGAAGACTTGAATTATTTCTTAATGGAATCAGGAATTGACGACGACGATACCGAATATGCGATATCAGAGCTACTTCTCTATGTTTTTGACGTAATTCTTCCCAGATGTAGTAATTATAATCCGAGTGCTGATTTGCTAGTAGTGTCCTTGCTTCTTTCTCCTAATAATAGCAGTTTGAGACCCGCAAGCAAGCTTGTGGTCAAGTCTTTAGCCAGGAAGATATACAAGAAGACTAGTTCTACTAATGAACGGTGCGCAATTTGTTTGGAAGAGTTTAACGATGGAAGAAGAGTTGTGACTTTACCTTGTGGACATGACTTTGATGATGAGTGTGCCCTGAAGTGGTTTGAGACCAATCACGATTGTCCTCTGTGTCGTTTCAAGTTGCTATGGTGAAGATCAACGAACTTGTTTGGTGCTGTGGCCGGAGTAACCTCGTTTGTAACACCTTTTTCGGGTTTTTTTTCCAGCAATTTTATATTAAAAGATCGTGGCAAACACCCTTTTGAGATGGTTAGTATAATTCTCTAATTAAAATAATTTTTTTGTTAACAACTTTAATTTATATCAAATGACGTTTTTTTGTTAATTGGTAAACATTTTTATTTGTTCATTATGCGTAAAATATATCGATACCAAACAAGAGATATGCCTTTTTTATAATATTTTGGTTGAGTTAAGATTTTCTTGCTTAACTAAATTCTAAATATAATAATTTTTTAATCTAATTCATTTTATTTTTCAATGAGTTCAAAATATTAATGTCACCAATCAAATGTTTATACAACTTTAAAATGAAACCATCCATTACCTATCTATATAATATTTAATTAATCATGGATTTTACAGATCTGAAAAAATAATGGATTTACAAAATAAAAGTATTGTTCATATATGTAGATAGATTTGCATAAAATTTTAAGTCTATCTTGCTGATTTTAGCAATAGAAACTGAATATTAAAAACGAATAATATAGATCGTTGAATTAGGACTTAACTTCGATTGGATACCCTACAAGTTTCAGTTCCTCCATGGGGTATTTTTTTTCCAATCCTATAATGTTATTTACAAAAAAAAAAAAGTAAATCAGATTTATAGTAAAAAATGAAAAATAATAAATATGTTCCTAAATCCCGCCAGTAAATAAAATGCATACAGAATCCTCTATAAATAACGTTGTGGCAACAACATAACCCGCACAGGAATTCCATCAACATTTTGATTTCTTATTTTATTATTTCATCATCGTCTTCTTTCTTCAATCAATCATGATAATAGATATCTACCACGATATCATACGCAATCATCAACCAGAAAACGCCGGCACAATCACAATCCATGCAAATATCAACGGTTACGATTCGACATTTACTAGTTCATGTTTTCTCGAAGAATTCCGCGTTGAACAACACAATCTGTGTCACAGCAAAGTAGTGTTTAATGATTTCTTGGTGGATTCAGAGCTATTTAACGAAGACGATATCGAATCTGCGTTTTTTGAGCTAATTCTCTATATTTCTCGAGTAACTTATCCCGCAACAGGTAACTATTCTCCGGGGGATGATTTGCTAGTGTCCTTGCTTCTTTTCCCTGACGATGATCCGATTGAAGAAGAGGATGAGATTGAAGAAGAGGTTTCGATTGAAGAACAGGATCAGATTGATGAAGCTGTTCGAGTTTCGTTGGAGGAGACCACGAATATCAGTTTGATGAGACCCGCAAGCAAGCTCGTCGTCAACTCTTTAGCCAGGAAAACCACTAGTTCTACGGGTGAAAGGTGCACAATTTGTTTGGAAGAGTTTAATGATGGAAGAAGAGTTGTGACTTTACCTTGCGGACATGAATTTGACGATGAGTGTGTCCTAACGTGGTTTGAGACTAATCACGATTGTCCATTGTGTCGTTTCAAGTTGCCATGTGGAGATCAATGAACTAGTTTGGTGTTGTCGCCGAAGTCATTTTCCGATTTGTACCAGTGTATTTTCCGATGTAACCTCGTTCGTAACGCTCTTTTGGGCTTTTTTTGTCAACAACTTTAAATTAAATGATCGGGTCAAACCTTGTTCGTAACGCCTTTTTAGGTTGATTAATATAATTAATTAAATTTAAGAAAAATGAACTAGTTTAGCAACAAAATCAGTACCAGACTATAGATTGGATTTAGGGTCAATTCTTCTAAATTTCGGGTCAAATGAGCTAGTAACGCATTTTGGATTGTTTTCTATAATATATATAAATTCCTTTTCTCTCTTACATTTTGGACAAACAGATTCTTTTCCCGTTTTGTACCCATGTATATGCCGATGTAACCTCGTTCGTAACGCTCTTTTGATTTTTTTTTTTTGTGAACAACCCAAAAGATGGGTCAAATGAGTTAGTAACGCCCTTTTGGGTTGGTTAATATAAATTTTTTTTAATTAGCTAGTTTGGCAACAAAGTCGGTACTAATCAGAAGTCCCATAATGCTGTAGGCAGAGCCGTTCGTCTTAGTCACGACTATAGTAAGTAAGACTGTCCATCGTTGGTATGACATAAGTAAGAATCGTTAGGTAGGAGATCATAGTGTTGCAGGGAGTGTTGCACGTCGTGGAGTTGTTCGTGGAATCGTTCATCACAATTGCATGAGTTGCATATAGTTAGATATGATAGAGTGATCATTATGAGTTCCTTTTTTTTATCTTAAAATTCAATCCTTTTGTTTTGTGACAAAAGAGTTTTGAAAAGCTACAATTAAGAAGAGGAAGAAAGAAACATTATATTGGTCTCTAACACTTGGCCAACATCTATAAAAACATTAACATATTGGTAATTATATTTGTCATTCTTGTAAAACATAATATATGGTTCCTAGACAACATCTCTTATACACAAAATGCCTAAAACTCCCCTCAGTATATGACACAAGCTCATACATACAAAAACATGTAAACACTCTCTCTCTCTACATATATATATATTTATCTTGGACATTGTAGCAATGGCTCAAACTTGTCCTTGGTCAGACATAAGTCCAGTCATCATACATACATGAGCCATGTCTTGAGTTAGTTCGGTTGCTGCAATCACCAAAGATACAGAGACATATTTAGTTTGGTGGATCATCTAGCTAGATAGTTCCAATGGAGGTGTGAAACACAAACCTGGTTGTAAGAAGTCTGACCAAACATTGAATCTGGAACCCAATTTTGATGATGGTGATGATGATGATCATTGACAAACATGGACTGATCATGAGGAATCTGAAAGCAGCCACCATTATTATTAGCCATGGGATCATACATTGAAGGATCTTGTTGTTGTTGCTGTTGCAAGTTGTTCAATTCCATTTCAGATTTTATCTTTTTCTCTTGATCTTCTTCCATCCCCAAAGTAGTACCAAATGGGGTAGGATATGAATATTCTTCTCCAAGTTGTTGTAAACCCAAACAACCGTTTCCTTGTTGTTCTAAGTGCTCAAACTGTTGTCCCGGGTTGCTGCATATCTGATCTTCTGGTTTTGTAGACTCAAAGAAGCAGCTTGAGTAAACGGGAATCGAACCATCCATCTCTCTGTTTGAAACCAGTACTTGAGTGAGCATTTTTTTGATGAAAAAGTTTTTAAAACTGTGACTTAGACTCTTACCTATGAGGAAGAAAACTGGAATCACCAGGTAAGATTGTTTGCTGGTTATCATTATCTGGAAGCCAAGACATCGAGTGAGCTTCTTGCATACTACTATTACCTCCCATCGCCATAGGCAACTGTATCCCGCTGTGAAACTGCAGTAAAAGGCTTTGGCCTGGTTAAGAATATGTCCTGAGGAGAGACAGAGAGAAAGAGAGCGGAAAGGAGACAAAATGGTTATAACCTGTGTTGTTGTACATTCTATTGGCAAAAGTTGGTTCTTGCTGTAATGTTCCTGCAAAATGAATGAAACATCTTTTGTAAACAAATTTCATATGGGTTCAGGAAACTGAAATGAATCCTGAATCTTAGATCTATATGATCGTATGATAAGGCACCTTGTGAATCTGGATTCTTTCAATAGATTTCCTCAATGATTCTTCCAATAAATTGAGGTGCTCAGTGTTTTCTATTCTATCGATGTTCGTCCAACAACTGAAAACAGCCACCAGAAGAAAAAGACTCAAATATGATTGAAAGTATATTTCAAGAAGCAAAAACTTTATAACTCAAGATACTACCAATTTTCACACCTCAGCCTCCTATGACACTCCATTAGCTGAGCTTGGTAAATCGCTACTTGGTTACTTAGACCCTGCCGTGTGGTCATGTTAACACAGACTTTAGAAATTTGACTCAAAGAGATTAAAAAGTATCCAAGAAAGTTCAAGAACTGAAGATGGTTGATCCATACCTCAATAGTTTGATTCCTGCAGGATAAAGAAGACAACATCTCAGATATGCGAGAGGCTTACAATGACAAAATATGGTTATTAATTGTAAGAACTCATGGCAAGTACCTTGCTCCTAAAAAGTCATGTATATTTACATCATGATCCAGTTTTTTAAAAGTTTTCTTCAATGCCTGCAATTGAGCAAAACAATCAGTACAAATTTGTGTTTCAAACAAAACAAAACGTTGATGATATAGAAAGGAAGAAACTCAGTGAGTTTTTATGTCTTTACTTCAAGGCTCTCCAGTTTCCTGTAATATTAAAAGAAAGAGACTTCAATTTAGTTTCATAACACAAAATTACATCAAAGGATTGATAGTAATCCAAACTTTAACATAATGCTTACCATACCTTTTTGTCCTTTCTTGTGGAGTTAATTGCGCAAACTTGGAAATAACCTCTTCAATGCAACTACACAAAAGCCAAGTTAAGACTCAAATCAGTATATTGCCAGAAACTTGAATACAGAACCTCAATCTATCATCCCTCTGAAAGATTCAGGAAGCCAACTCACTCTATAGTACTTAAATATAGGAAAACAACGAAGAACAATATCTGCGAATTGATAACTGAATTGATAATCTCTCCCAAGCTCCCAACTAAACCAACTTTCAAAATACTCCTAATCTGTGATCTTCTCAATACTCTCACCATTCCAGCTAAAACCTATAAGACTTTTTCTTCTTTTTGGGACAGAAGAGCAATGAGAAGATTACACAATGCATCAAACAATGGAGATATGATGCATTGAAACAGAAAACTAAAGGTGATAAAAGGAGCAACAAAAGTTGAGAATGATTTTGATAATTTATACCTGTGTTCTCCATGGAAAGCAGTAGCCCTTCCGGTAGGAGAAAACATAAGAAGGACAATATCAATATCACACAAAATAGATAACTCTTTGGCTTTCTTCAATATCCCATTTTTTCTCTTCGTGTATGTAACTTGCCTGTTGCTTGTGCTCTCAAGTCTTTTAATCTTCAACTTAACCCTACCCATCCTGTTCAAAAACAAAACACCATCAAAATCCCATGAAGAAGATTGGAAATTTCAAAGGATAAACCTTTTTCTTCGAATACTCACTTCAATCACCTGACGAAATTTCACTTATGGCAATGGATTGGTTTTAAAAGAAGAAGAAGAAGAAGAGCAGAAAAAATCCAATCTTTGAAGATGGGGGACGTCTAAATTCGGACACAGAGTCTCTCTCTAGACAACAAAATTCACTGTAACGGAAGATTTTTTTTAAAAAAGGGTCTTTCGCAGCAGAAACAGAGAAAAAAATGGGTCTTCGCGTCGAAACAAGAGAAGAATTCATGAAAATGAGCACAGAGGAGGCGAAGTCACAAAGAAGAGAAAGATCATGGAGGAAGGAAGAAAGAAAGAAAAAGGCACCAAAAAGATTTGTCCCGAAGAAGAAGAAGAAGAAGAAAAAGTTTGAATAAGAGAAAAAGGGGAAAGATTAATGGTGGAACAGAGAGAAAGCTCACAGAAGCAGACGAAGGGACAACCTTTGATTTCGCTGGGAAACTTAAGACGTCGACCAACGGAATTGTGTGCTCTGTGTTAGAGAGAGACAAGGTTAACCAAACCGGTTTTGCTTAATCAATTGCATTAAAAACCGATCCGACAAACCCAAACCTGTTTAGGCTTAATTGATTTAACTTGTGTATTAGTTGGGCCAAAGTAGAAAGCCCATTATTACCTTTGACTTGTCTCTGCCCTAATTAGCTCCGCCTCTCTTTCTTCAATTCGTCTATTTAACACTTTCTCGATCAACCCTAGAATTGACCAATGTTTATGTTTTGAGATTCGAGGGTTCTTAAAGATTCTATCTTTTTGCAAGTTTCTTGGTTGTTGTTTATGTGAAATTTTGGTTTTGTGTGATTTTGATGCCTGTGATGGTGTTAAATATACTTTGAGAGATGCGTCTCTAGGAAAAAAAATCAACTCTGAGGCATTTTTTTGCTTCTCTTTACACATCTGATTTCTCTTGTTTTACTCTGGACTCTGAGCTTATTAATGATTTGGTTATCGTAGCTCTTCTAGTTTCTGCTTTGATTTGGTTGTCTGATTAATGCAAGTGATGATGAAAAGACAGGGACATCAGAGTCTCCTAGTTAGGAGATGAGAATGATGACTAATGTCTAGATGGGAATCTCTCTGATGCACATGTCTATATTAACTATTATCAACTTTGATCTAGTGATGTTCAGTTTTTATTTGGTTGTTGTTTTGTTTTGTTTTAATACTCTTTTGGTGTCTTTTGATGAGTCATGAGTGCAAGTGACGATGAAAAGACAGGGACATCAGAAATTAGAATGATGACTAATGTCTAAATGGGAATCTCTCTGATGCACATAACTCAGAATTCTTTGCTCATTCTACCAATAGTGATTAACAGTTTTTCTTGTGTCATTGGTTTTGCCAATGATGTGCCTTAACAATTGCACGTATTATCAGATTTTCAGTGATGAATATCACTTATTTCTGAGGCAAACCTTGATTAACTGTTTAGTAAATTGTCTACAATTGGTTATTATTATATACCTTCAATGTTTGTTCTGTTCTAATCCTTAATCATAGATTTGATTCGGATACATTTAAAGCTCTATTTGCAGGAAGATCACTTGCAAGAAATGAAGTAGGACGTTACCAACATGAAGCTGGACTCAAGAAAACAGAAGATTTTGAAGATTAGGTGAGAAAGTTTATTGTGTTGTAAATTTTTTTATGTGCTTCATTTGAATTGTAAAACATGCCCAATAGTTGAATCTCTTCTCTCAATAAAGATTCTTTTGTTTCATGAATGTAATCTTTCATATTCAATGAAGTATTTGTTACTGCTCATCGAAAAAGTTTTAACTTCAATCTATCAACAAACTAAGCAAGTAGCTACACAAAGAACATAATCACTATAAGCATCACAAAGAGTTAAGAAGATGACACTTCTACATTCTTTGAGTTTCTTTTTTACAAGTGATCAAAAAGGATATATAGAGAAAAACAAAAACAAAACAAAAAATCCAAATATGATCATATTCGGACAAACATGTGCAAGATCAAAGAGAATCAAGACTCTCGGTTCGGCTTCTCACAATCCGATGGAAAACTTCTCTAACTTTCCTCTCAAATGGATCCAAACCATTTTTCAAAGCTTCACGAACCTGAACAAGCTCATCAACTCTCTGTTTCACCTCAATTTCCTTCTGATCATTCAACGGGAAATGAATCGAATCGATCAATTCATTCATCAACCTCGAAGTCTTCTCAATCATATCAATCTCCTTAAGCAAACCACAACAATTCTTCCTATCTCGTCTCTTAGATTCCTCAACAATCTTATCGTGCAACGACATAACCGGAGCTGCCCATTGGAAATGCCTAGGGACAAAGAAGTTAACTTGCAATCCACGGTCTTGACAAGGAATCGCAGCTACCAAAACCCACATCACAAAAAGCATAACCGAAGTCATTGTGTAAACCGGTACAGCTAAACCATTGCTCGCAACGACATCGTTTGGTCGAGGCGTTGCTAAGTTATTAGCCAAAGCTTGTAATTGCTTAGAAGCTGACCACGATCTTGAAACACTCCAAGAAAGAGATCTGAAATGACCAATCGAACGGTGGTGACTCTCTTTGACTCTTCCGAATGAACGGTTCCGATGAGCTAGATTGGTTCCAGAAGGATGATCTTTCTCGTCGAGCATTCCGATAGCTAAATCAATCAGAGCTTTCTTAGCTCGCCGGAGCTGTCCTTCTCCGATCGGACGGTGACTATCTAAAGCAGAGATAACGATGTCGGCAAGTTTCTCCCATTGACGGATCTGTTCGATTCCGTCGCGGATTGCGTTACAGACATCGAGAGCTTTGATACTCCGTTCGAAGTAATCTGAAATCAAACGGTCCATCGGAGACTTTGAGATCTGAGATCGGTGGTTGAATACAATAGCTCGAAACTCTTCTTGACAACAGAGGAAAGAATCAAGAAGCTTCCCGATCCATTCGAGAGAGAGAAGGTCGTTTGAAGAGGCGTTGAGATCGATGAATTTCTCGGCGACTTGTCTTTGAAACGAATCTAGCTCAACCTCCATGTTGCTTGGCTCGTGGTGGTTGTGATGGCTACTACTTCCGGCGACGACTGTTGTTGAGTCAACTTGGTCTCGCCGTAAACTAAGCAACGACCTTCCAAATGATCCTTGAAAATCCGTAGCTGGCATCCTCAAAACAGATGCAAAATCGAAACTCAGTTTCTCGAGAAATCAGATTTGTGTTTCTGTAGAAAATTCTCAGACTTGGAAAAAAGAACGACTTTTTTTGTTGGATTAAGAGAGAGTGATGATGATTGATGAAAGCTAGAAGAAGAAGAGATGTGTTTATAAAGCGAGAATTTTGACCGCGTATTTTAATATCTGCTTTAGAAACATTCAATATTAGATCATTTCTTTCTTTTATTTTCATTAATAATAAAGCTTTAAAAATGTGACGAAATAAAAGCTATAATTTGATTTGTTGTGTGTTCTCATTCCTTTTTATTTTCTCTTTTTGTTACTCGGTACAGTACACGCAGTGGACACGTCTAGTGGTAATAAAAAAAAGTACACAGATCTGTCTGAAATTGTGAAGTGTAAAAAAAATCTCAGTTGAGGAAGTTCTTTAGTCACGGGGCTGTGATATATGAAGTCGAGAATGAGACATTAATGAGTGCCACGTGGAGATAATGGGAGCTGTGACGGAGACTAAGTCAATGCAATGCACATGTGGATAAAAAGACAGCTAAGTCTTCGTTGGCGTGTAATGAAGAGAGAGATTGGTAAGTAAAGGGACTCGGTCCTGGTTGATTCTTTCTCGTCGTTCTAGAATGCTCAAGGACAAAAGATTAAAAATGTTTTGTCTTGATATAATCGTATGGTAGTTAAAAAAAATTGTATAGAAATGTGTAATGGTGTTTTTTGGTAAACGAAAATGTGAAATGTTTATTATTATGCAACTTTATAATGAATATATAGTTATAATGGAATATAGTAAAATGTGTCATTAACAACAAGTCATCAATCATGTTTGGGCCAGAATTAAAATTGTACAACTATAAGTATTAATTGACACACGACAGAATACACTACATGCAGATCTTTTTTTTTGTTTAAATAAAAATGTTACATCATATCTCCTGTCATGTGTTTCTAACACACACACACAAAAAAAGAAATATCTGAAAATTAAACTTAAATTTGAAAAGAAAACAAAACAATAAACCACACGTGTGATTTACAAGCTCGAAGAGGCTTTGAAACATGGAAGCACGAAGGTTACTGACAAAGACATGACAAACTCTCCTTCTTCACTTCTCCTAACTTATTTTTTATTTCTTAAAGATTGATTAGTTTTGTTTTTTGTCAAGTAAAATCGTGCAGAAGCGTATTTCCCGCTAATTGTTCCTCATCAGAATCACTTTCCGGTGTATACGACCAATTATTTATCCCCAATTGAATTATTTATATTTAAATAATCACTCTGACCCAACTTGCGACCGAAGAAAAGCAAATTAAGATTGTTTACCAAACATAATTATTTATATATTTTTTTAAAATCAGATTTCGTCAACATTTTAAAATACTCGAAACAAAAAAAAAATCTGATGGAGACAATTGCTCCTAACATGATCGTTCAATGATCCAGAACACAACACAACAAAGAAACAGATAACATATACTATAAATATGGAACAGAGTATATAATGTTGTATGAGTATGACTGATATAAGAACAAATATATGTGTTGTAAGTTGGTTTACGATTTACAAGTTAGTTTTCTACTTAGTAACAGCTTCTTCAAGCTCTCTTAAGCCACCAACTTTCTGTTCAATTTCTTCAATAAGTTCTTCACGCCATAGCTCTGCTCTTGCTTTCTCTTCTATGTCTTCTTGCTGCATCATATAAGCCAAAACACAATAACAAAACTACCCAATCTTATGATAGTTGTACATTACTACATTGTGAATCTGTGATAAACCAAAGGTCTATGGCCCGACCAAGCCCAACCCGGCCCAATCTTACTAAGCATGATTGATCTATCCGTATAGGATCAATTCTACATTGTTAGTTTGTTACCTATCATATACCAGATCTGTTAAGCTTTGTATTAAAATTCTCATTCAAAAAAGTAACAATATTCATAAATATATCAGTAACATTCAAACATATATACACTTGTAAAGTTGATAAAAGCTTGTAGAATCATTTTCTAAAAATATAGTAAACGTAAATGCAACTGCAAATGCAAATATGCAAACATAAAGGTTGTAATTTCTTTTTAGATGACCAAGGTTGTGGATTCATTTAAAGCAAATATACCAACGGGAAACGTTAACCTAAAGCCACCTATGTTGCTTTGTTTAGGGAGGTTTATCGTATGCTGGCCATAGAGGCATTAGGCATATGTACGGGTCAAACTGGTACACATGGCTTACTAACTACTAAGACAACGGTGGGTTAGTTCATTGCAGATTCCCTAGGTATAATATGTATGTATATCTAAGTGTTTTTTTTCTTCTTCTAATGGTATACAAAAGATAGAGAGATGCATACAGTTTCATAGACCCAATAACCAGTTCCATCCCCTCCATCTCCACGGTACTCCTCCGAGTCATAGAATGGATCCTATATTTATCCAATATCACAAAGTATTAAGATCCCAATGCAGCAAATGGATCAAAAGATTCAATTTGAGTTATTTACATACTTTTGCGGAACCGAAGTACAAACATCCCCAACAAGTGAACATGATGTAGAACATATCTGCCAGATCAAGATCAATATCAAACCATCAAAAAACAAGTCAAAGAAAAAAAGATTATTTATTTGGCCAAAAAAAAAAATATTATTTATGAAATCTCTCAAGAAACCCCAAATTTTTGACTTACAGACATTCTTGATAGCTTTATCACTTAGATGCCACACGTGTTTCTCTGTAATGATATCACGCATTCCTTCTATTTGTTGAACCATCACTGCCATTAATGGCAAATCATGTGGCAATGCCTTTCTTACACATAAGCTTCCTCTCATCAATTTCTTTTCCCTCTTCTCATTAACTTTCATCTAATTTTCAAATTCTAAAACGTAAATTATATTCACAAGAATAAGGAGAATTTTCTAATTTTAGTCTTAGTTAGAGAAAATTACTTACAGATAGCCAATATCCATGATTTGGTCCTGAAATCTGCTTAGGCAACACAAGACACAATTCTTAAGTATATTTTTCTAATGAAATAATTTGTTAGTATATGAAATAATATATACCGAATAACTGGAAGAAGAAGGGATATGAAGGTTTGTGAAGGTGGAACTTGTGAAAGCTTCAGCCATTGTTACTTCTTGATGGTGTCAATGGAGGAGAGAAAAGACAATGTTGTTGTTATCTTTTTTTATTATTCATTTATTTTAACTTACATTTTTTGAGGCAGAAAATGTGTGGATAAGGGAATTGGTATCGTCCACTCTTCACTCTTGTGATAAACAAAAGAAAAATAACAGCATCAATGCGTATGTTAGCAATCACATAAACTCTTTTTAGTTTTAAAAGCGTAATTTAGCAATGACAAAACACATATTAGCTCTTCTAAAAAAACGCAGACTAGCAGCAAATAACAACAATTTGCCTTTAAGAGTGGTAAGTTATTTGCAGCAAATTCAACAACAAACTTTCCTATTTTTACCCGTTTCAACAACCTTTCCATTCGTGCAGGTTAGCAATCAGTAAACACGTTCACTCTTCTAGACGTGCAAGTTAGTAACCATCACCAAAGTTGCTAAGAAATATTTGTTCGGTCAATTCAAACTTTCCGCTTACGTCTTGCTCCCAAATATTGTACATTAATTATTCGTCTGAATAGCGCATGTTAGCAGCTATTGCCAAAGTTTTAAATAATATTTTCCATCTAATTCAACTCTCTATTCGCGCATGTTAGCAATCACAATAACACGTCTACTCTTCTTATCGAGTAATTTGTCAAAGGTGGAAAGAAATCTCCGGTGAAGTCAACTCCTATCGCTTTAATGCGCATGTTAGCTAATAAAAAGCGCATGTTAGCATCTTTTCCCGGAAATTGCTAATCAAACTTTCCACTTTCGTCTTCTTCCCGTGTATGTCTTAAATCTCCCCTGTTTGGTAACTATTTTCCAATTTCCACTAATCTTCTCCTCAAAAATATCTCTTTCCCCTTCCTCATAGAAATTATTTTTCAATCACCATGAGTCGCATGATGGGATTGTTCGATCTCGAGAAACACTTCGCCTTCTACGGTGCTTATCACAGCAATCCGATCAACATTCTAATCCACATCATCTTCGTTTGGCCTATCGTCTTCTCAGCTTTGCTTCTCCTCCACTCATCGACCCCAATTTTCGATCCTTCTCAATTAGGGTTTTCTCAATCGTTGACCCTCGACGGCGTTCTACGATTTAACGTTGGGTTTATATTTACCTTGATTTATGCTCTGTTCTACATTGGTTTGGATAAGAAATCTGGATTTGTAGCTGCTCTTATGTGTTTCTCTTGCTGGGTCGGTTCCAGTTTTCTTGCTGAGCGATTAGGATCTTCTCTTGCCTTTAAGGTCAGCTTTTTCTCTATTCAATTTTGGGTTTTTGAAAAGAAAAAAAATCATCTTTTTGGAGGAAATAATTGCCAAGGAGCATGTTTATGAGAGTATGTGCATCCATGTGTTAGTCTCTGTGTATATTTATATGAAGTGAGTGTGGTTCATGCATTTATTGTTCATTGTTTTCTATGCTTTGACTTGAAAGACCCTTCATATCATTGGTTATGGTTCAGGGAAGAAGAAATAGATTTATTTATATCATTAGTCCTCTCTATCTCTGTCTCTGGGTCCCTTCATTAGCTAAACGTTGAGACATCAGTACTAATATCCTGTCTCTGGCTTTGAACATTCATGATTAGTTATTGCAGAAATTGTCCACCTTTGCACGATTCTGATACCTTGGTCCTAAGACTTGTCATGTTCGTAGTGTTGTTGACTTCTTAGTGAAGAGGATTTGATGTGTGCTTAGACATATGTGTTGTTCTTGACAACCAACATTTGTGATGGTCTCAGATAATTAGAATCTACATCCACTTGTTTAAATAAAGTTCTGGTTTTTCTTGCAAAGTATTTGAGACATCTGTAACTTAAGAGCTATGTATGTATCTTCTGTGGTCTGAATCATTTGATTAGTTTGTTATATCTATTCAAGAGAAAGGGAGAAACAGTAAATACTTGTCGAATCCCTTAGTTGAAATCCCTTTGTTATGTAGAGATACTGTAACAATTTAACGGTCTCTTCTCAGGTTGGGTTAGCATCTCAGCTCTTATGTTGGACCGGGCAGTTCGTTGGCCATGGAGTGTTCGAGGTAAGTTCTTTTGGCTTATAGAAATCATTGTTTTGGTTCTCCTTTGTGTCTTGTCATCCGTATTCATGAGGCCTAAAACAGATGTTATTGATTCTTGTCTACTCACAGAAACGAGCACCTGCGCTATTAGACAATTTACTCCAAGCTTTTCTCATGGCTCCTTTCTTCGTGTTGCTCGAGGTAAAAGATGTTGATGTTATGTTATGTTGTGATTTGTTTGTTATCTCCTGCTACCTTCTTACTGCTGCTATGTGGAAACCGTAACCAGAAAACTTGAAAAGTTAATGTAGAATTGTGTGAATGAATACAGGTTCTTCAGTCAGTTTTCGGGTATGAACCATATCCCGGTTTTCAAGCGCGTGTGAATGCCAAGGTAGAAAGTGACATCAAGGAATATAGGGCAAAGAAGCAGAAGAAGAATAAGATCACATAAGTTTGGATTATATAACTGAAGAACTTGAACCCATTGTCGTGTTTCTATAACCGAAATGATAATAAGACCACCATGGATTGGTGTATTGGTGTATTTGTGTGTAAACTATGTTTCAATATATAATGAAAATTGCAATATGTTTGGGTCACTCAATGATCACAGGTCAATTGTTGTTCCGTTCGACTTGTTTTAGTCCGTTCTGGCTTAATCGTCTGATCTTATTGTTTCGCATAGCTATTGTGATGTAAACCATTGGGATCCTTAGATTTCAACTGTTTAAATTGGTAAGTGTTGAAGTACAAATATTATGTTTCTACGACTCTTAACTACGTGATTAAATATTGTATAATCCATTTTAGTTCAACATGTTTGTGTTTAAGAAACAGATTTTATACAAAATCAATTTTTTTTAAAAGAAAGCATATCAATGTTAATAGATAAACAAAACTCTATGTGGATGCAGCCTGGAGTGCAACTACGCGGGTGTGTGGTCTATGTGGCTCTGGCAATAAGGAGTGCTCTGTTTTCCCTGAACATGTCATGGACCTGGTTCTGGACAACACCAAGCGCTTGAAGATGTTCTGGGATTCTCAAATCCTCATCTCCTCCCTCAAATCAAAAGCAAGCTTTAAGGAGCTCAAATCTATCCTCCATGATATCACTTGTTTGAGTGAATCTTTTTCTTCAATCGCTTTCAATTTCGTCCCTCGTTTGGACAATGTTGTAGTGGATTCTATCGCAAAGGCTGCCCTTCTTGCACCTAACTCTCCCTCCTTTATTGGAGTATAACATTTCATCTTTCTAATTCAATTTCAGTTTGATAAAAAAAAAAAAACTAAATATATATAATACTTCAAATTTAAAAGCAACTCATTATACACGTGTACGGGCAGCAAATGTCCCTTGTATGAGAGATAAATTTCTAGTTGCAGGAAACCAAACTCAAATATCTCAGGGAGGATTTGATTACTTTTCTTCGAATGTAGTTCGATCACTAGAACATAAAACATACTCTAGGTAAGTATATCACTTCTGTACGTAATTAGTGGCAATGTCACTTATGTATATCCTTGATCATAGGAGTTCGACTCCAATTCCCTCACAAATGTTTGACAAAAAAAAAGTTTAGTATACCTTGTTCCATTTTATATGATTTTTAAAAGATTTTTCGTTTTTTTGTGCAAAATCTAATTTAATTTGATGTTTATGACTATTTGTACTATGTAAATGGCTTTTTATCATTAGCTGAATTTTTAACTAATTATGGCCAAAAATAAAAATATATAATTGTTATAGATAAACATCTTCTAGATGGAAACGGAGGTGGCCAGGTGGGGGGGAATACAACTTTTTTTTTTTTTTGCCTTAAATCAAATACTTTATTCATCTTTACAACAGATGAGATATAATAGATATGAAGTGTGGCAGTTGATCTCAACAGTGGTGGATCAAATAAGTAGAAAGATAGATAATGAAACTTTGGTGAAGAAGATATTGTTGATTGAATCTTGTTAGTTTAGTATTGGATGTACTTAAACCAAGTTGAGAGATATGATTCAGCAACTTTTTTTATTGTTGATACTCTAATCAATTTATTAATAGTAGTAATCAATCTTGAAAAAATCCTTAGAATAATAATGCAGCGTTGAAGAAAAAAAAGAACAATAATGAAATGTTGAAAGAAAAGGAATAATAATGAAGTGATGGCGCATAACTATCACGTGACTAAATGTGTATCAAATCGTAAAGAAGCGCGTTTTCCATGTGTCCATAACGATGCCATCTTAAATGTTGGTCTTATTGTCTTAAGTCTTAACGACATTGTTTTAAGTTTTAACATTCTACTTGGCCACGATGTCACAAAACTCACAGCAATGTGGATATTTCTCGATCTATACCGCATTTGTTTTCTTTGTCAAATATCGATAAGAAAAGCTAGAATGTGTATGGATCGTTACATTCGCATTGAAACGTTTTTCTTTTGTTTTCTTTCTCAAATATCGATAAGAATAGCAATAATGTGTATGGGTCTTTGTTCAAAAAAAAAAAATGTATGGGTAATAACTAATATAGGTGCTACTGCCACGTGCTTGAACATCGGAATCTAATGCTTATCGATTTTCGTCTTTTGAATGTGAAACTTATAATTAAAGCATAATTTCTTAGGAATTTGTTTTTCGTGTTTTTTTTTTTGTGTGTCTCATCAAGCCAATGTAACTCGACGAATTATTAATGCATATGGTTCTACCAGTAATCCTACATTACTTATATAGTTATATTAACTTTGTATTCCCTTGGTTTTATTTCACAAATCACTATTACAAACAATGTTATACAGTTCATAACAAATAATACAAAAGGATATTATCAATATAATTTGAAAAAACAAAAACAAAACCATCGACTTCGTACATTGAATAGATAACGTTGCATGATAAAATCCAAAGCAGCGTGGACCAGAAAAAAAAAGTACTGCAATTATCACAATAGTTTTGTCTTCTTCTCTTTTTCTGCTTATTTTCCTAAGTGTATATAAGTATATATTAAAAATATAAAAAGCATGAGAAAGAATTGCCAGTATACATAAATACATTATAGTATATATACTTTTATTGTCAACAGACAACAGATGATTTTCTTCACGATGATCACCAAATTTAATTTATGAACTTTCCTATCATTTTCCTCTGCAACCATTTATATGTTAGTCTAAGACTTGGCTTTAAAGAAATCATTTTTTTGGTCATAGTGGCGGATCTAGAATCAATTTCTAATGGGGTCAATATGTTATACGAAGAGAAAATGAAGAATTTAAACATATTTTAATGGGGTCAATATAAGGAATTTTAAGCATATTCTCTAATTTAATCTTAATTTTCAATAGCAAATCAGTTAAAATTAAGAAGTTGTTGGGGTCAAGTGACCCCACTATCAATAATGTAGCTCCGCCACTGAGTACACTATATTGATTCATCAAAGGAAATATTAATATGTTCATTAAGTAGGTAAGTATGAAAACTCCAAATGATAGTATTTATAGTCTATAGACTCCATCGTACGACATCGTTTCCAACTCCATAACACCAATCTCCTCCATGAAACGCCTAATTTTCTCGTCGTCCCACATCAGAATATCATCTTCTTGATAATCACTAGCTAGAATCTTCTCATCATCCTTCTTCAACTCTTCTACTTCCAGGTCGTCTTGACCATGGATGCTTGTGATTCTCGGATCCGACAAGATGTTCTTGATCACGTTGTCGACACAGTGTTGTCTAGATGAGATAGCAGTGGCGATCTTGTTAAGGAGATGGGCTGAGCCGGAGGACGAGGAGAAGGAGGAAGAAGATGGACTCGCCCTCGCGGAAGAAGAGCTGCTGCATTCTGTGTTAAACAACGGAGTTTTGACGGCGAGGTTATTGATGATAGGCTGGTGGGTCATTGGGTCAACTCCGTTTCTCTCGAGTCTTTTCTTGAGACAAGAGTTCCAATGGTTCTTGATGTCATTGTCTGATCGATTGGGCATCTGCTGTGCTATGGCTGCCCACCTGCAATTTTCAATAAACAGCAAATTTTTTAGTACAACATAAATTATCTTTAACATAAAAGTCGTAGAATAATTGATTGTATCAATTCCGACCCAAAAAAATCTAATGTATCAATCAATTTTTATTCAATTTATAGAATTTAGATTTTATAACTTAAAACTTTATATACAGAATATATAGCAATCTACCACAAAATTAAAGTTTTTAAAAGTGTTATTTTCAGTTTGACTAATACCTCAATTGTATTATCCTTTCATAATATCTCTTTTAGCAGTATGAAAATGAATTCATAAGTAATAACATTGTTTGTCCAAAAAAAAAAAAAAAAAAGTAATAACATTGTCTTTTACATTTATTTCTTACAAATGGTGCCAGTTTGCTAAAATTTGACTAACATAAGCAGTTTCCGAAAACCCTTTTCCAGAAAAAAAAAGAAGAAGAATATAAGCAGTTTCCTCAAAAACTGTTGATCATCTACTACTAATCTAATCGTATACTCATGACATACATATGGATTTTGACTAATAGGTATTTTTTAATTGAGTAATTAACCTGTTCCCGAGAACAGAATGTAAATTGATGATAGCTTGTTCTTCTTGAGGAGTGAATTTGCCTTTCTTAATCCCAGGCCTTAGATAATTAAGCCACCTTAATCTGCAGCTCTTTCCACATCTCCGCAAACCTTTTTTCACCATAAATGTAAGATTAAAAATGTGAAAAAAATAACAGTAAATTTATACCATAAATGTAAATTTTGTGCTTTTGTTGGACTGTATAACTAGTGGCAAACACAAGGGTAGTAAACAAAGGACTGTATAATTTATGTACTTAACTATTGACAAAAGAAAAAATGAAAACAAAAATTGGGAAGATTTTAACTTTTCGAAATTTACGTGACTCAAAAGTTTGAGGATCATATGACTTTTTAATATATGTATATAGTATATTTGTAGTTAGTAATGAATAAATAATATATAGATGTGAAAAAAGCACATGGAACTTGGAACACATGCATCCTTCGTTTAGTTAAAACTGGAGCTTATATACATACCAGCTCTGCCAGGGAGGAAACGCCAGTCACCGACGCCGTATTCGTCGATATAAGCGACGAGTTTCTGGTCTTCCTCCTCCGTCCATTCTCCTCTCTTCGTTCCGTCGGCGTCGAACCACGTTGCTCTCCCCATAAAATCTCTCACCACACGTTAACTTTAAGATAGGAGAAGAGATGGGAAAAGTTTTAAGGATAGTAAATAGTTTATATGAAAAGATTAAGGGCTTTGATCAGATTCACACAAGCTTTGCCTTACTTAAAAATGGTCCTCTTCAATGAGTGAGAGTAAGAGGCTAGTGTATAAATAGCCCTCTCTTCTTTATTTGACTAAAGAAATAATGTTTATATAATTATTTCCTTTTTTTGGTTAATTACTAGATTTGAACCCCCTCATGCTATTTATAGATTTTTTTTGAAAAAACAATTTTAATATAAAGAATTACAAAAATTACTGAAATGAGTCGTATGCCAAGAGTAATTAATTATTTAACTTCATGTGTTGAATTGGCCTTAATTGCCGAGAGTTATATAGTTAAGGTTTGACCAGAGATGTATAAGTTAAAGAGTTATAATTCTTAATAGTTCATGTACTGAATTTTTTTTCACATCATTTCCAGCTTTGAAATGTCAAATAGTAGTTTTCTTCCTCTTTGCTTCTGTTCTAATATATAAAAAAAAAGTTTAAAGTCAAGGAAAAGATATATATTTCAACTAATTATACAAAAAATGGTAAAATTCTGCATTTTTTATTTAAAATATTTAGTTCTACGAAAATAAATTATTTTTTATTGTTTGGTTTACACTAAAAATCGTTTTCATAGTTTCTCTATACATGGCCCATGTAGTAATTACTACTCTCTTCACACGTGCTTATATTACTTCTTCCATAAAAGCCAAATTCTTGAAAGAATATGATTCGTCCCATTTTTCGGAAAATAAGTGTATGTCCCTTTCCTTTGCTGCGTATAATAATAAATCTACGATGATTTCATTTATTTGTTTTTAATCATTTTTATTATGTGAATATGGAGAGAAGCAGTAGTACATGGACGCGTGAAGATAAAACGCCACTAGAAATTTAATTTTCTCAAGTGGAATGTTTTGGTGTGGTCGAGATAATGAGATCGTATATAACCACGGCAAATGTGCTTAAACGTGTCTGGTACTCTCATTATTTGCATACGAACATTCAGTATGCGCGATTTGTAATCTACAGTTTCATTACGCTTTTTATTATATATTAAGTTCAAAATAAAAAAATAGTTTAATGTAGATTTTATGGACGATTTGGAATTATCGAGGTTTTACAAATGGTGTATTCGTATTAGCATATTAATCTTTGTGAAACATAAGAAACATATTATAATAGTTAATCTACTTATTAAGAATTGATTTCGAACTAGAAATGCATGCATATTTCACACAATATCAGAAAGATTATAAAAAATAATCGAATTACAAGAATCACATAGTAGTATAGCAAAATAAAATATGACGAATATAACGATACAAATGGAATTCTGTCTAAAACTCAAGGATACATGTTAAAAATCAAAAGTTATACTCCCTCCGTTTCATAATATAAGGCGTTTTGGAAAAAGTTTTTTGTCTTACAATATAAGTCGTTTTCGAGTTTCGATGCAAATTATATACTTAATATCTTATAATTATTTATATTATGCAGTATCTTTTGTGATTGGTTGAACTTTTTAAAAGTAGATCTTCTTAATTGGCGTGTTTTTACCTAAAACGACTTATATTATGAAACGGAGGGAGTATTAATAACATGCACTTTTTTACAAATCATCAATTAGTTTTGAGTTGGAAACATATGTTTACATATAAAACTATCCATAATATCGTTGGGCATATTTAAATTTTTTGCCTGAATATATACATATATATTTTATATGTGGTTCACACTGAATCATTGATGAAAGGAATTTTTTTTTGAAAAAAACATGATGATAAAGTCGATGTTGTTGTGAGCCTATAGAGACCTTAATGGCTTAATTTCTTACTTTTTTTTTTTATCATCATCTTGATTTCATTGACTAGTTGAGAAGAGATGTCACATGTGGAGCAGCATGATGGGTCAGAAATGTAGACAATTCAATTTTCTGAATCAAAGTGTCAATTTTGTTCTTTACCAAATATCAGTTCTCTATTTTTAGAAATATAAAAAACATTTTATCCCAAACATGAAGAATAGTAGAGGGGGTCAATTTTGTTTTAGTGGACCTTCAATTTTCTCTGTGTTTGGTAATTTTTTTTGTCATCTCCTATTTTTTTTACGAAAAAGGAAACACAAAGATGACAATAAATTGGACATCAAAAAGGAAAAACAATTGAGATGAACATATAAACTGAATAAACATAAAATTGAAAGTCATTGATTGATACCAAAAGTTTTTGTTATACCCATCAAAAACTAAATTTCATGAATTGAATCATGTTAATATTTATAATTGTGTGGCTTAAACATAGTTATGGTTGGATTAAACATAGTTACGGTTTTGATTGTAGAACAAAATTGTACCAATTAATTTATAGTTAACTTCATTTCGGCTTGGATTCAGATTCATTTTAGAAATTCGGTTCTGGCTAAATACCCAAGTTTCGCAACATCAAGTTTCGGCTAAAGTGGGCTTTAAGAGTCCAACCTAAACACAGGCACATGACATGTGAAAATATCCATGACCAAAACCAAGTTATTTCATTGGTTTAGGATCTTTAGGCTAGACGAGAGCTTACCAACACCAGAAGAGCTGATAGCTGCCAGCAATAATTCCGACTTATCGGGAGATAGAAGCCGAAAAAAATTCCGGTGGGCAAAATTATTCTTCGGCTTTTTTTTTTTATCACAAATTTTAGAGAAAAAAAAAGAAAAAAAGTTGCTTACTTAGTTTCTTATTATTATTATTTTAACCAAATTCTCATTTGAATTTTTTTTTTTGTCATCAGAGTGAAATATAATATAGTGATATGAGGTAATATCAACTTTTTGTCAAATATTCATGTTCGAGAAGAAAAAAAAACACAGAAATGCAAATAAGTCAGAATGATAGGCAATAAGCTTCACACGTGTCTCTTTTTGATCAAAAAAAAAAAAAAAGCTTCACACGTGTCCCCAATGACGACATCACTGTCTATTTTTTCCACTTCCAATCACATGCAGCATTAAAGAGTCTTGACTCTTTGTAATGACTACGTTGATAAATCCAAAAAGTAACAGACTTTTTTGTTTACGATTTTTTTTTTCCGTTTACCTAGTCTCCTTTTTTTTTTTTTTTTTGGCTCATATCTCTTTTTGGCAAGATCAAATCTTTTACTTACAGCAAATAGTTGTTTCAATAGATCATAAATATTTAAATATTCCAAAAGCATTTAAATGTTTATACGTATATCTTCTGCAAGCGTGATCTTGCATTAAAGATATGATATATAGTTTTCCATCATTTATAAAATATTATAGACTTATTTTTACATCAAATATTTAATCAATTTCAATAAAAATCTTTCCCTGGATTTCATTTAAATTTATTTTTACAATTGTATGTCCTAACTGAAAAACCATAAGTTAAACGACTCTCTCTCTCTCTTTTTTCCTTGGATAAAATATGCTACATACACGACTTGCTCTTTAGGTTTAGGGAACCATTTTCTCTTGGTCAAAGTGGTCCACGTTAATGTTCATTGTTACAACATTAAAAGTTGAAACATAGCTTAGCATATTCTAACAACACATGCATGCACTCACACTATATGTCTATATTGAGTCAGAAGAGATGATCAAGTGTGTGAGTACTCTCGTACATGACAGCGTCGTACGAAGTCATCTCGTACTCCATTGCGTCAATCTCCATTAAACGCCTAACTTCCTCCACGTCCCATATCTGAATATCATCTCCTGCACTACCGTCAATCTTCTGATCCACCATTGAATCTTTTTCTTCTCCTTCTTCGTTTTCTTCTTCCTCTTTTTCTTGATCACTGCTTTCGATTATTGCATTCGACAAGATGTACTTGATCCGATCGAGACTGTGTTGTCTAGATGAGATACCTTGGGCGAGCTTGTTGAGGAGTCGAGCCGAGCCGGAGGAAGGAGGGCTTTCCGTCGATGGGGACGTCGTGGTGGAAGAGCTACTACAATCTGCGTTAGTGGTCTTGATAGTGAGGTGTTTGATGATGGGCTCGTGGGTCATCGGGTCGATTCCCTTTCTCGAAAGTCTTTTCTTGAGACAAGAGTTCCAATGGTTCTTGATATCATTGTCTGTTCGATTATGCATCTGTTTCGCTATGGCTGCCCACCTGCAATTTTTCAAGAATACCAACCACAAGATTTAGAATGCTCTTTATCAAAAACAAAAATTAGGATGTCTTTAAAAAAAAAAAAACGGAAGATCCCAAATAAAAGTCAAATTAATCACTTACAATAGAAATTAACGTTAGAGTGGTTAATCATTACTGAAGTATATATGTGGACTCTACCAAGTATATAATGTTACATATAACTTGATATATAATTAACCTTTTTGATATTCCCTTTTTGGTGTAAAAAAATAAAATTAACCTGTTTCCGAGAGCAGCATGAAGTTTGATGATATCTTCTTCTTCCTGAGGAGTGAATTTGCCTCTTCTAATCCCAGGCCTTAGATAGTTAAGCCACCTTAATCTGCAGCTCTTTCCACATCTCTGCAAACCTGTTTTTCATGATAAATTATTCGAAATGCCAATTTTTATGGTAAAAAGAAAAAGAGTTTTATTGTGCTTTCGTAGTGGCAAACAAAAGTAGCTGCCAAGAATTAAACTTTTTTTTATTAACAGTGGAGAAATGGAAAGCAAGGAAGTTGTAAATCTTTTAACTTTTCGAGATTGGGTCTTTTGTAAAAAGGATTTTTTCCAACCAGTCAACCACTAAGTATGTATATGGACAAAGCACAGGGAACACCTGTCGCTCTTGGGCACCGTCAATAGATAGCAATCATTTTTTATAGTATCATATGGATAGAATTGGTATGAGTTGCTACTAAATAGATTCGGGGACGAATAAAATAATCAACTACAAAATTTATATCAATCATGTACTAAAAACCATTATAAAATATGGGTGTATGTGTACGTACTTTCAATTTTCATTCTTATTTTGGTTGCAAAAATTATTAAAGAAAAACAAAGTCATCAGTGTTTTGAATCCAAAGAACATGGATTCTACTATTCACTTCAGCATGTAGATGAGAATCTTTACATATGTAGCAAATTTCCAATCCCGAAAATTTCGGTGTGTAATATACCCACTTATGACTGAACTCATCATAGTCCCTAATAATACAAATGAGAACTTTCAGCAAAAAATAGGGAAAAAGTACAAACAAAGTATCTGCTATATTTTCTAACCATTTTAAAACATTTCAAATACATATATACGAACCAAAAACAATGTTAAACATTCTATAATAAGTACACATGTGTTTTTTTCTAAAGGCTAACTGATTTATACATGTTCTTAATCCAACTATGTTGATACAAATATATATACATGCGGTAACTTATTTTCATAGGCAGCAATTAGAATTTATCTACACTTTCTATAAACTCCTTGTTCCAAGAAGTAGTTTATTTAAGAAAACAGAGAAGAAGAAAATATGTTGTAACACTGTTTTGCAAAAACAAAACATATAGATGCATGCACTTCTCTATATGTTTATGAATATAAATACATACATATATCCTTACATATAAATGCACTTCTCTATATGTTTATGAATATAAATATAAATATAAATATCGAAGTATTTTGCTACATATATATACGCAATAAATATGAGCAACTAGAATTTATCTAGACTTCTATAATTAAATCCCTTGTTCCGAAAAAAATATCTAATGAAAAAGCGAAGAAGAAGACACAATTTTACCATGAACACAAACTATAAATGACATGTTTATATTATACCAGCTCTTTTGGGGAGGGAACGCCAATCACAGATGCCATGCTCGTTGATGTAAGCGACGAGCTTCTGGTCTTCCTCCGCCGTCCACTCTCCTTTCTTCATCCCGTCGTCGTCGAACCACGTCGTCCTCCCCATTTTTTCTCCGGCCAACCAATCGATATCGTTATCAGGAAAAAAAACCAATCTAATACTGCCACGTTCACCACCTCACGACAAGACAATATTTTTAAATACGTTAAATTATTTATTTGAAAGTGAGTGCCACGTTCACCTCTCTCTCTCTAAACGTTTTACTTTTAAGTAGAATGGTCTCGAGAGAATGAGTATATGGGATGTGTTATTCTAATTAGGGCTATACAATTATTTATAGCCCCTCCTGTTTTGGTTTTATTATATTTCCACCATTGGATTCTACTTCGAATTCCTCGCCGTTAGATTTCGAAAAGTTGATTATCAAATATCAAGCACATATATATTTTTTTCTAAAACCATAAAAAGTACCCAAACCTTGCCAATGTGTTAGGCAATATCTTTGTTTATATTATTTTTTTTAGTCATCCAAATATCAAAATCTAATAAGAAGATAAATAAAAAGAGAAAAATAAAATAAGAAAATTCAATGGCGACTATATAATTTTTTTGTACGTAAGCATGAAAGTTTTGATAAATTTGTGCCTGATAAAAAATCATAATTATCAATATATACATTAACTTTTATAGAACATTTATTAACAAAATTATTAATCAAAATTATATATATAATTCGTAAGTCACTTTAAAGTGACTAATAAAATAAAATACTGTTAGTCGGATAAATTCTTTAATATTATATTTAATGAAATATTCGTAGACCGTCTAGAAACAAAAGTGGTTAACTAAAGTAAGATGATCTTGTTATAATAAATGGTAAAATGATACTACCATTTATTCTATACCCACACATGTGAATACAGAATACTGAATAGTATTAGTACGTTGTACGTATTCTTCTTGGCTATAGTAACAAAAATATGATAGTATTACTTAATAGTTAATACTTAATAGGAACTATAGTGAGGACACTAAATAAACTATTGGAACGGTTAATTAGTAGAAGAATATGTGCTAAAGCACTGCAGATTGCAGATGATACAATTTCACTAAGTCAAGTAAATAAATCCAAGAAACAGTAAATAATCGACCAATGTTGACATGTATCTTTTTTTTTTTTCTCACATATTTGTGAACTTTTTGAATGTTATGGAATAGTTAAAGTTAGAAGTATAATTAATATAGAAAGAAGGAGGATGGTCCGTTGACTGCAAAAGACCTGTCTTTCTTGGTCGAATTCCGTCTGTGTGAAATCTTTTTGCTCTCTCATCCTTTTCATTTTTCCTCATTCACACTCATGCGCCTACTCAGAGCTAGCTGTGGTGTGCAAAACTTATCACTGATGTGGGAGACCCTCTTCTTTAGTGAATTCTCTAGTCCACATATCATTTCATGATAGACATTTTCATGTTACGAGAAATAATTCCCAACAATCATTCACTTTTTCTTGTTTTTTTTTTCCTATAACATAATTATCTTTTTTTTCAGTTTATACAAATATATGTTTCTTGTAAGTTGTAATTGTACTTTTTGTTTTGTATATGTATTTTTTTTTCTTTTTTTTTCGTTATCTATCTTTTTCGGACAAAGATTATCCCTTCTGAAAGCAGTTTTATTTTTTGTTTTAAGTAGTTGTTACAATAGCTACAAACATATCAAGACAAAGGTAATAGAGGTCTCATCTCTCTTCACAAATTAAAAAACTATATTTAATTTTTGGACCACATGAAAATATAACAGGATTTGGTTTAATTTGTTAGTAAATAGTTTGTCCCAGACAAATCAAATAGACAATCAAATATAGTGATTATGGTTTTGATTAGTTACATAAAATAGAAGTGGTAAGGATTGTAAGGCCTTTTATGTAACCAATCATAGGAATTATACAAAAGTGTGCTTTAACAAAATAAAAGCATTGCATTTGTTTAAAAGAAAAAGAGTAGTACAAATGTAAAACTACTAAAATTGGGTTGTACAAAGTGAAGTGGCTGTACAAGGTGGTGAGGTGATGGTAGATTTTTTAATTATTTTACTTGATTAATATTGTTTGTGACATGTGCTCAGCAAAAGTAGTACAAGCCAACATGTCATTTTTAACGGCTTAAACGCGTCATCAAATAATTGCTTCTCTCCGTGTATGATATATTCACATGATCAAAATGATTCAAAAAGAAAGAATGACATGACACTTTTATTATCAGCAGCGAAGGAACATAAACAAACATAATTGTAAAGTGTGAAAACTTCATCTCAAATATTCTAAAATGTAAAAGGAAAGAAAAGTATGTTTAAAGTATACGACTTTTATCGAATTTAAGCACGTGTCGATAATAAGCATGGTTACACCAAAAAAGCAGATTTGTGGTTTTATACATTAATGCGTGCAGACAACAGTGAGAACTGAGAACAATGATTAACGCGACTCAACAATATCAAGTGTGAAACCAAAACAAATTGTAAATAATTTAAGCTTCTTGCATATCCTTTAATTTATTTTCTACCATTACAAATAAAGTTTTATCTGTTTCCATCTAATATATAGATATTTTTCTAATATCCATAATCCAATTTTTATTACGAAGGATAATACTGCAGCTAACTGGAATATTGACAAAAAAAATGTTTTGAAAGTATCATATATGAGTTCTATGTATACATTATAAACAGAAGTCACATGAAGGGTTTGTAGAAGTCCCAAAACATTTGTGATATGATTCTGTCTGAATCTAGTAAATCTGTGGTTGAAATTGAAAAACAAAAACTAAATGAAAGGTGAAAAAAGAAACAAGATAAGGTTGATGTTGTTGTGAGTGTTTCTTGGTGTGGTATGGTTGTCCCATGCATGTGGAGCAACATGATAGGCCTGAAATATAGAGATTTTAAATTCAAAAGTCATTTCTTACTTTAATAGATATCTCTGTTTTTTTTTTCCGAATTCGTCCGAAAAATCCCGGACAAACAGAGATGTGCAACCAATTTTGAATTTTCTAACACACGTAAAAAATATTGAAAGTACAAAATAACTTTATTCTGTAAAGATGTGGAGATTGAGAAATCCATATTTGAAAAGGATGTTTCAACTTTGTTCACTTTTTTTTTTTATAAATATATTTAGGGTATCATGATGTGTATACCATAATGTTTTTATATCCCATTCAATTTATACTAGAAATTACATATACAATGAAAAATATTTTATAAACTCGTAATGTCAAAGTCGTTTTGAATACCAAATAAGTCTCCATACAGGCCCCTATATGTCTCCTGTTCTCCGTTATATAAATCGTGAAATCATATATTCCATGTAACATTTTAAAATAAACTTTGTGTTCGTGTGTTATTAGGATCCCGTGTTATTAAGATATCAGAATGCGTTGGGCAGGGTCATATACTCATCATATACATATATTAAAAATAAATAAATCATATACCACATGTAATCACATACGATCACGTGACTAACGTGGAGTGGGATTCATAAAGACGCGCGTTTTACATGTGGTGGATCCCTACGATGTCGTTTTATCCATCCCACACGTATACAGATTTTTTTCCATACAATCAATTACAAAGTCCTTCAATGTTTTTTTTTTATAAAATGATTAGCTATTAAATTGTTAAAAAATAAACTAAATACAAATGCTCACTTAGGTCAGCTAGACGTGAGTTCTTTTTTTTTTTTTCAAATTACAAAAAATATAGTAAAATGAATATCAAAAGATAGAAGATTAAATTATAGTTAGATGTTAAAAAAAAAAACACAATGATGGATACAAACAGAAAACAATTTGTTTTTGTGTAGTAAAAGAGAGACTGAGAGAGTTAACTTCTATGCAACAAAGGAGAGACTAATAAAAGTAGTATGGACCAATGGATACTCATTTATTGCTATTCTAAAGCAATATTCTCTTTAACTAATTGCAAATGTCTTTTTCTTCTTCTTGTTCTCAACGTTGCTTCACTCCTTTCTGACAAAGATAATCACTTCTCACAAGCTATTGTTTTGATCTTGTACAATGGCTACAAAACTACTGGAAAAAGGTGTTACGATTCAACCAATATTTTATCTCTTCAATAAAAGAAATGTAATTACTGTTGGACCACCGACCACGTTAAATAGATAAATCCATATTACATATATACGTGGTTGTGACAGCAGAAAACAGATATGACAACCACACTGCAACCCCTTTTGGTAGAATGTTTGGATCTTGAGAGATAAAGGTCGAGGACCAAGTAACTATAATAGAACCAACCATACATATATAGTAGTTTAGTTATTAGTTGAAGATTCATCATGTTGGCTGATCGATGACCATCCTATGCATGCAGTTCTAAATGTTCCAATGTTAAAATTTGTAAGCGGCGAAAATTATGAATTTAAACATATGTGGAGATTAGTTTGAGTTTTAGCTCAGAATTTACATGGTTAACAAAAAAGTAGTAACACTATACTAATGCAGAAATAATTAAATCGTATACTTATTAAAGTAGATCAAGTGAATGCATTTCAAATATACTATTTTTAGTTGTGTTCTCTGAAATACAAAAAAAAAATCAGAAAAACATTCGAAAATGCCACAATAAGTGTTTATTTTGGGGTTTTACAGTTTTTGCGTTCTATATCTGTTAAAGCGTTGTGTATCAGTTGTAATAATGAATTTAAACTTTTTAGAACATGTTTTTTTGGAAGAGTTACTATGCATATAGTATGAACAACAAAGTCATTGACAGTTCACTTATTTCTTAGAAATTCTTACAAAAAATATTATTGTTGTCTTTTTTAGTTTCCCACTTGTTTAGTTGAAGATTTGATTGCTACGTTAATCATCGCTCACGTGCTTAAATTACTTGTTCGTTAAATTTAACGTGCTTTAAAAATAAAAAAGTCTCATTTTAGGATAATGATAGTTTTAATACGACGTTCACACAAATGGACGCGTAGAGATAAGCCGCATTATGATATTAGGTCCGTTCGTTTTCTTGTCAATGTTAACGAAGAATATACTGTAATGAAAATATACATATATATATATATGTGTGTATATATATTTTTAAATAGTTTTACTTTATTTGCATATATTTGTGAAGATTTACTTTATTTGTACATATCGTATACTAAAGAAAACACAACGAAGAACATAACCACAACAAATGAAAGAAAAAAAGAAGAAGCTATAATTACATCAACTGAAAATAAGTATCCTGAGAATCGCCATCAACTAATGGTCTGAATCTTTTTCCTTTTTACTCTGTGGTTGAAGTGAACTGAACCACGAGATAAGGTTGGTGTTGTCGTGAGCCTCATGGTCATGGAGACCTTTCATGGACCGCACTAGAGAGGTTATTGTCCCATATGGAGCAGCACGGTTGGTCAGGAATATAGACAGTTCAATATCTTGATTAAAAAAAAATCAACTTTTTTTAGTTTTAGTTACCAAATACTATTATTTAGAAGAAAATTTCCAAAAATGTTGACAGCAAACAAAGATGGGCAATAAAGTTGCCAAATAAGGTTAAAGAAATTAAGGCCCACCCAAAAGTTTTGTCATTTTTCAAGAAATAGAGCAGTTCATCTCTAAATATATCCGATTTACACCGGAAAAAACGGTCTATTTCCCCCCGAGAAGTATCGCATCATAACGATAGAGCCCAATCTTTGACCCCGATCCCAATGTCTCTGAAATGGAAGTTCTATTCCTATTTCCCCCCGAATCGAAAGTTCAACACCTAAATGTCCCCGAATCGAAAGTTCGAGAGCTAATACCACACAGAGTTTGGTTTAATCGGTTTACTGTATTCAAAAACGATTACCGAACCAACTAAACCTTATTATAACCCGATTAAACCAGAGTTCTGCCCAATTACGACCCGATTTATCCTTTAAAACCGAAATCCCCATCAATGCTCCAACAATCTCGATCCTTTGGTTTCTCCGCCTTGACTCCTCCTCCTCCGTCGTCGTTCTCGTCGTTACATGTGCAATCACGGTGGATGATTGTGCAATTGGAGTAATCAGGAGTCGAAAACGGAATCGATTGGAGATTAGTGGTTGATGAGAACATCCTCGGCGATCGATGTGAGAACTTGCGGCGAGGCCGATGATGATTCCGGCCATGAATATTAGCAAAAACGACAGCGTTTGAGCCAGCTTTAGTAACCCTATGTGTTTTTCTCCTTCCTCTTTCCCTCCTCTCGCCATTGTTTGAGAAACTCAAACTTGTCTGCCTAACAACACAACAAAGTGATCCCTGTTCCCCAAAAATAAAGTTTAAGGGAAACATTCTTATGATTCAAAAAGAATCTGATTGTTTCAAGAAATAATCCATTTCATTCAATCTCCTCGAGAAATTTTCTAAATTTGTAACATAGAATCAAATCCACAATTTTTGGAAAAGAAAACAAAAAAGGTAACTGGAAAAATGGGAATTAGATCTCTGGAAATCTTCGTAGAAAGTGAGAAAGGACGACTGAAACAGATCAGAAACTGAATTTGATGCAGAGAGGAAGAAGAAGAAGAAGAAACATAAACAAATCTGGTCTTTTGTTTCTTCTAGTTGAAATCTGTGTGTGGTTGATTTTGATCTTTATATAATATATAAAAGAACAAGAATTAATTGGAGTTTATGCTTAATTTAATTAGATTAATTGAGTTTTAAAACTCCACGTCGAAAAACATTGAGGATTCGTTCATCTTTTCCCTTAATCACAATTCCCTTAATCACAATTCGTTCATCTTTTAAAACTCCACGTCGAAACACAGAGAAGAGTTACATCTTTTCCTTTAATCACAATTCGTTCACAGAGAAGAGTTACTCCTAAATATTGAGGATTTCAAAATTTAGGGTTCTAAGTTTGGGGATTTTGGGTTTTGAAAACGATTCTGGGAAATTTGTATTCGAGACTGGGTCGGGTTTCAGGATATAATCGGATATTTAATCGGTTTGGTTTTGGGATTACATGGTTTGGTCTCGGGTTTACAACTAAAACCGACGATACCCAGATTCGGGGACATTTAGGTGTTGAACTTTCGATTCGGGGGGAAGTAGGAATAGAAATTCTATTTCAGAGACATTGAGACCGGGGTCAAAGATTGGGCTCTATCTGTTATGATGCGATACTTCTCGGGGGGAAATAGACCGTTTTTCCATTTACACCTATATGATATGTCTTATGTAAATTCCCTACTTTTGGTCTGGGTTTCTGAAAAATTATTTTCTGATTGTTTTAGTCAAATTAGAAATTATTCTCAAACATTTCACACATTTTTTTTTTGATTCGGTATGTTTCTATATAGTTCTGGTTTCTATAATTAAATAATATAAAAGTATAATAAAAAATATTTTACTTTCTGTCCCGATATAAAAAGTAAGGAGATTGGCTTTGTGTTTGCTATTGGTTATATTATTTTTAAAAGTGTTCAAAATGATAAAAGTAAATTACTAAATATAGTAACATAAATTTCAAACCTACGACTTTCACCAAGAAAACAAAAAAATAAAAACACAGTAGTAAATAATATTAATGTCAAAACAAAAAAGTCAGAAGAATCCTAAGGTATATTAGTCAGAATCGGAACCTGAAGACAGAATTTGGACAGCATCTTTAGGTTCGTTATCAGTGATCGAAGCAGGAACCTCTTTTTCCTTAGCATTCTTTCTTCGTTGTTCTCTCTTTCTCTCTTTCTTCTTCTTCTCCTCCACCTGTAAAACAATCATCAATCTTTCTTAATTAGGGTTTATGCCGAAACTGAGTTATTATATGAATCATTTCATTGTTACGTTATCGTCTGGTTGATTTGGTGATGGCTGATTTGTCTGAGCAGGTTGTGGTGTTGATGATCGGCTTCTCATCCACCAAACATTGCCTGCAGATAACAAAGCTCCTAGAAGCAATGTAGGTCCCATTCTTGGATCAGCTAGGTAGTCTTTGATTCTGTTCCATATGCTCAACAATTTCTGAGTTGCTTTTACGCTTTTTGGGACTCCTGATCTCATCGGTTCAGCGCTTTCAGGAACAAGTTCTGGAGTTTTAGCTCTCTGCATATTAAAGCGAAAGATCAAATGAGATATGCGATAAGGAACATGTAAATAATGAATAAAACGGAGGTGATTACATAGAAAGGTAGGTTTCTGTTGTCACCATCATCAACCATTTTCGATAGCCACTTGATGATCTACAAAACAGTTAACAAGCAATGTAACAAAGTTAATACCAGGAAATAGAATGCAGATTTGTTAATCATAGGTGTTTGTTGAATACTGTACCTCGGGAGTTTCAGCTGGTCCGTCGTAACTAACAACAAGTTGTGCAGCGGGATCAACATCATCAGCTTCAGATTGCCATACAGTTTTGGGCCATTTACTTGATTTCTGCTCTACATTAGCAGTTTCTGTAGCATTTCTATGGTACCGAACTATCAATATCCTAGGCACATCAATTGGTGCCCTCCTAGTCCCACACGTGTCATAGCTGGTTTCCGATTGAACATAGAAGAAACAGTATTTCTGGATGACAAATCCAGAGGGAGTCAGGATGGTAGTAAGTAACAGATCTCAAGATCTAGACGTGAGATCTTAAAACATACTAATGGATTCAGGAATCAGAACAGAATCAAATGAGATAAGGTTAATGTAAATAATAGGGTTCTGGCCAGTATACTTACATTCTGCGCTTCTCCGTCGAGCCACGCAAATGAAAGTCGCTTGGTTTTGTGTGCAGAAGCTGCTGGAGTTATTGATGGATCCTTGGATGCCTCATCTGATTCTTCATACTTTGACAAAGCATCTTGTACCCTGCACATGGTCTACAAACTTGTAAGATTAGACAAAACTCTAATCAGGAAGGAGACGAGAACTTCAGATAATTGAAAAAAGATTTTACTCACTTCCCTCATCTTATTGAGTTCCACGCTTTGTCTTCCAACAAGGATGGCACAGTACCACGTCGCTTTATCATAACCAGCTCGAGAGTATCCCCGTGCATCACAACCAAGTTCCATTGATGTTGTGCTTCTTAGTTGAGGAAGCTCTTTTAAGAAAAATGATCATAAACCAATTAAAACGATTCATCAACCAGACTAAAAACTCAGACTCAGTGGAAAAAGAAAAGCACATGCAGAAACCAAATATACTGAACATATAATTAGTGGAAGCATAGGGATTACGTAATTGCTTGTTCTGCTCCAAAATGTCCAGGAACCATGTACGGTTGCCAGATCCTGCAAAAAGGAATTTATTATCCAATCAGTTTCCTAATCATGCATTATCAGTAATTTAAAACACTCAGTTCAAGATGGTGAAAGACCATGATAAACAACAGGTTTTGAACCCGGATCCTTCATAATCACAATGGCAGGTGCAGACTCTACCTCCAACCTGTTACAAGAGAAGAAATACGAGATGAGCCAATATCTAACTACGAGAATCAAAGGGATACCACCAAACCACATTTATTGACAAGAAATCTTTCCCATAAGCAATAGACACTAATGCAGATAAACAGACTTAGAAGTGCAGTGACATACGCATTCCACCAGAAAGATGCATCCTCTTCTCTCCAAAGCACGTGAGATAGAGAAGCAAAATTCCAATAATCTTTTGCAGCTTGGCGAACAATAGGAGTAGCTCGCTCTCCTGTTTGTGAGAATAAAATGACTTTCACCTATTGAGCAAGGGGAAGATAAGAAAAAAAGACAAAAAAAGGGTTTAGGTAGTAGATGTAATGCGGAAAACTATTACATGTCTGATTAGTATTTCATTAATTTCATAGGATGAAAGAACGTTTGATAAAGGATAAATTCTAAAGAGAAATAGAAAAAAGCTAAACAAACCTTATTAGGTGGAACTTTGGAGAGGAACTTGGGTACCTGTATGCAAAAATATATTTCTAATTATTTCCAAAAAAAAAAAAATCTAGTTACCTGAAAAAAAAGGAAACAGTCGAAATATCCAACAAATGCCAACATATCACCACTTAACAAGAGTCCAGAAAATTTTGCAACACACAGCAGCTAAACAAATGAAATTGAAGAAAACATGTAAGCAAAACGGTCTCACTCTTATAGACCATGACACGGAAGAATTCAAAATGATTCAGGTACTAAAAGGCCTGCAGCTTTGCAGTAAACCAGATCAGAGTTTCCCAATAAAAAAGTTCCTAACATGGTTAAACCTAGATCCCTCTCTCCAAAAACAGTGTCTTTGCTGTTTCTGGACGGTTATGAAAATCAAGTACTGAAAGGTCTGACTGGACGGACACTTCTCGAGGCAGTATGGAAGATAAAACTACCGATAAGGTAGGACATTTCAGTCAGATATGGTTCCTCTAAAACTTATGTCATCTGTGAATTTTTTTTCTAAATTCATCATTAAGATGGCTTTCAAGAATGCATACCAGTGTTTCTTTTGTGTGATAGAATACTCTAGGTAAACCCAGTACAGTGGTCGCGAACCAATCGGTAATTGCATCTGCTGACAGCTCTCCTTCAAACCTAACAAGTACATATATTTGAATTATTATTCTGGAAAATAAGGAAAATGAAGCAAGAAACTCATCTAAATGACTACTCCAAGAAAATTTTCACAACCCAATAAAGAGTGCAGAATTTTATGCCTTTTCCGCTAAACTAAAGGGTTCAGTCAGTGAGCTACCTGATGAGGCAGTCTGCGGTTTTGCAATTCGGGGGGAAAGAGAAGATTGAAGGAAGGCCTGCATAATAGGATGTTATAACAGGAGAAAAAATCCATACATTTTACCCCAAGGTATAGACAATCATGACACATTTCTGAAATATAAACCATAGCCATAATCGAACAAGTGTGAATGTATACACGAATTTGTATTCTAAATGTTCAAGAGTTCAAATCTACTGGATGTAATATACTTCCTAAGTACAAACACACAATTCTAGAACCATTATGTTTAAGCAGACCCTCACTGCTTTTTTTTCCAATGGATCCTCTCAACTTACTTCAGTCTACTTTTTATTGACTTTTGCGTTTATTCTTCTCAGTTTTCGTGTAGGTTCTTGGCAGGATGAGGAAAGTGATAACTTACCTTTTCTAAAAAATACTTGTCCTGTTGGTTTTTTCTCAGCAAGGTAGGTCACAAGTTGAACATCGCCAAGCTCTAACATCGCATGGTTAGCAACCCCATCCAACAAAGCAACTGCAATTATAAAATAAAGTTAAGCATAGCAAGATAATTGGTAAAATGATTCCATCCACAGCAAACATGCTATACTATTATTAGCTATTAAATTAGTGTTCCCTCCTACAATCTGTTAAAACATATCTATTGACATCAAGTTAAAAAAAAAAAAAAAAGTTGCGATCATATTGTTACACTTGCTTTTAAAATGATAGACACCATATTTATTTCCTGAAAACTAACTCTGACTATTCCAGATACTTGAGTTTCTCCTTGCTATATGCACTGTTCTAGCTGTTCAATTTATAATTCAATTGTCTCATACTGGCAAGACTTTTGCACTTTAAACATACTACCGAAAGCGAAATCATACCAATCCTTCTCCAAGCCGTAGTGAAATGGGCAGAGCTTTTGCTACCAGACGAATACACCTACAGGTATTTAGACGTTAATTAAGATGTAGCATTGCATTATACCAATAAATTATAATTTTAGTACAGGCCAAAAGGAAAATCTTATATCGTTAATGTGAAGGACAACATGAATTCCCTCACTTTGTAGCATAAAGAGATTCCAAGAGAAATATGGTTTAACGCATGCCAACATTTTTTTTTAACAGAAAAAAATTCGCATCTTCAACATGTTAGATTGCTTGTATCTTTAGTATGAGAGTTTTTAACTTATAAAATCCAGTATAAGTTTTGCAGAAATGCGTCTCCACAAATTTACAAATATCTGTGTAAAAAATCTAGATAGAATTAATACCTGAATGAGCCATGGCTTAGAATCTTGGAACTTGGACACAAAGTCTTGAGACGTAATTGACATAAAACCTTCACGTTCAGGCTCTGAAACAGGTTTTACACACCAATAAGTTGGCATCGAAAAAAAATATAAAAAAAAAATACAAGAAATAGAATAGGAAATGTCAAAGAGATATATTGGTTAACTAACCATAAGAAACAACTTCCAGCAGGGGAAGTTTAATTTTTGCAAAATCTTCCAAAGCATATTGTTTTTCAAGTTCCTCTATAATATGCTGCAACCAATAAAAAAAGTATTAATTTTTGAAGTGGGAAAAAAAAAAGACCGAAGAAATCTTCCTTCCTTTTCAGTTTGCTGCAACAAAAAGAGTGAAGATACAGAACAAACAACTTACTACTGATTCATCAATGCCGTATAAGTCATAGTCCCTTTTCCATACTAGATTTGTTAACAGCTCATATGCGTATTGTATCTGCATAATATAAAGTAGCAGTGATGGAATTAGAAGAAACGTTACACACATAAAAAGGCTAACAGATTTAGCACTTATAAGAAATGGACCAACCTTAATAAAATCAGCTGGAAGAGAATCTCCTGAACCTGAATCCCTGTCACGATCGGTTGTTACAATGTGTCAGCAACAGAATTTCTACTTAGAACACCTAAAGTCTAGTTATCAAATTCAATTGGAATCACATTCCATTCCTTACATCCCCAAGCCTACATATACTATCATGTAGCAATTAGTTATAAAAAAAACAAGTGCATTGATTGTGGAGGCAGAATCATGGGAACTAAATCCAAATTCAAGGTTAAAACCAGAGAAACAAAAAACAATTATCCAGATCGAGAAAGTTACCACTTAGAAGCAATAGTTTCGTACGCATCTTTCACGTCATCCACCGAACTGTACATCTTCACACCCAAAACTAAGAAATCCAAATCAAACGAATCAATAACCGGAAGGTAATTGTAAGTACAGTACATAGTCGAGAGAGAGAAAGAGAGCTTAGAGAATTGTGTACCGTCGTAGTGGGAAGGAGGAAAGGAACGAGGAAGAAGGAAAAGCTGGAAGAACATAGCGAGGACGAAGAGAAAAATAGGAACCGTGTAGGCTTTGAGACCGGAGGGTATCGACGTCGGCGATGACGACGGAGTTTCCTTCGCCATCGGGAATTTGGGAAACTCCGATCAAAGAGTGTCGATGTGTTAAGTGTAATCTCCTTCGGATATTTTTCCGCGTTTTCTTAAATAAATAATAAAAAGGGATCGACTCCGTATATTAAGTAAGTAATTATATACTCTTTTATGGCTAAAATCGTATCTTGATCTCAGACCTCAGCATAATAAATCTCTCTTTTTCTAAAATTAAATATTTAATTATATAAGGTTTAGGGTTAATATAATTGTCAAAACCAATACAATATTAAAATAAATAAAAATATGATAGACTATCTATTTCCATGGTATAAAATTTAAATACATTATTAATACCTTTTTTCGTTTTTTTTGTGCAAACTTTGTTTTAATACCTTAATGGAACACAAATTGTGAAGATAAACAAAATAAAACTGCAGTATCAAATTTCTCCATATATTGACCAAAAATGACAGGAAACATCTATGGAATAAGAATTTGACAGCTAAAACTTCTCTTTAACAACAACAGACAAATGAAGCACAAGGTACAAGTGCAGCTATAGGCAAACAAATTGCATTATGTTTGTTAGTATTTTGTATATCTCCTATATGGCTATATGTTTCCCGTAATCTTTCCAAGCTGTGATTCCCTTCGCTCATTGATTTTCCTAGCTCTATGGTTTGGTTTCCACGCGCATTCTTCGAATATCAAACTTATCTACTGACTCCAAAGGAGAAACTGTCTCGTTTCTGATCCTCTTAATCTTGGGGCTCAACAATCCCCTGTGGCTAAACCCATACAGCTTAAGCACTTGATTATCTGCAAAATTAAAAGCCCTCTCCATGCTCTTGAAGCATCTATCCACTGCATAATCAGCATACCTGCCACACGGTTTGCACCCCACAAAATGTGTCACAAAGGGCCATCTCTCATCGCCCAATCCTGGATGATACTTCTCTATCATCTCTTCATACCTATCAACCAAACCCTCCCAAAACCCGTGCAAGTAGTATTGATTCTCCACATAAACCTTCTCTATCCATTTATCCTTCTGCGAAAGCAAGAGATATATCAACGCCGATTGATCATCGGCCTCAAATGCTGGCCTGCCTTTCAGATAAGCTGTCAGTATCTTCCCAGCTTCGTCACGGATCGTCCCTTTTGGTCCCATTGGGGCCCAAGCATCTAATAAATCTAATGACCACTGACAATTTCTCAACAGAAAGATACCCGTGTTCAATGCAATCCATGACTTTTGGTTGAACAGCAAGTCCGGATAACCGTGTATCACCAGATTATGATTTTCATACCGAGGCAACGGGATCTCAAACAGTATATCAGTGAACAAAGCATCACTATCCATCCACCAAATCCATTCTACCTCTGGATGAGACAGTATTAGTGTCCTAATCATAGGTAATTTCGTCCAATACCCTGAGAGTTCCTCATCTAAATGCGCCATGTTATACACAATCTCTATCCCGTGGAGTCTACAATAATCAATCTTGTTCTTCACGGATTTCAATAGATAATAGTCTCCTATTGGTTTATCGCAGGGTCCCGGGGAAGACCCAGTGAGAAGCAATATTCGAGCTTTGCCATTGACAATACTAGGAAACTCAGGGTTCTGATTCAGCCATACCTTGCGTTGACTATCCCAGTTGGTGATTCTGGGCCCTAGAGTGTACGTCGCATTGGAACTAACCTCAGCTTTAGGCGGCTCATCCAAGTACGTCGCATTGGGACTAACCTCAGCTTTAGGCGGCTCATCCAAGTACGTCGCATTGGGACTAATCTCAGCTTTAGGCGGCTCAGCCAAGTCCATCGTATTGGGACTAATATCAGCTTTAGGCGGCTCGGCCAAGTCCGTCGAATGCGAATCAGATGGGATCTCCGCGAGAATCGGAATGGTTTCCTTGATGAAACTCTGATTAACAGAGTCGGCGTTGGAGCTTCCAAAGTTCCCAATACTGATTGTGCCAAGTAGGATGAGAATGGTCACGAAGCCGCAGAGAATCATGATCTTGATGTTAAATAAGGTATTCTGGATCTGCCAACCGCGTAAAAAACCACGGATTCTCCATCCACCATTTGATACAGCCGTTGTCGACAGTCCTCCGCCACTTCCTGAGGATCTATACCCATCCTGAAACATTTCACTTGTTGCCTCCTCTGTCTCTAGATTTCACTCACAGGGAGAGACCTCCAGATGGCACTTGAATCCGGACACAGTCTAACTAATAACCATAATCAGTGAAGACTGTCTTTTTTTTTTCTCACAGAATGTGTAGATCCCACACTCTTTCCCTCTCTGAACTACACCGCTCTGAAATTTCAGATTTTTGGCAGGATCCTGATGGAAGACTAGAGATGATGGACTTGGACAATCTGAAGAGCCTCTTTTAAAAATCATTAAAGAATATTAAATTGGATAATGGAGAAACGTGGTCGTAATTAAATATGTTTGATGTCGGAGAAAATGCTCCGCTCGATCAAAGAGAAATATGTTTATATGCATGCCAACATTTACCATCTAATTAAATGGGAAAAAAAACATTTAGCATCTTCAACATATGAATATACATGCCAGTTTGCTTGGATAGTTTGCAAGAGAGGTTTCAAAAGCATGCTGGGTACCTCAACAAACTTAAGCAACCCTGAGCATACATATAAAACAAGAACCATCCATGTATACACAAATGTAAACAATCTACTTCTATTACACCTATACACAAATGCATAGTCTTACAACGTAAAATGCCATCAAACCGTCACGTTGAAAGCTCTAAAAAATATAATAAGAACTAACAACTTGGATCCAAAACAAATCATGTAAACGAATTCAGGAAATGGAATTGGAGATGGTAAAGAGCTCATTTAGTCAACTGACCATAAGAAACGACTTCCAGCAGGCGAATTTATATTTGCAAAATCTTCCACAACATTATCTTTTTCAAGGTCTTCTATAACATGCTGCAAACCTGGAACCATTAAACCAAGCAATTTGTTTTCATATAAACAGAAGAAATGTGCATTCTTTTTCAGTATGCTGCAGTAAAAGTACGAAAATAAGTAAAGATGCAGGACTAACAACTTTTACTGCTGTTTCATCATTGCCAAACGTCATATTCCCTTGTCTATATACGAGATTTCTTAACAGCTTAAAGGCATAGTGTATCTGCAAAACATTTAGTAGCACTGATGATATTAGCAGAAGGCTAACACACAACATAAAACAAACAGATTTAGCACACAAAAAGACAGACACACACTTAAGAGAATCTCCTGAACACGATAGAAATTGAGAGAATAGGTATAAAGGATGATGCTGAAGAAGAAGAAGAAGAAGAAGAAGAAGAAGAAGGACGAATGAATCCCTGTCATGGTCGTTTTTGAAAAACTTTGTTCAAGTTTGTCTGCAATGTACTTAGACCACCTTAAGTATGGTTCTAAAATTCAATTAGCCTAAATATATTAAGATCAATACAGCGCGGTGAGTTTGCCTAAAAACAAGGTCCAAAAGAAGTTTTTCCTCACTAATTTAGTAAATTGCAACACCTGTGAGAGGGAAGAAAAGCTAGAAGAAGCTTTCATGTTTGCAGTCTAGCAATCAAGTCCCATTTCAGTTCAAGACTACAAAGTAGCAACATGTTTCAACCTTTTACACATGAATTATGATCATAGAAGTTGTTTTCACTAAATAAGCATTCACGTTGTTCTGGTTTTAAATTTAAGAAACCAATTACATACTTAAGCCCGTGAGAAATCACCATGGAAGGCCAAAGCAAACAGCAACTCATAAGTCATAACTAAGAATTCAACACTCGTCACGAAACACAGTCACACACACAACAGAGATACTAATTTCATGACTATCTATCTATTGAGTATAAGTTAATCGAAGGTGGAATCATGGGATTAAAACGGAAAACAGAAAGAAATTCAAACGAAATGACAAACCCGAAGTCAAGCGTACAACAGTTTATACTCGGAGGTCATGGACGAAGACAACGGAGTTTCTTTCGCCGTCTTATTTAGCAATCTCCGATCAAAAGACAAGTACTAAAATGCAAAATTCCGGTGTACTTTTTCCAATCGAAAAAGAAGAATTTAACAGCGAGCCCAGAATTACCGGTTCGGTCTATGTTTACTTGAACCGAATTTAATTTACCTTCCCGGTTCAAAAACCCAAAATTGTAGAGAGAGGACGCGAGATCGATCGATGGGGTCATCTTTCTCCGCCTCCTTTACTAACTCCACCACCGCCGCCGCCGCCGTTCATCCTCCGTCTCCGCCTTCATCGCCATCACGCTCCAATGTAAAATCTAACGGAGAAGAGAGACCTCGTTTCTTCGATGGAAAGGCGAAGAATAAGTGCTGGGCTAATGCTGACATCGTACCTGGTCGACATCCCGAGAGGTGGCGTAAAGATGCCGCCGGTAACATCGTCTGCAAACGCTTCGGAAATTGCAACGGTTGTCTCTGTTTCGAGTATGATCACATTGTTCCTTACTCCAAAGGTTTGATTTTCTTCTCATCTCTTCTCACTGCTTCCCCCAAATTGACATTTTGAAAGTAGGGTCTTGATTGTTGTTTTTGTGTATATAGGTGGAGAGTCGATAGCTGAGAATTGTCAGATTCTTCAAACTAGAGTTAACAGATTCAAATCAGCTCAAGAAAATGTTGATGCCACCACTCTTAAGAGCTATTCTTGTGGTCTGCAATTTACGGGTATGTAACATATGATGATGATGATGATTCATAGATTTTTTCATTATTTGGTTTACTCAGTGTTCATCTGTTAAGTATTGTAGGTTTTAGTAGATTATGTTAATATCATCTAGAGACTAAGCTCATGAAGAGTATAGAGATAATCTTTTCTACAAGATCCCTTGATTGTGTTATGGCTTTTCATTCTTTTTGTATTCATTAAGTGTTGTGTTGAATAGCATGTTCGTTAGAAGTTATGCCATATCTCATACATGTGGTGGGAGCTGCTTTTGCTTTAGATATCTTCTTTCTATTTTCTCTGTTGGTTTGATCATATCAAGAATTGCTCTTGAGCCACTAGGAATCTTCTTTAAAAGCTAAAGCAATGCCATGAATTGTTTTTAGGTTTTGCTAGTTTACATTTTAGAAGGAGTGAAGCAAAGTGTTAAATGCTCTTGGGAAATGCATTTTCTTTCCAAAAAGACTCAAAAGAGTATAGATCTCTTGGCATGTTTTCTCCTCTTAACACAGTTACACTTATACACAAGTGGGACTCAAGTGTGTGTTGTGTGGCTATTCTCTGCATATTTGGTTTCACTTTCATTTCTTCTAATGTAAACATTGCAGACAAGGAGCTAGATATTATCGAGATGGCCGTTTATGGAGACGTGTTACGACCTGGAAAAGAATGTCGCTGCAAAACCGTAGCTGAGCTGCTTGGTCAGTCCAAGTCCAAAGATGGTAAAGCCCCATGTGAGTTACCATCATAGAAAGTAGTAATCAACCATGTCTTTGTAAAGCTTTGATTCAAATCTTATGCTCATATTTTGGCAGATCCATCACAATCTTTTACAATACATTGGAAACCATTGTTTGTGTGAGTGGTAATGATTCTATACAAATTGGAAATAAAATTCAGCTTACATTAGTACCTAACTTTAAGTCAACAAATTGATTGTTAATATATCGACTACCTAATTCACTATTATATATAGTCGAGAAATAATAGTTACTGTTACAATAGAGATTTTATGGAGACATGGAATATCAAAAAACGGGAAAGGTGCGCAATTATGTGTGAGCTATTAAAGAAAGATGTCTGCCAAAAAGTTAAAGTCAACATAAATTTTAGCTTTTTTTTTTTTTCTTCTCTGTGATATTTAAAATGTTTATATTTTCTTGATTGAATAGTGGAAAATTTTATCAAGAAAAATATACTAGTAGCATTCAAATTCCAACAAAAAAGCTTTCATTTATTAATACCTAAATAAAATTTCAAAAATTGGTAGTTGTATCAATGGGTGTTCGAATTTCGGCTTTGAACAATAAATGCAGCTCCCACATATACACATATCGGCTGGTTGAGAAACTCTGTTATATAGAGTCACATGATATATGTATCCAACAATAATTCAAAAATTTAATGTGGAATAAGTATTGATTGCCTAAGGGTCGAAGCTCAAATCCCAAAGAATTATCTTACTCTAAAAAGGAGCATTTTGATACCACCACTTCTGTTATTAAACAAAAAGAATTCCGAATCGATCGATATAGTACAAGTACACAACAATACGAATAAGAAATTACATCAAAACATGTTATTGTATACTACAAACTATCAAGTATACACATGACAAGTGTGAGGTTTATATGTTTTATATAAACTACATACATTATTAAGAAATAAAAAAATGATCGAAACTAGTCAACAACAACCCACCACCGTTTTTGGCCGTATTAGCTCACTCTCACACTGGTCGCCGTTAGTCAAACTCGTTCCATCGCATAATTAATCCTATCAATTTCAATTTACCTTTTTAACAATGGTAAGTCACTTTTAATTACAAAAACGGAACAAAACTATTATATACTATCAAATTGAAGTATATAAAGAAAAAAGCTGAAAGAAATACTTAAAATGGAAAATAAACAAGAGTGATCAATCAAGTCATCATTATTCATTGTCGATCGAAAAAATCTTGCCGTAGATTTCGCCTAAAACATTTCTATTTTTGATTTCACGACATTTACTTTTGATTTAAAACTTTTAATTATAAAGGACCGTCGTCTTCCGCAATTCACGCCGAAATAAAAAAGCCGAAAAAATAAAAACATTCTCTAAAATTTTCTCTCTGTATATATATAACGAAAAACGAAACAGCAATAGTTTCACTACTCACCGGAGATCGGAATTCGAATCCGGATCCGAATCACAGTAACCGGCGCCGGTTTAAAGAGATAATTCCGGTACACATGTGTTGTTGACGCGGAGGACCGAAATTCTGCGAAAATGGGTTGTGTCAGCTCGAAGCAGACCGTCTCTGTCACGCCAGCGATCGATCACTCTGGTGTTTTCAGGGACAATGCTTGTTCTGGTTCCGGTCGAATTGTGATTGAGGATCTTCCTCCGGTGACGGAGAAGAAGCTTTTGTCGTGGAGGAGCAAGAGCGGGAAGAAGAGTAGTAGCAAGAAGAGTGGTAGTGAGTTGGGTAGCGAGTTCGGTGAATTGAGTGAGTCTGGTAGAGCGAGTTCGAATTGCAGGAGTGAGTCGGTGAGTTTCCGGCTCGGTAACTTGAGTAAGTACCTTGAAGCTGAGCAAGTCGCAGCTGGTTGGCCTGCGTGGCTGAGCAACGTCGCTGGTGAAGCTATTCATGGTTGGGTTCCATTTCGATCCGACGCTTTCGAAAAACTCGAAAAGGTTCCTTTTTTATGCTCTCTGTATATTATTCAATACATTTGAAATGTTGTAGGTTGTCTCTGAAAATGATTTGGTTTTTTTTTTTTGATGGTGGTTTTGAAGATTGGACAAGGGACTTATAGCAGTGTGTTCCGTGCAAGAGAGACTGAAACTGGGAGGATAGTGGCTTTGAAGAAGGTTAGATTTGACAACTTTGAGCCAGAGAGTGTTAGGTTCATGGCAAGAGAGATTTTGATACTTAGGAGACTTAATCATCCCAATATTATCAAACTAGAAGGTATTGTTACTTCAAAGCTATCTTCCAACATACATCTCGTGTTCGAGTATATGGAGCATGATCTCACTGGTCTTCTTTCTAGCCCTGATATCGACTTCACTACTCCACAGGTCAATTTGATTTATAGTGGTTAAAAACGTCTTACTCTTGTAATGAAAGATTTTGTCCGGGTTTTTCTAATACAAAGACTGTTGCTCTGGCCTTGCAGATTAAGTGTTATATGAAACAATTGTTGTCTGGACTTGATCACTGTCACGCACGAGGTGTGATGCATCGGGACATTAAGGGTTCAAATCTTTTGGTGAATAATGAAGGAATATTAAAGGTGGCTGATTTTGGGCTAGCTAACTTTTGTAATGCTTCTGGGAATAAGCAACCTCTTACAAGTCGAGTTGTGACTTTGTGGTACCGTCCACCTGAACTTTTGCTCGGGGCAACGGAGTATGGAGCATCTGTTGATTTGTGGAGTGTTGGCTGTGTTTTTGCTGAACTTCTTCTTGGGAAACCAGTTCTGCAAGGGAGAACTGAGGTAAACCACAAATTGTTGTCTTGTAAATATATGTTACATGTAGCTTCAGACCTTTTTGATCCTGTATTTTGCTCTGTTTTTACTCGGGGAAAATATAACTCAAAGAGTGCTGTTTCTAAAATGTATGCTACAGGTCGAGCAGTTGCACAAGATATTCAAACTATGTGGATCTCCACCTGAAGATTACTGGAAAAAGTCCAAACTTCCTCATGCAATGCTTTTCAAACCACAGCAACATTATGATGGTTGTCTCCGAGAAGCCTTGAAAGATCTATCCGATGCTGACATCAATCTCATAGAAACTCTTCTTTCTATACAGCCCCACAAACGTGGGACTGCGTCTACTGCCCTTGTTTCTCAGGTAACCATTTTATCCTTCAGCTATTATTGTTTGAAGATTTGGAACTTTGATTTTCAGGAAGATGTTATTTTGTTGTATTGTCATATCTTTTAAAACATTCCCTTTGTTCTTTTCAGTATTTTACTTCAAAGCCTTTTGCTTGTGATCCCTCAAGTTTGCCTGTATACTCGCCTAGCAAGGAGATTGATGCAAAGCATCGAGAAGACACAACAAGGTCAGAATTTTATTCATTACCATCATTGTCACTATATCTTTCAAGAAAAATACAGTGGAAACACACAGTTTACCCGTGGGAATTACTTGGTTAATCTTAGCACCATAATTGTTTTGGTCTTAATTTGAAGTGTCTGGTCCTACGTTATTTTGGAATTCCAGGAAAAAAATCAGCGGGAATGGGAGACGTGGTACAGAATCGAGGAAGCCAACACGAAAGCCCCCTGCATTTGCTAAATTGGCACCAGCTGAGGTGCCTCTGATTTATTCTCTTGTTTACATACTATATGCATCTCTGAGAAGGGAATTACTGAAGCCAAAAAAAAAACAAAAAACAAAAACTTTCTCCTTTCTCTACTTGCAGGATGTACGGCACCACTCCCAGAAGTTTCCGAAACGTAATGGTCATTCAGTCCATAATTCGATTGATAGTGATGCCACTTTATGTGAGAAAATGCAAAAGCCATCAAGTCATGAAAAGGATGAAGCTTCTCATGTGAAGAACGCATCACAAGGAGATGTGCCTTTCTCAGGGCCTTTGCAAGTCTCTGTATCAAGTGGTTTTGCATGGGCAAAGCGACGAAAAGATGACATATGTGTTAGATCACATAATAGATCTCTCTCAAGAGGTCACATTCCTAACCTGTTGGGACCTTCTCCTGCTTTCAGTGAGAATACTGACGTTGACTCTAAAACTAATGAGAAAGAAAATGAAGAAAAACATGGGGCAAGAACGGATTCTCAAGACCGTGAGGCGTATGAAATGTTGAAGATTTCAATGCTAAAGAAGTGGAGGCAACTTGAACGACCAGATTCTTTTGATGGTTCTGACGAGTATCATTCACAGGAACTGTCATTGGCACTTTATCAGAAAGAAGAAAAGGCAGCAAAGCTGGGTCAATTGGTACGTCCGTAGATTATAGAAGCAACCTTTTTCTTTGCAGCTTATTATAGAAATTATTGATATACTAGAGACCAAGTATTCTCAACCTTTCTTATGAGAATCTTAACTTATATAACAAATCTGAAGTTTTAATTTCTGAAACTTCTGATATGCTAGTTATGTTAAGCTGTCTTGCTAATGGCGATGGTTTGGGGATCACATGTACCCCCATAAAGCAGTAAGATATGGATTTCAAAGCTTCATATTGATGTGATTGCTATTTGACTGAGTGTAGCTTTGTTGCTTTAAGTTCTTTTCCCACTTTTTATATTCACCTAAAAACTTGAGGGGAAAAAGTAGAACATGCATGATTTGCTTAGACATTTTGAGAAACATACTCAATGATGCTAATGAGTTAAGACCTTGACAGGGTTACGAAGACAATGATGACAAAATCGAATTCTCAGGGCCCTTGTTGTCTAAATCTTATGGAGTTGATGAGCTTTTGGAACGCCATGAACGCCAAATTCGCCAGTTAGTTAGGAAATCGTGGTTCCAGAAAGGTACAAACATGATGCTAATAGCTTACAAGAAGAAGAGATTGTTTTAGGATTAACTGTGATGGGCAACAATTGTATGGCTTTGTGAATTGCAGGTAAGAAACAAGGGAAATGAATTGCTGTATTAACCTTTCTGTGTCATGAAAAGCTTTCCAAGGGGATCCAGAAGAGAGCTCCAAGAACTCTATATGCATTTTGATGGTTTGAGAAACACAACGTTAACAAGATCTTCAGACAGAAACTGTGATGATCAAGCAAATATGGAGAAAGCCATGAAGCATTATTTTTGTTTGTTAATGTTAATTTATAATATAATCTTCTCTAATAAGTTAAAATTTTGAGAATATAATAACTACAGCGCAATTTATGAATTCCAGGCATAATGTATGAGTCATAAGCATATCTATAAAATATCCAGTTGTATAAAAGATCTGGATATTTGTTATACAGACATTATTGATTTTGTCCAAATTTGAGACCCCATCTCGTTTAGTAATGTGTGGTGGTCATTGGTATTTAACGATGTCTCGTGACGATGGTGTATGGGAGTGATGTTGGATTATGACGCTTGGTGTTATCATCTTCTTTCATTGTGTATCATCAAGATGTGTGTGACACATTATGTTCTAGTTATATAATCTGTGCACTCACCATGTGTCTACTGATCAGAATTTGAGAATCTCTAAAAATGTAATAAATGACAATTTGGTTTTAAGAATTAGTCACCTGTTTCCTCTAAGCTTCCAGATTTGATAAAACAGTACCAAATTAACAAACTGTATCTAAAAAGGGATATAATTTTCAAGAATCTTTCATTTTTCGTTTTTTTTTTTTGCTGCAGTTGCATCATGAAGAATATGGTAATTAAGTAAAATACACTCGCAAACAAAATCCACAACAATGGATCCGACAAAGGATGATAGTGATCCTACAAGGATCTCTATCTTATGTATTCCTTTAATCATGAATAATGTTTTTGTCAACCTTCTTATGAACAAGTTTATCTCTGTAGTTTAATCGGCAATACAATGCCTTGATGATGCCAGTTCATTGCATTCTGCATCCTCTTTCTACTGATCGGAGATATATCAGCCCGCGCTTTATTCTCTGCAACAAGAAGTTTCAACAATTAAAAGAAAAGGACTGGTAAAACTATGAGACTTGTCGAGGCAATCTATACTAGCCGATAATCAAGTACCTCTCCAGTATCCTGAAGCCGAAGTAATTCCAATCTTTCTGAAGGTCTCCTATCTGTCAATGTAGCAAGCTGAGGCCAAAAGAACTCATTGAGCAACAATTCAACACAAGTGAATATATGGGCTATAGTTGTGTGTTTTGCTGATAAACAACATTACCCAGAAACTGAAGCGTTCGGGATCTTGAGGCGTTGGTATCATAGATTCAACATTTAGAAGTATTTCAAGTCTTCTTCTGTCTGTAAAAACAAAGAAAAAGGGAAATACTAGATCATATCTAAAATAATATGAGTATAAAAAAAGGGAACTATCAATCAGACAGCCATAAAACAGAAGCTGGTAACTATTAGAGTAAGATCTAACTTTGCTCTAAAACAACCATAAAGACAATGGTTGATTCATAGATAGTTTTTTTAGACGGTAAAAATGGACCATTTTTTCTATTGAATTTGAGCATGGCCGGGAAAGACATTGATAACCAGATATTTGAAAGAAACAGCACTTGAGTTATTGGTCTATTAAATTGTTTCAGTTGTCATAGCTAGGCTGGAAATATCAGAACTCATGAATAATTCAATTCCCTTTCTCAGCTAAATGAATAGTTGCTTACCTCCTTGTCTAGCCGCTTCCTTTGCTCTATCTAGCCATGACCGAGCAAATGATGCTGCGCTGGTCGTCAGTTCCCGCAGCTTTAAGAAGTCACAAAGAAAGATGATGAAAAAAAAGAGAAAGGAAATAAACTCACTCAAGTAACAGCAGAGAAAAATCATACATCTGCTTTCCCTTGCTCACTTTGTGGTGGTATATCTGTCACCCATTCAACCTCTGCAACACGATACCTGAAAAGCAAAAAGGGTAATAAGCAACTAAACGTTTTTGTGTCTGAATATGCTGAAATGAAGGAGCGTATATGAAGCAAAGTCAGACAATCATCTTTACAAGAAGACCCAAAATTAAATATTTGATCTTCACACATGTTGAAAAATAAAGGAAAAAATGTAATTTGGTAACATGTATATCAACCACATCCTGACACGAAAACGGAGAGATTGTTTAAAAAAACATGAGCAATAAATAATATCCAGCGATCAGAATGACAAAGCTTACCCATCTTGATCCCAAGCTTTTACAATGCGGCACCTTCTATGGCTTTCCAGCTGCAGAAAGTATACACTATGTTAATCATATGACAACTAACATCAGAGATAGTCGAATAGATCCAAGTAATATGGATTTAAGACGAAGTAATGAAAATGATATTCACCTCCAGGACAAAACGTCCATCCGGGAGTGGATCACACCTGTGTAGTTCCAAAACATCAGCAGATTTTTTGTGAGTTATTGTAATTTAAAATCATCAACTGAAGGACATCAAATATCATCAGAAAGAATTAAGCAACAGACTCTGTGATTTCAACTTCGCAAGCAACATCCACTGGAGAACCTGTCGCAGAATCAAGAGCTACCTATGAACATTGGAACGGGAAAACCTTACTAGTTAGGAACCTTTTACTAATGTATAATGAAGAAGATAGAAGAAAAAGGACACAATACCCACCATTCCCATCCGATGATTTCCTTCCATTATTCTTCTCACCTGTTTCAGTCAACACATATCAATCAATATACTGAGTGCAAACAGTACTACTGCTGTGGATAGAGTGGCCATAAAAGTTTCCATCTATTAGCACTCATTTCGAGACCACTTTCTCTTTTCCTCACTTCACTTTCTTGTTTTTCTTTCCCAAAATGAGTGTCCGTGCCTTTATGAAGACTTTTACAACAACGTGTACAGTCTAAGATCATTTAAGAATTTTGTGACATTGAGCCGAAACAAATTTTACACTAAACGAGTATTCAATCTCAGCAAAGAGTAGGCTACTTAAGTTCTTAAATGTACATAACCGGAAAAAAATTGAAAGAACTCACCATTAGTCGATATCGTGGTTCAAATATGTGAAGAGACAACTTCTGACAGGGGATGATCACATCCATGACGAAAAGGGGCATACATTCATTGCCTAAGTGGACCAGAGTGTCTTGCTCTGATTTCCTTTCAGCATACTCCTCTGGAAAGTTTTTCTGTATGATGTTATTCAGTGTCACACTGCCAACACATAGTTGCTTCAGTAAAAAATTTCAAAACACAAGCTACAGTTACATATTTAGTAGCATGGAACTATAAGGAGAATAGAGAGAGAGTGAAAAAAAATCACCTGACAGCGCATGTTCTTGGAGTCATAAAGATGACAGTTCGACATAGTGGACATTTGTTGCCTATATTCCACAAAGCATTAATAAGCAACACAATAGTAAAATAAGAATTTTCAAGAAGTAAACAACAATCAACCATATAAACCCACCGCGATCCATTGACTGAAAGAGGCATGATCGGCAGAATGTATGCCCACATGGAGTTGTAGCAGGTTCGTACAGCAATTTCAAGCAAACAGTGCAATCAAAGTCATCAGACCGCTCAGCCTTTCCATGGGTTTTACGCATCGAAGTAGGCATTACTTTCTCCAATTCCTGAAGATTGGATCGGAGAGGATCGCTTCATGCGATCAGAAAGAAACCCCAAACTTAAAAACGACACATTTAGTTAGGCATCAATACAGAACAAAAGAACAGTACACATAGATGTACCTAAAGGGATCAATCTGTAGACCTGAGAGGATAGTGTCACGTGCTACTTCATATCTTTCTAGCTGCAGAATATATAAAAAATTGACACATGTGACATGAAGTAGACCGAGAAACTCTTGATAGTACCTTGACATAAAACAAAATAAATCTAAAGACAGAAGAATAACACAGCACATACCAACATAAGGGCACAAGCCTTTGTAGTATATGACTTCACTGAACTGCTTTGAAGATTCATCAGCTTATCAGCATCCTTAAGAGCAAGCTGCAGGAAATGTCAAGTTTTCCAGGATGAGTCAGAAGAGTCAATGAATTTCGAAACTAATAGTAACAGATTAAGCAACTCGAATACATACTTCCCCAAGCATCGACATATCAAAACCATTCAGAGGTTTATATTCAGAAGTTGATGCAGATCTCTGCTTCAGATATTGGCCAAATCTATAAATAAAAAAGGATAAGAGATGGAGAGAGATTAGAATATGTCAACACGGTTAAATACTTCTAAACTGAGTAAAAAAGGCAAAACTAGTTACACAATCCAATTGTAAACTTTTAACGAAACAACATGACAAGTTGACGACTCCATTGGAAGTAAAAAGGACGGGGTTTGTGAAACCTTACCTTATATAAGCAGCACTTCTATTGCCAAGAACAATAGGGTCAAGAGGTTTAATAGAATTGGCCTTTGAATAACTGCTAATTGCCTGGGAAAAAAAGAAGCTATGTTATTGGCAAAAACAACAGATATATCCGTGTCATTTGGGTTTCAGCATCAAAGCTTTAAACTAGCACGAATTTGCAGAATATTCTACTGAAAACAGGTTGATAAGCAGTTATCACCAGTTCAAAGCCAGAATTAAGCATGTTATATATGACTAACGCAAAAAAGAAACTATTCCACAAGTAAACTACACCAAGAAGCAACAAGATATCCAAACAAAAAAAAAACAGAGCCCAAATCAGTTTTATTGAAGGATCTAACACTATGTATCATCATGTTTTGCTACATATTGACTCTTTTTTTTCTCAAGAACCAATTTTCTCACTACTCTTTCATCTCAGGCAATCCCTAAATAAAGATCAAAAGAGCTCTCTCACCTCTTCAAAGCGAGAGTCTTTGAATGATTGGTTTCCCTTCTCCACAAGTTGAAAAACCTGATTGTGTATATCTAAAGGTAACGAATTGTCTGCTTCAGTGACCTGGAAATATCAATCAAGGAAGATAATTGAGACAATAACCCTAACAAAAATCTCAATCAACAGTCGGAAAATAGAACATGCATTGCTCGCAAATTGCTAAAATCGCAAACACTCTTATCGAAGAAGCAACCCCAGTAATCGGAGGACTCACCAGACCGTAATTTTCAACATCATCCAAACCAAACAAAGTGAATGCCGGAAGAGAGTCTTCTTCGTTCGACATCAGAGTGATCGATCAACGGAAGAAATTCGAGAAAACTGAAAAAGGTTGAAACTTTGGGGAAAGAAATTGATGATAGCAAAGAAAAAAATTGACTATCGTGTTCACTTCTGGGTCCTTGGTTTGCGACCACGGATTAGAATCCTCTACGTGGTTATTCTCTCTCCAAGCTTCACACTTTTTTTTTTTTTAATTTCTTCAATCTCTCTCTCTCTCAGCTCAGTCACTAAAGGTGAATCCTTTTTGTTTGCCAATCTTCTTCTTCCTGATTTTTCGGTCGGAACACACAAATTGAGCTCAGCTGAATTCTTCGCTAGATTTATTTTACATTCACAATTTATTAAATTTCGTTATATTTTAGTGGAAACGAGTCGAACCAATTACCAGGTGGCATTTTCACTTTTATTTATTTATTTACTTCAATAATTTTTGTACAAAAACGAGTCGTATGTACTTTTTAGTTTAGTTTTTGGCTAAATTAAAAAATTAATTCTACTTCAAATCAAGTTTTCTTCTAAAAGAAAATTTGCTTTATAATTTTCTTTTTATTTGAAAATATTTTTTTTGGTAAGTATTTTTATTTGAAAATATAAAAACAACTTAAATTGATCTATTTCTAAACCAAAAAAAAAAAAAAAAAATTAAAAGCTTTGAAAAGATCTGCATGCATCCATAAGAGATTTAGTTTATGATCAAAACAAAATCTTGCAGAAATTAAAAAAGGAAAAAAAAAAAAAAACTTGCTAAAAATTCGAATCCAGCTAGTAATGGAAAATTATAATCAAGAAAATTATTTTTAAAAATTCTTAAATACAGTAGTAATTGAAGTAACTACTAATGTAGATTCTCTAATCTCAAGATTAAAAAAAAAAGGAAAAAGAAGATGCATATATCTCCTTTTCTGATTCTCTAAACAGAGAAAACTCACGCGGAGAAAGTTCTCTTCTCCTAAACCAAAACACAAGAGCTTCTTAACCTAGGAGGAACAGTAGATTGATTTTTTCTCTCTCTCTCTCTTGTAGTAGTCTTGTGTCTATCTATTACAGAGAATGAGTTGTGCTTCAGGGGAGAAAGAAAAGCTTGGTGAGGCTTTGAAAACTTATGGGAAAGATTTGATTGAGCAAGCAGGGAAACTTGAACCTGTAATTGGCAGAGACGAGGAGATAAGAAGAGTAGTCAGGATTCTGTCAAGAAAAAAGAAGAACAATCCTGTTCTGATCGGAGAAGCAGGGGTTGGCAAAACTGCTGTGGTGGAAGGTTTGGCTCAAAGGATATTAAAAGGAGACGTGCCTAATACTCTTACTGATGTAAAACTCGTCGCCTTGGACATGTGTGCACTGGCTGCTGGTGCAAAGTACCAAGGACAGTTCGAAAAAAGATTGAAATCTGTGCTGGACGAGGTTGAGGAAGCTCAAGGCAAAATTGTTCTCTTTATCGATGAGATCCACATGGTTCTTGGAGCTGGCGGGGCCATAGAGGCTGCCAATTTCTTTAAGCCTATGTTAGCTAGAGGCCAGCTTCGTTGCATTGGGGCTACTACGCGTGACGAATACCGAGAATATGTTGAGAAAGATGCTGCGTTTGAGAGAAGGTTCCAGAAAGTCTGTGTAGCTGAGCCAAGTGTGCCTGAGACTATCAATATTCTTCGAGGGCTTAAAGAGAAATATGAAGTACATCATGGTGTCTGTATCCAAGACACAGCTCTTGTTGTTTCTGCTCAGTTGTCTGCTCGTTACATCACTGGTAATTTCTTTATACATCATCCTTGTTTTCTCTCTCTGATAAGCTGTTATATGTTTTGTTTGTGTGCTTATTAATTAGGTCGAAAATTACCGGATAAGGCGTTTGATTTGGTTGATGAGGCTTGTGCATATGTAAGAGTCCAGCTTGATAGTCAACCTGAAGAAATTGATGACTTTGAAAGAAAGATAATGCAGCTAGAGATTGAACTTCATGCCCTCGAAAAGGACAAGGACAAAGCCGCCGGTGTAGCTCGTCTTGTGGAGGTCAATTATTTTCAACAGTTTTACGACGTGATCTTTATTTATACACAAGTCTGTTTTAATTTGTATCTGCTTAATTGTGTAACCTATAATCTTTTTTTATATATGCAGGTGCAGAAAGAGCTTGATGACTTGAGGGACAAGCTTCAGCCTCTTACATTGAGATACAAAAATGAGAAGAAGATAATTGATGAGATTCGCAGCCTTAAACAGAAACGAGAAGAGCTGATATCTGCTCTAAAGGAGGCTGAGAGGCAACATGACCTCCCTAGAGCTGCTGATCTAAGATATGGGGAAATTCAAGAAGTGGAATCTGGACTAGCAAAACTAGAAGAGAGTTCTAAAGAGAACGTGATGCTTACGAAAACTGTTGGGCCGGATAACATTGCTGAGATAGTGAGCCAATGGACTGGGATTCCAGTGACTAAACTTGACCAGAACGACAAGGAGAAGCTAAATTCTCTTGCTGATAGGTTACACCAGAGGGTTGTTGGACAAGACCAAGCGGTGGACGCTGTGGCTGATGCAATTTTAAGGTCGAGGGCTGGTCTTGGAAGTCCACAACAACCCACAGGTTCCTTCCTCTTCCTCGGTCCAACTGGAGTTGGCAAAACTGAGCTGGCTAAGGCTCTCGCTGAGCAACTCTTTGACGATGAAAACCTATTGGTTAGGCTTGATATGTCTGAGTATATGGAACGACACTCGGTTTCTCGACTCATTGGGGCACCACCTGGGTACCTTGTTAGACCTCTCTTATGTGATCAAATGCTATAATGGAAACTCACATGATTGTCTTATTCTTTTTAGGTACGTTGGTTATGACGAGGAAAGTGGACAATTAACTGAAGCCGTGAGGAGACGACCTTATTGCGTTGTACTATTTGATGAAGTTGAAAAGGCCCATGTTTCTGTATTCAACATACTACTTCAAGTGCTAGATGAAGGAAGATTAACAGATTCTCACGGGAGGACAATCGATTTCAAAAACTCAGTGATCATATTGACTGCAAACATTGGTGCTGAGCACCTTATTTCAGGCCTTGCAGGTGAAGTGACAATGGAAGTGGCTCAAGACCGCGTGATGGAAGAAGTGAAAAAGCATTTCAGGCCAGAGCTACTAAACAGATTGGATGAGATAGTAGTGTTTGATCCTCTGTCGCATGAGCATTTGAGAAAAGTGGCTCAACTCCAAATGAAAGATGTTGTTATCAGGCTTGCTGAGAAAGGTGTAGCTTTGGATGTCACAAATGATGCATTGGACTATATTTTAGAAGCGAGTTACAACCCGGTAATCTCTTCTCCCTTCTTACAACTTAAAGTATGTTATGCGAGTTGTCACAACCTAATATCCTATGAATGGCGTGTCACTTATGTTGTGTGATTATATATAGGTGTACGGTGCTAGGCCCATTAAGAGATGGCTGGAGAAGAAAGTTGTCACAGACCTGTCCAAGATGATTGTACGAGAAGAAATCGTTGAGAACTCGATTGTGTACATAGATGTAAGCGCATTTAAAGCTGGTATTGTCTACCGAATTGATAAGAACGGAGGTTTTGTTAATAAGAAGACAAAGAATGATGATGGTCACATCGTGAAGAAGATAAAGATTGAAGAACGATGAAAGATTGGAAGTTAGTCAAGATTGTTTTAGACCCTAGTTTTTTTGGTTTTAGCTAGAGTTATTCACTATTCTACGTTCGATTAAATTATAATCCAAAGTTTTCTAAAATTGTTTGGATATCTCTTTAAATGAATCTGAAGTTGAGTTAAATTAGTAATTCATGTGAGACCACGGAGTGATTGGATTGTCCTTGACATAAACAAAATAATGTAGAGACCATCACTTTACAAGTGAAACACATGAACATCCAAAATTTTTACTAACTATGAGAACAAGACACTCCACGAGTTATATCGATATGATTCTATGGGTTTATAGGCCCATTACAAAAGAAATGGAAACGGTAAGAGAAGGCGCAACAACACTAAATCGAACAAAAGTAAATTCGGATTATGGACGACTAGGAGAACGTGTCAGGCAGGTTCTTGTCTGATCAATTCCTAAACAAATCGATTCATTGGAGTTTAGAGATCTTGTTTTCTCATACGATGTATCTTAAATACAATGTTGCAGACTCTATGTGAGAAGGACCATACTTGGACAGTTGGACACAAGAGGTGAGCCTTCACTACAAATTCACATTTTGCCTCGAGCTGCAGTTTAAATATAATCGCAATGAAGTTTATTTAAGGCTTTGAATGATTCGTGTTTGTCAGAAAGGAGATAGGTTTAGTTAATTCTTAGCCACAATTTCACTCTTAAGCAAAGCACAAGGCAAAACTTGTTCTAGTTCCAGCTCAGGATTTTTTTAACAAACCATGATTTTGTCTATCTGATACAATGAAAGTACTTTCTTCTATTTGAATGTTTGGTTTTGTGAATTATAAGTCATTTGATCTTGGTTTTTAGCCTCACCAAAAATATGAATCTTTTACTTTTAGCCTCAACTTTGATGTAACTATAGTATCGTTGATTGGTGGTTAAAAACTTACTAGTAACTGGAAACAGGAAAAATCCAACGGCTATGATGGGATTGGATTAGGTGATCCGATGTGGAAACAATCCAACGGAGACAAAAGAATTTGGATGGTACGAAGCAGATAACTAGATGCCCAACGCTGCTGCTACACTCCTACAATGTCTTCATAAACTTTAGATGGTGCGGTCATTAATACATATTGACTATAAATTTAATTTCTTTTCTTGTGTATATGAAAAATGTCTTCAAAGAAAAGATTTTTTTGGAGCTACCTAACTAATTATAGCAATGTAAGCACAAGGCTATTTTCGAAAATAAAAGTCCATTTTTTTGCTCACATAGTTGAGTATTTCTTTTTCCATTTTCCAAGTGAAATGTATTTATACTATACTTGTTTTAGGAATAGAGAGACCGTAATAACTAAATAACTAATAAGACATCATTGTTCTGCAGGATCTAAGCAACAAAAAAAGCATTTCTTTTTCACTGTCTTCAATGCAGTGACTCTCTTTCTCTCTCTTTATTCACACCTCTTGTTACCTTCACAACCTTCTCAATCTCCTCCATTATCTTTCTCTCCTTCTCTCTCCCTGCAACTAGCTGCATCCAAAAGTGCTTGGTTCTGGTAAAGTGACCATGGCAGTTGTTGTTCTTGCTGTGATTTTGTTGGCCATGGCTGGTCACTCAAGTAAGAATATCTTCTTCTCTGTTCAAACCCTGCAAAGTTTAAATAAAATAATCCTTCTCTGTCTCATATAGATCCTCTTCTTTTCTTTTGACGGGAAAAGGATTCTTCTTTTCTTTTTGTTAATTTCTTTCTCCCACTCTGTTTTAGAACATAACACAGTCATAAATTTCTTAGCTTTCATAGTTTTTAATGAAATTTTCCACAAATAAGGGCCATTTTTGCTTGTATCCATACCTTCTTTTCATAAAAAGTTGTTACTTTTTTACTGTGGAAAACAACAATCTTGTTCCCTCTTGAATTACACATTTAGGTTGCATTTCACACATAATCAGTGAATGAGAGAGTTGAAAAATGGTCATGAAAGTGTTTATGTGTGTATGTATAGGTGGGACATGGTGTGTATGCAAAGAAGGGTTAAGCGAGGCAATGCTGCAGAAGACATTGGACTACGCATGTGGTGCAGGAGCTGATTGTGGACCCATTCACCAGAACGGACCTTGCTTCAACCCAAACACCGTCAAGTCTCATTGCTCCTACGCCGTCAACAGCTTCTTTCAGAAGAAAGGTCAGTCTCAGGGCACTTGTGACTTTGCTGGCACAGCCATCGTCTCAGCCTCTGATCCCAGTGAGTCTCTCCTACCAACCTCTCTGCATTTATTCATTAGAATTAGTGCAAAAACAATTTGTTCTCATTTGGTAACTTGACTAGGTAAAGTTAAAAGCAGTAGTTGAAAAATGGAACCCAACTTGAAAGCAAATCAGAAAGGATAGTTTATATTAATCTAAACTTCACATGTTTCAATGTGAATGATATGATAAATAAAGTATCCATTATCTTATTATATAGTATCACACCTCAAGATTCTCTATACAGATTTGAAACTAGATTGTAGAACATATATTTTTTATTAGTATCTAACTGTTGTCTCTTGTATCATTGTGGTCTTATGATAGGCTACACAACTTGTCCTTTCCCTGCAAGTGCCAGGTACACACCGTTCTTTCTTTCTTCACTCCTTATTTGTTGTTTTGAAACAAGAATTGGCTTTGATCTTGAGGCTCGTTGCACTCTAGATCTTTGTTTTAAGCTGATTGCTACAATCTAAGAGATGTGTTTGTATGTTTGTTGTTCTGTGCCATTTAATGCAGTGGTAGTGGGACAACGACTCCAGTGACGACAACACCTTCGACAAGAGTCCCTACAACAACTAATACAAGACCCTACACAATAACACCATCAACAGGAGGAGGTTTGGGAATACCATCTGGTATTAACCCGGATTACACGGATCCATCCTTTGGATTCAAACTCCAAAACCCAAGATTTGGATTCGAAGTCTTCTTCACTCTCTTCTTACCTTTCTACTTGTTTAGCTAACTAAGTGATTAGTGATTTATGGGATCATGGGATGTGAGTGTGGGTCTCTTTCTACTGTAATGATGGAATCTTTGAAGAGAGAGACATTGTTTTGTTCCATCTTTGTCTGGTTTTCCAGCTGTTTCCCACTTGCCTCTGAAAAAAAATTGTAAATGAGACATAAATATTTAAGGTTATGTCCACCGGAATGGTAACGACGGGGTAACAGAACAGAGCGGACACTTACCGGTCTGAATTGACCGGCAAAGACTAACCAACCAAACCAAAACGTAAAGAACAAATTTGACGGTTTAGTTAAAACTAATAAAGGGCAAGACTGTCATTTTGACGGTTAATGTTTTCACCAACCAACAACACTCTTCTCAGTGACTTTTTTTTTTTTTTTTATAATTGATCGATCATCCAGAGCAGCAGCCGAAGACGACCGCCGGCGATTTTTCCGGTTGGTAATTGTTCTCGTCTGATCTCTGATCTCTGATCTCAATCGTATATCGTAAAGCTCTGTTTCCGTTCGGGTTATGATGTTTCTGTTTCTACTTAGCCATTTGATAGATCACGTGGATTCCCTCTACATCCATTGCATCCAAACATTTACATTGGAGCTCGTTCACTTCTCAGTTTTTTTCTGATGAAATCTTTATGAGTTTGATTATCTATTAGCTAATTCGACCAAATTGTGCGTCTTTGTAAATTTAGTTTTTTTTTTCTTTTTCATGTCTAAGATTCAGAAAATATCTTTTTTCTTTTTGTTTGTTTCAGATGTTGTGAGTAATTATTCGACACTCTTGTTTTCTTGTGGTTTGTTTGCAGCTCCTGTTTCAATGGAAGCAATAACTACTTCAAGGGTTGTGCCAGTTCAGCTTCCCTGTAGAAGGAAGCTCTCTTCACTTTTTGCTAATTCGTCTTGCATTGCGTTAAGGAGATATCCTTGTAGAGGTCTTGTCTCGATCATCAACCATCCCAAATTGCTTCGTCCAGTGACTGCTTCTGTGCAGCCACAAGAGTTGTCGGCTTTGGGGAACGAAAGCAACGTTGTTCCTTCTAAAGGTAAACTACTACTACTCATTGCTTTAGAATCTGTTGTATTTGGATTTAGGGAATAACATCTGGTACATGGTTGTGCAATTGATAATTCTTAGAAACTGTTTTGAGCTTTTCAATTGTTTATAGATTGCTGAGTTTCTTTCGACTGTTGGTTGTTTGTTTACTGAATTGCTAGAAATTCTTGATCTTTGGCGAAGTGTTGAAGCGGTATGTTTCGATGTGGATAGCACGGTTTGTGTGGATGAAGGTATTGATGAACTTGCTGAGTTTTGTGGAGCTGGAAAGGCTGTTGCTGAATGGACTGCCAGGTTTGTGGTCCATCTCAACGCATATATATGCTAAAGCTCTGATGAGTTTTTTTACAGCTTTCTTACGTAAACATATCGAGTATTGCTTTTCTTAGAGCAATGGGTGGATCTGTTCCATTTGAAGAAGCTCTAGCTGCAAGACTTTCTTTGTTCAAGCCTTCTCTTTCAAAAGTTGAGGAATATCTCGAAAAGAGACCCCCGAGGTATTGTTTTTGTTTACAGTTACTTCCCCTTGATTCACTCTGCCAAAGAAATCGTTTCACAAATAAAGATAGATTTTACTTGCAAGTGTTCCATTGGCCCCAGTTCTTGTCTTGAATTAGACTTTGACCAATATAGAGGGGTTAACATATAGCTTGCTTGATTCTCTGCATAAGTCCAGATTGTTTTCTGAAATGTGTTTTAATAGTGTGTTTCTTTGGTTTGTGTAGGCTATCCCCTGGCATTGAAGAGTTGGTCAAGAAACTCAGAGCCAATAACATTGATGTCTATTTGATATCTGGAGGTTTTCGACAGATGATCAATGTACTCTCTCTCTCTCTCTCACTCACCTGTTTCTTCATATTCTTTACTATGGCCTAATGCATCAATTCTTGTGTAGCCTACTCAATCATGGTGATAAGGTTTTGAATGAATTTCTTTTCACTGTAGCCTGTAGCATCGATTCTTGGCATCCCTCGGGAGAATATCTTTGCTAACAATCTTCTATTTGGAAATTCCGGCGAGTTTCTGGGCTTTGATGAGAACGAACCTACATCAAGAAGTGGAGGCAAAGCCAAGGCTGTGCAACAAATACGAAAGGTTCATCGAACGTTATTAATTTGCAAGCTACATATCTCTTGTTAAATAGAACACTTTGTACCAATGGGACTTGGTTCTTTCCAGGGTTGTCTCTACAAGACTATGGCCATGATTGGAGATGGTGCTACTGATCTTGAAGTAAGCTATTATCTACTGAGAATTTGCAGATAACGATGAACTCTCAAATACTGTCTGAATGACTAAGGTAATTCACTTGCAGGCACGTAAACCTGGTGGCGCAGACTTGTTCATATGCTACGCCGGAGTTCAGCTTCGTGAAGCCGTTGCAGCAAAAGCAGACTGGCTTATCTTTAAGTTTGAATCTCTCATAAACTCATTGGACTAAAAGATAGCGATTATTCTCGTTTAGCTAAACTCATTATTCATATCTCCAAATTTGTACCCTTTTTATGAATTTGTGTGAAATACCATTGAATCAACAAATGTTTTTGCCAACTTTAGCCGCTTGATATGTTTGTTCAAACATCAAGAGCATTGTTATAACAAAATAGTGGTCTTTGTGAAGAGAAAATTAAACCACAGACTAATCAATCTTGGTGGTAGACATTTCTGGATGCCCAGTTAACGAACAAAGCCATAGCCACCACCACCAAATCCACCGCGACCAAATCCACCACGAGCATATCCCCCACGACCACCACCATAACCTCCCCTTCTTGCAAAACCACCACCACCTCCACTGCCACCGCCACCTCCTGAATCAGCTGGATTCACTCCAATTATTCGCCCATCAAGCTCCTGTTTAAGCAGGAAACTATATAAATGGCGGATTGACAAATCAAGCAAAGAAAGAAAGAACAATCCCATTGGTTTTCTGAAGCAGTAACGTAGTACCAAAACATTACTCTTTCTGTCTATAGAATTGATATAAACAAAGCAATAAAAAGAATGGTTTAATTTCGCATTCTGATTCTTTACTAAAAGAGTTTCTTATCAAACGAGAGAGAGACAGGAGTAGCATTACAACTTACAAGCTAGATGATAAATTGATAATATACAAACTAGTGTACTAGAAACAAACTTATGTCACAAAGTCAGAAGATTTTTATGGGTATGGAAAGAAAATAAAGTGAGAAAGAAATTAGACTGATGACTTGATATTTAGCAACCAAAAGAAGCCGGAAAGTTGGTATCACCTTATTATGCATACATTGCATTGCGTTATTAGCATCTTCGATCGAATCATATGTTACGAAACCAAAGCCCCTTGACAAACCACTTTCACGGTCCAAAACCACTACCGCTGCGAAGAACAAAGTAAATTTTAGTCAGCAATGAGAAGAAAAACGAATGGGTAAATGAGACAGCTGCAAAAACGATAGCTACCATCAACAATTTTTCCAAAACTGCCAAAAGCTTCTTTCAAGAGCTCCACATCAGTAGCTGGTGAGAGACCTGAAAAAAAGCACCATATAACAGAATGAGACCCTTAAGACCACCAAACTCTCAAAAGAGAAAACTCTCTATGAAGAATCAAGACAAAACAGAAGTTTTGGAGTTTCACCTCCAACAAAGAGTTTGGATGGAGTTAATGAAAGATTGCCCTGTAACATAGCGTTTGAGGCCTGCAACGCTCTAGGCTGCCTAAAAATGTTTCCAGCTCTACTAAACAAACCCATGTAATGCATCTTCTTCAATCTGTAAGCACATTTTCAAGAAGAAAAAATCAAAAGAATGTTGATAGACTGGTGATCACAAGGTGAAATCTTATGAGTAGATCTGTTTCAGACATTTACATTTTCCGGGTAGAATCAACAAAGCAGTAATCTATAAGAATCGAGTCAACAAAAGCTTACAACTTTAACTCACGTTCCTGATGAATCCATCTATTAGCATCACTCAGAACAGTAGAAATGAAACACAGACAAAACACATGTAGGATCCAAATCAAATTATCGAGTTATAGACAAGGAATTGAGGGAAATGAAGCAACTAGAAAGAGAAAGATCTAGCAAGGATCAGCAAATACGATCGAACCCGGAAATTAACAGAGAAATTCAAACGTGAAAGCAATTGATTTTACACACCTTTTGGGTTTCTCTGTGGATGATGATAATCTCTGGGTAGTGAGAAACCCCCAACGTCTTTCAATTCTCGCTCAATAGTGCAAAAACCCTGACTTTACTATGAACAGAGTCCGATTCGTGAAGATACAATCTAGTCCGTTTATTTAATGTTTTGAGTTGATCTTGACCGTTGATTCAGCTGATCGGCAACGAAGTTGTAAAACTAGCTTACCCTATTTGTTCCCTCAAAGTTTAGTGTTTTTTTTTTGTTAAACCCCAAAAATCTCGTTTCACTCTCTTCTTCTCAAATTGAGTAATCCCTAAAAATGTCTATCATTTTCGAAGCAGATGGATCCATTGGCAGAGTTTCTGGTTGCGGTAATATCAACGTACGCACAAATTTACGATACAGAGAAGTGTTAGCTTCTGAAGTTGGATGGTTTTTCACTTTTTGTTGTCTTAATGATTAACACAATGTTTTGGGATAGTTTCTGTAGAACACGCGATTTTGGAAATTTATTCCCGATGATGAAGAAATAGTCTTTGTACATTGGATTATTCTGAGTACGCCACATATATATAATATGCTTTTGAGTGTTGCTTGCTGCAAATGATTTGACTTCGTAAAATAACATATATCCTTGTGCAACTTGGTGTTTTTCTTTGTCATATAGAAATTGGAGTACTCATAAACATGGATGTTTTCCTACATATCGAATTTTCACTACCTTCATTTTCCCCAAAGTTCTGTTTCTTTTTCCTTATCGGATCATTCCAATGGAGAGGAAGCTGTTCTTGGTTCAAAGTCTGATATGGGTGATCATAGTGATGTGGCAGATATATGGAAACAAAAGCTGTATTGAGGAAGAAAGGAAGGGTTTGTTGGAGCTCAAGACACACTTGTTGCTTGCAGGACCTGATTTCGACACTTGGACTAATAAAACATTAATGAGTGATTGTTGCAGGTGGAAGAGAGTTAAGTGTAATCGTACTACCAGCCGTGTGATCGGGCTTGCTCTCCATACCGTTGTAGAAAAGAAATATAATCGCCTAAATCTTGCCTTTCTGTATCCCTTTGAAGAGCTTCAAAGTCTGGACTTATCTGGGAGCAGATTCAAAGGATTCAGTGCCTCGTACGTGGAAGGTATACCACTTCTTTTAGCAGATTCAGCAACATTGTTATACCGCCTCAAGTTCGATTGATGCTTACTCTTGTTGACAAGATGTTATTTTTTGCAGGTTATAGAAGTCTAAGGAAATTAAGAAACCTAGAGATTCTGGATCTCTCTTCGAACCAATTTAACAACAGTATCTTACCCTTTCTCAGCTCTGCCAAATCACTTACAACTTTGATTCTTCGGGGTAACAACATGAATGGTCCTTTTCCTGTTAAAGGTTTGGTTTTCAATTTCTGATGAGGTTGAAATTTATCCAGCAGACCATGTCTATCTTTCTTATTTATTCTCTTGTGGATCCTTTCCAGAACTTACAGGTCTGATAAACTTGGAACTTCTGGACCTGAGTAGAAACAAATTTGATGGCTCTATACCTGTACAAGGTAGCATCTATATTACTTGTCACTGCCCATCTATGAGATGATCCTGGTCACTTTTAAGTGTCTTCGTTTGTGTGGCTTTGTCTTATTGCAGAGTTAGCTGACCTGGAAAATTTGAAAGCTCTGGATCTAAGTAGTAACCAATTTTCTGGCTTGGAGGAATTGCAAGGCAAGTTTAGTCCAACCTTTAAACTTTTGATTAAGAATGGTACGGGTGAATTCAAATTAACATACATGAATATCATAATCTAGGGATTTGCAAGTTGAAGAATCTGCAAGAGCTAGACCTCAGCCGAAACAAACTCGTAGGTGAGTTTCCAATATGCTTAACTAGCTTGACTGGACTTCGAGTTCTTGATCTTTCATCAAACCAAATGACTGGGAAGGTGCCGTCTGCTATTGGTAGCATTGAATCTCTTGAGTACTTATCGCTGTTTGATAATGAATTCCATGGTTTCTTCACATTGAGTTCGCTTTCCAACCTCTCAAATCTTAAGGTACTTAAGCTTTATTCAAAATCCAACTCACTCCACGTAGAGTCAGAAAGTTCTTGGAAGCTAGAAGCTCAGTTGAGTGTTATAGCACTACGATCTTGCAACTTGGGAAAACTTCCGCAGTTTCTCCTACACCAGAAGGAGTTGCGTCTTGTTGATCTCTCTGAAAATAGACTTCCTGGAGTATTCCCATCTTGGTTAATGGAGAACAATACAAAGCTCGAAGTTTTGCTTCTACAGAATAACTCATTTATAAACTTTCAACTACCCAAATCTGCTCATAATCTGCTTTTTCTGGATGTCTCTGCTAATGAGTTCAGTCAAATCTTTCCTGCAAATATTGGGTGGATACTTCCTGAAATACGGCATGTAAACCTGTCAAAGAACAGCTTTCAAGGGAATCTGCCATATTCGCTAGGTAACATGAAAAAGATGTACTTTTTGGACCTATCTCACAATAATCTGTACGGGGAGGTACCAAGGAGTTTAACAATGGGTTGTTATTCGTTGAAGTTCCTTAAGCTTTCAGGCAACAAACTTAGCGGCCCCATTTTTTCAGAGCTAACAAACTTGACTTCCTTGAGGGTACTGGCTTTGGATAATAACCAGTTTGCAGGGAGGATTGGAGATGGTTTGTTGAATTTGACTGGCATTCTTGTGCTTGACATGTCGAACAACTATCTCACGGGTGTTATCCCAAGTTGGATGGGCAACTTTTCTGATATCTTGCTTGTACTTTCGATTTCAAACAATTATTTAGAAGGTCGAATACCTGTTTCTTTGTTCAACAGATCCAGCGTTAGTCTATTGGACCTCTCTGCAAACAGATTAGCCGGTGACATACCTCGAATTGTCAACTCTTACTCAAGAATGTTGTTCCTGCAAGATAATAATTTATCAGGGATTATCCCAGACACATTGGAATCTGTCAGCGTACTTGATCTGAGAAACAACCTTTTGTCTGGGAGTATACCAAAGTTCGTCAATACCGAAAACATGAATATTCTTCTTCTGCGGCGAAACAACTTAACAGGCCATATTCCTCTCCAGCTGTGCGGCTTAAGCTACATCCGACTTTTGGATCTGTCTGACAACAGATTGAATGGATCTATACCTTCATGTTTTAGCAATATATCATTTGGTCTGGGGAATGATGATGCATATAATTATGATACCGCATTGAGCTTCAGGTCTATATCTGCCTTTGGTGGTTTGGGTCTGGAAAATGACTTCACTTCCGTGGAAGATTTAGGCAGGTATTACAGATCCAAGCTGATGCTAGATCCATTTACTGTAGACTACACAGCAGATAGTAAGGTCAAAATTCAATTTGCAGCAAAGCGAAGATATGATTTCTACATTGGTAAAACTCTTGGATATATGTTTGGACTGGATCTCTCTAATAATGAGCTAAGTGGTGAGATCCCAGTAGAGCTTGGAGATCTAGTTGAATTACGATCCCTGAATCTTTCTCACAATTATTTATCAGGTGTCATCCCAGAAAGTTTTTCCAATATGAAGGATTTGGAAAGCCTTGATCTTTCCTTCAACATCTTACATGGCCAAATCCCAAGCCAGCTAACAAAGCTAAACAGCCTTTCTGTCTTTAATGTCTCTTACAACAACTTATCAGGCATCATTCAACAGAACAGGCAGTTTAGCACCTTTGATGAAAGTAGCTACATTGGTAATCCTCTTCTCTGTGGAAAACCCTCCAACAGAAGTTGTGATAATGACACTTCGGAAGAAGCACCAGAAAATGTTGGAAAAGATGAAGAAGATGTAATCGACATTGTATCTTTCTACTGGAGCTCTTTTGCAACCTATGTGACAATACTGCTGGGAATGCTTGCTTTACTCTCTTTTGATTCTGCTTGGAGCCGGACTTGGTTTTGCGTTGTTGATGCTTTCATCCATAAAGTGAAACATTTAATATCATAGGTTTTCGTTCACGTACCAAATCCTGGGAATGCTTCTTTTCTCTTTCTCTCTAGTTTGATGGAAAGTGAAATGTTCTCCGGGAAGTTTCTTGTGACTTATGTATTGTGACTTTCCATTAGACAATATCTTGTGTTCTGTTCCTGTAATATACTGTCTATTCCTTTTGAGGTACAGTAATTGTCTCAAACTTGCCTTTTTGTTGGTCGAAAGTCTCAAACTTGTTTTCTAGGCTAGTTTCAGTAAACACATTCAAATGAATCACCAAACATAGAAGACACAGAAAGGAAAAGAGAATATCATACGGAGAATGTTATCATGACTATTGACTTGTATTATATATATACGGCTTTAGAATACAGAGAATCAAAAAACGACTAAATCAATATCTACTCGTCAGCCAAAACCGTTTTCTGTCTCCTTGAGTTTCCTTGCAGCCGACCAATCTCACCGTGCACTATCTCATTCACCAGATCTTTGAAGAGAAGCCTCTCCATGTCAAGCACTAAACCAGGGATTGTATCATCAAAGTCTGTCCATTTCCCAGATCGGACTGCCATATCTTCATCCAATATACATTTCAAGAAATCTTCTTCTTCTTCTTCTTCCAACAACAACAAGTTTTCAGATCTCTTCTTGGCTTGCTTTTGTAGTGTCTCTATCTCTGAACATAGTTCCTTCAAGAGATTTTGTGCACTTAAGACCTTCTTCCTCGCTTTAGCTTGCTTCATCCATGGATCTACATTGCTCTCAACAAAAGGAAGCTTCTTCCCGAGCATTTCATTAACAGCATCAAACACAAGTTTGCGGTTGAGCTTTTCATTGCTGCTGCTGCTGCTGCATCCTTTAGTTTGCTCAAGAACAAGGAACAGCTCCGGATTGATTGGGTGGCCTGAAGGGTGCAGTTGAAAAGTAGTTAACCCTGAGCCGAGATCTCTGAGGAGAAGACCCGAGGCTAAAAGAATCTCGGAAATGTATCTGTGATCAGTGTTTGGATCACTGTTCTCGCATAAAGATGCAATGTAATCTTGACTGGTTTCGTCATGGCTAGAGTTTAGTCTTCTTAGCTTTTGAACCAAATGCTCAACATTCTGAAGCTTCTTTCGGTTCATCTCTGGCGAAAAGCTGGTTGTTGGCTTTGAGAAGCTATAAGCTGGATTCCACTGGTCCTCCTCGCAATGTTCAACTCCCGAGTCAATAGGGCCATTAACACCTGTTACAAGATCAATTTCCAAGTCAGAAATGGAAAGAATATGGTTGAAAACACAAAACAATTTACTTTTTTCCAATAAAGATGTATATAGAGAGGTCTTACTGCCTTCACTAGCTTGGATTTTCACAGGAGAGGGTTCGATCTCTCTGTAGATTTCTGCATTGAGAACAGAAACTGGACTTGGATGTTCTGATGATCCATCTTCACTAAACGTTGGACTGGACTTCTGAGTAACAGAAACAAAGGTGTAGAAAATTAGCAGTTGAAATTTAAAGTACCAAACAATTTAGCAGTAGCATGAGAAACAGCAACTCACATTCTGTATTAAGTTAGAGACTACAGCTTTGGCTGCCTCTATTACAGATGGACTCTTTCCACCATTTTCGATACTCACGGTGGCTTCTGTTTTAGTCCTAGATTTATTGCTCATTTGACTTAGTTGGCCATCATTTTGCTGCAAGCTCCTCTGATCCCTGGGTCTACTACGTCTACCACCAGGAGAAGTAGTAGATTCCACGGGTTGTCGGTTTATTTGTTTTCTTAATTTGCTTGAGTCAGATGGAGACGCTGGTGGCCGACAACGCTTGTCTTGCTCATGCTTCATCTGCTGCAGTTTTGGACTTGCAGATCCTGAATTCTTTGAAGTGCTTTCTTTGGAAACCTGAGAAGACCTCACGTTTCTGCTGCTAGATTTCTTATCAGAACTGATACATGGTTCAGCTCTTTGGTTTCCAGGACTACGATCTTTTGCTGCCTTTCTACTTGTTGAACTTCTTCTAGCATTTGCAGGTTCTTCTCTGCAAGTCTTATTAAGACCGGATAGACTGTGAATGGGAATCAGGGATGATGAAGGGATACCAGATTTTTCAACAAGTCTGGCAGGTTTCATTATCACAATTGGGCCTCTGATATTGGATGGCATCACCGGGTTTCGCAGGTCTATTGAATCATGGTTAGAAGTTGCAGAATCTGCCAGTTCGTAATCTCTTTGAGCTTCCAAGTTTGAGCATTGTGGTTGCTTTCGAGTATCAAAGAGACCTTTTGATTGCATTGCCTCTAATATATCTTTAAGAGCTCTGAGATCCTTTCCCGAATGTTTAAACTCGAGATCTTTCAATCTTCCCTCCATTGACTGCGACAGAGATTTCACAGACCTGCAGGCTTGCTTTTGAGAAAACCGGTTTCTATCAGTTTGCTTCCAAGGAGCTGGTTCAATGGGATATCTCAAACTTGATAAGGGTTTCATAACAAACTCAGAGCTTCTCCATCTTGGAGAAGAAGCAGCAGGGTCCTTACCTAAGCTTCTCGATGAGCTAGGAGAAAACCGAAGAGAACGGTTCAGGCTATTTTCCCTCAATGATCTTGAGAACGGATCACTGTTATCATCAAACATGTTGATTTTGTCTCTGCTCAAAGGAGAACCCGGTAATGTTTCCAAGCCCATTAGCTTCGCAACAACACTAGGAGGCCGTTTCGGGCTACCTGAAACTTTGTTCATGCTAGAGCTTCTACTGAAACTTTCAATAAGCTTATTACCTGGTTTGAGATCAACGTGGTCTCTACTGTCCAACGAAAGCCTAGGCAACTCTTTCAGCTTCTTCCCGGATTTCGACTTTCCGCGAGAATCAACATAGTAACGGGATGTATCTTTCATATCAACCTCATTGTAATAATGATGAGATGTTTTTCTAAGTTTGGCTAAAGCTCTGCAGGACTCATTGAAATCGACAGGCGTGGATTGCTTCAAACCATAGGGTCTTGGAGAATCCTCTCTTCTGTTTTGCCTACATACTTCAGAAAGCCCTCTAGCTTCTCTATACATAGAATCTCTAACAACATCTCTAAGGTCAAGTCCCATACGTGCACCACTTCCTTGGCTCATCACTGGATCACTTGTAGGAGATTCTGGAAAAATGACTCGGTCATCCGCAGAAATCTCAAGCTGTACTTCTCTGTTGACCTCAGAAGACAACGGGGAAGATGATGAACATGACGATGAGAAAGAAACCCTCGAAGATTCTGTTGATACCCTTGTTAGTTTCTCACTCGATCCATTTCCACTAATATGGTTTGAGTCTTGAGAATGAAATGCTGATCTTTGCTGATATATTTCATCCACAGAGCATCTTTCAAAGTTGATACTATTGACACGTGCATTACCTGCAAAAAACAACAAATAACATCAACAAAGTTTGTTGATCTTCTCAAAATTCTCTTTGCCAATAAACCCCTAAACATTGCAGATTCTTGAAACTTCAAGAGTCTAAGATTAAAAGAAGTCAAAAAGCTACCAAGAAAAAGGCCACATAAAACCCAAATCAATTTAAACAAAACTAACAGACATTTCACAAACAAGAGCAAAGTCAGATAAGATTCAGCCAAGAAAGCGCAAACCTTTTAGTCCTCACAGAAGAATCAGACAAGACCTTTATAGTTCATGAAGAAACAGAGCTAAAGAAGAAAGAAGATTGAAAAAGACATACTTATTAAGAACGTTTGTAACAAAATATGGCCATGTACAAGTCAACGACTAAGAGACACGATCTAGAACATTAAGCATTTATTTATTAGTTAATGTTATTGGATTATGATTACCTAAAGTAAGACTTTGACGCCGGCTTGTGAGAACATGGTGGCGATCAAAGATTTGAAAAATCCCATTCATACATCCAATTTTCTTCTGCAGATCCGAGTTTTCATCTGCCAATGTATGAAGAAGAAGCTTCGCAGCCATGAATGGTGATACAAAAGGAGAGAATTTGAACTCTTCTCTCTGTACTGACAGTGTCTTACTCCTTTATGTGCTTCCAGTAAATCCTAATTTGGGAAAAACGTAAGCTTTCGTTATTTCTCCATCAATAGCAACCACCATGGAACCATAATGAGAATGACGGCACTTGCCAACTTTCATATAATTCCAAAAAATTCATCATTTTTATCAAGAATTCAGATTCCAATAAAATTGGCTCTGACAAAGCGCATTGTGAACGCCATTGCTCTCCAGCTAAATTACAGCTTACAGCTTAAATCCCTATCAACGACAAAATGAAAAAATTCGCATTTTTCTTATAAATGGTAAATTGGGTACTAAAAAGTCACATTTTTGTCTCTATTCGTAGCAAAAGTTCAAAACTTTAAACAGTGATCTTTGATTCTTATTTCTGATTCAGAATCAAAAGTTTTAAGTCTAGGCTAGCAGAAACCTATGAATCTATTAAACCCTATTTTCAACACCTAGATTCTCAAATCCCACTCAAACCCAAAAAGAATAAGACAAGCTCCATTATTACAGAACCTTTTGTCTAAAAACTTAATATTCCAGAAGAAGATCACTGTGAATCAGAGAATGTACATTCAAGAATTTCACTAATCTAAGGAAAAGAAAGAAACCGCCAAGCCAAGAAGAAGAAGATGAGAGAATAAAAGAACCTCTGCAAAATGTTTCTTCTGGTTCTGCTCAGAGAACAAAACAAAAAGACAGCCACATAAGAAAGAACTTGTTGGTTTGCAAATATTGTTTGTTTGTTCCAATTCCTAACTCTTAAAGACTATAAAAGCCCAAGATTTTAGATTATCTTTAGTAATAATATAGTAGTGATGAATAATAAAAATAGAAATGAGAGAGAGATTGTTCATGAGAATTGGAGATACAGACGCTTTCTCTCAAATCATGAATCCATGTGGGAAGGAAGTAGGATGTGATTACTTCTTTAGATGTCTACCTTTGCATGTGACTTCTGTCTTCTTGTTTAGATTTTCTCAAAATTATCCTTCTTTTTATTTCTTCCCATTTTCTTAAATACATTGCAATGAGACAATTTAATAAATGGGAAATAAAGGAAGTCAAACTAAATGAAAAATAAGTTTTCTTCTCTATGTTTACATGATCAGGAAAAAAAAAAAAAAGATAGTTGCGACATGAAAATTAAAAAATTGTTTTTAACTGTGAAATTTTTTTACATGAAAAGAGGTTTGACATAATCACATGCTAATCATCAACAACGAAATTAGTTGGATATGGAACTACATGCTTTAGCCTTTAGTAGTTTGGATTGCCAACTAAGACTAGTTTGACTTTTCTTCTAAGTTATCTCCAGATTTTATTTCTTCCTACTAGATTGATCAACCAAACTCTAGCTCTAGAAAGAGTAAACACGGCTCCTTCAATCTCTATTCTTTAGTGTGAATACTGAGCCAGAGACTATGAACCAAACAATATCACATTCTATGAAAAGATGGTTGGGACTCTTCTTAATCCATCAAAACACCAAGACACTCAGTATGTGCGAGGATAAAAGAAATAAACCGTTCGGTTTAAATTGAAAACCTTAAAATGATCAAGGTTTACAAGAATTACTCCAAAATCTAAAATAAACCATTTTTACTGACAAGTAAGAGTTCATTGTGCAAAAAAACTGTGAGGGAGGAAGCATAACATTGCTTGCAAGTTAAACTTAACCAAAAAAAAACCGAAAATTGCAGAGAAGAAGAAAAAAACTAACTCAGAGTAAGCTCCTCATCATCCTCACCGGTCACCACAATAAGCTAACTTAGATTCTAAATTAAACCCACCCTATCTCCAGACTAATGTACAGGAAAAGAAATGATGTTGTTCACGCTGTTGTTCCTCTGTCTATAGCGGAGAATCTCTCATCTGTAAATCAAATGCCCAAAACGAAGAGAGTTAGACCCAACTAGTTTTAGATGCAATGGCTTCTTCTGTTCTTGTGTGGCCTAGTGATTCAATCATAATGACATAAAAAGAAGTTAGCCCACCTTTGTATTTGTAGCTATGACTCTCCAGGTCCGGTCTTGTTAGCTCTATCATCTATCGTTATCGCATTTCTAGATTCTAAAGACGCTTCATCTGCCTCAGGAACTGATGATGGAGCTGTATTCACAGTGCCCTGCACAAAGATTTTCAGTATTTTATGGTCAAGAAATTGTATAATCGACATTTTCAGAAAACGGGATGACAAAAGACAGGTTCTTGAGGATATATGATTAAATAAAGGCACCATATCGAGTTGTGTTGCATCTTGGTTCTTGGCATCAGAAGTAACAACAGCGGTTTCTGTTTCTTGTGGTGCCACTGCCATCGTGGTTACATTAACATCCAGAGGGTTGCTGATGGTATCAATACCAGCCCCCATGCCGTTTGATGGAGAATCTTTGGATTCTACAGCATCAGCTTGATCCTTGATCAAAGTTCTTGATATCTTTGATCTGTTATCCTGATCCCCGTTCGACATAGCTGGCCTCTTTCTGTACAACAAATACACTTGTTCACAAAACGATGCACCCAACTGAATATCAGGGAAAGAAGGAGATTAATTTAACCACTCACCTACTAAAGCTTTGATCGGTCGCCAGAACGGAGCTGGGCTTGTTTGAAAACAAAACACCACGAAGCACTTTTCCGTCTATCATTGTTTCCATAGTGTAACCAACCGGGTAACTCTCGGTTATCCGGGCTTGAAACATCATCTTTCCTTCATTAAATTGGCCAGTGTTCAAACCAAAATTTCCTCTTCCTACAATAAAATCAAGCATACACAAACTAGTGAGTTTCTGCTACAGAAAAAATGCTACCTTTGTAGGTTTCAATCTAATATTGACTAGCGCAGAATCTGCCTAAACACACCTTGATGATCCATATTGATTCTGACAAGTGATTTATCGTACAAGGAACTTGCATGACTTTGTTCTTGGCATTTTATCTTCAATTGCTTCTTTAGAGACAACCTCCCTACATTTTGATCAAATCTTGCATCGTATCCAAGACCTATTAACCGGAAATAAAAATGATTAGAGTGAGAAAAGCGCTGTCCAGATGTCCGTCCCTATGAATTACCACCTAAGAATTAGATTTGGCAATTAGTGAGTTAAAGGGGTTTGCCGTAACCTGTGTGCAAGTAGAACATGTCATCCAATGCCTCAAGATTCTTATTGCAGCCACCAACAATGACAAGAAAACCAGCTTTGTGAGGATCTAGACAAGCCCCTGCAGAAGAGAACCTAGCAGATGGTCCTTCTCCCATGGTGAGAACCTTTGACCATACGCACGTATCTACAGGTACGAACAACAAAGAAACAAAAAATGTGAGAACCTTTGACCATACCCCTATCTACCTCATAAGTCACAAGTATTCTATATTTCTATTAAATGATGCTTCAGTTACATACCGACATCAAGCACATAGAGATCATCGTAAAGATTCTGAGCATCTGTAAACCCTCCAAACACAAAAAAGTTCCTCCCAAGTGAAACAGTAACATGACCAGCTCGAGGTGTCAACAACTGCCCTGAAGTATTCAGCTCTTTCCATATGAGTGTATCTGAAAGTAAAAAAAAACCTACATTAACCTTCAAAGAAAAGACATACACTCGTAAGGTTAAAAGAACATGAATTTAAGATACTATTTCACCTGTATCAAGGATATGAACATCGGACAGATAGTAGTCATGTCCATCTTCGCCACCTATAACAACAAGTTTGTTCTTCCACGATGAGCAAGAGTGGCTATCCCGCGCAGATGGAGGATTCCCAATTGTAACAGCCCGTTTCCACACAAAAGTCTCTACACAAGAGTAAAGCCGATTAACTTAATTGCATCCTTGAAAATTCAGTACAAAAAGCATTTAAAAACCTCAACAGTAAGGCAAGAAAGGATATGGTTTGCACTTGTTTTTAAGTTAGAATCTATCTAAGGTCCCTTATCAATGAAAAGAGATGATAATATGGAAACGATTCACATGCCAATTTGAAGAAAGTCATGAGTTAACAGTACCTGTATTAAATATGTAAACGTCATTGTAATAGATTTCGTCATTAATACCAGAAGATTTCCCACAGCCACCAAAGACAAACAGCCTTTTACCAACCAGCGTGGCGCTATGACCTTCTCTTGCCTCAGGTCCCTCTCCCCTAACACTAGGACATTTCCAAGTATGTGAAGCTATAACCACAAATAAAAACAAATAAGCAAAGTGAGAATGACTTCTTCAAATAGGGAGAACTCAAAACTTGAAACATACAGAGAGAGAAAGCTTACAAGTATCTAGAATATACAAATCCTTGAGAGGGTTAACGCCATCAGTACCACCAAACACGAAAAGGTTGTCGCCGACTGTTGTACAGCTGTGACTGTCCCTAGGAGGAGGAGGAGTGCCATTGATCATTGGCTGAGTCCATATCTGCTTTGCTGCAACAAGGATCACCACAGTGAGAGCAAGTAAACCATAACGGACCAACTCAAAACCATACCAGTACAAAAAGCTTCAACAAAAGAGTCAAACCAAAATCATTAAAGGGCAAAGCTTTAAATACAAAATTGGATATAGAGAAATGGGGATATATCTCATCCTAAAGCACACATGCAAGATTAAACGAAGAGAAGAACACCTAGATGAGTGTCTAGAATCGAGTCAGAGAAAAAAACGAAATCCGAAATGGGAATCAACCCAAATCCGCCATTTTTTGATAACAGAGACGATGTGGAAAGAGAGAACTAACCAGCGTCGAAAACATGGACTTGATTGGTCTGGCAATTATCTCTGCCATAGCCACCGAAAACATAGAGAAAGCTACCTCCTTTAATGGCGTTACAAGTGTGTCCCCACCTCTTACCGGGCCCGGAAGAAGAGTCACCGAGACCCACTTGTTGCTGTTGTTGTCGGACCCTTTCCCACCTCATTTTCCGGGCGTGAATAATTCCTTCCGTCTAGGTGAGAAAGTGCGGGAAAATGAAATGGGTGTTTTTGAGGAGGAGGAATGAGGAAGAAAGGAAATCCGAAATCCAAATTATATCTTATGGCCGATTACAGATGATAAAAGGTGCTTCCTTTTTTTGCTTAGGTTTTTTTTTGGTTACCGGAAAAATAAATTAAAGAAGAGAACAAACAAAAAACCTGGCGAAGAGAAAACAAAAAGAAAAAAACTGTACTTTATTACGTGGCACTTTTATGACGTGTCGAGTATTTACTGGTTGGCTATAAGTCCCTTAAAATAGTGAAATGGGTCCCGAGACTTAAGGATTTACGTTACAAGGATCTTCTTTTGTTTTTCTAACAATTAATTGTGCTTGAATCCACTTAAACCATAAAAATATCTACTTAAAAATCTACTCTAGATTTTAAAATTTTAAAAGATAATTAGGTTCGGAAAATAAACCATAAAAAAAATCATAATTAGATTCGGAATCATAAACCATAATAATCATAATCTTTTAGAAAATAACCCATAAAAAATCTACTTAAATAGATTTTAAAAGATAATTAGGTTTGGAATGAAAACTTATGGATAACTGCTAAAACATATATTAACTAATATTTATGTTATTATTAGATTCGTTACGCACTATACCAACGATCTTATTTGAAGTCTTAATATTTTTATTACAGAATGGTTTTTATTTGAAGTCTTAGTATTTTATTTGAGGTCTTAGTACTTCTTTTTTTTATCAACAAAGGTCTTAGTACTTTTATTTCTTTCTTTTAATATTGAAAATTTCTTATCTAAGTTCCTAATTATCAAAATTATATAAAAATTAGTAAATAAAGGAAAAATTTTACCAACAACTTAAGTATTTTGGTCATGTTGTGTTCTTATTAGTGTTATGAGCACTAAACAATCTAATTCTATTTCAATAATCCATATTTTAATCAGGATTTTTTGAAGTTATCGGAACATTTATTTTGAATATTTAACATAATATTTTCGTTTATTTACGTAAGTCAAACAATATAATTCGTTGAGAAAAAAAAAACAATATAATTCAATTTCTTGTCTTCAAGATTTCTTAAATAGTTAATATCTTTAACTTAAAACAGAAATATCCAAGCAGAGACCAAATCTTGTTAATGGTTCAAAGATTCAAAGTTACTTAAATCATTTAAAGAAAGATTTCTCTAAAGATGACCAAAACCAAGCAAGGTCAAGTCAAAAGCGGAAGCGGCCTTTCCTAATCCGAGCCCAGGCGATGGCTGCAACTGCAGCTCCTCCCAAATGAGCTGAACCTGATATGTTACTGTTCCCCTGCAATGTCCAAATTGTTTGTTGTTTGCAAAGAAAAAATATCATCAGATAGTTCCAAACATACTTTGCAATGTTTTATTAGATTACCTCTGTTATCCTTAAAATGTCTTTTCCTATGAGGAAGATACCCTGACAGATAAAGAAGAGTGAGTTTAATAGTTGACTTAAGAAGAGAGCTTTAAGCCTAACATGATTGAGCCAGAGAGCTTAAAACTTACAAGCAACATTGCGGGAACTGGGATGATGAATTCTAAGTATAGAGTAGCTGTTGGGTGCAAGAAAATATCGAGCAGCATGATGGCATTCACGGCTCCACTCGCGCCCTTTTATACAACAAAAAAGAGTTCTTCAAATCATTCTCACTTGCGGCCAATAAATACAGAACAATGGATCTTTATGTCAAACTCATGTTGAAATAGAATCAATGAAGGGGATCAAGAGTTAACTTTGGAAGCATTAGCTCAATAATCATAATTTCAAATTTTCAATGTCTAATAACCAAATCAACGATTGAATGTCACTGTTCTCTTAATAAAACCAGTAAATTCAAACATACCAGTCCCGGGGTTCTCGATGGATCCCTCACAAAAGCTCCTTGGCCCTGTCCACCGCATATGATTAGTCAAAAAGGAAAAGCCTTCCCAACACAACATCATAGTTCAAATGCAAAACTAACTTATCTGAGGATCTAGCATGAACTAAGATAACGGAAACTAACTGCACAACATGTTTTTACGCTGGTTGTTCTATACCTTTGGCGATGTTGCAGCCATATAAGCATGGTGAATCAAGTAGAAAACAGAGCCACCAAGCGCTCCAGCAAGGTAAAGCTTCAAAAGGAACTGAGGACCAAAGTTTCTAGCGATCTAGCAAGAGAAAGATTCAGAAAAATGAACAAGTAAGCGATTGACGCAAAACAATTCACTGTCTCAATCAAAAAACTAGCAGTGACAGGCTGAAGAGTGCCTCACTCAACAAATACAAATCATAAGAGAAAAGAAGTGGTACATTGGTTCCAAAAAAGTAGAGTCCAATCATGTTTGAGACGATATGTCCAATATCAATATGACTGAATGCTGAAGTTATCAGAGTGTGTAGACGCCCACTCGTGAAATTATCCAACGATATCTGCCCAAAATATCAATCAACAAAGTCATAATCAACTATGATATCACCAGCATTACATACAAAAGACATCTAGAGCCTAATTCTCCATAAACAAGCATGTACTGGAACGAAATGTCTATAAAGTTGTAAGCTTTGAGGTCTAACCATGAAATTATTCATCATGAATTGTTGATTGAAAACACGCCACATCATAAAGACACCAGTATTAGCTATAACTAATCCAAGAACAACGTCACGATCTGATAATCCTTGAAGCCAATGCTTCCTGTCAAATGTTAAAAACACAAGTGAAACTTAAATCTAATCTCAATAAGGTTGTAAGAAATTTAGGGACGATGAGGGACACTAACATACCAGCCACGCCTTTGAAACCCAGAAAACCTGTCGAATTCGAAACCCTTTTTGGGAAACTGAGGACCAATGAAGCCAACTCTTGATTCCACGAGATTTCCCAATTTCACAGCTTTGTTCCCTAAAGCGCTCGCGAAAAACCCACGAATTTTCTCTGATCGCCATAGCTGAGAAGGGTCAAAGCGGCTCACGGGAGGAGCCGACGGGGTTGAAGGAAGATAGTGTGTTCGAAAATGGCGGCTCTGGTTTGGTTTGTAGAGCGAAGTGAAAGTTTGACGATTCGGGTGAGAATGAGTAGTTGGGTTCGCGAGCAGCTTGGTGAGACGCGAAGATGAGTCGACGACGACTCTACGGTTGAAAATCGCCTTCATTTTTTAAAAACTTCAATAGTAAATTTGCCCAATTGGCGAAAATGTAAAGGCGAGACCTTTCGCGTAACAGAAGAAAAAGATCAAATTTTGATGGAAGCGATACACCGAAGATCGGAAATTTTAGCTTTTTAAGAACTAAATGCTGGACATGGACTACTGGGTATTACTCGATAGTCTCTGTTCGAAACATAATCAATGTGCAGAGCAAAATTGAGCAGCTTTGATGTTTTTGTGTAAGAACTTTCTCGATGTTTTTGAAAGATGATGTGATAAGTTTCCAGTTTTATCGTTTTTACATGGCTCCTCATTGGTATTTGTAAGTACTATTTGCTGTTAAACCGCAAAATCGTAAAGGACAAAACTCGAAATTAGTACTTTCGGAAAGAGAAACTTATTCACCGCAAGGATTGAGCAAACAAATGTAGTAACGTTGAACAACACATCACACAACATTGGTGTATTTTTTAAATATCTCTTTCCCATCTATATTTCATGCTATTTGATCTTAACATTGAAACCAAAAAAAGAACAATAGATTGAGCTTTGTAAAAATGATAATGGAGAGGATTGTTATTGTCAAAACCATCATTAAATTCTTCTCATACCATTTTCTATGTTGATTTAGTTTATGACCTCAAAAGATTTATACAGTTACAACTTACAAGTGATATGACACTCAATGTCAAAGACACTAACTTTGCTTAAACAATTTTCTTATACTCACTCAGCGTCAAATACACCAAATTTGCTTAAACAATTACAACTACAAGTGACATGTTTCTTCCCTTTTAGTCTTGGTGTAAAACAGAGGTTGCTCTGTTTTTTCTCTTACTGATTCTGCATATTAATTTCTCTGTGTCTTTGCATCTGTGAAAGACAACATCATTAGTTTATGACCAATAATTCCATACATATATTGATAGATATACTCAGCAATAATACAACACTTCGACACAGATTCATCAAAGGAAACTATACTAATAAACAAAAGCAACTTATGCTATAAACCAGCATAAAGATCATAAGAATTAGACAGTCATAGCTCGAAAACAAGACAAAAGAAGATCACATTCATGATGTTGAAGTAAGAAAGCCAGTTCCTTTAAACTTCTCTTCCATCAAACCATCAATACGAGCCACCATCTCCGGAGTCAGATAATTCTGCCAATCCCCAACTTTCCCTTTCCTGAAATACGCACTATTGGCATAAACAGCAGGACGATCTTCTCTATCTTTCTCACCTTTATTAGCTTCAAGATTCTTCAAAGTCTCAAAGCTACAAAGCTTCACAACTTTCTCAACAACCTTTTCCTCCTCTTCCACTTCTGAGAATCCATAACCCATAAACTCAGCTAATCTCTTCACATACGGCAACGGATCAGCTCTCATAGTCTCATACTTGAGAAACAAAATCTGATTTGGGTTTGCTTCGTAAGCTTTCCAATACCCTAAAACATGATCAAGATAAGGACCGTAAGCAGATAAACCTTGACAGTATTTATCAAAAGCTTCCTCAAGGCTAATGAGTGATCCTTGTTGTGATCTCTCCTTGTGAGCAAAAGTCCACATCGACACAAACGTGTCCTTTGGGTCTCTCCATATGTAAACAATCTTGCAACCAGATTTCACAACTGATTCAGGTAAGAGATCGTAAGGGATATGAGTTGAGAAAAGCGTGTTTCCTTCGTCTTGAAGAACATCAACACTTGGGAAAAACGGGAAATCGATTTCGATGTAAGGCACAAACTCGTGTGGGTTGCGTTTGAGAAGAGGGTTTGTTGAATCGTCGAACTTGGAGCGATTCGCGATTGCGAAAGTTAAGGCTTTGAGCCAAGTGGTGCCGGTTTTTGGGTAGCTGCAGACGAAGAAATCATTGGGTCGTGCCTTGAAGAACTTCTGGGCGTGAAGTAAACCTTCAAGGAGAGGTTGTAGCCACCAGTGACCACCGTAATCAACGAATGGGTCTTTTGGTCTCCAGCCATCTTTGTGAGGAAGCTTAGCGATGATTTCTTGGTAATGTTTCTGGTTCTTCTCGAATTCTGATGGCGACGAAGATGCTAACTCGTGATTCGACTCTGATACGACGACGTTGTTTATGGTTTTGGATTCCATTATAGAGAGGTTTTTTTTTTGGTTGGATATGTAATGAAAAGATTAATACTCGTTTGTTGTTCGTTATAATATATAGTTTGAAGTGAGAGAATAGATAAGTAGGTTGGTGGTGACTGGTGAGGCTATTATTTGACCCACAAACGTGTTATTTGTGATTTTTTCAGTTGCTGGTTTGGTGACTATGCAGTTTCTTTTTGAAAAATTATAAGAATGTATTTGCAATAATTAACAAACAAAATTAATGATATCGTGTAACGTATGTTGAAGTGAAATTTTATCAATTAATTTAAAGATATTACTCAAGTGTAGTATTTAAAATAACTTTAATGGTCATATGATAAAATTATTTATCAAGTGTAGTATTTAAGTTATCTCGTTTACAAGTTATAGCATGTATAAAATTCGTTTGATATCATTGTTTTGTCTATTATTATTTTTTATTTTTTGTCTCTTGAAAATCTGACGTGGATAACCTCATATTATAGTCATCATGTAATGTTAACACTTAACAGAGAATTCAACAGCTTAAGAAAATAAGAAACTCGCCAAAAATAATTATCCCTGTAAGTAAGTAATCTATTCAACCGTAAGTACATTATGGACCCTCTAATGTGTGATTATAAGTTTCTCTTTAGACCAAAAAAAAAAAAAACAGTCTTCGGAAGGAAATCTGAATTTGACAAACTTTCTGAGATCTACAATATTCCAAAAAAAAAGAATCTTCGAAGTATATAAGAATTCAAGAATCTTGTGATATGGATTAGTCTCAACTCTCATTGGCTTTTTGCTTTAAGGCTTTAAGCTGTGACACAATCTTGTAAATAAGGATGGCTCGAGTTCAAAAACCTCAACCAGAAAGGTTTATACCTACCAATGCCCAGCTTTAGCCAAGGCTTCATGTTACCATTATAGTGAATCACAGCTGCCGTTTCTATCAGACGGTTATCGATGTTCACATCATAACCTAAGCCCAAGACATGCCATCTTCTGTCCAGTGGCTCTGTGAGACCATAGAAAGACAGTAGACCTGGAGGGAGTGTCCCGAGTTTCCAAAGCGTTCGTTCTCTGTTTTGCTCTTGCCAGTAATGGTACCGAGCAGTAACGTTTGCTTTCCTCCAAGCGATCAGATCAAAAACGTTCATACCAAACGCCCATCCACATGCTTGTGGGTCGAACTTTGAGCTGATGAGTGGGTTCGAGAAATTTAGATACTTGTAATAACGGTGAAAGGCTTCAAGACATGTTTCCACAGCTCCATTGACATTGCCGTGCAGATCCAAGGAGAAGAGTGGTGTCAAATCTTTCTGAACAACAACATCATCGTCTAGGAAAACGATCTTCTCTAGCTGTGGATAGATCTCGGGAATGTAGAATCTGAGATGGTTCAGTAATGACAAGTACTTTGGGTTCCTCACTTTTGGCTCAGAAATCGTATCTTGACTTGTCTGTTCCCCAAAATAGTAAGCTCTTGCATCTGTGTCCAGCAGTTGCTTAACAACAGGAGAATATGAAGCATTCAACCAAGAAAACTCCTCTATGCTCCTGATCTCTATAGCTGAGCCCTTGAAGTCATTACTCAGAAACCAGGCCTGCATAGCTTTGTAGCTCACTCGATTCGTCACTATGTGGAAAACAAGCTGTTTCGGGTGATCAGCATTTGAGACGGTTGAATTAACAACAACCGAGGTGGCAATCAAGTTGTCCGAGAAGATGCAGAAATGGTAGAGGTTGTTGTCGACAAGTCTAGGTGAGTTTCTGTTTTCATCAGCCAGTTCATGGCGAGATGGCTCTATTAACCAATCAGATGTGAGCTTTATCATCAAACAGTGGAGGCTCTTTGGTAGTGCCTCAGCAACCAATTGCCCAAAGATTGTGGTTTGAACGGTAGCTGCATTTGCACGCTCTTCAAGGGCTTGGATGTGAGATTTCATGGTCATCATTGTAGTGGCTATGTCGTAATGTGCATCTTGAGCCTTGTAGATAAGAGCTGATAGACCACTAATAATCGGTTTTGCCTCATCTAACGAAATAGGTTGTCCTCTCATTGCTGCTTTCGAAAGCAGAAGCTGACAACTTCTGATCTTAGAACTCAATTCCCAAGCTAAATGAAGATTATTGTGCTCTTTAGCTATAAAAACATAAGCCTTGGCAAGTGTCATTTGCTCTGCTAACTGCCTAGAGAATGAGGAAGCACTTGTGACCTCTTCCGTGAAGTTTAAACGGGTAGGAGATACCATTTCGGTTCTTGTGTCTCTCTCCTGTCAAAGATGAAAAGATCAGAGTAAGTTCTCCAAAAGACACAAACATCAGAAGTTATGAACACTCATCCAATGTCTTATCTTTAGTAAATGAAATCAACATGAACTTCACCAATTTATGATATAACTAACTACTGCAAATCCTTCCCATCTGGAACTCTGATCGACGACATATAGCGCCCTTAACATTGTCATCATTTTGCACTCACATTAAGAAAATATTTGAAACCAAAACCAACAAACAATATCAATAAGAAACTACAACAGCCACAATATCTTCAAGCCAAGTAATTCATGAAAAGAATTGCACCTTAAAGTAACATCAATAACCAAACACAAAAACTTTCCGAAGATTTCGAAAACAGAGGTTCACACATTCAATACTCAAGAGGTTAAAATCATCCAATTGAAGATACTTCAACTCGGAAACTTCACTGATTCCATAGTTATACACCGATCGAATAAGGAGTTTTCAACCTAATTTCATTAGGTTACAATTCTAGTGGATTCAAAAAATTTGTCAGCACAACAAGATCCACAATTTTACATGAGGGATGATCAAGCAGAGCAAAACTCAAATCTCAGCAATCAAATCGATGAAACTAAGAGAGAAAAAAAAAAACAGAAAGACATACAAGTAAAAGCTGAGATGGATCTTGTTGATGGTGATAATGCTGAACCATGAAGAGAACTAATCCAGCGACAGAGAAAGAAGCAAGGAGAAACCATATCCAACTCGACAATCTCCTTCTACCTCGCCGCCGGTGATCCACCGGCCAACGCCTCATCTTTCGCTACAACTCCACCCACCGTTTCTGAATCGGTCTTAAACACTAAAAACCCAGATTTCGAGCAGAACCTAAAGAATTCGAAAATCTGCCGACAGAGATCCAGAGGAACAATCGACAAGGAACTGTAATCTCTATAAGAGAGTGAAGAAGAAGAAGAAGTGAGTTTAGAGAATGTGTGATCTATTCTGGCTTTTGCTTTTTCCTTTCACGTTTCTACGAGTGTATCGAATTCTTTTCTTCACTGTCCAAATATGTTTTTTTTTTTTACCCAGATCTAATTCATTGGCTAGTAAATGACGGACAGTTTATCAATTTTCTTTCTTTTATCAAAGTTTTAACTTCTTTTACAATTTTTGTCCCAAATTAATTCTTCCAAAAAACTTTTTTTTTACATATGAGACATGAAGTAGATAGAGTGTCTATTAACACCCTATCACTCAGTCGTAGCTTAGTGTTAGATTGATTTGTATATGAATCTTCGATTCAGATTTCGGTTCGATTATTTTGTTATATAGGAAATAGTTACTATACTAAAATTTTGTATATTTTTATTTCGATTTGAACATTCTTCGTTTCCAATTTTCCGAGTTTTGAATTTTTTAGTTTAAAATCGAATAAACAATAATGATCGTTTTGAAAATAAAATAAAAATTACATGAAAACATGTCAACAGTTAGCCTACCGTCAAAACGAGTGACCTATTTTCATGGTGAATATCGCTTCTTTTACGATCTTTAGATCCATTTTTCTATCTTGCTATATTAGTTTTAACTCTCTTAATAACAGTATTTGGGTAGTTTGTTTAACTAATAAAACAAGTACTCGTGTATCTTTCTTTCACATTTAAATTTATCGATTTTCGATCGGCTCTCCCTAAAAACGAGTGTGTATCTACATATGTATCCGTTAATTTAGTAAAACGGAGTTTGGCTTGTAAAAGAAATCGACACATTTACAAAGGCCGACGCTTTTACAAGTGTGTGGTTAGTGGCTACAAGCTATATATTGATAAAATATACTCATTTCCAAAATGCTAAAAAAAGTGCATCTGTGGTTAGTAACTTAATATGAATTTTTAGTATTTCATGTTATTAAAACATTTGATACCCAAAAAAAAAACCATTTATCACATTTTCCCAAAAACCAACGCTTTTACAAGTGTGTGGTTAGTGGATATACTAGCCTAGTGATGATAATATACTCATTTCCAATAAAGAGAGTTAGTAATACTACGTACCGCCTACTGATGATATTGAAACTACCTATTATTAACGATCCATTAAGAGCATCAGCAGTGGCAAAACCATGAGGATAGATGTTAATAATAGATTTATTATAAAATTTATTGAAGAGAGAGGAGGAGAATTGGCAGGTGGACAGAGAGAGAGGAGAGAGATAGAGAGAATAAATTGTTTTCCCTTTTTAAAAAGCCTCACACCCGAATGCAACTATACACTCGAGTTTTGTTGAAAAACAACTTTTTACATTATTTCTCTATTGTTTAATACTCACACCCGCCGAGTGGTTACACCACTGCGTGTGGCCTTATGCTATGTAAATTATTGGTGCCAACTAACTATATTTAACAAAAAGAAATAAGAGAAGAAAAAGAAAAAACCCAACTATTTTTAATGATCAATTAAGGTTCTATGAAAAGTCTCCACGTTAACATTTTGGATCGAGCAATAATCACAACTTTTCTTGTTTACATTTCTAAAAACCAGCAATCAATGTCGTCCTTTAATGGGTATGTGTAACAAGTGGAAATAAAGTTGGAGGAAATAGAATCACTTTTGTTTTGAGTCTTTCGACGAAACCGTTGGATGGTGATTGCACTTTTCATCAAATCGGATATATTTTCTATAGCAGAATCGATTGATTGATCTATTACATATTTTAAAGTCACTTTGGCTTATTCGAGTAGGCATCAAACTTGGATCCCAGGAGACTAACCGAAGATCAAACCGACTTAAATTATCCGACTAATTAATCTCATACGTAATAGAATCAGAAAAAGGAACTGCATCTTAACAATATTTTGGATTTCCAATAGTCTATGCTTATTCAACTATGTATGTGTATTTTATTTTGGATTACTCGAATTACAAAAAGTTATTACTATATATATGTTACTAGATCATCACCCGTACTGTAGTACGGGTTGAATTTCATTTTTTACAAAATTTATATATTATATAGTTATAGAATAAAATCGTGATATATTATAATAGTAAGTAAAATCGTGATATATTTTTTAAAGATATGAAAACGGAAAATAATATTATTTTCAAAAAAATAATATTGTTTGAAAAATGAGTTAATTTATGTTAACAACCACAAAATGAGAGTGCATATAATTTAGTTAGATCAAAAATCAAAATATCATAAATGAATCGCATCTAAAACGTAGATTATTTTGAATTAGTTTAAAAAGTTAGCTATTATTTTGAATTAATTTAGGAAATTATTTTTTCAAATTCTAATTCATTGGTTGTTGAAATAGAGATTTGTTTGAGCTAATTACGGAATTTACCAATTATTCACATAATCGAATATGTTATGAACATATATTTGATATATAATAATACCAAATTCGATCCGTGTGTGGAGTCTATATTTTTATTTTACAATCCCTATGAAAATATTGTGGCACAATCTATTATTCATTATTTCCAAAATTGCTTGCAGAATTAAATTTTCAAATATTTAGAAGTGTCAAACCTTATTTAACTCATCTCATCATAAAATCTTAAAATATCGTCTATTATAAGGATCATAACTTTTTATCATATAATACATTACTTTTAACCCGCCGCCTACTATAAATATATTAAACATATATTTTTAGAAAATTAAATTAGTATTTATAATTTTTTTTATCTTTTTAATCTATTAAATATTTATGATATTCTTTAATATATTAAATTAAACTTTTTTTAAATGTTCCAAATTAAAATCTTTAAAAATTTATTGTAGTATGTAAAATTTTGAATTGAAAAATATATATATATATATATATATGTGAAATTAAATATAAATATTCAAATAGTTATAAGGATCATAACTAATTTCATCATATAATACATTATATTTAACCCGCCGCCTATTATAAATATTTGTTTCAAAAAATCAAATTAGAGTATTTGTATTTCTTAACTTTTTGATCTATTAAGTATTGATGATATTAAAAAAAAGAATATATTACTCAAATATGAATTTTTGACCCGTTAAATTTGTTCTTTCATACATTGAACAATTTTTATTCGTTTTTAAAAATTCAAATCTTTGTATATGCGGAAAAAATTTACTTTTTTTTTTATTATGTAGATGATATAATAATTTATTTATTTTATAGAAATAGAATATAAAGATGAGAGGTGAAGTATAATGATTAATAACAAATTAATGTGATAAGTTAGATATCAAATCTTATATGTTCTTTTTGATTGGTCATTCTTTAAAAAAAAATTAATAATAGATTTTCGTTTTTATAATTAAATTAAATTAATTAAATTGCATAAAATAGTATTTGACTTGTTTATCCTTAATGAGTTGAATTAATTTACTCTATAAAATTTTATTTCTAATGACATTCTTAAGTAAATTTTTACAAAAGGGAAGGTTTATTAAGGGTATCTTATAAAGTGTACTCCCCAAATAATAGTATAGGATGTTTTACGAAGCAGCCTATAAGGTTTTTAATCAGATGTTTGATTTAATGTCCAGTGGTCGTAACGTATTAATTGGTTAATGGGGAGAAAGCGGGCTTTACCGTCTAACCTAGCTAGCTCAACGAACTCCGTTGTCATTATGCTGTCACAGCAGCTTTGTTCAAATAGGTTAAAAACAAGTGTTTAAATGTTTTTTTTTTTGTAACATATTAATGGATTATTAAGATTTATATTCCTATATATATAAAGATTTAAATCGAAAATATGATCCTGTGAATACGCCATTTTTATCAACCTCGTGGATACGGCAATTAAGCTTAGAAGTTAGACAATTAGCGTCGTTTTAAGTTATACTTTTTAAGTCTTTTAACATTGTTCTTTATACAATAAAAAGAAGAAAAAAAACAAAAAATACAATGTTCTTTATACGTGTAGTGTAGTACCGACCTACTACCAAGTAGCAAGTATGTATGATAAAACACTAAAGAAAAGATAAAATTGTCTATGATACAACTATAGAAGTGGTACTGCTTTTTGTCAGGCCATCCATATTTATCCCCATGCAGAAAAATAGAATTGGACTATTGGTGCCGAATCTATCAGAATCATCCATCATAGCACTGGCCTATATATTATGTATTATATCAGTAAGTAAAATTATCATTGATAAATACTTAAATAGAACAAACTTATTTTTCTAAACAAAACTTGATATTTCATTTATGTTTTCTTATATAACTACATATTCATATTTCAATTATTTTGAATATATAAATCTAAAAGTTTTAATTATGGTATATGCGAAAAAAATCTAAATTTTTTGTTAGTAGAATGAAAAAACCGATTTAACTTATAGAAGTATTGGAAAAATCAAATGGAAAACGACTGTAAAGAGAGGTTGAAATTTTATAGCCTTCAATCTCATCAACTAATTATCTACTCTCTTTTTATATATATATAAATACTAATTATCTACTTCATCTTTTACTAGAAAGTCATTCTCTTAATTATAATTGTTTATAGTTTATAGTTTTTTTTTTTTTTGTCAATCCTAGTTTATAGTTTATATAACATGTTTTCTGTAGTTAAAATACTGTGTGAAAACTATAAAAAATGAAGTTGGTCACTGAGTCCTAGTAGGACCGATAAAGGGCACGAGCATATCTGGAGACTAGCATCATTTTTCCGACAATAATTTATTTGTTTATTATTTTTTCGCATGTATACTTTGAACAGAGAAAAATGTCAAGTGAGAAGAAGCTAACCATGAAAAATAAAAATTGCTACATATATGGTTGTGTGTGTACTAGTATTTATTGTTACGTCATGGACTTTTGAAATGTCAAAAGTCATAACTCAATAATGTGGCACTACCACACAGTGCCAACTGCAAAGACGGGCAATGACTTAGTGAGTAGTGACGACCCACATGCTTATGCATTATTTAAAAATATATATCCACAAATTACTGTATCAACCTCTTTATCAGATAAAAAGTTGAGAATTAAAGAGAAAGAAAATTAGATGGCCCGGTTGATTACGTAGTGTACATGATCACAAAATACTTGCAACTTGTTTTTAATTTGTAAGCAAACTACAACTTGTTCAATAGATTTATCGTTCATTTTGTGGAAGCAACCCTCGCGACACTTATATTTGGACGAAGAACTAAAATTAACGTGTAATACTTTATATTGTCTTTTTGAAAACAAATTTTCAGATAATTTTTTGTTAGTTCAAAAATGAATAAATTTTCATGTTTTACCTAGATTCAGAAGAACAAGTGACTTCCATCTGAAGAGTTCAAGAAGTAACAGATTTTTTCTCAACATTTACGGTAATTTCCATCTGAATCTCCATTATAACACGCACGCACGTCTACCAAAAACGTCACGTACACAAAATCTGATAAGACTAGTGTAATATTCCTTCTGTTTCATAATATAAATCGTTTTAATTAAAAATATATAGATTAAAAATATTTATTTTTAAAAAATTTAGCCAATTATAAAAGAGACTGCAGGATATAAATAATTATAAAATATTATATTAATATATAATTTGCATAGAAACTTAAAATCGATTTATATTGTGAAATAAAAAGTTTACCCAAAACGATTTATATTATAAAACGGAAGGAGTAGTGTTGATGAACAGAAGGGAGAATATACTATTTTAACTAGTAGTGTTTTAATTTCTAATCACTTTATTTGTATAGAAACAGTAAAACACTATCTTGGAAAAGCAAATTAAATCATTCACCTTTTTAAAACTATTAAATATTGAAACAAATCTCAGCTTTTACTTTATTTTGTTTTCGGCATGGTGCTTTCAAATTTAAAGGTTTGGAATGATAATGCACAATTCTTCTTATCTTTATTCCTCGGAACATTCAAAGAATGATCCTCTCGCTTGCTTTGTGTGGGTCTTATGGCTGATTATTAGTATACTAATACCATATTGATAGGGTGGGATATATATATATTATATATACATTAGAGAATGACATATTTAAGTCATAATATAATAAGTTAATCGTTGAAATTTTTTATCTACAAAACTGGTAGAAGATATAATTCTTTATTTTCAAAATCGAAATCGTCATCGTTTTATCTAATTCCTTTAGCTTCAATATTTTGGTTGAGTGGATGTACCGAATTCTAATTATAAATTATACTTTCATGTTTTATTTTTTGTGCCATAAAACCATTTTTAAAAATTTATAGTTCATCAATTATAAATTTAAACTATTTTTATTTTATATGAAATATTTACATTCTTAACAAAAAAAAAATTATACAAATATAATTCTTTATCAAACATGCTCGATACATTAGCCCTCTCGGCCTCTCCCATGACATGAGCCTCAAAAGTAATAGTGGAGCACAGCACATTAAAATTAAGAATGTAGAATTTAAAATCCTGAAATTAATTTTTGTATGTGTTAAAGTTTTGTTTGTTCTTTTTCTTTTTTTTGGTGAGTTTGTTTGTTCTTTTTTTCGTGGGTTTATTTAAAAACTCGTTAAATTTTTTTATTACATCACCATTTATCATCCGACTTGAAACCAAAAAAGGAAGAAAAAAAAACACACACACAAAAACACAAGCTATAGGCATGCATACATGGTTCATCAGTCATCACCATCATCATTATTTATTACTATCATCATCATCAAGGTAACATATCCATAGACATATAGTATATCTTCATATATCATATTGACATGATTACGCGGGATTCATCGACCAGGAGATTCTCTCATCCAAAATAGTTATCAATCTCGTCAAAAATATCTTGACGTTCATAGACCGGCGGCACATCAACGACGCCATGATTTTCATCCTCATGAAGAAACCTCGTAAGTTCTTTCATGAACGCAGTGTTGTCAACACAAGATTCCTCCAACATCATGAAATCTTCATCATTCAGAAATGTCGAGAACTCGATAGTATCCTCATCATCAACGTTATTATTACCAACGTAATTATCACAGTACATTAAAGGATTGTTAACGGAGGCATCAGAGAACGTGGACGAAGAAGACGTCGGATTAAGGTTACCATCAACGTCAAAGTTCGATGAATCAGGTGTTGTTGCAACGGTCCCATGGCAGAGAAGATTCGAGGTTGGTGCGAAGGAAGAACTCGTTGACTTATCTGATTCAGAGTCAACGGAAACACTTGTAGTTGTAGTAGTAGTAGTAGTGTGACTAGTAGTAGCAAGTGGGCCTCCACTTGCGATAATCTCAGACAGAACACTCTGATTGATTCTCTTTCCGAACCTATTAGCTACTCTGTTCAAGAACCTAGCCGATGATAATCCGGAATTCTTGTTGTTCTTCTTCGCCTTGTCATTATCAAGATCATCGTCAGTAGTTGTCTGATTAACGTTTTGTTTCTCCGGGAGGTTTTCTGATTTGTCGGTACCGGAGTTTAAGCCCTTGTGTGTAACCGGATCAATACCTTTCTGGATCAAACGTTTCTTGATATGAGTGTTCCAGTAGTTCTTGATCTCGTTATCGGTTCTTCCTGGTAATCCACGAGCTATAGCGGACCATCTGATTAAAAACAGATAACAACATTAGTAATTAAAGCACAACCATTATAATTGTTAATGCAAACGAAAAAGGACAAAACACATAAAAATGTAGAGCTAGAGACTAACTTGTTGCCGTGAAGGGCGTGAAGAGAGATGATAGAACATTCTTCGTCTTCAGTGAACTCTCCTCTTTTGATGTCAGGTCTAAGATAATTGGCCCATCTCAGTCTGCAGCTTTTGCCGCACCTCTTGAGTCCTAACCAATTAGAAGAATGGACTTTTAGTAAAATAATTGAGCAATAATGACTAATAAAGGTCCAACATTGAATATTCAAAACTGACGGAATAAAAAAAAATATAAAATGAGATATACCAGCTTTTTCGGGGAGAGTTCGCCATCCACCTTCACCGTGACGGTTAAGGTAAGAGAGAAGCTTCTGATCTTCCTCGGGAGTCCAAGCTCCTTTCTTTAACCCTAATTCAGCTTTGCAACACGGTGTCCGCACCATTCTTGATTCTTGATTCTTGATTCTTGATTCTTCGAAGAAACTTAGGTTTCTTGATCGAGTTCAAAGGGGGTTGTTCTCAAGTACAAACAGAGAACAAAGATGGAAAAAAATATGAAAACCTGAGAGGTGAAACAAAGTGAGAAATGGGGCGAATGATCATAGAGATTGAGCACAGGATCTTTTGATTAAAGAATTCAGACATCTGTAGATTCTTCGAATAGACATCTTGTTCTTTTGCGTACTCGAGATCGAGGAGAAGAGAGAGAGAGAGAGAGATCTAGTTGCTCTGTGTTCTTACCACAAAGAGAGGGATTTTATAGAGAGAATCTTTTTTTCTCGATAAGGAACTGTTTGGGTTGCACTTGGCAAAGTGAGAAACTTATAGGAAAGGGCGCATCTTTATTTATGCTTGCTTATGGCGCTGCTAACGTCGTCGTTTTATTATGACTGACACGTGGCTCTGTTTGATTCCTTATGCAAAATTTTATAATTTGATTTTTTTTTTACCTCAGTTTTATAATCTGATTATTACATAAAACCGCTAACTTTTGTCAGTGGAAATTTTGACACTAGACGTTTATCTTTCTTAGAGTAATTTATTTTACTATGTAAATTGTCAACAAAGTATGCTACGAAGACAGCTATTTTATATAAAATATCCTTCCCATTGATCCCATGCATAAAGACCGCCACATTTGATATTAAATTGATACTGTAGTAGCGAAAGGTTCCTAAAAACAAAAATATTACAAGCATGCAAGGATGCAACAAGAATATTAACGTAACGTAAAATTGTCGTGCCTGTGTAAATAGCTAATTAGTAATTACCAATCTATTTTTGAAATCCATAACTGGCTATGCACATATTTTTACTTGTCTCATGCAGCCAAAATCTATATTCATTCGTCGACAGAATACAAAATCTAATGCAAGATTAGAATACGGCGCCGGCAGGTTTGGAACACCAATTCCTGTTGAAGTTTCTCTTTAGATCTTTGGGGATATTTTGTATTGACCGAATTCTTGACTAAAAAAAAAGGAATTATTGACCCAATAGGTCGGTCCAAGTAATGATGAACTATAACGTTTCACCAGTGAAAAAAATTAAAATTTACAATGAGTAAGAAAAAAGTTTAGTCGAAATGGGCACAAATTTAACCAATATACGATTAAATTTATCAAAAGAGTACAAAAAAAAAAGGTATATCGAAATGGGGCAACAAAGGTACGACGTGTCCATGTCAGAATGAATTCAAATGTAAAAGTTGGAGTGCGAGACTTTTCTAAATACGACTGGAGCTCTTAGCATTTTTTTTTTCTCTCAAATAGTCAAATATTTAAATATGCTTAAACAATCATAAAGACGACAAAGTTTAAAAAGAAACAAAAGGAAAACGAACACACGAACTGAAAATTCGAGGAAGGTAAGGTAGAGAGGGTAGTAGTAGATGTACACAAAAGTAGTCGTATTTGAATTAGATTAAATTAAGCAACAACTTGTCCACTCAAACACTGGACTTGGACATATCGATATCCATTATACCAAGGAAAAATCTAAGGAACAAAGAAAGAGATAAGCTATTTTCTTTTTTCGTACAACTAATTTCCACTATTCTATTTAGACAGAACCCATTAATTAGTCAACATTGTGTTTATTTCCCTCTAACATGATATGAAAGGCACATACGGTTATGAAGAAAGCTAACCAGCTTGGTTTACATCAAACCAACTCTAACACAAAAAGGTCTTTACAAAATTACATACAATTCAATGATTCATGCTAAAAGTACGACAACTAAATTATAGTAGTTCTTTAGTACAAATACTAAAAAATAATCTCACCTATGTTGACTCTTTTCTAAACCTCCAGCAGAATTATCAGCAGCCACGTTAGCAGCTAACTCCATTAGTCGTTCATAGTCAATCTCACTACACTTGTACTTCAGTTTCATACCAGCTTCAATCCATGATCTGATACAAATTACAGATTGTGTGCTATCATGAGGCATGCAATACTTTTGCTTATCAATCTCTTCTCCTTTACCACAAAATATCTCTTCCGGTGCAGCGGAAGTCGCCTGAACAGCAAGGAAATCACGAGCCATGTTGGAAAGTCGCGGGTATCTTCCACTGTTTACCTTCCACCAATCTAACACATCGGTCTGCATCGGAGCTATAGACTCTGATAAGTACTGAGTCAGTTCATCAACAACATTGTTACTCATACTTCCTCTTCTTTTCCTTCTAGCGATTTCCTCTGCAAATGAGATATTTCCTCCTCCTCCTGCTCCTCCTTCGTCTATTTCCTGAGGACGGTACCCGCTAGACATGGAAGATGTGAAATGAGTAGAAGAATAGTTACGTATGAAATGGTTTCTTGCTTCATCTATATAGCTCTCGAGATTTATCGTCTCTGGAATGTACTCTGTTTTGATCCGCGGGTCAAGAATGGCTGTAATGTAAGTGAACACGTTGCACACTTGAGTGTTGTAACTTCTGGCCTTCTGGGCCATGCTTTCAGCACAAGTTCTTAGCCAGTCTGGGTTGTGACATGATTTCTGGCAAGTCGTGATCATCTCGGATATGTTATCCATGAAGAGCAGTGCTAGACCAACCGTGAGATCCTTGTTCGTGCACATATCGTTAGTGGTCCTGTGGAATGAATCCAAGTCCAAGTAATTGTGGACAATATTCACAGCGTTCTTCTCTACAGAACTCAATATCATTCTGTTCTCTAGAGCATCCTCGTTTTTCCTAATCACCGAGTCCAAGGACTTGCTAGCCTGCACCAATATAAGCCATCACGTACAAATATCTCAGAACTTAATGGCAAACAAGTCAAAGTTATAGAAATCTTACCTTGCACAAGATGTTGACCATCTGGTAATTGCCACTCCAACGAGATGAAGCATCGATCGGAAGTTTCCAGTTGCCTTCTTGATAAGCTGTTGTCAACTGAATGAAATCATCTGATAGCTCTGTGGACGTGTTTAACTCTTGTGTGAATTCTCTGACCTTTGAGATTATGGGCTTTATAGTTGCTAACCCCTCATCAATAATATCATTCAGAGTTTGAGCGGCACAGGGAATGTAGCAGAAAGGCAAGACCTTTTGAGCATCCAAGTACTCCTTCAGGCTATGACAAGCGAGAATAGCGTTTTGGCTGTTGTCATGTGTACAACATAGAACCCTGTCTTCAATAGCATATATCTTAAGGACTTTTAAAAGGGAGTTATAGATCTCAGAACCCCCAGAGGGATAAGGAATCCGACATATGTCGAGCAACAACCTATGAGACGACCAATTTTCGTCTATCCATTGGCCTGTTACGCTCATATAAAAAATGTTTTCATATGAATTCCAGAAACTCAAAGTGACTGAAACTTTGGATTGGATATGCTCCAAGGATGTCTTTACATCTCCCCGCATACTTCTGAAAACCTCATGAAGTATGGCTTTATATTTTTTAGCCGGCCATAACTGGATGGATGGGTTAAGAAATTTGAAGGAGTTTCCCAACCATGTTTCGTCTACAGTAGAGGGAGGAAGTGATGACAAAGCAAGCCACTTGAGAACTAACCAGTTAAGATGATCATAATCGAGTTGTGGCGCTTTCGACTGGGATTGTGACTGTTTAACAACAACCGGTGGTGTCTGTGGTACTGATGAGCTGGTGACAACATCTGCTGCCTTATCATAGCCTGGATGCCGATTAGTCAGATGCCTTCCAAGATTTCCTTAAAGCATGAAAACAGAACAAGAACAAAAAGATGTTATAAGTAAAATCAAAAGGACTTTAATAAATTATAACAACAATGAGAATGGAGAATGAAACACTTGGAAAACATTGACTTGAGAGAGGATATAAGAATAATACCAGTAGCTGTGGCAATGGAATAGCTTTGTCCACAGAACTTGCATTTCCGAGTTTTGCTGTCTGGTGCAGTCTCAAAATATTTAAGATAAACTGATGTCATAGTCTTCTTCCGTTTAGGAGGAACAGAATTTGCCTTATCAGAAGAGCCTAATCCAATGTCAATGGGATCAGAATGTGGAACAAGTGTCATATCCATCATAGCTTTAGGTTCCAATTCTACATCAAGAAGCAGCAACAAAGAACATGGTCATAAGTGCCTGTAGCCTCAATTGATAAATCAACACACACACACTGAGACCACAAGTAAGCAAGTTCCATACTTTATCACAAATTAAAAGCTCTATTAAGAGATTTCCAGATTTTTCATTTTACCTTTGTAGGTTTTGAATGCATTGTTAACATTCCACTCCATTTGATTCCAAGCTTCTTTGTCTCTGTGAAACGATCCTTTGAGAAAAAAACCGTTGCGAGGGAGAGGGAAGTTGTTATTTTTTTGGAGGGAAAGCAGAAGCAGCAGCCAAGAGAGAAAGAGGATCGGCGCTGGATCTCTGAGCCGATTTAAGGGATATGAGCTCAGGAGGATCGGCGAGTTGGAAGTTTCGCCGATCTGAGGGATTGGTTACGACGGCGGATCCGTTGATTTGGTCGGAGGATTCGACGGAGGAGAGGAGCTAGGGCAACGAGGCTGGCTCAATAATCGGTCGGCTGGTTTTGGGAATTGAAAAGTTGAGAGAGAGTAAAGGCTCAGCTAAATGACTCCAGCGAATGGCTCGGGTCTGGTCTGGTTTTCGGCTTGGATATTTTTTTGTTTATTTCATATTTAATTTATAAATTTTCGGTTTACCTTACCACCAAAATTAGTCATGATTATTTTGGTTCATCACTTATCAGGATATTTTTTGTGTTTTTTTTATTTATTTATTTTATTTTATATAAAAACAAATTTTCAGTAATAAGGATGAATTTATATTCCAAAGTATATATCTTGGAAAAAGTGTTCGATGAGTTGGTTTTGCTAGTAAGAAATTACATATAAGAAAACTAAAATTAATTATATATTCAATCGAACCGAACCAAAACAGAACCCGCACATATCAACCAGTCCATTTATGAACAATATGAAATTACAAAAAGGATTTATTTCTTCTCATGTTTTGTTTGGTTTTATTTATATAGATAAAAAATAAAACACAATCACATCAAAGTTATTATTATTATTATTTTTCCTTCTTCTTCACATAGTTATTATTTTTTCACATCAAAGTTATTATACTATACCAAAATGGTAGATTTAGGCCCAAATCAAAACGGAAAAACCAAAATATTCTCATATTAAAATTTTGAAAAAGCAATTATGTTTCCATCTGTCACTTATATTAAAAAAAGAATTTAGTGGGCCCTAAAAAGCTCAAACACTGGGCTGACAAAGCAATTTATGACCGTTACAATAAAGTTTCAAAAAACTCCTTCAATTCTTTTCTTAATTTGCGTTTTTTTTCTAATCCAAAGAGCGAAAATAGCAATTTATCTACACTCTCTCAAAGCTTTCGTTTTGACCAACGCACTTCTTCTCCAGTCTAACCAATCAACGGCGTTTGATCAGTCATAAATTTAACTCCAAAGATCTTCTTCTTCTTTGCTGGGTTTTGTATTTTGGATGGTGTAGAAAATCTTAGATTCTGGAGAAAGAAAAAAAAATGCCGGTATCTACTCGATCTAAGGTGATGAAACAGGAGCGAAATGAGCAAGAAAACACAAATCTGAATCTTCCGTTGAGAAATCCACATCAAGGGTTGAAAGAAAAGATGAGAGCTTTAACTCTCTTGTACGAGCAGCAAAAGAGAGCTTCTTTCTCTCTCAGGAACCCTAATCAGTCTCCTAAACCCGAAGACCAGAGATTCAAGACTCAGCTGCTTGATTCTTGCAATAGAGGAGACAGATTTCATCGCCAAGACGGTAAAGATTCTAACTTTGTTGAAGAAGAAACCAAAGAGAACAATGTATTCGAAGCAAATCGGATTTTTGGGGTTAATTCGGTTCCGGTTAAGCCTAGTGGTGTGATTAGAAAGCTCTCAATGGGTAATGGAGCTAGAAACGTTACAGAAGCTGAAAAATTGGAGAGTCTTGATGCATCTGTGAGTCGGATTTTGGTGTTTGTTAGGCTTAGACCAATGGGGAAAAAGGAAAGAGAGAATGGGTCAAGATGTTGTGTCAAGGTTTTGAATAAAAGAGATGTTTATCTAACGGAGTTTACGAATGAGAACGATTACCTTAGGCTTAAGAGGCTCCGTGTTCGTCATTTCACTTTTGATTCTTCTTTTCCTGAAACTACCACACAACAAGAGGTTTATTCCACCACGTAAGTGTATTCAATCATCATCTCTGTCTTCTATATTGTCTTGAATGATGGATCCTTTCATTAGAAAGCAATTGAAATCAAAATGCTGCAAGTTCTTAGATGTCTTTCCCCTTTGATTTATTCAGAACAGGAGATCTTGTTGAAGCAGTTCTTGAAGGAAGAAATGGTTCAGTTTTCTGCTACGGTGCTACGGGAGCAGGCAAGACTTATACGATGTTAGGGACAATGGAGAATCCTGGTGTAATGGTTTTAGCAATCAAAGATTTGTTTGCTAAAGTTAGACAGAGAAGCTTAGATGGGAACCATGTTGTTCATCTTTCTTATCTTGAGGTTTATAATGAAACTGTTCGAGATTTGCTTTCACCTGGTAGACCTCTCATTCTCCGCGAAGATAAGCAGGTAAACATAAAACTGATATTACTTTTTTCTCTCTTTTAGCTTTAGATAAGAAGGAAGAACACAATGGTCTCATTCATTTTCTTTTCTCTGTATGTGATCGAAATCAGGGAATTGTGGCTGCTGGTCTCACTCAATATAGAGCTTACTCAACAGATGAGGTTTCTTTTTGTAATCTATACATTTTCCATTCTGAATGATCTTGGAAAACAAAAGCTAATATAGAATTTGCTCTGGTTTATTGCAGGTTATGGCTTTGCTCCAAAGGGGAAATCAAAACAGAACTACCGAGCCAACTCGTTGCAATGAAACATCTTCTCGCTCACACGCTATCCTTCAGGTTAGAATTTGCATCTTTCTCAGTTTCATATTGCGTCAAATCAATAGTGTATCATCGACTTTGAGGCCTGGAATGTCTTAAGTTGATCTTTTATTGCGGTTCTCTAGGTAATAGTGGAGTATAAGACTAGAGATGCTTCCATGAATATCATCAGCCGGGTAGGAAAGCTATCTCTCATTGATCTTGCCGGTTCTGAAAGAGCGCTAGCAACTGATCAAAGGACACTCAGATCACTGGAAGGAGCAAATATAAACAGATCACTTCTCGCATTAAGTAGTTGCATTAACGCGCTTGTGGAAGGCAAGAAACATATTCCTTACAGAAACTCAAAGCTCACACAACTACTAAAAGACTCACTAGGCGGCTCGTGCAACACGGTGATGATTGCTAATATAAGTCCAAGCAGTCAATCTTTTGGTGAAACACAAAACACTCTCCATTGGGCTGATCGAGCCAAGGAGATTCGTGTGAAGGGATGTGAAGTAAATGAAGAGGTGGTTCAAGTGGGTGAAGAAGAAGGTGCTGATCAGGCCAAGCTCTTGTTAGAGCTTCAAAAAGAGAACTGTGAATTGCGTGTCCAGCTCGCGAAGCAGCAGCAAAAGCTTTTGACTCTTCAAGCAGAGAACATAGCCGCTGCTAATAACAACAACAACATTTCTCTGACACCTCCATCAATCTCATCTCTAATGACTCCACCATCTGCGTTAACAGCTCAGCAGAAGAAGAAACCAAGGCATTCGTTGTTATCAGGGACATGTTTCACACCAGAATCATCCAAAAGGACAAAAGCAGAAGAAGCTGTGAAGGAACTTCAGCTGACTGTTAAGGCATTAAAGATGGAGATGGAGAGAATGAAGAGGGAACATGGGTTGCAGATGAAGAAGCAAAAAGAAGAATTAATGAAAGATCTTTGTAGTAGAAAGAGCGAGAAAACTCCAGAAAGAGGCAAAGAAACAAGAAGGATTGTCACAAGAGGGAGCTTGAGACCAAAGGAGAAGGAGAAGGAGCTGAAAAGCCCGAGTCACCGGTTTGCATCTCCAGCTGCAGCAGCTAAAAAGAGAAGCTTTTGGGACATAACCGTAGCTAATACTAGTCCTGCGTTGGATAGAAGGAAAACGAGAAGCCACGGTCTTGTTCATCAAGAAGCTCCTTCAAAACTGCTTCAGGTAACTTAAACTACAGTGATGATGCTATAATCAAAACACTCTAAAACAGTGAAGTTGTTCAACAAGATTCTGTGTACATTCAATAATATGTTTGTTTGGTTTTTGGTGCAGCCCGGGTTTGCTCGTCCACACATGAAGCATTAACAAGATTATGTGTTGTTTCTTTACTACATTTTTTTTTTGTTTGTTTCCCCCCATTGTTTGCTAACATCTGTACTCTGTAGGAATGACAATAACACAATTATTTTCTATTTTTACTAATTTTATTTTTTATTATTATTTCATCATTTGGTAATGTATACTTTATAATTCTTTTTCTTATGCTTATTATGCTTGGTGTTCTGTATTGTGTCTTCTTTTAAATTCATAAATTACTTTATCTCTATTTTTTAAACGTAAATGCTGAAAAATACTTTTATGTCACAATTATTGAAATATTCTAAACAAGGAGGATATGCACTAAAAGTAATCTATGAACCATTTGTTTTTTTAAAAATAAATTTACAGCAGCTTTGTTTTATTTGTCTAGTAATATAATTTTATTTTTGAATAGATACATGAATATGTTTTATAACAGAAGCATAGGTAACAAAATTATTTTTACAGCAAATAATTTGTTTTTTACAGAATTATTTGCATTGCCCATATTAAACCCATTAGAGATTTAAACCCATATAAGGCCCATTAGGTTTTATTTATGCTGCTATCGTCCTTTATATTTAAGAGCTGCTGACTCTCAACTAGGGTTTACGCCACTGAGAGAGATTTTGTCACACAAAAACCAGAAAAAATGCCGGCGGCGAAGCAGAGGACTCCGAAAGTTAACCGTAACCCTGACCTAATCAGGGGGGTCGGCAAATACTCGAGGTCTCAGATGTACCACAAGAGAGGTTTGTGGGCTATCAAGGCCAAAAACGGCGGCGTTTTCCCTCGTCACGATGCTAAGTCTAAGGTCGATGCTCCGGTGGAGAAGCCTGCCAAGTTTTATCCGGCGGAAGACGTTAAGAAGCCGCTTGTTAACAGACGCAAGCCTAAGCCTACCAAGCTAAAGTAATTATCCAACTTCTTCTTCGATTTGTTTGATTTCGATAGATTCAGTATTAGGATGGTTTTGGATCTTCTGGGAATATAAGAGAGATCGTTGAAATCGTTAGGATTTGTTGAAATGTAGGATTCATAGAGATTAAGACATTGTATGCTTCATTTTCGATATGAATATGGTTTTGTTATGTCTGTATTGCAGAGCCAGCATCACTCCAGGAACTGTGTTGATCATTCTTGCTGGTAGATTCAAGGGTAAGAGAGTTGTCTTCCTCAAGCAACTTTCTTCTGGTTTGCTTCTTGTCACAGGTCAGTTCTTATATATTTGTTTGATTGTATTGGTTGTTCAATTTGGAAACTTTGTTAATGTTTGTTGATTTGCCCATTTCAGGACCATTCAAGATCAATGGTGTGCCATTGAGACGTGTTAACCAAGCCTATGTGATTGGAACCTCCACAAAGGTTGACATTTCTGGAGTCAACACTGAGAAATTCGATGACAAGTATTTCGGAAAGGTTGCTGAGAAGAAGAAGAAGAAAGGAGAAGGCGAATTCTTCGAAGCTGAGAAAGAGGTATACAATCATCTTATGCCTTTTGGTTTAACCAAAAATGGATTTTGTGTTTTCTTTTTCTGTACCATTACCTAATTGAAAACTATGGTTTGATCAGGAGAAGAAAGAGATCCCACAGGAGAAGAAGGAAGACCAGAAAACCGTCGACGCTGCTCTGATCAAATCCATTGAGGCAGTCCCAGAGCTCAAGGTTTACCTTGGAGCCAGGTTCTCATTGAGTCAAGGAATGAAACCACATGAGCTTGTTTTCTAGATTTCGTATTGTTTCTCAAAGTTTAAGAATATCTGCTTCCCTGAGTTTTTTCCTCTTTAATCATCATTGGATCTTAAAGACTATTTTCTCTGATTTATATATCAAATTTTCTATCAATCTAGCTTCAAGACTTGTTGTTATGAATGCGATTCTATAAAAATAAATGAGAAAAGCATAAGAATTTGAATGATCATGAATTAATTTTTAATCCAAAATAATCAACAGCAGATTTTGCCATAATGGAAGCAAATTCTCCAAAGCTTATAACACCGTCACCATTTGTATCTGCTTCTTTTATCATCTCCGTTAGTTCTTTATATGTCAATGGTTGACCCATCTTTGCCATCGCTCCAGCAAGCTCAGCTGCGCTGATGAACCCGTTACCGTCCCTATCAAATGATTTGAAAATCTCGAGTAATTGCTCGGAATTGATTAGGATCTCTTCGTTCAGATCAGGAAGAATTGTACCAACGAGCTCATCGAATTCGACAAAACCATTGCCGTTTGAGTCCATGGTAGCTAACAAAACATGGATTTGGTCGCCGGAAGGTTTGAGGCCGAGTGACCGGAGAAGCGCCGCGAGTTCTAGGATTGTTAAGCTTCCGTCTGCGTCCATGTCAAACCGGTCGAAAATGTCTTTTAATTGCCTTATCTGATCCTCCATTTTGTTCCTCCTTAGGAACACAATTCAAAATCGATTAATCAAAAAATCATCGACTCGAGGAGATTGATGAGATATGAGGTTATGATGATCGATGAAAGAAGGTTCTTTTTCTACTAGCCAATGAAAGGAGATTAAAGATTGAATTTTTGTTTCTTTTGGAGAACGTAGAATATAAAATCCTGAAACTTTTGTATGTGTTAATGTTTTGTTTGTTCTTTTGATTTTTCGTGTGTTTGTTAATGGTTGTTGATAAAAATAGATAAGACCACGTATTGATTTCTGTATGGGTTTGAATGGTACGGCTATTGAAAATGTGAGAAATTCATCACAGTGATTGCTTGGTTACCTAAAGATAATTAGAAATGTGACTAGTATTAATGTATTATGTTCGAATATATAGAAAACAAAATTAAATACGAAATGCCAATGGCTAGTGAAATGTGATAAAATTCATGATAATTGTTGTGAAACAGAACATGACATTGTCCTAAGAAACCAAAAGATAATAACTTAAAAAAGAAAAAAAAAAACAAACTAAGAAAACATAAAAACACAAGAAACTGAAATGGAGTTGTTGATCAGACAGAATCACTTTTCCTAGCCGTCCGATTGTTACGACGAGCACAGCAACCGCAGGAATAGACGGTGATGAGGAGAATGAGGAGACAAATGTTGAAAACAAGAAGATTCCTCCACTTCTCTCTTATGTTCGCTAACACACCCGCTTTGCATGCGTTGCAGTTGAAACATAACTCCGTTTGCACGTTGCTCCACGTACCGCAGTCCCCGTTGTCGGCTGCAACCGCCGTTTCGTTTTTGGTTGGTGGTATCCAGAACGTCGCATTTCTGAACTCGAAGTTGCAATCCGACGGTGGCTTACAACAACCTGACTGCTCATTCACAACCAATAATTGAGTCACACAACCAACAATGTATGGAAAAAAACCTCGATACAAAAAACTCAACAATGAAATTTAATCATACTAAGAACGATGAAATAAACCTAATTTATTGATTTGTTTTAAGATTTATTTGTCTTTGATATACACAACGAAAGAAAAAGCGATGATTGGTCTTGCCTTCACTATATTTATCCAAAAATATCAACAAAAAAATATTTTTACACTAAAAATCAATCTAAAAGAAAAAGATAAATTACACCAAAAAATACCTGGATGGGAGACAAGTTCTTGTGATAAAACGCATCAGCGATCTGACTAACACGACCATCACTCAAATCATCACAAACGTTAGCCTCAGCCAAACAAGACCTTATCCCAACCCATCTCTTCCCACCAACGAACCCATTGAGCCACGTCGAGAAATCCACCGTCCGGTACTCTTTATACCCTCGACCGGACACCACACGACCGGCTCCTTTGTTAGTCACGAAGAAGAGAAATATGGAGAAAACCATCAACGCAACGATGCCCGAAAACAATATGATCAAGTACGAAACCATTGCGACATTTTCCTTGAAACAAGATCCTATCACTCCGAGTAACGACACCAAGAAGAGGATGAGCCCGGTCGTGAGAAGTGGTATCCGAATGGCAGATTCACAGTCGGTGACGCCTTGGTGAACGAACATGTAAATCGAATAACCAATGGCAGATGCGCCCACTAACATCACCAATGTGTTGGCTAGACCAACCACGAAATTGCTAACTCGAAACATTTTTGGAAATTTTCTTTCTCTAATGGATGAACTCGATTAACCAAATCGGATTTTAAATAGATAGAGAGAGGGGGAGAGTTTTTTTTTGTTTGAATATGATAACTATGTTTTGTAACGTTTATAGTGTGTGTGTGTGTGTGTTTTTAAGTGTGTGGAGTCGTGGTTATTGGGGCAAGAGGGAACGGTTTGATTTTTGGGTAGTGGGGTATACTAGTGGAGATTATTAGCCATTGGTTTTAGTGTTTAATTACTAGATTATGCCACTGGAATTAGAGATCGTGTGGGGGTTAAGAAGATCCTTTAGTTTAGAGAAAGTCGTTAAATTAGATTTTGACTATGTCTTATTGCCACGTCACTAAGACTAACTAAACTGTCACTCGACTATTTAAACATTGAAATTTATACGAATTTATTGAACCCGAGATTGTTGGGAAAATTATATGTAGGTTTATGTTAATTTTATTTTAAAATAAAAATGCATATTAATTTATATTTTTTGTCACTTGCAAAAGGAGAAAAACTAAATAAATAAATAATGTGTTATGAAAAAATAGAAAAAAAAAACGATTCTCAAATCTCAAGGATAAAACTCAAATTAGTGGGGTTTAAAATTTTCCTTAAGAATTGATGGAAGAAAATCCAAACATAAATTTCCTTGGTATATAGAAAAAATATGTATTCCAAATCTTGAATCTTGCATGGGTAATAATGTTGGTAAATTTCTTCTAATTTTTGCTCTTGACTTGCAAGATCGGTGAATTTCCAAAACGTTATAATACTATCCTATACTATTATTTGGGGAGTACACTTTATAGGATACCCTTAACTAACCTTCTCTTTTGTAAGAATTTACTTAAGAATGTCATTAAAAAAATCTTCTTTTAGAACAAATTTTATTCAATTTATTAAGGATAAACAAGTAAAATACTAATTAATGTCATTTAATTAATTTAATTAAATTATAAAACGAAAATCTGTTATTTTTTTTTTAAATGACCAATCAAAATGAACATGTAAGATTTGATATCTAACTTACCATATTAATTTGTTATTAATCATTAAACTCCACCTCTCATCTTTATATGATTATATTAATATGAAACAAATAAATAATCATATCATCTACATAATAAAAAAAAAAGAATTTTTTTTTTGCATATGCCAAGATTTGAATTTTTAAAAACGCATATAAATTGTTCAATCTATAAAGGAAACAATTAAACGGGTCAAAAATTCAGAGTTGAGTAATATATTTATTTTATACAAAATTAAAGTCAACAAAAATTCCGACTGAGCAACGGGTCAGAATTTGAATATTTATATTCGATTTCATACATTTATTTTTTTGAAATGTATAATTTTATATACTACAATAAAAATTTAAATATTTTAATTTGCAACATTTAAAATAAGTTTTACTTGATATTTTTAGAGAATATCATCAATACTTAATAGTTCAAAAAGTTAAAATTATAAATACTCTAATTTGATTATTTTTTAAAATATTTATAATAGGTAGCGGGTTAAATATAATATATTATACGATGAAATGAGTTTTGATCCTTATAAATATTTGAATAGTTATATTTAATTTCATATAATTTGTTTTTTGAAATTCATAATTTTATAAACTACAAAAAAATTTAAAGATTTTAATTTGGAATATTTAAAAATAGTGTAGAACATTTAAATATGGTTTGACACCTCTAAATATTTGAAAATTTGATTCCGCAAGCAATTTTAGAATTAACGAATAATAGATTGTGCACGCAATATTTTAAAATGAAATATTGAGATTCTAAAATAAAAATATAGACTCCACGCACGGGTTGATTTTGGTATTATTATATACTAAATATATGTTTATAACATATTCGATTATGCGAATAATTGGTAAATTCCATAATTATAAATCTCAAACAAATTCTGTAATTAGATTAGCTCAAACAAATCTCTATTTCAACAACCAAAGAATTATAAATTGAAAAAGAATTTTCTAAATTAATTCAAAATGATAGCTAATTTTCTTAATTAATTCAAAATAATCTATGTTTTATATGCGATTCATCTATGATATTTTAATTTTTGATCTAACTGAAATATATGCAATCCTATTTTGTGGTTGTTAACATAAATTAACTCATTGTTCAAAAAATATTACTTTTTAAAAAATAAAATTATTTTCCGTTTTCATATCTTAAAAAAAAATTATCCATAATTGAGTATTATAGAAAAAATTATATATTTATTCTAATATTGTATATAGGGACTGACAAAAAAATTAATATTTTTTCACTTACTATTATAATATATGAAAACTTAGTTCTTATATATATATTATATAAATTTTGTAATAAATAAAATTCAACCCGTACTTTAGTACGGGTGATGATCTAGTTTATAATGATAGCTCTACCAAACATATTTTTGTATCCGAGTTTGTACTTTAAAAGACTCTTCCTCCATCGTTAAGATTTAAAAAAAAAAGGTGATAATAATGAAAGAAACTAATTAAAAACTAGAATTACATATCATGTACATTTGATATGGAAAAATGAAATCAAGTATAATAGCCTCTATAATCATCAGGTTCATCAAAAGTGTCCTTAATGGACCTGGCAATGGCGAGGCTGAGACAAACGAGAAAGAGGGAAGGATAAGAGAACATGGAGAGATATTTCCATTGATGAACAATTGCTTTTAAGATGCTCAGCTGGCAACCTCTGCAACTGAGACAGTATTCGTAAGAACATTCTTCAGGAACATGGTTCTCTACGTGTTGATGTTTCCAGCTCCATTCTCCTGGTTGCCCGAACATTGTCGTCACTCCACATCCTCTCGGTTGCGCGCAGCAATACCTCTTTATATCATCATTGTTAGAGATTGATCTTTAATACGAATGAATGAGGATGGGGTGACATAATTAAGTACTTACCCAAACATTGCTGTTTTGGCTGGCATTGAAGTTACAATCATGGTTATGAATGATGCAGTCTGTGACTCTTGCAAGTTTACTTTCAGGCACTAGCCGGCCAACCAGTTGCTTGGCGGTTCGCTTTTCCTCAGCCGGGTTCTTGGCGATTCCAAAGGTTGTATTGTAGATGAAACACTTTAAAGAATAGCCACCAAGGACAACGCAGACGAATATCATTGCATATATGTAAATTGTGAACATACGTTTGGAGCGACAACAGATTGCGTAAAGAGCAAACTGAGGAATCACCAGCAAGAGCAAACCAAGGACAACGAAACTGCCATCCGTTTCTCGGATACATTGTGAGACTGTTTTCCTGTAATATAAACCTGTTCCCGTCATGGTTAAGCCTATGCAAATGAGGATTATGGTCGCCATTGTTAGCAACCCTGTTCGTACCTCAGACATTTTATTCGTTAATCCGGAAATCTAAAAAGACTCGCAGAGAAAACGATGTTTTGAGTCGTGATATATGAAGAGGTTGTTTCAAAGAGACCAAGAGTCAAGAACAGAGAGGTATCAGTTTTTTTTTTTTTTGGGTTTTAAGACCTTAGTTTAGTCAAGTACAGCTTTTTGAAATAGGTTAAAACTGTTTAACAGTTGGTTTTACTCCTTATTCTAAAACCATTATTTCTAAAAATAGAGATTTAAAAGTTAACTAAAGATATATATAGTACACCAAAGACCAAACTCTTTTGACATGCAACATTGATAAACAACAAGCAAACTCTGAAACTCCAGTTATTACCAAACTATGTATGTACTTGAAAAGAAAAGAACCTAACTTTTATCTGACTTTTGGTATTTGCCGGAAAGATTTTTAATTCAGGCAGGGACTCTGGTTTTTTGGGAAGGGATTTTTGTGGGGGAGTTTTCTTTGAAGTCCATCATTTTGTTCAAGGCTCCTACATAAGCTTTGACGCTTGACACCACAATATCCATTCCTGCTCCAGTTCCACTGCCAAAGACAAGGCAGCCGGTTTGGTGTTATAACTACTACTCAAGCAAGAATCAACAAAAAAAAAAAAAATCTTTGCAGATAAATCGATCCGGTTGGAATGAGATATGGGGGAAATAGGATTTTACCTAAAGGTCCTTTGAACCTCTTCACCAGTTATTGCATTTGTAGATGAGTACTTGTTGCTTCCACGGATAAGAACTCGTGTGGTTGCGATGGCATCGATCCCTTCTGTTACTGCATTCATTGAGTACTCAAGCAGAGTCGCAGGTTCCTAAAGGGGAAAAAAAGTTTTCAATAACCGATGACCTACTGGTGAAATGAGAGCCTCAGTGGTATAAACAGTACCTTTACGATAAGATCGACTGCCTTGTAAGCTGAATCGACAGGCCCAGTTCCAATGGAACAAGCGACATGTTCTTTGCCATCAGCGTCAGCAAGTTTTACAGTTGCTGTTGAAAGCCCGAGAGTTCCACAAGTTATCTGCATTCCACTTTTAAGTACAATGAGAATTGGCTCAAGACAATGAACAAGAGAAGGGAGTAAAAAAGCACATCTTGATCCCAATTTCACCTGAATGTCCAGGAGTTTCCACACGGCTTCTGGCTGGAAAACTTCATCAGATACTAAAGCTATTATGTCCGCATCGGTAACTCTCTGGATCAGCAAGGGAACATATGCGATCAGGAGACATTACATTAAACCTCAAGACACTAAATAATAGAAAGAGCAATCCTCTTTCATCTTCCTCTACATATACTAAGTCTATGCAGCCACAACTAAGGAAAACAAAGTATAAATGGGATTAACATTCCAAACTAGCCACAGAAACTCAACTATTATAGAGTCTAATGAACCTCTCAAAATGGCTGCGAAGCTTTTATTTGGAATTGAAAACGCAAGCTAGGCTTCTGAGTAAAATAACACGATAAGCAGAAGCAACTACCTTTTTCTGCTCAGCCACAGTTTTGAAACGCCAGAAAATGGTACTTAGCTGTTCATCATCTAATTGATAACCAAGCTGGACATGTAGAAAAGATAAGAGATTAGTACCTCCCACAAAGATAGTAGTACCGAGTATGTGTATGTGTATGATTGCTGTGTACCTCAGTCAAACGGTCTTTCAGCGCATGACGCCCACTGCATAATATTATATCCAAGCAAAAGCAGAAACCAACAGTTAGATTTCAGGTTTCAAACACATATATCTGTAGTGTACGCACAAATAATGTCTCGAAATATTCAGCATCTCAGACAAATTATGTAGAGCATAAGCACCAAATACATGCTAGTTGCATTGTTTGAACAAGAAAAAGAAAAATTGGGAGTTTACAGTCAAAACAAGAAAAAATTTCATACCTAAGCTTCCCCAAGACAATGCCAGCATCATTTGATCGTTCAAGTCCAATTTCTTCGGGACATATAATTTCATATGTACCCTTGTGTTTTAGCATTCCATCCTTGAAAAAGTAAAACAGTCATTTAGTTCAACATGAACAATAATCATGAAGAAAAGAGGACCGTTATGCACCAGACTGAAAGAGTGAACATGCAAGTCAAAACAGTTTAGAGCTTAATTATTTATTCGTCTTGTTCATAGGTAATGGATATGAAAGAATGGGATCATAAGCATATTGTGTAACCTCATCACATCTCATCACAGAAATATCAAATAAAGATGATTTTTTTAAACTGACCTGATGAATACCACTTTCATGCGCGAAGGCATTCGCTCCGACAATAGCCTTATGGGGTTGTGTCTGCATTCCAGTGTACTCCTCCACCTGAGAAAATAAGCCACTAGCTATGAGACAGCTTATATGGAAATCTACAAACTTTTTCCTCTTAGCAAGAAAATTGATATTTGTTTTCACAATGTAAAGAATGAAGTTCAAAAGTGGTACCATCTTGCTTGTCATAACAATGTGCCGAGTATCAATTCCAGTAAATAGACCTCCTAATACATGATCTCCACGGCATTTTATGGCCATCACAACCTACACTTACACGAAAACCATCATTTAAGGACTATATATCCCATTGCAGCGCAAGCAGGAAATAAACTGAAAGTCTATAATTGATAATGCCCTTCCTGAGACAAAATATCTAAGCAGCAAACGATGGAAAATAGCCAAATTCTCACCCAATATCTCCTAACTTTACCTCCACATGTTCTTCTTCAGGTAATTGTAGCCAAGGCTATACTAAGACTCATTTCTTAGACCATTCAGCCTTTTAAAATCTTATTAGGGAAAACTATTCCAGATTTCTCACTGCTACTGATAATGAAAAAGTACTACTCGGTTCTGCAGAATTATCTTGCTCACAATATGTGCCTCATACACTAAGAATCTTCTTTCTCAGTGAGATCATGCCCCCAAAAAAATATCAATGCAGGAGTGGTTCACATGTCTGGACAAAATAATAAAAGTCTGACCTCTTCCAGTGAAGCATTTCCAGCTCTTTCACCGATTCCATTGATGGTCACTTCCACCTGCCTGGCACCTGCATGTGCCCCCTGAATTCAAAAAGGTTATCAAAAACACATTAGCATAACAAATATCCAACGATTTGAATTATCTAAGATGTCCCAAGTAGGAAAAAAAAAGGAAGAAAAAGACATACAGATAAAGTGTTGGCCGTAGAGAGTCCAAGATCATTCTGACAATGTGTTGAGATGACAACATTTTCAATCCCTGGAGTATTGGCCTTTAAATCAGTAATCAATTGACCAAACTCACTAGGCAAAGTTATACCAACAGTATCAGGTATATTAAGTGTAGTTGCTCCTGCTTTAATCACTTCACCAAGAATCTCGTATAAGTACTCTCTCTCCGATCTACAGAACGAAAAAAAAGAGCATTTTTACATTACCAGAAAAAGAAAAGGATGAATCTTTCTTTACCAAAGAATCTCAAGAAAAATCGAACCTTCCTGCATCTTCAGGACTGAACTCGACATCGTCGCAACCCAAGCTTCTCGCGAATCTAACCATATTCCTAGCGATTTCGATAACCTCTGCTTTGGTTTTCTTCAGTTTATGCTCCAAATGAATATCACTCGTAGCGATAAAAGTATGAATTCTAGGCCGTTTAGCGTACTTAACAGCATCCCAAGCCCTCTCAATATCCTTCTTATTGCATCTAGAGAGTCCACAGATAACAGGAACATAACCATTCTCATCAACAGTGTTTCCAATTGTTTCAGCTATAGTCTTGACCGCTTCAAAATCATCCTTAGAAGCAGCAGGAAACCCAGCTTCGATAATGTCAACACCGAGTTTAGCTAGCTGACGAGCGATGTCGAGCTTTTCCTTGGAAGTGAGTGTAGCGCCTGGAGATTGTTCACCGTCACGGAGAGTGGTATCGAAGATACGGACGTAGTTTGGATCGGAAATGCGGTTGGGGATGTATTCAGGGCGGCGGCGGCGAGGAGTGTGAGGTGGTAGCGGAGAAGGATCTGAGATTGAACATGAGAGACGGAGGGTTTGACTTCGGAGGGAGATTGAACGGTGGTGGGATGGTTGGAAACGGAAGGAGGAGACAGGTGTGGGTTTAGAGGAGAAGGTGGGAAGAAAAGGAGTGGTGGTGATTGTTGTTGATGAGTAGAGATTAGGGTTTCTCAGAAGCGAAGACGCCATTGCAGGAGAGGTCGAGAGAGAGATAGAGAGAAAGAGATGAAAGGTTTAACGTGACGACGGCGGCGGCTAACTTTGATTCAGTAGTGCTAATCTTCTCGTCACTCTCCGCTTTATTTTTAAAAAATGTTTTTTTGTTGACCCACGTGGAAAAAATTACCTCCAAATAAATTAACTAATCAAATTGGGATTAAAAATGATTAGACGATGACCATTGGGTTCTAATTTTAACGGTATCGTCGTTACACACGAAGAAGAGTTAGTTAAAAAAAACTGGAATCTAAATTTCCCCTTTGTATTCTCTGTTGATGAGCCCAGAGGAGAGAATCTCTGTCCCAAGCTCAAGTTTGAGTTGTTCCACAGTTGACAGTTTTCGTCTCAGCACTAATGAGTCTCCCAGACTGCTTAAAAAGCATCAGAGAACTATATAACGGACACAACCGATTACCTTGTACACACCATTGCTCTGCAGACTCGTGACATTGCTACAATACCTATCGTGGAGAAGACAATCAGACACATGAACCAAGTGATCTCACTGCTTCTCTCTGAAGGTCTTTCGATAAATTGCTCTGTGATCACGGATAAGTTTCTGCTGAAACATCAGAATGTGCCACAATATGCAATCCTAATGACTATCCCGCTGGGCCCTTGAAAATTGAAACAAAGAAACGCTCTTGTTCTTTGAAAGTTAAGTTGTTATCGAGGATGTAAAGTAATCACAGGTCCTAAGCAAAAATTTGAAATGGACTTAACATATATCTCATAACTGATCTCTATGTATTTTTTTCACAGTTTCCAATTTTCCACAGCTTTCATTCGTGTGAAGTGGACATGGACCGATCAAAGAGTTCATCTTTAATCTGAAATTGTATTGATATCTTCTCCAGAAACTTTATCTTGGAATGATACAAGAGTGCTCTACTTAGCTACAAAAACCAACCGCAAAAATCTAGACCCTAATAGTTGGACCAGTATATGATCCGGGACGCATGTGAAGATCATCGGGTGTGTCAATCTGTACAAGCCAAGCATATTCGTCTTCCTTTCCTTCCACCGTCTTCACTCCTTTCTCCAATGCTATTATTATCAATCCAAAGAGAAAAAACCACCGGTAAAAGAAAACAGAGTAACATAATGTTCTTCTGAAGGAAAAAAAGAGTAGTTAAAAAAAGTTTGCATACCGAAAGTGGAAAACGGATAGTCCATGTAATAACTGCAACTCCTGCCAGCACTTTCTTTGTAAGGAGGTGTGAGAATGTCGAGCACAGCACATGGAGTTAGTGCAGTGAAGCAATGGAGATTGCCTCCAGTCTTTGGGTACAACACCGGTATCTCAGACTGAGGCGTGATAACTTTGTCACTCACCAATTTGGCCAACCTTGCTGTTACAAGTAGTTTAAAGAAGTCTTAATTATCAATGACACAAAGTGAAACCCAAGATGATAAAATAACAATAACCTGGAAGAGAACCGGGCACGCCTTTATTTTGTGTGATAATACATGGAGGTTCAACCCAATCGTAAGCTTTAACATGAAGTGATCCATAGAGGATTTTGCTAAACACAGCCATCTCTGGATGATCATGCAATGGAATCACTGAAGATGTTGGGAAGCAGAAAATACACATCTGAAAAAGAACACATAAAATAAACACTTTTTATTTAGATTTCTTGGTTGATCAGCAGAAAGAATTCAGTATCAATCAAAGACTTACTGTGAAAGTATCACATTCATGAATGTCTAAGAATGTTATCGGTTGTGCCCATCGTCCTACTCTATTAAAACGGCTAACCCCAGAAACTCCATAGCCTCGATCATCGTCTTGAGATACCTCTTCAAGCCCAACATCTGCAGGACTAACTGAGTCTGCACACAAGAATGACCAAAAACCAAATCACACCTCTGCTTATAAAACAAACATTACCCAACTAACTTTAACACAATGAACCCTAAACTCACTGATCCTAATAGTCCCTCTATGTAGAATAGATTGATATATATCTTCTCTAAAAATCCTAAATTGCATCATGTATACATCAAAGTTACAAGCTTTGTACTCCTCAGAGACTCTGACGATTTCAAAATGTGAATCTGCAATTGCCCAGATTTGGTGGGATTCACAAATCAAATGAGTTTCCACATTTATTCAAATCCAACAATACAACCTAAAACCCTTTGACTAAATCCCTCTATATCGCTTCAAATATGTCATTGATTCGATCAAAACTATCTGAAATTGCAATATAACCCTATCGCAGTCGGAGAACATCAAACAGAGACAAAAGGAGAAAGAAAAATATACCCAACACAGAGCATAGTTTTTGGACAGGCATGGAAGCAGGAGAAGGAGCTTTGCCAGTGAAAGTCTCTTTGCAGAGGTCGTAAAGCTCTTGCACTTTGGGAGATTTCTCCTGATTCCTCGACGCCATGTGAAGGTCTTTCTTGCTAACGAGATTCAACAAAACCTTTTCACCTGCCTTGAACAATCTCGACAACATTTTCTTTTCTTTTTTTTCTTCGAAGTTTTTGTGTGTCGGTAATTGTTCGAATGTTCTTATCCGAGACTGATTAACCTATGAGTTAAGCTGGGTCTCAATAACATCGGTAGCAAAAAGAGGAATAACAGAAACGAATAAATCTCTGTTTCTTACAATTATTATGATATAATTTTATGGAATTGCTATTTATTCATATATTTCTGAAGTTAATTTTGCATAAAAAGTGTCTTATTTGTAAGTTTTTTAACTTTTGAGTATAAAATTTACTAATTCTGTCGTTTTAATTTGCATAATCTTTTTCGACTTTACCGATGAAAACCTTAGCTAATTGTTAATAGACTAATATCACTAAAGACAATAATTTTGGACAAGAACATATGTATCAATGAAAAGCACAAGATAAACTAGACACAAGCTTCGAACCTCCCAACCAATTCTTCATAACATACTCCTTCACTTTCTTCTCATCATTTCCAAACACATTACACATCGCCTTGACATAGTGAGATGGGAATTTTCCGGTTATCCTCACAGAGAACATGACGGCACGAGCCATGTCGCTGCACAACTTGTCTACAAGAAAGTCGAACTTTGATGCCTTGTGTTCGAGTGAAGAGCTTGGAGGTTGTGACCGGTTGATGTTTCTTTGTATGCAAGTTTCCTCAGGGTTTAAGGAAGAAGCAGAGATGGCGAGGAAGGTCACAAAGAAGAAGAAGACGATGATGCTCATGGAAGTCTTCATTCTTCTTGTTTCTCTTCCTGTTTTTGTGAAGATAGAATGTGGATATACGTTATTATAGTGAACACTGCCCAATGAGAGTTTTAAAACTTGTTTCGCATTGAAAAAAGTTCAGTTTCAAATGTTTCATCAGTTTCACTTGGTATTTATATCAGTTTGGTTTATAATCTATATAATTGTGTTATAATAAACACATAACATATTAACATTGATGTTTGTATCGTCTGAACATAAATACACATCATAATGAATTTACTAAGAGCTACTATTTACTAATGCATCTGTTTTCACCAATTTGATTAGTCCTACTTACCACTACCAATAATCTCCACAAGAACAAAACCCATTCTTGAAATGATGAAACCTTTTGTTGTCCCTCACAACTATTTCCCTTTCCATGACTTTGGAGATCAACTTCGCTGCATTGTGACAGTCCACACAGATCCTTAGGTTCTTGTAAACTCTAAGAGTTGTTCCTTCTGAAGTTTTGATCAACCCGTAGGTAATTGCAAGCTTCTCGCTGTGTCCCCTTAACTGTACAATCTTCTCCTCTTCACTTAGATCATGTTGCACTAAACTTGTGTCTGGTCTGTATCCCATCTTCCATATCTTCATCTCCAATATACTCCAAAGACTTTTGATTTCCTCAAAACCCCCTGGGGAACTTTCACAGGCAACAAAGCTAAAGACCTTCCCGTTTAGTTCAATCCAGGAGCATCCAGCATCCTTTCGTAAACTCATCTCCTTCATTCTCTGCCTCACTTTTCTCACATCATCCCATTTCCCCAATCCTGCATATAAGTTGGAAAGCAGAACATAACTGTCAGGTCTTTCTGATTCTAATACGAACAACTTAGCAGCAACTTTCTCTCCCATTTCTAGATTTTGATGGATTCTGCACCAGCTGAGCAGAGAATTCCAAATTCCAACGTCAGGTTCCTCAGACATCTCTGCAGCAACCTTTAGAGCCTTGTATAGTTGCCCAGCTCGGCCTAACATGTCAATGACACAAGCATAATGCTTTAGATTTGGCTTTAGCCCAAAAGAAGACTTCATTTGATCCAGATATCTCAGCCCTTCATGGATCAGACCACTATGGTTGCAAGCCGTTAGAACACCTAAGAAAGTTAGGTCATCGGGGTTATGACCTGTTCTTTGCATCTCTTCAAAGAGTTTTATAGCCTCTTTTGCTCGGCCATGTATTCCATATCCCATTATCATGGCATTCCAAGATGCTGCACTTTTCTCCTTCAAGCCATTGAAAACCTTAGATGATTGTGATATAGAACCATTCTTGGCATACATATCAATTATAGAACATGCAATAAACGCATTGTCCTCCAGGAGGTGCTTCAAAGCGTAAGCATGTGCTTCTCTCCCCAGTCGAAGAGAAGGTAGCAGCGAACACGCACCAAACACAGTCATCATAGAAATCCCACAAGGCTGGATTCCATACAAAACCATTTGTCTAAACAAACCCAAAGCTCTCTCAGGAAATCCATTCTGAAGGTATCCAGTGATTACAGTATTCCAAGATACTAAGACATTATCTTCCATTGCATCAAATAATACCTGTACAGTGCATAGCTCCCCACAATGAATGTAGAATGAGAGTACTGATAGATAAACAAACAAATCTCTTTCTAACCAATTTCGGATTATAAACCCATGCACTTCCTTTCCCAACCGCAGGGATTTTAGTTTAGAACAAGCTGAGAGAAGACTACTGACAGTAAAAAGATCAGGTAGCAATCCAGAAACTTTCATCTGCAAATAGGCATCCAAGGACAACCTCGGATCACTGCTCTGAGCATAGCCACCAATCAAAGCATTCCAAGAGTTCACTGTTTTGCTCCTTATTCCATGAAACACACACTGGGCATAACTCAGTGAGCCACACTTTGCATAAGAAGAAATAAAGGCATTGGCTAACTCATCGTATACAAATTCTTGTTTTAAGGAGTAACAATGAAGTTCCTTCAAGCTCGGTAAGACTGATTCATCAATACAAACTGGCACTGCGTTCAGAATGGTTACCTCGTCCGCTTTGACGTCTTCGCTTCCTGCCAGCATCTGTCTCAGAAGATCAAACGTCCCATGTATGTCCCCCTCTGCTGAAAACCCTCCTACCATTGTATTCCAAGAAACCACATTCTTATTATTGTTCAACTTAAAGATCATTTGTGCATCAGTTATGCAACCACATTTGCAGTACATGTCCATTAAGGCATTGTTAACGACTAGTTCATTGTCCAAACTCAGTTTCACCGCCCACCCATGAACACCTTTCCCCACCCCTATTTCTCTCTCTCTTGCACAAACCGGCAACACAGTTACAACTGTAGCAACATCTGGCATAAACGCACCATCGTCACCTTCTTCCATCATTTCTCCAAGAAGCAAGAAACTTTCTTCGGAGAAACCATTATCAGATAACACTCGAATCATGGAGTTCCAGGAAACCAAGTTTCTCTCAGGCATTATATCAAACAGTTTCAAGGCATCAGAAACAAAACCATGTGTGCCATAGAAGGACACCAATGCGTTACCCACAAAAAGATCTTCCATCAATCCGGTCTTCACCACCAACCCATGAACTGCAAGCCCAATCCCAACATCAGAAATCCCAGCACAAGCCTTAATCACACACGGAAAAGTGAAATTATCCGGTAAAAGATCAGTCTTTGATATCATTTTGATAAACATCTCTAACAATTCATAGTAAAGCTCGTTTCTTGAGTAAGAGCTGATAACAGCATTCCACTGGAAGAGATTCTTACTCCGCAAGGCATCAAAAACAGACCGAGAATCATCAGGAGAACCACACATAGCGTACATGGTGATAATACGAGTGCAGAGAATGTCATCATTCCTTAACCGGGTCGACCCAGAAACCAGTTGGTGGATCTTTCTTCCCATTTCAATGTCTTTTCTCTTCCCAGAAGCTTGTAAGAGAAGCCCGAGAGCTTCTCGGACAAGAGGAAACGCATCGGACGAGCTCTCGTCATCACCAGCGAATTCCTGGACAACTCGAAAGGACTTGTCGAGGTCTCCGGTTTCACAGAAGTTAGAAATCCGACGAAGGAAATGATTGGCATTGGTCGAATTGGACAAAATAGCGTTGGAATTGTTGACGGCGCGAGGAAAGCTCGACTCTTTACGGCTCCGGCGATAATCAAACAAAACGGATAATTGTGGCAATGGAAGCAGAACAGAAGCCATCAGATAAGCTTCCTTATCCAAACACGTAGAAGCTAATTGTCATAGAAATACAGAATTTGTTTAATTTCTCTCCGACAATTTCTTGTCTGAGAGTGATTTGATTACATTACCTCGAGCCATTGAGTTTGATTCAATATGGAGTTGAATTAGTAAATCAAACATCAAAACATGTAGAGACCTTTAACAATTATATGGAATCAGATATAAATGTTCCATATTGCTACAAACATTATCTAACTTTTTGATAACTGAAACTACAATTTATGCTTCAAGAAGATGTTTATGGATGTTCATACAAAGAATCCGCCAATGCTAGACTTGCAAAAGGCATCAATCATCTAAACATAAGAGTATCAGACTAGTGTTCACTAAAAGGTCTTCAAGCTTTGACTTCCACTTGCTTAGGAACTGGTACCAGCAACCCGAGACCCGTTTTACTATCAGGAGCTAAATGAGAATACGGATTCTCCTTATACAATGGATTCGATGTCAATATCCGCACACCAGAGTCCCTGCGGATTTCCAAAACCTCAGGCAGTCCGTCAGCACATCCCTTGGACATGCCCACATCAATCCTAATGGCTTTATCATTACAAACTCCGTTGATACCAGCATCCTGGATTGTGTGTCCCATGATCATCCTCTTAACCCCAGGAATAGTGGAAAGAGCATGCTCAAGAGCTGCACAATCACATTTGTGAGCCATCTCTTCCGAGAATTTCCTCAACCAAACTACAGAGTTTCCTCCTCTACAATACACAGGCGCATATCGTCCTCCTTTCAACCCGTTAATCCAACCCCTAACCTCCTCGTTTATCCTCTCCAGGCCATACTCTATGTGCTCCGCTAAAAGTCCCCCATGAACAAACACCGAATCACCAACAACAGCAACTGTTTGATTCTTAGTCAAGAATCTCTTTGCAATTGGACCTTCAGGTCTCAATGCAGCAACCCTAGCTCTAATTCCGTCAAAACAGTCGGCTCTCATACGAGGGAAGCTCATGGGAATCCCTTCATAAGGATCCTTAGGTTTATCAAGACCACTGCATAAAGTCTTCATCTTGTTCCCTAAACAATACCAATCAGCCCAAACCTGAAATTCCTCTAAACCCTTCTTGGTCACATATCTAAAGTCACCTTCTATATTCATGATCTCATGGTTGCCATTCATAGTCAGAACCTTACCTCCAGCTCTCTCAGCCTCTCGTTTCAATTTCTCTAAGAAATAAAGTATCTTTAACTCCTCTCCTCCTCGATCCAGTACGTCTCCCACCTGAACAACCATCGTCGACCCACCAGTCCATCGGTCCGACGAATCAATCAGACCAGCGATCTTGAATGCTTCTCTAGACTTGTCGAGATCGCCATGGAGATCGCCGACTGCAACGAGTCGCTCCGGTTTGTCGAACCTCGTTTGCAGAATCTCATTCTGTGGGCTAGGATCTTGAGGCAAGAAGATGCCGGAGACGGAGTAATCAACGAAAGTGTCGACGAAGGAAGAGATGAGATTGGGAATGTCCTTGCAGATTCCGCTAGGGTTTTCTCTGCTTGACATTTTCCGGGATAATGGCGGCCAAGAACAACGGCCCCTTTATAAGTTTCCTTATAAAATATTTTTTTGCAATTATTTGGTAAAGATTTGTTTGTAAACTCACGGTAGAATATTATAATGTTTAGATCGAAGCTAATAAGGGCATATGCATCCATGTAACTTTGAAGATTGATCTTAGGTGTAAAATAATCTTAAAACATTCTAAGAGCTTTAAATAAGAACTTTTGTAAACTAAGTGATTATTGGTAGAACATGTTTAGAACATAGGAAATAATAATATAATAATCAAAAACATTAAATATTTTTTTTAAAATTAAAAAAAAATAGTTATTAAAATTGAAAACATTACAAAACTAAAATTATACTAAATTTGATATGAAAATAAAAAGAAACACAAAATACAATTTCAAACTTATATTTCTCTAGCATTACATTCTGAATCATTTGGTGCACAGTCTTTCCAGGTTTGAGAGCTACCAATGAACGCTTGACACGTGTCGCCGAGAACAGCCCAGGAACAGCTCTAGCCCAAGACCATTTCCTCAGTTCTTAGTCTTCGAAGCCCAATTTTTATTATTAAAATATTCTAAGAACATAGCCCATTTTCACCGATAAACATGGTCTAAGTGACCACATGACAGCAATTGGAAATGAGAGCAAAAATATTACAGGGCCAAGCCCAATGTTATGTTTCTTATGAATTAAGTAGCCCATAAACCAAGTTACGTATGGAATTGAGTTGAACCAGAGTATTGGACTCTGACCAGCATCCCCTAATTGAAACCAGACGAGATCTTCCAAGCTTAATTGTATAAAACCAACGATGAGTATCGAAGTCCCTTTAAGAGGAAAAAAAATAAAATATCGAAGTCCCTTTACTACAATTTGAGAGCTGTTTTATGTATTTTTATATACAAGAGTTACAGATATAATGTACACAAATAATTTCACTAAGAGACGAGAAAAGAGAAAACAAGATTCATGTATTGCAACAAAAAAAAGAAGAGAAAACAAGATTCACTGCTAGTGCCCGTTGAAGGTGTGTCAGTATTGACAAAAAATACTAATAGAAAGGAAGAAGTTGTGTCAGAATTGCGACCAGTTTAATACTTTTGCCTTTTGGCACCGTCAACGTCTCTGTTGTTGGTTGTTTTGTTGTTGTTACTAGTCGTGACTCTTCCAATTATGTAGGTTGTTGTTGTATTAATTTATCCTCATTTTGTTAGTAACATTGATCATGGTTTTAAACGCTTAAAGCGTTTTTGTTTTCTCAACTGTAAAATTCATTCACCCCACCCCACACATATATAATAGAAAAACATAAATACAATTTAAACCAAAAAAAGAAGATAAATGCAATTGTTTAATTTTCACAAGTCACAATCATAAAAATATTTTAATACAAATTGAGTTGTTTGTTATGTTTATTTGCCTATTTGGATAAGTCACGACTTGCCAAGAAGAAGGAGCGTGAGAGATCGTGTTAATGTGGGGTCTTCTTCCATTAATACGATTTAAATTGCTGAGTTTTTTTATTTTATATTAATGTTTTGACTTTTTTTCCTACTATACTAAAATGATATTTTATCCCAAATGTAGTAAATCTAATAGCGATATCTAATTTAAGTTTCAGCTAAATTCAATTTAAGTTTTAAATCATTTTTTATTTTTATTTTGAATCAGTAACTGTGGTTTGAAAAAATTAAAAGCATTTAAATATTTAGTGGAACAAAACTTTATACTTTTTAGAAAGAAAAAGTTAGATTCTTCTACTATCCAAAAAGAAAAGAACAAGGAAATTCATTATTATGACATAAGAAGCAGTGTTATAAAAAAGGGTTTATGGAGTCGTCTAGACCCGATTAGACGTTAAGCGTTTAGGTGATGCTTAAATAACCGTTTCGACCGCCTAAAATAATATTGATTTTAATTTAGTGTACTTTTTTCGATTTCTTACTACACATATTTAAATATATAAGTTTGACTTCTATATACATGGTTATAAATGTTCATATGATGTTTGATACAAATTAAAATAATGTTTTTATCAAATTTTTGTTTACGATTTAATATTTTTATTTTTTTAATATATAGTTTTGTATGATTTTATCTATAATATCATATTTATAATATTTTATGTTGTAAACGTTTAAACCGCTTAAAATCACTTAGATTCCGATTAGACGTTCTAGGCGCTAGGCACTAGATCACCGTACAGTTAATGCCTAACGCTTTCTTGAAACCATTAAATACGTTAATGCGGTTACCTAACATGACATTAAGCTCTAGTTTCCTTAATTATCCGAGTGGTCCAATTCTTTAATAGCCACCTTAATTACGAAATTATGAAAATGAATTAATAATTAGTTAAGGAAAGTGACATTGAGAACGCGTTTGCGTTTCACTTAATGGCGTGCAAGCAAAGCTAAAAAAAAAAGAAAAATAGAGAGAGAGATTAAAAACAAAAGGAATCCAAAGCAATAATAATGGTTTTGTTTGTTTTTGCTTTGCAAATACAATTATAAAAAAGAAAAAAAAAACGAGGCGTAACAGGAAGGAGAAGAAGCAGGGGTCCATCATCATCAAAAACAACATTGCAGCAATTGCGTTTTCTCCAAATTACTCGACTTTCAGAGATATTTTTTCATAGAGATGGTTTCGAAGATAACAAGTTGACAAATTCTTCGTTAAGAGATAAGAGAGAAAGAGATATAGAGAGGGATGAGTTGGAGGAGAGTGCTTAAGTCGATACAAGCCTTGGCGGCTCATAGCTTACTCTTCAGTTTCACGCTCTTATTGGTGCTTAAGCTTGATCACACCGTCTCTTCCTCATGGTGGTTAGTCTCTTTCCTCTCTTTCAAGTTGTCAATTCCTCTGAAATTGGGTGCTGCATGATTCACTTTTATTTTGTTCTGATTTGTGCAATTTCGATTTTCATCATTTACCTGATTTTATAATTTGGGGATTTTGGATTTTCTTTTGTCCCCATTGAATTTCGAAGCTAAAGATTGTCTCTTTCGAATTGAAGCGACGGTTTTTTGTCTACGCAAACGCAAAGTATCAGTTTTTTTCTTTCAGAGAATTGAAAAAGCAGCTCCTTTAACAATTTTCCGATTCCTTGTTTCTATTTGCCGTTAATAGAAACAAAAGCAATCACGTCAATAGTTTTTACTGGATAAAGTTTTTGCAATTTTTGGTAACTCAATGTATGCATTTTGTATCCTAGACGGTAAAAAAGTTACATCCTTTAGAGGTATGCATTTACCAATGACTTTCAAGAAACCAAAAGGATTCAGCTTTTTTACTTGGGTCTGATAAAAAACATTTCTGTATTTGGGGTTATGTAGGATGGTGTTTTTCCCGCTGTGGGCTTTTCATGCAGTTGTTGCAAGGGGAAGATTCTCTCTTCCTGCTCCTGTTGCTCCACGTAACCGTCATGTATGTCCTTTAAATTGTCTTACCTCTTTTAGCAAAATATCACTCAATGTCGTTGTTATGACTTTCCTGTGAATATGTACTGATATGTTTACTACAATATGTTTATGATCCCTTTTGATGTACAGTGGGCTCCTTGCCATGCTGTTGTCGCAACACCGTTGCTAGTAGCATTCGAATTACTCCTCTGTATATACCTCGAGAGTTCTTATGGTAAATATCCTGTAACCTACTGATTTGACTATTTGGCACGTTGGCTATGATTCTCAAAGTTTCTTCTTGCTACCGTTTGTTTTTTGGGATTATACGGATGGTTAAATTGGAGGACATCAAAAAGTAGTTTTTGTGTTTCAATTTTCTTGATTCTTCTGTAGAAGGATTGTTTTTTCATTTTCTCCATTTCATCGGATTGTGGACTCTCCTATCTTTAATGCAGCTCGTTGGCCACCAGCTGTGAGTCTGAAGATTGCATTCTTACCGTTATTGGCATTTGAATTAACGATACTGGTGGACAATTTGAGGTATTGATATGATGATTGTTTTGCGTTATTAATTTGTTCCATTAAATTCTGAAACAAAGACGTCCGATCTATGTATCTGGTGAACGCAAACCAAACCTAAATTACATAAAATCTAAAGTTCCTAATTACTGCAAGCTTTATCTTCAGAATGTGTCGAGCATTGATGCCAGGCGACGACGACAGCATAACTGATGATGCAATATGGGAGGCACTTCCTGTAAGTCCACATATATTGCATAAATTATTTTAAATTTTTAAGGCTTGAGCTTGAGGCTTGGTTCAGCTGCTTTAGGCTTGTTGCTATTTGATTTTGCAATTTGCTTTAAGTATCCAGGCAAGATCAATCTGTTAAACATGAATGAAAATCTGTCTCTAATTTTCCAATTACACAATTCAGGACTGAGAAGAGAGAACTTTTTGACCAATTTCTCTAATAATATAGTTTCCACAAACATAGGATTGGGATTTTCTAATCTTGTGTTGATGGGCGGGGAAGCTGGTCAGTACTCAAAAATAAACATTTAGATGCTTTTTTCCTTGTTGCCTGCAGCATTTCTGGGTTGCAATTTCCATGGTGTTCACGTTGGCTGCTACATTCTTTACCCTCCTAAAGCTTTCTGGTAATATTTGGCTACTGAATGCTTTGCTTAAATAGTTGTCTTACTCTATCTCTTTACCTATTGAAATCATATCTTCCACAGAGCCTTTCGTTGATGGGGTTATTGTGTTCTTATTCTCCCTTCTTGTTTTATTTGAAATACGCAGGCGATGTAGTAGCTCTTGGATGGTGGGATTTATTCATAAATTTTGGGTATGCTTTGTCTTGGTCTTTCTTTGTTTAAGTCCTTAAGAAGTACTTGTCAGTTTTATGGTTGGTGGAAATAATTATGAAAGTAATAGATGTGAAATGTGTTGCTTGCAGAATTGCCGAGTGCTTTGCTTTTCTTGTTTGCACAAAATGGTCCAACCCAGTAATCCATAGAAGCTCACGTGCTCGAGAAACCGGGTCATCTTCTACCACTATCAGATATCTTGACTGGAACAGTGGCCTTGTGGTTGCTCCAGAAGAGGATAGGCACCAAGATAGGTGGTGCGGTTTGCAAGATATTGGTGGTCATATGTTAAAAATTCCCGTTATTGTATTTCAAGTTGTCCTTTGCATGTATCTTGAGGTATACACCACATGTCTCTCTAACTTACCGTATTGTCTGTGGACAATACTGAAAAAGGTAACGATTTGGACTTTCAGGGGACTCCTGAAAGAGCTAAGGATATATCCATTCCATTACTGTTCTCTCCACTATTCCTATTGCAAGGCCTCGGTGTTCTCTTTGCTGCTTCTAAGCTCATTGAGAAGATCGTTCTCTTACTGCGCGGGGAAGCTGGTCCTGGATTGTATTTTAGATTTTCATCAAGTGCCCATGATTGCTTGGGATTTTTGCACCATGGTTCCAGGTGACAAACACGTCTGTCTATTTTCCCAAAGGTTGTAATTCACGAATATTAGTACTAACAAATATCAATCAATGCTCTCAATTGCTCAGGCTATTAGGTTGGTGGTCGATTGACGAAGGAAGCCGGGAGGAACAAGCTCGACTGTACTTTGACCAAGAATCTGGGTTAGTTAGTATATTCCAACCTTCTATATGCTCGAACAAAAAAATGTTATGGAATCTGCTGAAGATTTCATTATAATATGCTTGTGCAGTTACAATACATTCAGTGGTCATCCGCCTGAGGTAGTCAAGAAAATGCCAAAGGAAGATCTTGCTGAAGAGGTAACTTTACTTCTCTTTCTTGCATTTTTTGTTTTCCAATTCAGTGCTGATATTAACTTTAGGTTCTCTCTGTTCTCGAATCTTGTTTCTTCTAGTTTCAGCATTGCTTAAGTGTTGTTTGCATTCAATCTAATTTGATATCCCTAGGTGTGGAGACTTCAAGCAGCACTTGGTGAACAAACAGAAATCACAAAATTCAGCCAGCAGGAATATGAAAGACTGCAAAATGTATATTCATTTATTAGCCATGATGGTTTTTTAACTTTCTTGCTTCTATTTTACTTTTTTCCCTTGGTTTAATCCTGTGTCAATGTGTCTTCTACTCCAGGAGAAAGTGCTGTGTAGGGTTTGCTTTGAAAAAGAAATCAGTTTGGTACTGCTTCCATGTAGACACCGTGTTCTCTGCAGGTAACCATCCTTAATCATATTACACTTAAAAGTTTAGACATTTTTTCACTCGATTTGTCTGAAAATACCATACAACGAAACTAGGAATCTATGAAGTCATATCAATATAGTCATTGGACAGGCGACATGTATGTCATTCTTCACAATTTTTGTTTGTGTGCCATTTTTGTTGCAGAGTCTGTGCAGACAAGTGTACAACGTGCCCAATATGTCGTATAGACATTGAAAAACGACTATCTGTATACGACGTTTGACTGTGTTAACTTTGGCCCATGTTCGAGAGTAGGATTTGAGGTTGATGCTCCAGACAAACATTCCATTTTACCATACTGTTTCCCAAACTTCTGATGTTTTTGCTGAATCTTTTTATTTGTCTGAATCAGCATCAAGTATAAAAAAGTATAGGTGTATACGTATATGTATATGTATTTTTCTGTAGAAAAACTCATACAAACTTTAGCTGTAACATACAAAGTTTGTATAATATCCATCTCTTTTTGTGTATAAATCAGTCACTAAGTTCTGCTTTTCATGTCCATGACTTAAATTACTTGTTATGGAAAGTGACACTGACATAAATAGAGATGCAAAAAGCCATATGCATATACACTGTTCAAAGCCGATCTTTCGTGAACAAAAAACATCACAAATAAGACAAACATAAACTCTGTAAAAGCCTATTTATGTAATTCACAGATGTGGTTTGCGTGCTTCCGTTTTCTTCTTCAATTTCATCCCCTTCTTATGATTCGTCTGAGTGGGCGTTGGCTCAACGAGCAGTAACCGCGACATCACATACGCCAAAAGCTCTTCACGGTGAGAAAAGGTAAAATCCAAATGAGCATACTCAAACTCATTGTAAGAAACATCAACTCCTGAATCTCTCATCACCCTGTAATGTTTCCTAACCATTGAAGGTCTGATCACTTTATCTTTCTTTCCGGCTACTAAATCCACAGGCACATCGATCAACCCGTAAAACTCCCCAAGATCGAGCGGCTCAGGGGACCCGTAAACCTCCATATTAGCTGAACTGCTACCGTAATCAAACATCTTGAACTTACCGCTATGTTTAATCTGCGCAAGATGCTGAGCCACACGGAAGGATATACCTGGCATATCATTCATGTTATAGTGAGGCAATCCCATGACTCCAACCCAGTTTGAGCTATCTCCGCCAACTACATAACTCATCAATGTCTGGACTAATCCACCAACAGCAGGATAGTTATGGAAATCTCGAGCTAACTTGTTGAGAAGCATCCGGAAGAATTTAGTGGGTATGTAGAAAGCAGGAACAATCCGAGATAGTACAGGACCCAAGAGAAGGAATGTGTACTCCATCAATGTGAAACACATGTTGGAGTCATCGTGAAACCCAGCAGGCGAAAGCAGGATCAGTCTCGAGAGTCTGTGCGGTTTCTCTTCGATTTTACGGGTGATTATATACATCAGAACCGCGGCGCCGCCTAAACTGTGAGATACAACACAGAGCTTATACGGTTGCTCCTCGTTTACTACCTCTTCCATAGTAGGCTGATAAAGTTTCAGTTCTGAAGTTTTGACTTCGTGAATCTTCTCTATCATTGCTGGGATATCTTCCGTTGCATGCTCATTGATGGAGTAACGCCAGAAACTGCATGTTTTGAGGATTCCTTAATAAAGAACTATACAAAATATCAAATCCATAAAGAAGCAGCTTATTCTATACTACTCACTCTTTTGAGGATATGTTTTTGTTCACATGATCTCTTGAAACTAAACCGCGAAAGTTCCCTAGGAAAACATCGTACCCTAGCAAGAAAAACAGAGGTAAATGTTAACTACATATTTATCATATAGTAACTTGGGAAATTAGGAATTTTTTGGCACGGACCTTGATCATAAGCAGCAAAAGCCGGAGATCCAACAACACCATTTGATACCCATCTGAAGATAAAGGTCCAGATGAGAAACCGAGGCAAAAAAATTCCTGACAAGGTTCAACGAAATAGACTATGAAACTCACCCCATTGAAGAATCCATTACACCATGCTGCAAATAAACAGCTTTCCTTGCATCTCGTCTGGAAAGACATGAGAGTAAATTAACGACTACATTTTAAAGGAACTTACAGAACAAAACAGACTATAGAGGAACTTACTGAACCATAATAGATTCTATACCTTGGTATCCTTTCCAAGAGAAGACCATATCCATCAGATGTAACAACACGAATAGCTTCATACGGATACCTATCAAGATTATAAGAGAAGTTAAATCAAAAGGCGAATAGTTGAGTAACAGCAGAAGTAAAAATCAACTATGCAAGAAACATCTTCTACAAATTTCCCCCTACCCAAGCTCTGTTATAACATCTTGACAAGTCCGAGTATCTGTATTGTATAAGCTCGTTGTGGTTCTTCTTTCTGTAGGAGATGAATCATTATCTCCTAGAATGGCAGTCTGCACGATCTCATCATCCGAAACGTCACCATAGGTTCCTTTAGAACTGTGACTGGAGGAAGAGAACCATGATAGAACTATTCCAAAAGTTTCTGATGGAGAAAGAAGAAGATGTGCCGCCTTGTGAAAAAAATCAAATATTGTTTCGATAAAGATCTCGATGCCAAGCTGAAGATCCTGCAAATATAGAACATATAAGTGTGAAAGAAAACTCCAGAACGCGAAAAGCGATAAAGTATGTTCATCGACACAAACCTCAATGACTCCACGTCTTTTATCAGTAGTTCGGTTAGGGACGTCATGCTCTTTCCCTGGGATAGCTTTGCTAAAATAAGGTCTAGACGAATGTTGGTACCTTCCTGGGCTCATAGGTGACATTCTTGAATTTCGTCTACCTAAAAGACGTAAAAGATATAATGGTAACCAAAGAAGGATCCGGGCAGGTAGTAAAACCCACCAGACAATGAAGGTTATCCACTCTGTCCAATGGCTTTCGTAATTTGTAGGAAGACTAGCCCAAGAGCGGAGTGAGGTTTGAGACAAGGGTGATGGAGGCGTGGACATGCCATCACTATCATCTTCTCCAGAGGAATAGTCCAAGCTTGAAGTATCAGAATCCACAGAGAGCTCGTGAATGAAGTGGTTGAAAGAAGAGACTCCACTGCAAAAGAGCAGAAATCAAAAGAGAGTCGAATATGCTTATGCATATTAGAGAGTTGAAGAGATTTTTACTTATGCATCCAACGTGGTAAACGAGGACCACGTAAAGTAGGCCTTAGCTCCCATCCATGAAGACCTTCAAGAACATTGGACTTTCCGGGCAAAAGTGTCAAGAGAAGTGCAGAAAATCCATTAATGCATCTTGCAATGTTGTTCAAAGACTCATAAGTCAAAGTTTTCACTGACCTGCACTAAAAACCAACATCATTAGTTAGCTTAAGCTATTTTAGACCAACACAAACATCCTAATACCAATCACAACCAACACCGAAAAAGCTCTAAATAAAACACAAAGATACTTTCTTTAAAGAGACAACAAAACTCGAGAGTACTTAAAAGATGTAATCCAAATTCCCAAATCAGTAACTATTAACCACTAAATCTCAAGATTAATGTAAATCAGAAGATATAAGATATAGACTTAGCTTCACTACAAAACCACTGACTCAGTCTCAGCCAACATTGGCATCTTCCATATCCAAATCAAATCGAATTACTATTCGACATAATCAAAAATCAAAACTATAGACCAGATTTACATCCAAACTAAGGAAACAATACAGTTGAAATCAAATGTCAAATTACTAAAATCACTAACATGCAACTAAAAAAAAACAAATCACAAATCACAAAATCATTAACGAGCACTGACTAATGCTCGAATCGAAAAAGAGAGAAGGACTCACTCTTTTGTGACAGCAAGAGCATCATCGACGATCCTCTGCATGATTTTGTTTCCCCAATATAGAAATACAAAAAACAACCGGGAGATAAAAAAAAAATCTGAAAAATGAAATAGAATCCAAAATGAAAATCCCAGAAAAACCGAGATGAGTCCCACAAAATCAAAAGCCGTAATCGCGAATCGAAGAAAAAAGAAACGTTTTTTTTTGTTTGAGAGAGTGTGTTGTTGGATTGAAATCCGATAAATTAGGGAACGTCGGCGATTATTGCCGTCCACAAGAGAAGGTCGGTAAACGTTATTTAGAGAGACGAGACAGAGGGTGACACGTGGGTGTATATAATTGGATGATTTAGAATGTGTCATCTATTGGATTTTGCATGCGGATATGGAGACATGACACGTAAGTCTGTAGTGGCGGAGAAGTTACGTCGATTTTGGCTTTATTATTTTCCGACCATTTTTTTATGATTAATAAAGTCATTCATATTATTATAATCTTGTGGTTCAAAACTTTTATGCTATTATAGAACTTAAATATTTTCAAAGACCTTTGCAATTCCGAAGTCATTAGCATTTTGAAAGACACGATAGCTGAATTTTTCTTGTTTATTTCGTGGATTATCATGATTCGTGAATGATGTGGACGGTCACGATTGTCTGGATATCTAATAAAGCAACTAAAACTTTCCATGTGTTTTTTTGTTTGTTTCATAAATAGGAGCACTAAACTGCTTGTTAATGAGTAATGACACACTCCAAAGGTTGTTCAGGCGAATATTAATAACATTCAAAGAACATCGATGCACAATGAAAATAAAACATTAGTTTCCAAGTTTCGTCTTCTCAGGCTCCACATAATCTGAAGCTGCCTGCATTAAGGGCATTTTCGCTGAATGTAGGAAGCTCCATGTTCCTCATACCTGCCATTTACACCAAGACCCCAAATCCGAGTGTCAGGAGAGTAGTTTCTTTGCGAGTTTGATCAATGGAAATTACAGAACAGAGACTTACTCAGACTTGGAGAACCACATCTGTTGAAACGAGCCTAGTGATGCCAATATACTCCCTCCTATCCATACACTGCACATACATAACATGTCTGTTGGTTGATCCAAGCAATATTTGGGGTCTCATTATAGAGGAAGAAGTGAACACTATATATCCAAACCTGAATCTTCTTTCTGTTGTGTTACCGCTTGCCAACACTTTAACTCTAGCCGAGTGAGGAGACTCCTGAAACAAAGATAGAGGGCCAATGAATGGTTTTTGTCATCATAAAAACTGGGAAAGTTTACAAGACAGAGGAAAAGAGTTGAGGACACAATACTTCGATCAAGTCCTTTTCGAGACGTTCTTTCAATTGTTGCATTGACGATGTTCCACCAGCAAGCTGGCATAATGCGAGAAGAAAGTATGTTAATCATCCACATCCAACGAAACTAAAAGTAGGGTATCTAAGAGTTGACATTGATTGCTATTTTACCAGTATGCTACTATACAACTCTCTCCGGATGTCTACATCACATTTGTTGATGCTCTCCATGACCTGTACAAATCAGTAAAATGGAGAGTGGAGTTAGAAAAAGTTAAGAGATGGAAGCTTTGCAGTGACTAAGCACTATGCATATACTAGCTATCATATACCATGTGTGGTAACCCACGAACGGAAGGAATCATATCAGCATACTTCTCCATTCCAGGAATCGTCTGCAAATTGCAATAAACACGGAAAAGTCACTAAAAGAAACCTTTGATAAATAATTAGAGGCTCAAAAAAGCTCAAGAGAAGAAACAAAATGTCTTTAGAATCTTCTGTTGAATTTATCGTGCTCAAATGGTGTACCTGGACTATGGACGGGTTGAACATCACATCAGGAACTTTGAACCTATCAGCACCAATCTCGAGCATCCTGCAGTAGACATGCTTAATAATATATTGAGAAAGCCTAAAAAAAAAGTAAAGGTGCAGCTTCCTGTTTTCAATGAAGCTAGCACTTTTCTCTTTTAACTTAATTCTCATTATCACATTAGATTCCATGCAGCTTTCCAAAGCAATGTCTGACTCGTCTAAACTTTTCCGCCAGTGGCTTTAATGACTCAGATCCAACTAAGAACTTATCTCAGCTTAAACAAGGTTCAGAATAGTGGTCCATTTTGGCTAGAAACTAAGCACAAGCCTTATAAGTAGAAAGCAAAAGCAAATTAGCATGTACGTTTGAGGCACAATAAAGCGAAATAGACATATAAACTGAGCTTACTGGCCATCAGGAAGCTCGTACGACGTAGTTGGGATGTTTGAATATGATTTATCTGCAGATAAATGCATCACATCAGAAATATGAAAGCTACAGGATCAAATGACATTGAAAGAACGTTCAACTCTCAAACAACTTTAAAGTTTGAAATAAACCAAATTTATCAAACCAGTGAAAGACAAAAGAACATAAAGTACCATCATAGGGAGTATCAGGAACTCGACAAATAGAATCCTTGATATCACCCACTATCATCCTCTGTTGAGAAAAAAATCACCAAGTTATAAAACAACAGAAAATTTCAAACGAGGAATCATTATCAATGACAGACCTGGCAGAAGAGTTTGTAGCTTTCCGTGGTGTTAGGAATATCCACATCTTCAACCTGCAAGGATTCAAAGGGAAGAAATGAGAGACTATCTAGGTCTTATTCACTGATAGTAGTTTCATTCACTGATCCACATATGCACCTGGAATTCCCCTGCTCGTATTTCCTTTCTCTTGAAAGAGTATCTAGGTCTTATCTGCAGAAAAAATGACCAGTAACACTTAGGTAAATTGGCTCAAAAGATAAGAAAGTGAATAAAAATTGTTTCACCTACTTTTATTCCTTTACTCTCCAAGCTTTTCAGTAGGCAGTCAGTGAGAAATTCCCCTCCAAGTGGAGATGATACAACAGCCTGCGAATAAAATTATGGTCAACAATCGGAGAATAACAATCTGCATCAATGCTGTAAAAGTAAAACTGGTCAATATTCACATGAATAAGAATATATAGCAGCTACAGATGACACTGTGGAAAAGAGAGATGGGAAACTTTCTCCTGCAGTAGAAAATCCAAACCCAAAGAAACAGCATCACAAAGCCTGAATTCTTACTAAATCGATTAATACAAGTACCTTTTGAAGAACATAACCATCATGCACAGGTGAAATAGTTGTGGATCCTCCACCGCTAGAAATACAATAATGTGCCATCAGTACTTTTCAGATTAAACACATCATACAGAAACAAGGTAGACTTTCACAGCATAAAATAGGTCAGAAGTGGAACATTAGTAGCTTCTACAGACTAGAGAAACTTTTAATAATTTTGAAAGTAGAAAAGTCTTACCAGTCAACAACCAAAGAAGTAGCGCGCCCAGTAGCAAAAGACGTGAGAACCTAGCACCAAAAAACACCAAATTCATGTAGATAGTTAGACATCTGATTAGACAAGAGCTGGCTGGAGATCAACAATACAGTAATCGTCATGTAATAATCTATCAAAAGAATGATGATCAAAGGTAGAGGGAAGATACAGGATTCTTAGCCATAAACAATGCAGGAACTTTGTATTTTTCAAACATTAGCTCTGCCGCCCTGTCAACCATATGATTTGAGAAAATCAGTAACACACTCCAAGATAAAGCAATACATATAAAAATGATATATCAAAGCAAATAAATCCTACTTCTCTCTCTGCTGTTGAGTGTTCAAAGGAGGCTCAGCTAGCAGCATTGGGTGCTCCGTAGGATCAATCATCAGACAACTCCTAAAAAAGAGAAAGTTTGTTTAGAGATGAAATGCAAAAAACAACTAAGAGAAAATATAATGCTTTACACAGTTACTTGAAAGCATGTTCCCATATATTGTCCACCAAATCCCAGTCAGAAACTATGCCGTCCTTTATAGGTGACAAAACCTGGTGAGAGAAAATGCAACCTGTAATTTCACCCACAAAGTTATAAACTTTAAACATTAATCAAAGAGAAAAGCTAACCTCCATATGATCTCGGCGGTAACTCATGGCTTGAGATCCTACATAGAGCTTGCGTTTGCCCTTTTCTTTTTCAGACTCAGTCTTCGAATCCTCAGAATTCGAATTAGTCTTTGTAGAATCAGCATCCACATCCATAGCCTCTATACCATCTACTGCCCCAACAACCTTATGAACACATCAGAAAAAAAAACCTAAGAGTCTTGAGCAAATCTACACTAACACAGTGAAGCTTATAGTGACATAAAATGCTGGAATCAAGACTTACGGAAGGGAAAACGGCCTTGGGAGCATCTTCACCGGCGTAACCAGCCTTGCAAGTGTGCGAACCCAAGTCAACCACAATAGCTGACACTTCATCTGTGCAAACCCACCACGGAAAAAATCAAATCTTGAACGAAACCAGCTCAAAAATGTGTTAAAAGATGAGCGACAAAGCAATTCTAGGGTTTAAAGAGAAACCCACCTCCGCCGTACATGGCTGCAGCGAACGAAAAGGGTGGAGAGGTTCTCTATCTGAGCTTGTCGTCGGAGGGTTTAAACACGGGACGGGGTTCTCTGTAATCTCGGATCCAGCTGAATCGGGTAGGCTTGGTTTAACTGAGTTCGAGTTGTGGGGACCACAAAACCTCTCACTGAATCCGTCGGGTTTAAATGATCCAAGCAACTAACCGAACCGAACACAAATTTTCTAAACCGAACCAACTTTTGTGCCAACCTTTTTTGCAATAAACGAAGTACGACTGAAAATATGTGTAATTAAAATTTCAGCAAAATAAATATTAAATACTGAAAATATCCATATTTTCGAGTTGCATAAGCTCTATTAAAATTAAGAGCGATTATGAGAAACGCATAATCTGGTTTTTATGATGTACAATTTGCTCAAAAAGGATTCAACAATATGTATGGAACAAAAAGATATTAATAATGAATCGGCAAGAATACTCTGTAGTTGTTATATGTGATATTGTGATGTAACAACTTCTCTTCTAACTGAGTTGCTCCATAGATTTTCGAGTGTTGACAAAGGTTGCACTTTTGTTGATCCCCTCAAGCAAAAGAATCCTTATTGCTTCTATCCCGGTTTGGAATGTATAATCCAACTGCAAAACCATACACAATCAGGTTTTCCTATTTCTGAAATATTGAGATAATGTTGGGATTTTATATCTTCTTCTACCTCTTCCTGTTCTTGTCTACTGAACTGGCGGAGAACAAAATTAGCTGTATCCATCTTCCCTGGAGGCCGTCCGATCCCTGAAATGAAACATTCGACAATTTGCAAAAATCAGAGAAGAAGAAGAAGGGAAGATATGTCGGAGTGGAGAGAAATGAGAACTTTACCTATTCTTAGACGAGGAAAATCACGGCTACCTTTGAGGCGATCTATAATGCTTCTCATCCTGCAAGTAAATGACCAGAACACTTCATCATGATTTCTTGAAGAGTTTCTCTATGATTTGATAGTGAAAACGTTCACAATTATCCATCCACATTGCTTCTCAAGTAAAAAGTAAGATAATACTTAAATACTAGTGAAAACATCTTTAAACAGGTCAGATATAGGGTGAAACGCTTTGTACCCATTGTGGCCTCCGTGACCACCTTTTGGCAATAAACGCAGTTTACCAAAGGGCAAATCTAAATCATCGTAAACCTGAAGAAGACAAAAAATTAAGACTTTTTCCAAATCCAGAATTTGGAGAGTGAGCGAGAGAGAGAAGGTAAAGTATACCACAAGTACTTGCTTTAGCGGGATCTTGTAAAATGAAACAATTTGTCCAACCTTCAAACAATTCCAGCAATCATAAACAGAAAGAATCAAAATAGCAAGTCATAAACGGTAGAGAGATTGGTTGACTAAATAAACCAAAGTTGTTTTCCGATGAGCTCACTTACAGACTCACCACTTAGGTTCATGAAAGTTTGTGGTTTAGCCAGCATAATCGGTATATTTCCAATAACGCCTATGATTCAAAAAAAACAATACCCAAAGTTAGGAACAATCCCAGACAGAAGAATGGTATTACAGTCACTAGTTATGTAAATCAAATAGGATTATTATGAAACAAAACAAGAATCTGTTAAAGACGCTGACTTCTCCGGAAACAGTTACCCGTTGTTTCTATCACCCTCATCAAACATTTGAGACGTATAAAATTGAAATGAAAGTTTCAAAGTTTGAGATAAGAAAACCATTTAAAAATGAAAATTCACAACGGAGAAGATAGGAGAATGAAAAGAGAACCTTTCCCAAACAAGGCCTTGAAGTTAACAGTGTTCATGGAGATGCCTTCTGCATTAGCCAAAGCGTCCACCATCTCAAAACCAACCTGCAATTCATGATCACATTAGCGAGCTAAAAAGAAAAAATCAAAGTGAGAAAGCAAAAGAAACAGAGAGATACGTTGTGGCGCGTGCCCTGGTACTTCTTTCCGGGATTACCCAAACCAACAATGAGCCATGGCAGCTGCGGTGGCGGAGATTTTGGTTTCGAAGAGGGTAAAGCTTGAAGTAACTCTGATTCCGGTTGAGAGGAGAATGAATTAGATAAAGAGGACAATGATTGTGACGGTGATGACAAACACTGAGACATCAAACCTCCGACACCTCTTGTTCCTTTTGTCAGCTTCCGACAAGGTGATGATATCGAGTAAGGCAATGCCGGCGAAAAAAACAGTGAGCTACAGCCAGAAGGGAAGCTGAGATTTGCGATTTTAGCGGGAAAAGCTACAGCTTTCATCTTTTCTTCTGGGGAATTAGGGTTTATAGTTTATCCTCAATTGGATTGGATTTTGTTCTGTCGGTGTCGAACAAAAAAAAAAGTAAAAAGGAGAAAGAAAAGTGAAGGGACTAAAATTTAAAAGACTCCAAAGTTAAGGGACGAAAATAATAATAACATAAAAATTTAACCGCCGTTGCCGGGGATCGAACCCGGGTCACCCGCGTGACAGGCGGGAATACTTACCACTATACTACAACGACCTTGTTGATATGCGATTCAATATAATAAATATTTAATTCAGCAAATACAAAAGTTTACATTTGTCGTCTTCTTCACTCAGCGACAGCTTCTTTGAAATTAGCTTTGACACTGAGTTCATCGTACGCATTCACAAGATTCTCCAGCCTCGCGACGAATTCAATCAGTAGCGAAGCGAACGTAGCTAGAGACAGATTACTCGCGCTCTCGTACCTCAGCGTCGCCTCCCCAATTGGTTGCTGAAACATACTTCCCGGCGTAATAGAGATCCGGCTAGGCCACGACGGCTGTTTCTGTATCATCGTCCTTGATTGCTGGTAAGGAAGCATCGTCGCCGAATTTAAGTTCGTTGCAGTAGTTGTTACCGCATCCCAATTCTTCGGTGGACGAAGCGTGGCTTCACTCTGGGATTTATGAGCTATGATCCGACTTAGATCCTCGTCGAGATTCGAGATTTTTTGTTCATCAGTCGAATCCCTAGGCCGATTCCCGATTTCCCAGTTCTTGGCGTTCACGAGAAGGTACGATTTCTTGTCGATTTTGCTCTGTAGTTCTTCGGCTGCTTGGTGAATCTCGTAGATTCTATACCTTGGTATCCTTTCCAAGAGAAGACCATATCCATCAGATGTAACAACACGAATAGCTTCATACGGATACCTATCAAGATTATAAGAGAAGTTAAATCAAAAGGCGAATAGTTGAGTAACAGCAGAAGTAAAAATCAACTATGCAAGAAACATCTTCTACAAATTTCCCCCTACCCAAGCTCTGTTATAACATCTTGACAAGTCCGAGTATCTGTATTGTATAAGCTCGTTGTGGTTCTTCTTTCTGTAGGAGATGAATCATTATCTCCTAGAATGGCAGTCTGCACGATCTCATCATCCGAAACGTCACCATAGGTTCCTTTAGAACTGTGACTGGAGGAAGAGAACCATGATAGAACTATTCCAAAAGTTTCTGATGGAGAAAGAAGAAGATGTGCCGCCTTGTGAAAAAAATCAAATATTGTTTCGATAAAGATCTCGATGCCAAGCTGAAGATCCTGCAAATATAGAACATATAAGTGTGAAAGAAAACTCCAGAACGCGAAAAGCGATAAAGTATGTTCATCGACACAAACCTCAATGACTCCACGTCTTTTATCAGTAGTTCGGTTAGGGACGTCATGCTCTTTCCCTGGGATAGCTTTGCTAAAATAAGGTCTAGACGAATGTTGGTACCTTCCTGGGCTCATAGGTGACATTCTTGAATTTCGTCTACCTAAAAGACGTAAAAGATATAATGGTAACCAAAGAAGGATCCGGGCAGGTAGTAAAACCCACCAGACAATGAAGGTTATCCACTCTGTCCAATGGCTTTCGTAATTTGTAGGAAGACTAGCCCAAGAGCGGAGTGAGGTTTGAGACAAGGGTGATGGAGGCGTGGACATGCCATCACTATCATCTTCTCCAGAGGAATAGTCCAAGCTTGAAGTATCAGAATCCACAGAGAGCTCGTGAATGAAGTGGTTGAAAGAAGAGACTCCACTGCAAAAGAGCAGAAATCAAAAGAGAGTCGAATATGCTTATGCATATTAGAGAGTTGAAGAGATTTTTACTTATGCATCCAACGTGGTAAACGAGGACCACGTAAAGTAGGCCTTAGCTCCCATCCATGAAGACCTTCAAGAACATTGGACTTTCCGGGCAAAAGTGTCAAGAGAAGTGCAGAAAATCCATTAATGCATCTTGCAATGTTGTTCAAAGACTCATAAGTCAAAGTTTTCACTGACCTGCACTAAAAACCAACATCATTAGTTAGCTTAAGCTATTTTAGACCAACACAAACATCCTAATACCAATCACAACCAACACCGAAAAAGCTCTAAATAAAACACAAAGATACTTTCTTTAAAGAGACAACAAAACTCGAGAGTACTTAAAAGATGTAATCCAAATTCCCAAATCAGTAACTATTAACCACTAAATCTCAAGATTAATGTAAATCAGAAGATATAAGATATAGACTTAGCTTCACTACAAAACCACTGACTCAGTCTCAGCCAACATTGGCATCTTCCATATCCAAATCAAATCGAATTACTATTCGACATAATCAAAAATCAAAACTATAGACCAGATTTACATCCAAACTAAGGAAACAATACAGTTGAAATCAAATGTCAAATTACTAAAATCACTAACATGCAACTAAAAAAAAACAAATCACAAATCACAAAATCATTAACGAGCACTGACTAATGCTCGAATCGAAAAAGAGAGAAGGACTCACTCTTTTGTGACAGCAAGAGCATCATCGACGATCCTCTGCATGATTTTGTTTCCCCAATATAGAAATACAAAAAACAACCGGGAGATAAAAAAAAAATCTGAAAAATGAAATAGAATCCAAAATGAAAATCCCAGAAAAACCGAGATGAGTCCCACAAAATCAAAAGCCGTAATCGCGAATCGAAGAAAAAAGAAACGTTTTTTTTTGTTTGAGAGAGTGTGTTGTTGGATTGAAATCCGATAAATTAGGGAACGTCGGCGATTATTGCCGTCCACAAGAGAAGGTCGGTAAACGTTATTTAGAGAGACGAGACAGAGGGTGACACGTGGGTGTATATAATTGGATGATTTAGAATGTGTCATCTATTGGATTTTGCATGCGGATATGGAGACATGACACGTAAGTCTGTAGTGGCGGAGAAGTTACGTCGATTTTGGCTTTATTATTTTCCGACCATTTTTTTATGATTAATAAAGTCATTCATATTATTATAATCTTGTGGTTCAAAACTTTTATGCTATTATAGAACTTAAATATTTTCAAAGACCTTTGCAATTCCGAAGTCATTAGCATTTTGAAAGACACGATAGCTGAATTTTTCTTGTTTATTTCGTGGATTATCATGATTCGTGAATGATGTGGACGGTCACGATTGTCTGGATATCTAATAAAGCAACTAAAACTTTCCATGTGTTTTTTTGTTTGTTTCATAAATAGGAGCACTAAACTGCTTGTTAATGAGTAATGACACACTCCAAAGGTTGTTCAGGCGAATATTAATAACATTCAAAGAACATCGATGCACAATGAAAATAAAACATTAGTTTCCAAGTTTCGTCTTCTCAGGCTCCACATAATCTGAAGCTGCCTGCATTAAGGGCATTTTCGCTGAATGTAGGAAGCTCCATGTTCCTCATACCTGCCATTTACACCAAGACCCCAAATCCGAGTGTCAGGAGAGTAGTTTCTTTGCGAGTTTGATCAATGGAAATTACAGAACAGAGACTTACTCAGACTTGGAGAACCACATCTGTTGAAACGAGCCTAGTGATGCCAATATACTCCCTCCTATCCATACACTGCACATACATAACATGTCTGTTGGTTGATCCAAGCAATATTTGGGGTCTCATTATAGAGGAAGAAGTGAACACTATATATCCAAACCTGAATCTTCTTTCTGTTGTGTTACCGCTTGCCAACACTTTAACTCTAGCCGAGTGAGGAGACTCCTGAAACAAAGATAGAGGGCCAATGAATGGTTTTTGTCATCATAAAAACTGGGAAAGTTTACAAGACAGAGGAAAAGAGTTGAGGACACAATACTTCGATCAAGTCCTTTTCGAGACGTTCTTTCAATTGTTGCATTGACGATGTTCCACCAGCAAGCTGGCATAATGCGAGAAGAAAGTATGTTAATCATCCACATCCAACGAAACTAAAAGTAGGGTATCTAAGAGTTGACATTGATTGCTATTTTACCAGTATGCTACTATACAACTCTCTCCGGATGTCTACATCACATTTGTTGATGCTCTCCATGACCTGTACAAATCAGTAAAATGGAGAGTGGAGTTAGAAAAAGTTAAGAGATGGAAGCTTTGCAGTGACTAAGCACTATGCATATACTAGCTATCATATACCATGTGTGGTAACCCACGAACGGAAGGAATCATATCAGCATACTTCTCCATTCCAGGAATCGTCTGCAAATTGCAATAAACACGGAAAAGTCACTAAAAGAAACCTTTGATAAATAATTAGAGGCTCAAAAAAGCTCAAGAGAAGAAACAAAATGTCTTTAGAATCTTCTGTTGAATTTATCGTGCTCAAATGGTGTACCTGGACTATGGACGGGTTGAACATCACATCAGGAACTTTGAACCTATCAGCACCAATCTCGAGCATCCTGCAGTAGACATGCTTAATAATATATTGAGAAAGCCTAAAAAAAAAGTAAAGGTGCAGCTTCCTGTTTTCAATGAAGCTAGCACTTTTCTCTTTTAACTTAATTCTCATTATCACATTAGATTCCATGCAGCTTTCCAAAGCAATGTCTGACTCGTCTAAACTTTTCCGCCAGTGGCTTTAATGACTCAGATCCAACTAAGAACTTATCTCAGCTTAAACAAGGTTCAGAATAGTGGTCCATTTTGGCTAGAAACTAAGCACAAGCCTTATAAGTAGAAAGCAAAAGCAAATTAGCATGTACGTTTGAGGCACAATAAAGCGAAATAGACATATAAACTGAGCTTACTGGCCATCAGGAAGCTCGTACGACGTAGTTGGGATGTTTGAATATGATTTATCTGCAGATAAATGCATCACATCAGAAATATGAAAGCTACAGGATCAAATGACATTGAAAGAACGTTCAACTCTCAAACAACTTTAAAGTTTGAAATAAACCAAATTTATCAAACCAGTGAAAGACAAAAGAACATAAAGTACCATCATAGGGAGTATCAGGAACTCGACAAATAGAATCCTTGATATCACCCACTATCATCCTCTGTTGAGAAAAAAATCACCAAGTTATAAAACAACAGAAAATTTCAAACGAGGAATCATTATCAATGACAGACCTGGCAGAAGAGTTTGTAGCTTTCCGTGGTGTTAGGAATATCCACATCTTCAACCTGCAAGGATTCAAAGGGAAGAAATGAGAGACTATCTAGGTCTTATTCACTGATAGTAGTTTCATTCACTGATCCACATATGCACCTGGAATTCCCCTGCTCGTATTTCCTTTCTCTTGAAAGAGTATCTAGGTCTTATCTGCAGAAAAAATGACCAGTAACACTTAGGTAAATTGGCTCAAAAGATAAGAAAGTGAATAAAAATTGTTTCACCTACTTTTATTCCTTTACTCTCCAAGCTTTTCAGTAGGCAGTCAGTGAGAAATTCCCCTCCAAGTGGAGATGATACAACAGCCTGCGAATAAAATTATGGTCAACAATCGGAGAATAACAATCTGCATCAATGCTGTAAAAGTAAAACTGGTCAATATTCACATGAATAAGAATATATAGCAGCTACAGATGACACTGTGGAAAAGAGAGATGGGAAACTTTCTCCTGCAGTAGAAAATCCAAACCCAAAGAAACAGCATCACAAAGCCTGAATTCTTACTAAATCGATTAATACAAGTACCTTTTGAAGAACATAACCATCATGCACAGGTGAAATAGTTGTGGATCCTCCACCGCTAGAAATACAATAATGTGCCATCAGTACTTTTCAGATTAAACACATCATACAGAAACAAGGTAGACTTTCACAGCATAAAATAGGTCAGAAGTGGAACATTAGTAGCTTCTACAGACTAGAGAAACTTTTAATAATTTTGAAAGTAGAAAAGTCTTACCAGTCAACAACCAAAGAAGTAGCGCGCCCAGTAGCAAAAGACGTGAGAACCTAGCACCAAAAAACACCAAATTCATGTAGATAGTTAGACATCTGATTAGACAAGAGCTGGCTGGAGATCAACAATACAGTAATCGTCATGTAATAATCTATCAAAAGAATGATGATCAAAGGTAGAGGGAAGATACAGGATTCTTAGCCATAAACAATGCAGGAACTTTGTATTTTTCAAACATTAGCTCTGCCGCCCTGTCAACCATATGATTTGAGAAAATCAGTAACACACTCCAAGATAAAGCAATACATATAAAAATGATATATCAAAGCAAATAAATCCTACTTCTCTCTCTGCTGTTGAGTGTTCAAAGGAGGCTCAGCTAGCAGCATTGGGTGCTCCGTAGGATCAATCATCAGACAACTCCTAAAAAAGAGAAAGTTTGTTTAGAGATGAAATGCAAAAAACAACTAAGAGAAAATATAATGCTTTACACAGTTACTTGAAAGCATGTTCCCATATATTGTCCACCAAATCCCAGTCAGAAACTATGCCGTCCTTTATAGGTGACAAAACCTGGTGAGAGAAAATGCAACCTGTAATTTCACCCACAAAGTTATAAACTTTAAACATTAATCAAAGAGAAAAGCTAACCTCCATATGATCTCGGCGGTAACTCATGGCTTGAGATCCTACATAGAGCTTGCGTTTGCCCTTTTCTTTTTCAGACTCAGTCTTCGAATCCTCAGAATTCGAATTAGTCTTTGTAGAATCAGCATCCACATCCATAGCCTCTATACCATCTACTGCCCCAACAACCTTATGAACACATCAGAAAAAAAAACCTAAGAGTCTTGAGCAAATCTACACTAACACAGTGAAGCTTATAGTGACATAAAATGCTGGAATCAAGACTTACGGAAGGGAAAACGGCCTTGGGAGCATCTTCACCGGCGTAACCAGCCTTGCAAGTGTGCGAACCCAAGTCAACCACAATAGCTGACACTTCATCTGTGCAAACCCACCACGGAAAAAATCAAATCTTGAACGAAACCAGCTCAAAAATGTGTTAAAAGATGAGCGACAAAGCAATTCTAGGGTTTAAAGAGAAACCCACCTCCGCCGTACATGGCTGCAGCGAACGAAAAGGGTGGAGAGGTTCTCTATCTGAGCTTGTCGTCGGAGGGTTTAAACACGGGACGGGGTTCTCTGTAATCTCGGATCCAGCTGAATCGGGTAGGCTTGGTTTAACTGAGTTCGAGTTGTGGGGACCACAAAACCTCTCACTGAATCCGTCGGGTTTAAATGATCCAAGCAACTAACCGAACCGAACACAAATTTTCTAAACCGAACCAACTTTTGTGCCAACCTTTTTTGCAATAAACGAAGTACGACTGAAAATATGTGTAATTAAAATTTCAGCAAAATAAATATTAAATACTGAAAATATCCATATTTTCGAGTTGCATAAGCTCTATTAAAATTAAGAGCGATTATGAGAAACGCATAATCTGGTTTTTATGATGTACAATTTGCTCAAAAAGGATTCAACAATATGTATGGAACAAAAAGATATTAATAATGAATCGGCAAGAATACTCTGTAGTTGTTATATGTGATATTGTGATGTAACAACTTCTCTTCTAACTGAGTTGCTCCATAGATTTTCGAGTGTTGACAAAGGTTGCACTTTTGTTGATCCCCTCAAGCAAAAGAATCCTTATTGCTTCTATCCCGGTTTGGAATGTATAATCCAACTGCAAAACCATACACAATCAGGTTTTCCTATTTCTGAAATATTGAGATAATGTTGGGATTTTATATCTTCTTCTACCTCTTCCTGTTCTTGTCTACTGAACTGGCGGAGAACAAAATTAGCTGTATCCATCTTCCCTGGAGGCCGTCCGATCCCTGAAATGAAACATTCGACAATTTGCAAAAATCAGAGAAGAAGAAGAAGGGAAGATATGTCGGAGTGGAGAGAAATGAGAACTTTACCTATTCTTAGACGAGGAAAATCACGGCTACCTTTGAGGCGATCTATAATGCTTCTCATCCTGCAAGTAAATGACCAGAACACTTCATCATGATTTCTTGAAGAGTTTCTCTATGATTTGATAGTGAAAACGTTCACAATTATCCATCCACATTGCTTCTCAAGTAAAAAGTAAGATAATACTTAAATACTAGTGAAAACATCTTTAAACAGGTCAGATATAGGGTGAAACGCTTTGTACCCATTGTGGCCTCCGTGACCACCTTTTGGCAATAAACGCAGTTTACCAAAGGGCAAATCTAAATCATCGTAAACCTGAAGAAGACAAAAAATTAAGACTTTTTCCAAATCCAGAATTTGGAGAGTGAGCGAGAGAGAGAAGGTAAAGTATACCACAAGTACTTGCTTTAGCGGGATCTTGTAAAATGAAACAATTTGTCCAACCTTCAAACAATTCCAGCAATCATAAACAGAAAGAATCAAAATAGCAAGTCATAAACGGTAGAGAGATTGGTTGACTAAATAAACCAAAGTTGTTTTCCGATGAGCTCACTTACAGACTCACCACTTAGGTTCATGAAAGTTTGTGGTTTAGCCAGCATAATCGGTATATTTCCAATAACGCCTATGATTCAAAAAAAACAATACCCAAAGTTAGGAACAATCCCAGACAGAAGAATGGTATTACAGTCACTAGTTATGTAAATCAAATAGGATTATTATGAAACAAAACAAGAATCTGTTAAAGACGCTGACTTCTCCGGAAACAGTTACCCGTTGTTTCTATCACCCTCATCAAACATTTGAGACGTATAAAATTGAAATGAAAGTTTCAAAGTTTGAGATAAGAAAACCATTTAAAAATGAAAATTCACAACGGAGAAGATAGGAGAATGAAAAGAGAACCTTTCCCAAACAAGGCCTTGAAGTTAACAGTGTTCATGGAGATGCCTTCTGCATTAGCCAAAGCGTCCACCATCTCAAAACCAACCTGCAATTCATGATCACATTAGCGAGCTAAAAAGAAAAAATCAAAGTGAGAAAGCAAAAGAAACAGAGAGATACGTTGTGGCGCGTGCCCTGGTACTTCTTTCCGGGATTACCCAAACCAACAATGAGCCATGGCAGCTGCGGTGGCGGAGATTTTGGTTTCGAAGAGGGTAAAGCTTGAAGTAACTCTGATTCCGGTTGAGAGGAGAATGAATTAGATAAAGAGGACAATGATTGTGACGGTGATGACAAACACTGAGACATCAAACCTCCGACACCTCTTGTTCCTTTTGTCAGCTTCCGACAAGGTGATGATATCGAGTAAGGCAATGCCGGCGAAAAAAACAGTGAGCTACAGCCAGAAGGGAAGCTGAGATTTGCGATTTTAGCGGGAAAAGCTACAGCTTTCATCTTTTCTTCTGGGGAATTAGGGTTTATAGTTTATCCTCAATTGGATTGGATTTTGTTCTGTCGGTGTCGAACAAAAAAAAAAGTAAAAAGGAGAAAGAAAAGTGAAGGGACTAAAATTTAAAAGACTCCAAAGTTAAGGGACGAAAATAATAATAACATAAAAATTTAACCGCCGTTGCCGGGGATCGAACCCGGGTCACCCGCGTGACAGGCGGGAATACTTACCACTATACTACAACGACCTTGTTGATATGCGATTCAATATAATAAATATTTAATTCAGCAAATACAAAAGTTTACATTTGTCGTCTTCTTCACTCAGCGACAGCTTCTTTGAAATTAGCTTTGACACTGAGTTCATCGTACGCATTCACAAGATTCTCCAGCCTCGCGACGAATTCAATCAGTAGCGAAGCGAACGTAGCTAGAGACAGATTACTCGCGCTCTCGTACCTCAGCGTCGCCTCCCCAATTGGTTGCTGAAACATACTTCCCGGCGTAATAGAGATCCGGCTAGGCCACGACGGCTGTTTCTGTATCATCGTCCTTGATTGCTGGTAAGGAAGCATCGTCGCCGAATTTAAGTTCGTTGCAGTAGTTGTTACCGCATCCCAATTCTTCGGTGGACGAAGCGTGGCTTCACTCTGGGATTTATGAGCTATGATCCGACTTAGATCCTCGTCGAGATTCGAGATTTTTTGTTCATCAGTCGAATCCCTAGGCCGATTCCCGATTTCCCAGTTCTTGGCGTTCACGAGAAGGTACGATTTCTTGTCGATTTTGCTCTGTAGTTCTTCGGCTGCTTGGTGAATCTCGTAGAGTATGTCTTCTATAGGGTTTAGTTTCTCCATCTTCTTCAGTTGTTCCCCAATGTATCTGAGTACTTTTGCTCCTTCTAAGCCCACTCTTTGAAGCTCATTACGAAATTCTCGTCTTCTATCCTCTGCAGCCTGCAATTATATTGCATCTCAAATCTCTCTTAAGATCTGAATATTGTAGATGTTCTTCTGACTTAGGATTGGAAGAGTACCTGAATCTCTGAGAGAATGCAGCCATGTAATGCCATGACCATGATAGCACAATGCCTCAATGCACCACCTACTTTCACATACATTGCCCATGGGTATCTAAAGGATTTGTACGGTCCGTGTGGTGGCTCCCATGATGCAAAACCCATCTTCACAATCACACCAACAACAAGAAAAAGATGTGAGGATCTGAAGTAAGTTGGTCTTTTGATAATGTTGTTGCTGTTCTTATATGTTGGATTAGTGAAAAGAATCCTACCAGAGTGTCTTCTTGGCTTGTAGATTGAACGGCTGATCTGTAACCACTGTACACTGGATCTTCAGCGACAGCTTCATAGACCAGAATCCTAGATGGGATTGTATCATATGCTACGCACTCGAGATATCCGTTCACACAACCTGCACAAAGGAACATTTTCTATGGACTGGATTTGACAAGAGACAGACTAAGCTTTTCTACCCGAAACTGAAATTCAGGGAGAGAGTTAATAATAAACCTTCCAATGAAGTCGCTACATTCACAAAGTTCTTGGCGACCAAGTTATGGAGATCTTCCCCAGCCCATATGGGATAGATGCAAGTATTCACAACGAGTCCAACACAGGCACCAAGAGCTATTAGAAGGAACCTTGAAACAGCTGTTTCCATGAATTCCCCTGTTTTGTATCCTGACACTATCACGTAGCAATAGGTCAGCAAGAACACTCGGAATCCGTACTCATATGGCTTCATCGTTGGATATAGCTTTGCATAAGTCGCAAAAAAGGCTGATACAAAAGCAGGCACACAAAATTGTCAGAATCTGAAGGAGATTTAAAGGTGGAAGCTTTTAATTTAGACTACACATGATCTTATATATATTACCTACTACAAAGATGCTAGCAGCATTAAGAACCTCTCCCCAGTCTCCGCTCATCTCGGATATCCAAGCCATGCCAAGTGCCAATCCTCCTGCGGACAATGTTCCTAGTCCCCGGTTACATCCTTTGCTAAAGGTGGCTCCTACACAATGAAGAGAAGATCCCACGTCAGGTATTAAATTTTTTAGAATGTTCAAGTTTGATGTGTTAAGTCTGTTGCATTTACCTATACTGAACTCAAAGATAACAACTACTGTAAGAATTGCCCAGAGATAGTGGCTGCTGAGCTCTAATCCCGGGATCTTAAAGAAGATGAGGATAGAGGTAAGTGTCAGAGCCAAACCCATCTTCGCCGAGAATATGACCTTCCTCGGGTCAGATGTTCCCACCTCCCATGCCGTAACCAAAATATCCTTTGATTTCTTCACAACCCCCATGATCTTGTCTGAGAAGTACCTGCAAACAACACCCATAGCATTTCAAGACTAACCATTTGAGATTGTTACACGCTTAAGGTTCGGGAAAGGAGGAGAGATTGTCTGTAATGTATAACCTGTAGGAGCAACAACGGACAGAAGTTTGTTCATCGTCGTTGACATTGGAATAGCCTCTGCTCTGTTGTGGGATAAGCCTATCCCTCATGCTTTGTCTAAACGAACCATCGAACATACTACCTCGCCTGAAAGATCCATCGAACATGCTACCCCGCCTGAAAGATTCCAGCTTTGGTGCCGCCATTTCTGGTTCTTGATTCTGATGATCGCAGGAGATTGAGAGACAAAGAGACGGGATGACTCAGGAGAGATTCTATTTCTCGTGCATTGTGGTTTATGATCTCAATCAAAGGCACGATGGTGTCATGATTCATGAATTGAAAAAACAGATTCCTAAATTCGGAACTTTTTCGGATTTTGTAAAGAAATGGTATGCAAATCTTGTATGATTGCTATGCACGTCTTAGAGCACGTTTTCGTGTCTAATTACAGATTGTTTTTCCACACATAATCTCAAGAATATATTTTTTTAATAAACAAAAATAACGGTCAAATTTATAACAGCATAGATTCATACTTTAATAGCAAAAAGACAACATGAAGAATTTTTGTGTTACTCAGAAGATCACACATCATGCATGAACATATTGTGTCCTTTTTTCCATTTCGTATCAAATTTCAGTTGCAGTGTTGCACAATAAATCCATTGAATCCCACCTTAAATAATCCATCTTTCCATAAACCCTATCAATCTCCACTGTTCTAAAGAAAGAAGAAAAAACTTAATTTCCAAGAAAGTTTTCAAGATACGATACACAAAAAATGGCATCTTCAAGTGTTGTTATCACTGTCTTAATCTTCTTGGCTCCAATCTTTCTCCAACTATGTCTCTCTCAAGGTCCGAGTCCTCCAGCTTCTTGTGCTTCCTTGTTACTAGCCTTGGCTCCATGTGGTCCTTTCGTGCAGGGTTTTGTCCAGCTCCCAGCTCAACCATGCTGCAACAGCCTGAACCAGATCTACAACCAACAACCAACCTGTCTCTGTCTCTTTCTCAACAACAATTCTACATTATCCTCTGCTTTTCCGATCAATCAAACACTAGCTCTCCAATTGCCTCAGCTTTGTAGCATTCCAGCCAATTCATCTGTTTGCTCCTCAGGTATGTGAATCCTCCATTCGCTTCCTACACACAACAAAATATAAAACCTCGATTTTAAGATTCATCAGTTTTGTGAAATTGACATGAACAATTTTCTTGTTGTAAGGGGCTTCCTCTGTTTCTCCACCATCTACCAACTCAACCAGCTCTCAAATCTCTCTGGGTGCAAAGAACAATTCGGGTGTGGCAGGTAATCCAATCATCCAATTTCAGGCATAAGTGAAAAATGAATCATGCTCGTAAAGGCTTTTGATATACCTGATTATTCTTTCTCAGCGATCCCAGTGGCTCAAGTGGCACCAAAACCAACCAGCATGATGGGATTGGGTTATCGTCTGAAATCCACTGGTTCGAAGTCTAAGATTCAGCTGACTACCTTTCTGATGGCAGTGATTCTAACCGGAACACCCTTCCTGTTCTAACTCCATAGTCCATAGGCGTATTTACTTTAACCTCCGTCTAGTTAACATCCTCCTCGTTCTTGCTTTTCTCTTTGAACTCAGAAGAACTACACTTTCCATAGATTTATGAATGAAGTTGTGATAATGTTTCTTGAAACCAAAACAGAACAATGTAACAAAATTCTATTTCAATTTCCTTGAATTTGTAGCTATCTATTGGTTAGGTAAAGTATACCACAAGTACATGCTTAAGCAGGACCCTGAAAAGGAAACAATTTGTCCAACCTTGAAACCAAGTGATTTCATACATCAAACATTACAGAAGTATAAAACCAAATGAAATATTCACACTTTAGGAATATTAAAAGATTGACCATTTTAAAGAAAATAAGAGACTGAAAAGAGTACATTTGCTCAAACAAGACCTTTAACGGTGTTCATGGATGGGTATCACTTCGGTATCAGCCAAAGTGTCCACCATCTCAAAACCAACTCTGGTGAAAAGGGAAGATAAATTTCCAATCCGAATATTAAGGGGGTAAAGTTAAAATATAAAAGTTATGGAACACCAATGATAAGCAAAACAATGAAGATTTCAGACTTCAGCTGCCACGTTCGAAACTGATCTTGGTCCGACCAGAACCACCAAAGTCATCCTCCAGACCCGGTTTTGTCAGAGTTTCTTACCTTTCTTCAAATCTGACGCCCACTGGACAAGACCAAAAGGATCTTGTTCATCTTCCTTCTCGAACTCAACAGGCCTGTCTCTCTTTCCCGCCCTCTCGGAAACCACACTGCTGAAAGCTTTGACTGGTTTGAACCTCTCAGTGTTCTTAAGCTTATCAAGCTGCTCGTCTGCATTTCCATACATTTCATCATCCAGATTCTTCTTTGGCTGGTACAACGTTGAAAGAGTGGGTTTTGCAGTAAACAAGCGTTTGTCATATACGTTGTTTTGGTCATCAGTTGCAAAACCAGAGTCCATTCCTTTCTCCTGGTTAAACAAGCGTTGATCATACATAACTTCACCGCCTCTTCCTCCAGTAAATGCCATTCCAAGAGCAACCTTCTCACCCACATCACGATTTTTGTCCCTTGTGATCTTGCTCTTCTTAGCTTCCATCCTTCTCTCCCTCTCTCTTTCCCTACGACGCTCTTCTCGAATCTCGTCCCTCTGAATCCGCCCTTCCTTTTCCATTCCCCTCTTGTGGTCATAGTCATAATCCCCTCTTGGGACATCAACACTCTCACTTGCAGCAAAACTCCTTTCAGAACGAGCCTTTTGAGCAAGATTCCTCAACTCCTGTTCTTTTCCTTCCTTCTCCTTCATCGCCATCTCTCTTTGAACTTTTAACTGCATTAAAACAGCCTCGCTAAGTTTCTCCCTAGCCACATCGAGCGCCTCCGATAACTTGGCAAAGTTATCATTGACCTGAGCCTCTCGTAAGACTCTTCCATCAGTGGCAACACGTTGATCAAGAGGGATTGTGTAACCTTTCCCGTTATTCCAATTGGAAACACAAGGTGGGATTTTCCAGTCTTGTTGTTCCTTAACAGTAACAGCCCTAGGCGGTGAATGCATGACAGGAACAGTCTCTGAAGAACCAGAAGCCTTTGGAACTCGCTTGTGCCTGAACTTTGGTAGATCAAGTGGATCTACAGGCATATCCGAAACCCTAATGATCCTCTCTTTAGCACCGGAATTGAATGCTACAGATTGCTGCAGGGATGGCTTATACTTAATGTACGTTGGGTCATCCAACTGCTTCACCACATTCCTAGGCTGTGCTGCATTCATAATCTTTTCAATGGCAGCTTTTGTTTCTTGGGTAGTATCCTTCTGCAACTCCTCATCAACATCAACATCTCCCTCGTTTTTGAGCATCTTGGGAATAAGATCACTATGTTGAGAGTAAACAATCTTTCGTAAGTTCTCATTCTGCCTCACAATGGCGTCAAAGACCACGTTTCCATGTGCATCCACAGTAACAGGAAAAACCTTGGATTCAGGCTTGTTGGGTCTACCACTACCCATACCAAGAGGCCATTGAGCAACAAGAATCTCTGGAAACGCACCACCATCTCCAAAATCCTCGAAATTCCTCGGAAAAAAACCTTGTCGCTTCGGGTAAATAGGTGCTGCTTTAACAGAAGATATTTCAGCCTCGGATTCAATGAAAGACAGATTAATTGAGTGATCAGAATACCTCAACGTAGTTGTTGTTGAATTTGCAGGAGGTGGAAGGTTTTTAAGAGACCTCATGGCGCAAATTGGCGGTTCCTGAACAAGAATGAACGAAAATCAATAAGAAAAAAAACAGACTTTCGATAACAATCATACATATAAAGATTCAGTGCCGGTTCTCGAGGGTGTGCTAGGTCTCCAAAATTAGGGTTTATAAATCTCTCAACTTTGAGATCAGCAGGAACCTTAATGAAAGCAGAAAGAAGTATTGGTTTAAGAGATAAATCGAAGAAGCTTACCTCGAAGAATTATTATGAGCGAGTTTGAGAGACAGAGAACGCAGCAACAAACGACGAACAAGTTGTTTTATAGGTTTAATAGCAAAAACAAGCTTTTTATAATCCAAAAGAAAAGCGAAGATTAATCATTTTTAATATAGCATTAAAAAAAAAAGGAACTGGTAAAAGAAAAAAAAGGATATTCTGTTAAGAAAAAAGGAAATAAATAGTTAATGACAGACACAAACATAAGGAAATTCTGTTGAAATAAATCTAAAATAAATAAATAAATAAATAATGACACATAAATTTTAAGCTGCAAGTCAAAAGCATAATTCAAATAAGTTAAGAAATTCATTCGATTTTGATTTACATCAACAAAAAAAAAGTATAAATTCCCTACCAAAAAAAAAAAATATATAAATTGGAAACAAAAGTTTAGGTACAACATCTGCAATAAACAAAAAAATACAGGGGCTAAAAGTTAACAACTCCAAAATTAAAACCCGCCCGAACCGAACCGACCCGACCCGTAGAAACGATTGGAGAAGCAGAGATACTCGCGCTTCTTCCTACATTCGCGCTACAGCAAAAAAAAAAAAATTAAAAAAAAAAGTCTGAAAAAGTCATTGACGTGACAAATCCACGTCTCGTTGTTCTCCTCCGTCTCTGTGTTTTCTGGCAGGTTAGGACTTGGCTTTCCCGAGAAAATCTCCTTCTCCTTTCCGATTTTCCCAGGTTTGGAGAGATCATTTTCCTTTCCCAGGTGCTTATTTTTCATGATCGGATTATCTGAATCGTGTGTTTTGACTTAGTTTATCCCAATGCCGTTCTTCTCTTGTTGCACCAAAAGAGCAATCTTCTGTTCCTCTCCAGGTAGGTTCGTCTCTACTGCTATTTTCTTCTTTATTCGCAACTTGAGAATGCTACTAGGTAGATCCCAGTTCCTTGCATTTCGAATCCATCACGCTTCTCAATACTTGAAATCGGAAAAAAACGAATAGATGATCTACGATTTAGAATTCTCACTCTTTTTTTAGAAATTCTCATCTAAGAATTCTCAGCTTCATTAGCACGGTTTTACTTGATGATTGTTGTTGCATTCCCTGGTTTCAACTAGTTTTCTCTAGCCTTTATGTTTGGTAGTTGGTCTAATGCTCTATATTTATATAACAATCTTGCTTTCAGGCCTTGTTGATAAAGAATGAAGGACTTGTGGCTTTATCAAGTGTTTCCATAAGTTTGCTTTCCACCTCCATGCCTTTGGTGATTGATGATGAATTCTCTCACTGATCAATCAGGCAGCTCTCATGGAGGTTCAACTCCCCGTAGTCCCTTCTCTCCATCTTCTGCACATGAAAGGCATAAAGGTCTGCCGGATTCCAGATTTCAGCGTCCCCTGCCCAATTCTTCAGCACCGGGTACATTTGTAATGTTATTAGAAAAGGCCTCTTTTACATAGTCATTCCATTTAACTTAATGAGTTTTTTCTACCGCAGATCCATCATCCCCTGGATCAATGCTCCATGGAGGACACAAGTCCCACGAGGCTTTCCAAATGAAACAGGGCCGATTTGATCTCCAAGCCGCAAAGATTTCAGAACTGATGAAATCAAACAATTTAGATGTATTGCTGCCTAAGCCTTTACCTTATCAATGAATATTCTGCATATCCTAAGCTCTGCTTCTCTTCTTTTTCATAGTTGTTTCTTTTCAAAGTCGTTCATAATAGTACCCTATGCTTCTGTTGAATGCAGAATGCTCCCACGCAGTCACTTTTAAGTATCGTGAATGGAATTCTTGATGAAACTATTGAGAGAAAGAATGGTGAAATCCCTCAGGTACTTGAGTCTCTAACAATCCTGAGCATGCTTTTGGATGTTACATGCTTGAATGGTTGTAAAACCAAATATGCATGCACACATTTGTCACATGCTGCTTGGGACATCTTTTGATCTAATCTATATAATGATCAGCGTGTAGCATCTCTGCTGAGGAAAGTCGTGCAGGAAATCGAGCGACGTATTTCAACTCAATCTGAGCATCTAAGAACGGTATTTCTTTTTTCTTCGGTGAAATCGTAAATTGTGTTCAATTGTTTTATATTCTGAGTACTCTTTGTGCAGCAAAACAGTGTGTTTAAAGCTCGTGAGGAGAAGTACCAGTCAAGGATCAAAGTTCTTGAAACCTTAGCTTCAGGAACTAGTGAAGAAAATGAGGTATCATAAAGAACTTAGGCCCTGAGATTTTTGTTTCATGAAATTCACTAATGTGTTATTCTAACCAGATTGCTACAAGACAACTTCGACGGATAAAGGTAACGCTTTTTGCATCTGTCCATTTTAATCATGTAAATTGCTTACTGGAAGTTTATCTGGGATAAACTTGATTCTAGTAAGATGTTTATTTGCTTGAGATGGCTATGATAGACAGAAAAGTCTAAGCTGGAAGAGAAGAAGAAAGACAAAGAGGAGGATATGGTTAGGCTAGAGAAAGAAAATGGTCATTATAATCTTGAAATTTTTACTTTAAGGCGAGAACTGGAGACAACCAAGAAAGCATATGAACAACAATGCTTGCAAATGGAAAGCCAGACAAAGGTCGCGACAGCAGGTATCGAGGACAGGGTTAAGGAGCTTGAACAAATGAGAGAGGATGCAACCACTGCAAAAACTGCCCTTGAGGAAAGGGTTAGGGAGCTTGAAGAGATGGGAAAAGAAGCAAATGTTGTTAAAATGACTCTCGAGGAAAAGGTGAAGGAGCTTCAACAATTCAAGAAAGAGACGCTAACAGTCACTACAAGCCTTGAAGCTAAAAATCGAGAGCTTGAACAATTTAAAAAGGAGACCATGACTGTTAATACAAGCCTTGAAGCAAAAAATCGAGAGCTTGAACAATTTAAAAAGGAGACGGTGACTTTTAATACAAGCCTTGAAGCAAAAAATCGAGAGCTTGAAAAAAATCTGGTCCACTGGAAGAGTAAAGCCAAAGAAATGGAAGAAAAATCAGAGTTGAAGAATCGGAGTTGGAGTCAGAAAGAACTTTCGTATAGAAGCTTTATCAGTTTCCAGTTCAAGGCGCTACAAGTATGTTTACATATACCATTGACTAGAATCAGTCATCGTGTTTGTCTATAGTCACCTAAACCTGCCAATTTTCCAGGAGTTGAGGTTCTGTTCTAAGTCCATCAAAGAAGAAATACTAAAAGTTCAAGATAAGTATACAGCAGAGTTTAGTCAATTAGGTAAGTCATTTGAGACACATGCTTTTTATAATAGCTCAAATGATATATTTGTGACTTTTAAAAATTTGGTGGTGTTTATCAATAAATCTTTATCCTCAGGGAGGAAATTGCTTGAACTTGGAGATGCTGCTGCAAACTATCACGAAGTCCTAACTGAAAACCAAAAGCTCTTCAATGAACTTCAGGAGCTAAAAGGTAAGTAATGCGGATCAGGCATAACATATTGCTGTTTCTTTACCATTCAGATTTATAAATTTCCATCTTCTATGCAACCTATAAATTCTCTAGTTATGGCTTGCAGGCAACATTAGAGTGTATTGTCGGGTGAGGCCTTTCTTGCGAGGGCAAGGTGCATCAAAAACTGTGGTAGAAAACATTGGTGATCATGGGGAGTTGGTAGTTCTCAATCCAACAAAACCTGGGAAAGATGGTCTTCGAAAATTTAGGTTCAATAAGGTCTACAGTCCTGCCTCTACTCAAGGTGTTCTTTTGTTAGCCTTTCGACCTCTATCCTGAGGAATTTTTCTTCCATTCCATTTATACTTTCTGTTGGATTGGTGTGTTCTTCTTAGTCAAGAGACTGTTAAGAATTATCAAAACTTCAATACACATATCTCATGTATCTTTTCAATTCTTGCAGCTGAGGTATTTTCAGATATAAAACCTCTTGTTCGATCAGTTCTCGACGGGTACAATGTATGTATCTTTGCATATGGTCAGACAGGATCCGGGAAAACTTACACAATGGTATTCATTCACTATTATATCCTGATAAGGTGCCAGATGAATGATTCCACTACATTCTTACCATTATTCTTATTTTGTTTAGACTGGTCCAGATGGAGCAAGCGAAGAAGAGTGGGGAGTAAACTATCGTGCTCTCAATGACCTCTTCAAAATCTCTCAAACCCGAAAAAGCAACATAGCGTATGAAGTCGGGGTGCAGATGGTGGAGATATACAATGAACAAGTGCGCGATTTACTCTCTGGTGACAGTTCTCAAAAGAAATATCCTTTTTTGTGCTCTACTTATATTTTGTTTTGCTCTTTCAAAATTAGTTCTTCCATATTAGTTCGGCTCTGTTCTCCAACTATCTGTTTGTGTTTCCATTCTTTTGCTTCCCTTGACTTTCACACACTAGGGATTCTTTCTACAACTCAACAAAACGGTCTTGCTGTACCTGATGCAAGCATGTATCCTGTGACATCCACCTCGGATGTTCTTGAATTAATGAGCATTGGGCTACAAAACCGAGCCGTTAGCTCCACTGCCTTGAACGAAAGAAGTAGCCGCTCTCACAGGTTCTCATATTGTTCTCTGAAACAAACATGTGTCTTGTCTTTTATCATTCTCTTGATAATTAGGTCTCCTAGGGTATGTGAGAAAAGACAAAAATAACTTTGATAGATGATTCCTTATGCAGCATTGTCACCGTTCATGTTCGTGGCAAGGACTTGAAGACCGGTTCTGCGCTGTATGGAAATCTACATTTGGTAGATCTGGCCGGTAGTGAGAGAGTTGATCGCTCTGAAGTTACAGGAGACAGACTTAAAGAAGCACAACATATAAACAAGTCACTCTCAGCTCTAGGAGATGTGATATTCTCTCTTGCTTCAAAGAGTTCTCATGTACCATACAGGAACAGCAAACTAACTCAGCTTCTCCAAAGCTCTCTAGGTTAACTAAAAAAATTCTACTTTGTTTTTTACATCGTGAAGGAGATTAGCTAAGTTATCTCTGTGTGTTTAACATCACAGGTGGTCGAGCAAAGACATTGATGTTTGTTCAACTCAATCCTGATATTACTTCATATTCAGAGTCAATGAGTACTTTGAAGTTCGCAGAGCGTGTCTCTGGAGTTGAGTTAGGTGCTGCAAAGAGCAGCAAAGATGGTAGAGACGTTAGAGACTTAATGGAGCAGGTAAAAAACTAAAACACACTCTCATAATATCTTATGAATCTTCTCTTATATAGATTCCAACTAGATCTACCATAAGCTCGATATTTCACTAAACCTTAAGAACCATTGCAGTTAGGGTCCCTTAAGGACACAATAGCGAGAAAAGACGATGAGATAGAGCGGCTTCATTTGCTTAAGGACATTAATTACCCACAGAGACTGCAGAGAAAGAGCTTAGGACAATCCGATGACTTTAACTCAGAAGCTGGAGATTCACAGTTGTCTATAGAAGACGACTCAAGATTCCAACAAGATTATACCAGACAGTCACGACACTCTGTCACGGATGGTGAGACCTTAGCTTCCTCCATTGATGCAGAGTACGATGATGAAACAGAATCCATTGATGCTCCTTCAGCAGAAGGAAGAAAAACAGAATCCATTGATGCTCCTTCAGCAGAAGGAAGAAAACCTTTAAAGATTTCAGACAAGTAACCTCTTGTGTTTCCTCTCTTGCTTCAATATAAAAATTTACAATTTTTTTGTTTGAAACATATTTATTGGTGAGAATCCTGAAAATTGCAGACCTAAACCGGTGACTCCAAGGAGTAGTACGACAACATCACGACCACTTGATAAACTCAAGCAAGTCGCTACGAGGACGTCGAACATTGCAAAGGCCACGTCAGGCTTGTCGTCACCAAGTAAGAAAACAAAATTTATACGGTTTAGGTTATAAGTCGAAGAGATTGTTATATTTGCTATTAGTTCGGACTTCTGATGATGATGTATATAAATTGCGTGTTTCTCAAGGTTCTCAAGGTTCTCAAGGCATGAAGAAGACGGGAAGTGCTTCTAATTTGCTCAAGTCATCGAAAGATTCGAAACGGTGGTCCTGAAAATACTATTTTGTCCTTAGCAGCTAATTTTTTCTCTCCCTCTATGAACCCAAATCAAATGATCAATGGTTTCATTTGGGACTTAATTTTGTAAATTTATTTTGTTTTTTTATGTACACTTTTTGTTAATATACGAATCGTACTACTCTCACGAAGTTTTTTAGAAATTTGACAATAATATTTTATCATAAATTCATAATTGTAGTACTCTTCTTCAAAATGGGGTAAAAATTTATAGTTACTCTACTATATATGAATACCTTTTTTAGCCTCACCCGACTTTTTTTCTCTCCCGTGACCTAATCGCCGCCTCCTTCGTCTCTTCGTATTTGGCTGGATTTTGACCGGCGCGTGGCGGCTTACTTAGCGCCGGCGTCGGTCACGTTTCTCTTCTTCTCTTAGTTTTTGTTTCTGCTCTTTGTTTTCTTTGGCGGTGTTTGCACGGTGGCTTTGGCGAGATGGTTTGGCCGTCTTCGATTCTCAGATCTGGTTGAAAGTGGCCTTTTGTCACTGGAAACTTTGGTCTATGGTCTGCTCTTTGTGCGTTGGTGTGACTCATGGCGGGGTTTGGTCTTGGTCAAGTTGCAAGGACGAATTCTTTTCGGATCTGCCTCTTCGCTCATGACGGAAGCTTTGCGGTGGATCTCCTGATCGTGGTTTGTTTTGGTTTGAGGAGGGTGACGCCGGATTTAATCGATCTACGGGCCTCCATTCTTAAATTTCAAACCTTGTGTATGTGTACTGAATCGATTTGTCTCCATGCCGTTTTGTGAATTACCGTTTCTGTTGGTTTCATGTTTTGGAGAATTTGTGTTGGTGCTCTTCAATTCTCTTTTGGGTCTTTGTCTTTGTGCCTTCATAGTTGGTTTCTTTGGTGCTGTTCTGGAATTGGCTCTGTATTCAGTCTTTTGTGGTCTAGTTTCTTGATCTCTTGCCTATTCTCTGCCCTGCTGAGTTTGCTTGTTTTTCGATCCGGTTCGCGTTCTTATCGTCTCCAGTTTTCGGTTTGATGCGGATTGTTTGGGCTCGGTCCTTGTCTCTACGGTCAAGACCTGATCGAGGTCTCTCTATTGCATTGGTATCTTTCTTGGCGTAATCATTTCGTGGTTATTAAGCTTGCCTCGAATTCGCCGTTTCCAGGAGTTGTGTTTGGGTTCTTGTTCTCTACTTGCTGGTAAAGATGCTTTAGTTCTCTATAATTTGTGAGGTAGTCTTCATTGTTATAGGAGGAGCCGCTGTCCGGTGTTGTGGATTTTCTCGTCTCCATCGGTTAGCCACTACTTCAAGCTTTTCTCTTTGTTGGTTTGGTGGTAGGCAAGGTGTGATGTGCTAGATTCTGAGTTAGAGTTGTATTTCATGTTCTTTGTGCTTCGTTGCCTTCTTTGTTTTGGCATTGTTTGTTCATTAGTAGTGTTGATGTTTGAATCCCATGTTTTTGGGCTTAGTTTCCGAGGATATCTTGTTATCCGTCGGCTTAGTTTCCGGGGATGTGTTTGTTTCCGCCGGCTTAGTTTTCGGGATTATGTTTTTAATCGCCGACTTTGTAACTTGGTTCCTTTTTAATAAAAATTCTACCAGACGAAAAAAAAAAAAAAAAAACTATATATGAATAGTGTGCATATGTAACAGCAAGGTTATTGAAAGTGGGAAAGAAGATTATAAAATGAGAAAGGAACTTGAAATGCTAAGATAACAACTTGTATCAACAGTTAGCTCCAGTTCGATCCATAGTAAGTCCACTAATAACAAAATATTGGTGGGTAGTCCCCACAGTGTTATTTGCATACTTGAATTTAGCCCAGTTTTTGTTCTCTGTCACCGAATGATGTGATCGCCAAATCTATTTTTGGAATATTTTGGGGCCCCAATATTTTCACTAGTTATTGTAAACCCCCAATTCTGTCCTCTTCAGCATCTAATAAAAATATAAATATATGATCATCCTGAACATAATATGCTGTTTCATGTATGTTAAGATAGCAACAGAAGCATTGACCAGCTGAAAAAATATAAAGATTAAGTAGTTGAGAGGCTCTGTTTGAGCGTCATGGGCAACTACAGATTTTAACCATTTTTGTGTATTAATCATGGGGAAATATTCAAATTATAATAAATATGACAAAACATATCACTATAGTTTAAGATAATAAATGATTATAATAGTTGTTAGACACTCTCTGACATTTTGCTTTCATGCCCATTGCACATATACTTATCAGTGGAGGAAAAAAAACAAATAGATAATTGGTCTTAAAGCAGACAAAGAAGATATAGTTTTAGTCTTTTAGATCACCAAATAGGCAAATACAATTAAAATATACAAAAAGACAAAACAAATGGTTGTGTAGAAACCAGTAGCTTGTACCTAAAAAAACAAGAGGAATAATCCATAGTATATGTGACCCCTGACTTGTATTTTGTTGAATTTTAGGATCATAAAATTAGATCTATGATTGTTATTAATATCTTTTGACAACACTAAAAACTTTTATGAATTGAAACAACCACAAAAATCTGTAAGATTTAATCATGAAAACGAGAAAGTAAACATGAAATCCCACATTGACCATCCTTCAACGAATGGTCCATTTCAAGCTGTCCTTATGAATGCCATGGGATGCATGCATCTTTTTCGTCTTTCTTTTTATTAATTTTTTTTTTTTTTTGGCTCTCGAAGTAGTTATTAACAAGTTTGCATTTTAGCTCTCGTTTTTTTTTTTTATATATAGATGGTTATTTCCTGCATGAACCTATATGCATAAATATATCTATCATGTATTAATATTCCAAATATTTTGGTAAGGATTTTATCATAAGACATCTACACCATACTAATCTCGAGTGCATTAACAAAGATAAAACTTAAACCTCGGCTACGACCTGCCATGCATATGGAATGAGTAGTGTCCAAAATGTCATAAAATTTCAAATAAAAATAAAATTAGAAATAAAGAAACATGTATAGAGAGAATAACAGAAAGACAAAAGTGTATTATTATATCCTCACTTTCTTTATATATACGATCATACAAAATATCTGAATTGTTCTATCAATCATAAAGATTATGAATAGGCAACATCCATAAGATCCTGTGAAGTGAACCGTCGCTATTGGAATTATTTTAGAAAAAAAATACAAACAAATAAATAAATATATAGAAGAGATATTCATATATGGATAATAAGAGAGACCACAAAAGAGGAAGGAAGTCTCAAAAGATTGCTTGTTCGTCTGTAAAACACGTCCTTTGGCTTCGCATCACAATTTACTATTTTGTCTCTGTTTTTGGTTTGGGAGACACACATCATTGTCTTTGGAAAGCTACAGAAGTGAAGGGTGTTTTTGTTATTTTACACCGACAAATTCTTTTTGGTTCCATATTAATTCCTCTTCGTTACCAAAACCTTGCAACTTGCCTCTTCCAGTTTATCGTATCTGTGAAACTATTGCCTATCTCGCCATTTTGACTTAGTTTGGTTGTGATTTCACTAATGAGCTTGAAGTTATTTGTTAGGACTATAATGAAAATGGTTACAATATTTCATGGTAACCCAACTACTTTTAAAATTAATCAAAAAGTTCTAGGTTTTAGACCCATAATCTTTCCCCTTTTTTGTCAATTTATTTGGACCGAAAATCAAAACACGTTAAATTATTTTGTCACTGAAACAAAAATAAATAAATAATAATAGCCATATTTAATATAACTGTTTTTCAAAACTCAAATGGTTTTGTAAAAATGTTATTTTAGTGTTTTACTCTTGACTGGTAGTACATCAGCTGACCAGAACTGGATATAGAGTAAGAAAAAAAAAATTGCGCTAAAGAGGTTATCCAGTCATGTCCATAAACTAATATTCATTTTTCGTAGATTCTATATTGGAAGCCGTTTTTATCTCAAGTTACATAGTTTGAAGTGGAACTCCAGTCTCCAGAGTCTAGACATCAAAGCACATCCATGTCTGAAAAATGGTTTAGTTACCAGACTAAGAATTCTCGATAAACTTAATTAACTAAACCAAAATCAATATTTAGACCGACTAATAACACTCATTTATTTTTGTAAATTTGGTAATGTATACAATTTACAATTGTTTTCTCTTTTCTCATCATCATCAATTCACTCCTCATCAACACTTTAATTGACACATGAGCTATTTCATCCATGGTTTATAACTTCTTTTGAAAAAAAAAACATTTTCTTTATTTGGTGTTAAATTTCTGATTTCATAACTTATAAGGGACACTTACATAAGCGAAAGAAAAAAACAGAAGGTGCCAAACAACAAAGTAACAATACGAAAAGGAAGAGGACAACTGAGATATTTACATGACAATAGCCAATATAAGCCACCAACAAGTTTATAACGTCGAAATTACAAGTATACAGATTACAAATACTATCCCAAGTTGGGTCGTATATATGACATATCGCATCCAAATAAATATAAGAATAATTTCGAAAACAAATAAAAAAAGAAGAAAAAGAGAAAAGAGAAAAGAGAAAACAAAAGTCAAAGGGACCATGTTGATAAATGGAAGACAGGACTCCCATCTCTTGTTTGTCTCCCCATCTCCACTGTCTCACGTGCCTTTGCTCTCTGCCAATTGTATTCCATTCATATTATTCAATACTTAATAGATATAATTTATCACATTAATTTTATAGTAATTGTCATAGCAACAACTAGTTAGACTTAAACCATGCAAATATAATGCCAAAACAAAAACAAAAGACTTAAACCATACAAGATCAATTATGCAAAGGCTGGATTTGACCTGTCGAACATATTTTAATTGCGGGTCATATAGTCCGCGTGATCATATAGTCTATAATAAGATTGAATCTAAACTACAAACACTTATATTTATATAAATCTTTGTAGAACCGACTCATCAAAATATACCGGACCCATTACAACATCTCTACCACTAATTAATTATATACTAGATGATTACCCACGCTACGCGTGGGTTTGTTTTGGAAATTGTTAAGAAAAAGTTATGTTCAATGTTCTTATTGCTATTTTTGTTTGTTATCGTGTAGTTAATAAAATTAGATCCAATTTATGTAGTTACATTTATTTTTGACACGAAATATTAATTTATATATTTTCATGTATAAATCTGATTATTTATATATCTAAGATCCTAATATTTTTTATTATCATGACTACATCAAACAACCATATAATATATTTTTGATACAGTGATATATAATTATGTTACTTGTGGGTTTGAAACTTGTCTAACTTAATTATAAAAAAAAATTCATTGCTCTATGTACTCTCCTGATCTAGTACTCCGGCCACATCATGATAGGCTCATGATGAAATACTGGATTGAAATAATTTGAACAAGAACTCAAGAGTTTTCATATGAAAAGAAGATAAAAAAAGCAAAAAATAAAGAGTAATTTATCAGCACTTTTAGATCTTCTACCATTGCATATAGCCATATAAAATAAATAGTCATGTCTTGAATTCCTTGGTATGTCCTTGGTGTGTCTAACATCTCAAAGATCCATTACTTTAGAAAATTTGCATGTCAATGTTACCAACTGACCAGAAGACACAAAAATGAAAAGAGAAATGGCCATATATATGATAAGTCGTATATGAGCCACAAAACGTAATAATAAAAAAAGACTCAAAGTAAAATTTTTAAACTAATAAGATGTTAGAGAGCAAATAACTAAACTACAACACAAATATATTTTCAGTCATTAGTGACCATTGTTAACAAAAAAATTAGTAAAATAAGAAAAGTAAAATGAAAGTCCCATGAAAGTATTGCTTGATTTATTAACATAATTTTATAATTTTCATATTTTGAAGAAATAAGTTAAGAGTAGGATTTATGGAGGTTTTAATGCAATAAAGAGCTTTTATTTGTTTTTTCATTTAATTTTGCTAATTTTTTTATTTAAATAATGTAAAATGACACATGTCATTTGCTTGTGTGATGATGTGGCACTCATATGGAGAGAGTTGGCCAACTTTTATATATATGATTTGCTTATTTTTTGTATTGAAAAACATTATTAGAATGTTCTAGTACCTGCATGGAATCAACTGCATCGGTCTCTGAGTTAAAGTCATAAAACGAACTTGCTGCAGTGAGTTTCATCGAGAGGAACTGAAATCCACAGAAAACATGAAACAAAAATGAGTAATTTATAAAAATAAATCAACTGTGTTTAAGTATTTGGTAAGGTTTTTGTTTTTTTTTTTTTTTTTTTGTATTTTTCGAATATCTAAAATTTGCGGTGTTTCGAAAAATACACTACTAAAGTTAGTATTTACCGACTGAAAATACCATTTTTAGTTTTTTTTCTTTTCTATCTCCAAAATACAAAAAGGTAAAGTCCTATTAATATGAAGTTCAGGATTACAACTTAAATTATTTACCTCGACTTGATTCTGTAGAGACTGGACATAATTAATTATCTCGTCAAGCATCGTAGCCATTCCCATAGCCTGCATCCACCAAACATACACTTTCATTATAAGCAGTAAGCACCACCAAATCAATAGAAATTCACATCACTATTTACACGAAAATTTTTTTGAGTTCTTTTGCAAACAAAATAAACAAAACATCGGAAGAACAATTTTCGTATAATATTATGAGGGCTATCAAATAAAAAGATTAAAATCACATATGTTAAAAATACTTTTGGATACATATGTAATTTTTGTTGTATAATAAAAAATTATCATAAAATGGCTTAAATTTGAATCAAATATAATTAGTGCCTTAACTGCGATGATCTTTTTCATTATTATCATAAAATGCTATTTATTATTTGATGGCCATTAATTTAGATTTTTGATTACAAAAAAAATGTTAAATTTAATGAAAAGATTGAAAATGTTAAACTCTTTCTTTATTTTTGCGTTCTTTAATTACCTTATAACATCCGGGAACCATATCTTGCAAGCATCTCAATCTCTCGTTTATTTTCCCTCGCCGAACCTGAAAATTTTGATATGAGTATAGATATATTTAAATGAATACAGCACATTGTTTTTTAAAATGAATTTATGTAAATAATTTAAGCAATTTTACCCGTTCTGCTAAGCTGTGGCTATCAGTGGCTTGGCCTCTTCTGGCTCTCACATGAACAACTTCTCTCTCTTTCTCGTCTTCTACTTCCTTCTTCTTCTTCAACCTCTTACCTCTTCTCATAGAACCCTAGATATTTTTTACAAAACCAAAGTAATTATTGAAAACGAAATTTCAAAGAGTTATGAAAACTATAAGATTAGGGTTTCGAGATCAATTACGGTTTCAGTGGTAATAACATTCGTACTATCAGATACGCCGCTATTCTCTGATGAAGACAAAGTATGTAACAAAGCTTTTCTCTTCTTGGTCTCATCAGCGATGTTGTGATCACTATGGAGGAAACTTGAAGTTGAGGAGAAATTGTTACTACTGTCTGGAGAGTTTCCGGGAAAGTGAAGTAATTGTTGTTGATGATGATGAAGGAAGAGCGATTCGAGAGAAGTAGAGGAAGGATGAAATGTTTGAAAATGAAGGTTACTATTGTTGTTGTTTAGATCTGCAGCTTGAGTTAGTGAAGAATATATATCCATGGCTATTGTCTGAAAATCAGAAGAAAGATTCTCAAAATTTGCCATTACTATAATGAATTGAGATATGAGTTTTCTTGAGACTGTTTTTTTTTTTTTTTTTGACAACTTCTTGAGCCTGGTTGATACAAAACTTGGGACTTTTATATTGTTCGATTGGATTTTTTATTAATTTAATTTATAATTTGAGAAAAAGAAATGTGGAGAAAATTGAGAAAGAAAAAGAGAGAAATAAAGGGAGAGCCACGTGGGCAAGTGAACGTTGTGGGATTTGTGTGTCGGGGAGATATGTCCAAACAAGGGAAAGTAGGACCAGTGTTTGGTCGTGGGTTCCATTAGGCTCTCTCTCTTTGCAAGGGGGAAGAACATTTCTAGTCAGTTTGGTGTAAGGTTAAGAATTAGTGGTCTATCTTTAAATTTATTATTAATATTGGGAAGAAAATGATCAAATGGATGTAGCTAGTCAAACTTATTTGATATCAAAACTTGCTTTAACGAAAACATCCATTAATGTTTTTGCATGGAGGGGTTTTTATGTAGGTGTATAGGGTAAGAGATCACATCCATTTGCCAACTTATACCTCCAAATGGCCAATGACAATTAATCTACAAAATACTATTAACATGTGTACGTATATATATAGGAAGATAAACGAAAATATATAAGAAGGTTCTTCTACATAAGTTGACGTCAATATATCTATGAATCTTTAGTTATGTAAAATTTTAAGTTATCAAATTATTATATATTTGATTTGATGAAGACAATTTTCACTTTAATCGGCATACTAGAGGTTTCTTTTGTTTGTCCTTTTGATGATCAAACACATTGAGTTTTAGGAAAGAGTTAGGTTTCAACAAATGTCAATATTTAGTTGGGCCATTCCTATAGATTATCAATTATGTATGGTGGAGGGATTTGATTCACATGCAATTTACATTCATTCAAGACGACTTACTCTCTAACGTGTTCATTAATAGAACTAAGGAAATCATTCCATGCCCAAATTGGTGTGCTTCAATTAGGAAATTTTTAAACAGAAAATAGGCTTAATATATATATTATGTGACGTTAATCAAATCTCTCTGATCATACTATTTAGTTAATTACCATCATTAGTTTGATGCCTCACTATCTTGATTTTTCGTAAAAAAATAAAAATTAACCACAAATTAAAAAATATAGTTTCAGTAGGTAGCATATAGCAATACAAATGCTGGTTTAATTTAGTCCGGCCAGGCCCAATCACGAGGTTTTGTACGTTACGGTCCCTCTATACGTGGAATCGGATCAAGATCATATATACATTCCCAAAAATATCATCTACTAATACAGAACACAAACACCAATATCTCTAACTGTTAATTGACAGTTTTAAAGATACAATAATAAACACATACAAATGTTAGTGGCCGTGCGACTAATTCACTTACTGTCCCATTTCACAATGACACTATCAGGAGACTGTGCAACCAACGGTCCACTCTTGTTCACATCTACAACATCCATTTCCGAACCAAACCCATTGTTCTGTATCCTCGTCAACGTATCCTGCACGTGTGACATACATGGCCTAAGATCTTTATCCGACTGTAAGCATTGGAATGCCAGCTCAGCGACGGCGATCACCGTCTGTCTCACTCTTGTATCCGTATCAAACCCGAGTGATGGATCCACCATGTCGCGGAGCTCGTGGTTCTGGATTTTAACAACTGCCATGTTTGAGAGGTTGATCTGGTGGCGCGGTCTTGTGATGTCGACTGCTGGAAGCGAAGAGATAAGCTCCACTAACACAACCGCAAAGCTGTACACGTCGCTTTTGTTTGAGAGTTGATAGCATAAGTGGTAATCCGGGTCTACGTAGCCTGGGGTTCCTTGTGGAGCGGTTGATACATGCGTTCTATCCATAGGAAACAGTCTAGAGAGTCCAAAATCCGCAACCTAAATGTCGAAAAACAGGAAACAAAGAAGAACGAAGTTAAGTTTATGATCATATCAAATCACACAATGATGGGGGACTACATGACCAAATCAGGACAGGGGAATCGAATCACTACATCAACGTCCGACTCAATACACAGACCGGGCCGGGATGTCCCACCCGATTTCTCTATAAGTGATAACCAGTGTGAGTTACTGACCTTGACATTGAAGTTTTGGTCGAGAAGGATGTTGTTGGATTTAACATCACGGTGGATGATTTTGGAGGCGTGGAGATACTTCAACGCAGATGCAGTTTCAACAGCGATCTTGAGCCGAATAGACCAAGGAAGTGAGCTCGGGTTAGCCTGTGGACCATGTAGATGATCAGCTAACGTGCCGTTTGCAACATACTCATACACTAGCAGTAAGTCCCGGCTCTGTTTTGAAGAGCATCCAAAGAGAGCCACGAGGTTTGGATGGCGTAAACCAGTTAAGATCTCAACTTCGTTCCTGAATTGCTCTGCTCTTTTGAAGTTGTTATCGTATAACCTTTTCACAGCTACGCTTCTTCCATCTTTAAGCTTGCCGTAATAAACAGTACCAAAGCCTCCATCACCGAGTTCTTTAGATGGGTCGAAGTTATTAGTGGCTTCTTCAAGCTCTTCGTAAGAGAAAAGATGAACTCCGACTAATAGTTCCTCTGCTTTCTCAACGTCAAAAGACTTTGAAGATGGATCTGATGAGATGTTTCTTGGAAGCAATGCTGAAGAAGTTCTGTAACTTTTTGTTTTTCTACGATGATACACATACCAAAAGATGCTCGCAGCTATTAATCCCGCGACGGCAGCGGAAGCACCTGAGAGGGATTTTGTAATCTGTTAAAACTTGAGCGTGAGCTGGATGATTAACGAAAAAACAGAGCATAACATAACTACTGTAACCAAGTTCGCATACTTTGCCAAAGTATAATTTTATATCTTTTGATGGTGCCACGAGCATAAATCAAAATCGAATCTATTTAAATACTGGCTAGTTATTATAACCACAAATCAAAGTAACCCAAAACAGAAGTTTAAAGAATTTACCTATGAGAATTTTCACCATCACTCTTCTTCTTTTACCATTTTTGCCTGGAATGAAGAAACAAAGAAGAATGAACCAGTCAGGGGACTTTCAGATTTCAGCATTCGCAAGAACATATAGACTGAGACTAACATTTAAACTTAGCCAATCAGAGATTGAAAAAAAAACCTATCACAATGAATTTGAGAAAACTACAGCAAAGAAACAGAAATAATGTCAGAAGATCAATTAGACGTCAATTCACAAGTGGTTACCATTCGTGCAAGTATCATGAATCTTAGGTCCATCAGGACACAAGCAAACAAATTCTTGTTGATCAGTTCCACATCTCCCGCCGCTGGTGATGCAGCGGAAGCAACTGTTTGCAGTCCAATTCAGAACAAAACCCCTCTTCAATATCTCAACATAAGTCATACCCATCACATCAGACTCGTCACTAGCTAAAACAGGAACATCGACTAGTTTCTGGCACGACATGGATGCAATTTTTTTCTCTTTTTCAAGTTTCTTCCTGTCAAAGATCCCAAAAGATCGACTCGTGTTGCCAGGACAAGTAAGAGGGTATGTCCTAAAATCCTCCAGCAGGTGATCGGAGCAATTGTAAAGTATGGAGAAGTTGATATGAGAAGGGTTCACAAAGAAAGGAGTCCTATGCAGGGTAAGATTGTGCAGAGGGCTGGGACATGGATCATCATGTAACGCCTTTGAGTTCACGACCTGAAATGACTGTGCCAAGTAAGATATGTTCTTGATGACGTATTCCTCACCGGAGATCCCGAGAACAGGGAGCTTTTGTTTATCATCACAAGCGAGTTCAAAACTCGGATAACCACAAAAAGATTCTTGCTTTCCAGATAAATAGAATGGATAAGAGATCTCGGGACCTTTGCCACATGATTTCGGCTCACAAGCCTTGAACTTTGGATCAAGAGAGAGGGTTTGAGTTGCTATTATCGTGAAGTAGAAGATGGATGTGTAGAGTAAACTTGGAGATGAAGGATCCATTTTTAGGGTAAGGAGGAAAAAATTAGATGAAAAGAAGACAAGAAGAAGAGAACAAAATAGAAAGACATCAAAGAGTTTCAAAGGAGTGGGTGAGAGTTAAAAAGTTTGCTCAACTAGTGTGTGCAAAGAGTATAATACTAATTTTTCTTGGTGTAAAGAAAATAAAGACTGCAATTTGACTTAAAAACTGAAACTTTTAATTTGTCTCTTTGAGCCTCTGAGGTTGAAGATGACCCCACGAAAAAAAATCGTAATGGGAATTTTAGTGCTCTTAGTTATTGTTATTTTTAAAACTGGAAAAATCATTGTAATGGAAGTATGATGCGGTTTCTGTAAAAAAGATTTGTTTTTTCAAGAGAGGGTCGGTCTACTAGCAGAAACTTCAAACACAAGAAAATTAAAAAGTCGTTTTTCAAGAAAAAAGTGAACCGGGTTGATAATAGCTAGTGTTCGGCCCAAAAAGCCCAAGATTTGATCCAGCCTGCTCGCGTTACGAAAAACCAGCTGTAATCCTAATGTTTTTGGAGCGAAGATAGACACATTGCTTACTGCTTAGGACAAATTCTGTTTAAATGATAAATGGAAAACAGGACACGTAACACCAGGTTGAAAAAGTCAAAATATGTCTTAAAACAAGATTATTAAAAGTTTGGGTCAATTCTCTGCCAATTGGTCAAAGTATACGTTCTAAAGTCTATGTGCAGAATCGAGTGATGGAAACTAATCTTGAATCTAAATGATTAAGGACTAACCTTGGGTAGGGTTAATGCCATCTTCATCGTCGCAGGAGGAGATGTGAGGTTTGTCCTCACATAGACATCGGAAACTCTCGGAACCTGAGTCGGAACCACAAATTCCCCGGGAGTCGGAGCATTGCCGGCAAGATGTATCTTTTAATCGGTAACTCAAACCGAATCCTTTTCTCAAAGCGTTCTCCAATGTTAGATTTGACCCCCGAATGTGAAGATGGTCCTTAACAGACCTGAGCATCGGAACGTCTCCAAATTTTGTACAGTTTCGGCCAAAATCCGGTGATACAAAGACATGGTATGTTGTCGAAGTCTCCTGGCTTCCTTCGCAAGTAAAATTTGACAACGAAGCTTTCCCGGGATTAGAGGAGCAAATGAATAGATCGATCTTCTCGGTATTGGAGTCTAATGTGAACTGATTCTCCCCGGTGAAGTTCCAAATCTCTGGGCAACCTCCGTTTAACAAGCTATCATCGGCGGCGGAAATAGTCTGATCCTCCAGATTAGCAGAAACAACGCGAAGTGTGAGATCCCCGATCGCTAGAGTTAGGTTTTGATTACCGTCGCAGGAGAGTTCGAATGGTGATTGGCCGCAGAATTTGGGTTTCTGGGATCCCCAGAACGGGTACGTGGTGTAATTCTCGAACACCTGATGTCCAGATCCACATGTCAGACCTGAGCGACACTTCTCGTACTGTTGGTCGACGGAGAAGCACGACGGGAGGTCAGCGACAGAGAAGACAACGAAGCTGATGAAGAGAAGAAAGATGGACATTGGGTTTTGACAACTAAGGCTTTTTTTTTGTTTGGTGAGAGGGTTTTGGGGATTTTATGGAAGATTGGTCAAAATGATCGGTGACGACTTTTATTTACATACAGTCGTCCGGCGAATTATAAACAGATTTAGATCGCTGATTAGTGATTACATAATAATCACATCCTAAATAAATTATTTTATGTATATGAATATGAACGGTCAGAGATTCATATAGATCTTTAATGGTTATTTGACTTGTTTGGAGCTATAGGTTTTTTTTTTTTGGACAGACTGAAAGCGACTTGATAGTTGATACCTATAAATATCGACTTGATTGATGGTTTACATACAAATACGATTGTTCGACTCACGCTAATTAATGACTTATTTGTAAAATTGTAAGTTATAAACATTTTGATTCTGTGACCCTAAGTATGTCAACAAATTTCTTGAAAAACCATTGCGTTTTTAAGCTTCCAATATATAAATTGGACTGCAAACTTGAAACTTACAAAGTCATTGAATATACGAAAACTATTTATATGAAAAGGAATGAAGAGAACTGATGATCATACAAAAAAAACTTCAATCGAATTACAATAGCGTATGATGTTAATATTTCATTAAACCTCACTAAGTGAGTTCAATCGTAATTTTGTAAGAAATTGCTGACTGGTGGAAATTGTCCAATATATAATGGCAACAAAATCTGAGAGAACATGGTTTTGATGTACTTTATTATGAAGTCAACTGAATGGTAGACTTGTGATCCAATCAAAAAATACACCATTGAAGAGATGGAGAATTGATTTTTTTTTTTTTTTTTGAAGTTTGAATTTTGACCAAGGAAAATGAGAATACATGTTTTATGTTTTGAGTTGTGTTACTATTTTATCCATTGATTTTGGGGTTGTTAATACATATTCGTAGTATATATACATTTTCAACTAAAGTTGCTATATAAAAAAATGAAATATTATAGGCTTGCAGATATTTCAAAATCTCATGCCAAAGACCTTTGACTTCACACCTCAAAGACTCATATAATATTCCAATCCCACTTGCAATAGAGGGGAGGTTCTGCCTCGTGAAGCATAATGAGGTGTTAACGAAGTTTACTATTTTTATACGCCAAATTTGATAGTAATTACTATTTCTCGCTTGATCTGCAAATATATTAAAATTGTACAGGATTTTAAAAAAAGAAAGAATAGATGACCGTTTTGTTATAGAAGCCAATAATAATTCACAAGAAGACAAAATATACATCAAAATCTTAGCAAAAGAAAAAGTGAAGACGCAAGCTAAGAAAAACAAATTTTATATCCAGTAAAAACGTAAATAAAATTCGGATGTAACAAGTTAAGACCGGAATAATAATCTACATTCTACAGGTTGACAGAAAAAAAAAAAAAAACCTATAGAGAAAATTGATAGAAATAGAAAATGAGAAAATTATCCACAGAAAAAATTGAATTTAAGGTGATTTATTGAAGAAATTAAAATGCGAGGATAGTTGTTGGAATAAGCTAAAAATAAAAGCCCCTCAAAAGAAACGGGGAAAGAACTAGCCGTTGGAGGTTCATCAGATTCAAAATCACACTTGCACGCATTTCCGTAAAGACAAAAGAACCCCCAAAATCCGTTTTCTTCTTCATCATCATTTCTACCACAAAGATACACGAAACCCAGAAACCTCTCTCACTATCTTCTTCGCTCATATTCTTTTATTCTTTTTATTCATCTCTAGTCGTCGATCTGAGACGATTCTCTATTCTTCGCTGTCTGGGATCTCTCTATTCGACCTGAGAGTAAATCTCCGATTCATTGGTTCATTTTTTTACTCTGTAAGTGTTTGATCTCTCTTAATTATGTTTTCGTTAAACCTGTTTAGTGAAATGAAGTTTTGGGAAGTTTCGTGTTTTACATTTCTGGATTTGATGAAATTAATCTGAAGAAGCTAAATTTTCCTTTTATGAGCAAAACCTAAAGATTACCTTTTATGGATTAAGTCTGCACAATGTTGCCTTATATGACTTTTCTTTCATAGATCTGATAGATTTGAGGAAATCTTTAAGCTTAGAATTAAGTTGATGTATTAGATCTGATGAACAAAAGTGGGAATATTTATAGGGAAATGACTATAAAAACACCGGGAACTCCGGTTTCGAAGATGGACAGAACACCAGCTGTAACACCAGGTGGAAGCTCAAGATCCAGGGAAGAGAAGATTGTTGTTACTGTAAGGTTAAGGCCATTGAACAAGAAAGAACTGTTAGCTAAAGACCAAGTTGCTTGGGAATGTGTAGATGACCACACCATTGTGTCTAAACCACAAGTTCAAGAACGTTTGCATCATCAGTCCTCATTTACATTTGGTAATTGAAGTTTAATATCTCATGTTTCCAACTCTCAAGTCCTGAGGTTTGTGATGGCTACTAATGCACTCTTTTGATTTCAGATAAAGTTTTTGGACCAGAGAGTTTAACTGAGAATGTGTATGAAGATGGTGTTAAGAATGTTGCATTGTCTGCTTTGATGGGCATAAATGGTTGTTGTCTTTTGACTAAATTCTGTCTTTTACTTGGATTTATCATACATGACTAACTTCTTTTCTTAATGTTTCAGCAACAATATTTGCATATGGACAAACGAGCAGTGGAAAGACATATACCATGAGAGGAGTAACCGAGAAAGCTGTCAATGATATTTACAATCACATAATTAAGGTAAGCACAATTGCTATGGTTAGAGTTGCTAATCAATGTTTTAGATGTCAAATGCCGTTCTTCTGACCAATACCTTTATTTGTTTCACTTCTGTTTCCAGACCCCTGAAAGAGATTTTACTATCAAGATTTCTGGTCTGGAAATATATAATGAAAATGTCAGAGATCTGCTGAATTCAGATTCCGGACGTGCCCTTAAACTCCTTGATGATCCAGAGGTATCACACTAATTTACATTAATCATGTTCTTGCTGATGTTATGGCTTTGATTGAATGTAGACTTTCATTGAACTAATCACCTAATTATCCACAATTGCAGAAAGGTACTGTGGTTGAAAAACTGGTAGAAGAAACAGCTAATAACGATCAACATTTGCGGCATCTGATTAGCATTTGTGAAGGTAACTTGAATTAGTTGGATCCTCTGAGGATTTTTGTAATTATATTCTCCTGATTCATTCTTGTTCAATAAAATTGACTGCTGGCGTTTATTTCTTTGTGTTAGCTCAAAGACAAGTTGGGGAAACTGCTTTGAATGATACCAGCTCCCGGTCACACCAAATAATCAGACTGGTAATGTTCTTAATTCATTGATTCTTTAAACCACAAATGCATATACCCTGCAAATGCTAATAACAAGTTCTTGATGGCAAACAGACGATACAAAGTACTCACCGAGAAAATTCAGATTGTGTGAGGTCATACATGGCTAGTCTGGTAAGAATTGATCCCTCTCTGTTCAATTTCTCTGTATTTGCATAATGTTTAACTAGAACTTTGCGGACTTAGTGTGTTTGTGAATACATTGCAGAACTTTGTGGACTTAGCAGGAAGCGAAAGAGCATCACAATCGCAGGCAGATGGAACGAGACTCAGGGAAGGTTGCCATATCAATCTAAGTCTAATGACACTTACAACTGTCATAAGGAAGTTAAGGTAATGTACTTAAATATTTTCTGAGAGTGACATTAAAATCAGAAAGATTTTTAAGTAATAAACTTATTTTATCTGAATCTGTGAACTCTTCATAGTGTGGGGAAAAGAAGCGGCCATGTACCTTACAGAGACTCCAAGCTTACTCGGATTTTACAGCATTCACTAGGTGGGAATGCTCGAACAGCCATTATATGTACATTGAGTCCAGCTTTGGCTCATGTTGAACAATCAAGAAATACTCTATACTTCGCCAACCGAGCCAAGGAAGTTACAAACAATGCCCACGTGAACATGGTAATGATCTTTGTTCCATGCTTTTGGTTCTTCTTAGTGCCCTTTTGGATGAAAACAAACTAAATTTTTTACTTGCTGTCTATTATCTACAGGTTGTCTCTGATAAGCAACTAGTGAAACATCTTCAGAAAGAAGTGGCTAGATTGGAGGCCGAGCGTCGAACCCCTAATCCATCAAGTGAAAAGGATTTCAAGATCCAGCAGGTCTCTGTCCACTTTAGATTCACCAAAATATATAATTGACCCAAAGCTTTGGTACTTAGTTTATGGCTGTTTTGTGACATTTCTAGATGGAAATGGAAATCGAAGAGCTTAGGAGACAAAGAGATGATGCACAAAGTCAACTTGAGGAGTTGCGCCAAAAGCTTCAAGGGGATCAGCCACAAAATAAGGTCTCTAACTCTACCTCTCTGTCTCTCTACTGTACTAAATATATTCACAAGATTGGCTGTAGCTTAAACTAAACCTTTTGTTGTATCTCAGGGCCTAAATCCTTTTGAATCTCCAGACCCACCGGTCAGAAAATGTCTTTCCTATTCTGTTGCCGTGACACCTAGCACGGAGAACAAAACGCTAAACCGGAATGAGAGAGCAAGAAAGACCACGATACGCCAATCTATGATACGGCAATCATCAACTGCTCCTTTTACATTGATGCATGAAATCCGCAAACTTGAACACCTTCAAGAACAGTTAGGGGAGGAAGCAACGAAAGCTCTTGAAGTGTTACAGAAGGAAGTAGCTTGCCATAGACTAGGGAATCAAGATGCAGCTCAGACGATAGCTAAGCTTCAAGCAGAGATAAGGGAAATGCGTACTGTTAAACAATCTGCAATGCTTAAAGAGGTTGGAGATGTCATAGCTCCTAACAAAAGCGTAAGTGCCAATCTCAAGGAAGAGATAACAAGGCTCCATTCGCAAGGAAGCACCATTGCAAATCTAGAGGAGCAACTTGAGAGCGTTCAGAAGTCAATAGATAAGTTGGTGATGTCTCTTCCGAGCAATATCAATGCCGGAGAGGAAACCCCAAAGACAAAGAATCATCATCATCAATCAAAAAAGAAGAAGCTTCTTCCTCTGACACCAAGCAGCGTTTCCAACCGCCAGAACTTCTTGAAATCTCCATGCTCTCCTCTTTCAGCTTCTAGGCAAGTCTTGGATTGTGATGCTGAGAACAAAGCTCCTCAAGAGAACAACATTTCTGCTGCTAGAGGGGCAACGACACCACAAGGGTCTGAGAAAGAGACTCCACAGAAAGGAGAAGAAAGCGGAGATGTCTCGTCAAGAGAAAGCACTCCAGGCTACAGGAGATCAAGCTCAGTGAACATGAAGAAAATGCAGCAAATGTTCCAAAACGCAGCAGAGGAGAACGTGAGAAGCATAAGAGCATACGTAACTGAACTCAAAGAACGTGTAGCTAAACTACAGTACCAGAAACAACTTCTCGTTTGTCAGGTTAGACAAAGATCACAAACCATAAATAAACCTTCTTTTCCTCCTTTTATATTTTCTCACCAGTTTTTAACTTGTGCAGGTGCTTGAGTTGGAAGCAAATGATGGAGCTGGATATAGTGTAGAGAACGAGGAGAACACGATAATGGAAGATGAAGAGCAGAGTCAAGTGGCGTGGCATATAACTTTCATAGAGGAAAGACAACAGATCATAGAGCTGTGGCATGTCTGCCATGTCTCCATAATCCACAGGACACAATTCTATCTACTGTTCAAAGGTGATCAAGCCGATCAAATCTACATGGAAGTCGAGCTAAGACGGTTAACTTGGTTAGAACAACATCTAGCAGAAGTAGGTAACGCAACTCCAGCTCGAAACTGCGACGAATCCGTGGTTTCTCTATCATCAAGGTAATGAATGAATGAATAATTCTCACTAAGAAAATGTTCTTGTAAAAAGTTTCTTCTACTAATATGGTATTGCTTCGTTTTCAGTATAAAAGCATTGAGAAGGGAGCGCGAGTTTTTGGCGAAAAGGGTTAACTCAAGATTGACGCCTGAAGAGAGAGAGGAGCTGTATATGAAATGGGATGTGCCACTGGAAGGGAAACAGAGGAAACTCCAGTTCGTGAACAAGCTATGGACTGATCCTTACGATTCAAGGCACGTGCAAGAGAGTGCAGAGATAGTTGCGAAGCTAGTTGGATTCTGTGAAAGTGGTAACATCTCTAAAGAGATGTTTGAGCTCAATTTCGCTGTGCCCTCAGATAAAAGGCAGTGGAACATTGGTTGGGACAACATCTCTAATCTTCTTCACCTGTGAAGAATTTTTTGTGTGTTTATGATTTGTAAAAGTACACTATACTAATTATGTTTATGGTTATACTTTTATAAGGAGTTTCCCGTTTTTTTTTTTTTTTTGACGGCTGGAGTTTCCCGTTTTTATAAAACGAATCGACCATTTAATTAAATTAATTTCCACAAAATAATTACACGTATAGTAATTTCCTTTTTCTTTTAGTAATTTCCTTTTTTTTGTCCTTCTTGTTTTGTTTTTTACCGATCTTATGTTTTCCTACTTCAAAAAGAAGGCTAACCTTAGATAAATATAGGAGGGGAAGACAGATCCGATCAACGACGAGAGAAACCGCCGGTGATTACTTGTCATCACAAGGTTTAAACAATTAGATCACAAGTTATGTTCCCGTAATGTGATGGCTTGTCATCACAAAGTTTAAACACTACCCACAGCTTATAATGGGAGATGTATTACTTGAACTCATACCCGGCTTAAATGGTATGTGCTCTAAAAAAACAGAACGGTTGAGATGACTTTGTTCCAATTATGTGATTGCTTGACATTGTTTAAACAATTAGACCACAAGGCTTATACACGACCCACGGCTTATAATGGGAGATGGGATCACTTTAACTCATACACTACCCACGGCTTGTCATCAAAACTTTAGACCTTTGAGTTCCTGTAACTCAGAAACACAATCCAAAACTTTAGATTCGGTTAGTTCTGGCTAAAGTTGCCCCTCCTCGTTAATGTGATTGTTTGTCATCATAAGACCAAAATTGAAGTCCATATATCGCAGACACGCGATCAAGCAACAACTTAATGCTTGGTAAAATTGTCCCTCTTCGTCAATGTGATTATTTGTCATCACAATGTTCAAGTAGTCCCTGGGAATCTAGCTACTTTGCTCAATCCTAAACTGCTAAAGTAAAACTTGAACTTCTACAAAACGCTGCGTTTAATTGGAAACAACGATGTGCCAACGTGGCATATTTTGAAGACTCTCCTCGTCCTTTTCGCTGGACAACCATATATAATATCTCAGCTACTAACCAAAAAATAAAAATCAAATTTTTATTTAAATGTTAATGTTGTTCTCTCGAATCATTCCTTAGAAAGATTTTCACTTCCCAATTGCTTCACTGTCTTGTCGATTCTGCTTCTCAACAAATTTCTTCCTGAGTTCTGGGTTTTTCTCTCTTCTGAAAAACCCCCAAATTTTGATTTCTTTCGCCATTCAAAAATTTCAGAAGAAGGCGATACAAAATCGTCTTTGAATTCTCTTTGTTTATGATCTGTTCAAGTAAAGGAACGGTCGTATTTGCTACTGGAAACTCATTTCCCAGATTACCCATCCAAAAATCTTCTTCCGGGTTTTATGTAAACCTGATTCAAAATCGAAATGATCTTCCGATTAGTGTCGCAGCTACTCGACGATCATCAATGTCGGTGGCTGCGGTGCCAATGATTTTAAAATCTTCACTGAAGAAGAAGAGGAAGAGGAACATCGGCTGCGGCGTTTCCCCTTCTTCGCCGACGACGACGGTGGTTGATAATGAAGTGGCGGTTAGACGGAATTTGGCAATGAGGCGGGTTTTGGAGGATAACGGTGGCGATGGAAGCTCCGTCAGAGATTTCTCGCTATTCACGACCAAGAGAGGTGACACGTTGTTCACTCAGTCATGGACACCTGTTGACTCCGCTAAGAACAGGTCAAATTCTCGCTTCTTACTTGTTTTGTCTGTTATTGATGATTGATTGGATTGTTTCTCTGGGAACTTAGTAAATTAAGATCTTTTAGGCTTTGGCTATGTTGAGAAATAAAAGCTACAAGAATAGGTCCCTCTCTGTCTTGAGTCTTGTGGTTCACGAGAATTTGAGCTTAATTATGATAAAGACAATGTCGTTTTCTTTGGTGTGTTCTTGGATTCCTACATCGTTTTCTCAGCTGGTCCTAACTATTACTTTGGCCTTTACCTTGTTACCTTGGATTCAATTGTGCCCTACTTAGATTTCATTAGTTCCTCAATGTTGTTAGCATTCATGTGAAGAAGATCAAACAAATATCTGAGATAATCTTTAGGAGAGGATTCTGCTAACTAGTCAAGAGATTTTGAAAATCAATGTATAATATATACAATACTGGTTTTCTCTTGACCAAGTCTTCAGTGTTTATGTTATACATTGACCTTCAAGATCTCTTGACTATATATAACTTTGTGTCACCTATTATTCCAGTTTGTATCTTTAATCTCTTCTTTATAGTCTTCTTGTATTATTTCTTGTTTGGTTTCTTGGGCCTAAAGTTGACATAGATCTGTGAGCTTGTTTGTAGGGGACTTGTTGTTCTGCTACATGGTCTGAACGAACACAGGTTTGTTTTGTAGCTTTTAATTTGATCATAAAATCTCCTTCAATATTAGATGCCTAACATGTCTTTATTCAAATGCTCAACAGTGGCAGGTATAGTGATTTTGCAAAGCAGCTAAATGTTAATGGATTCAAGGTCTATGGAATAGATTGGATCGGTAAAACCACTTTACCAATTCAAAGTATTTGTGTTAAGCATTTATCAGTGTTTCTCTTTTTCGATACTGAATAAAGTTTTATCTTGGTCAAATAGGTCATGGTGGAAGCGATGGACTTCATGCTTACGTTGCTTCTCTTGATTATGCTGTCGCTGATTTGGTATAATCTCTTTTTCAGTTTCCAAGGCATGCCATTCGCTTAAATTAACTCATACCCACCACTGCTTAAACATTACATTGCCTCTGAAATAAAAATGTCTGTAGAAATCGTTTCTTGAGAAGGTAATTGCGGAAAACCCGGGATTGCCCTGTTTCTGCATTGGCCACTCAACAGGAGGAGCCATCATCCTCAAGGTTAAATGATCTTTAAACATGTTCATATCATTGCTCTTGAAACCATATGTTGACTATATAAACTATTTTTGCAGGCCATGTTAGATGCAAAGATTGAAGCTCGGGTTTCAGGGATTGTGCTAACTTCACCCGCAGTTGGAGTCCAACCAACTTATCCTATCTTCGGCGTAAGCAAACCTGAAAAACCTCAAGAATCTGAACAATTTTCACAAACATTTTGTGGCTTTTGTCTTGAAAATTAGAGCTTTTTCAACAGGTAATTGCACCAGTCCTCTCGTTCCTCATACCGAGATATCAGTTAAGTGCTGCAAAAAAGAAAATAATGCCGGTTTCTCGTGACCCGGAAGCTCTATTGGCTAAATACTCTGACCCGCTAGTCTACACTGGATTTATCCGAGCAAGAACCGGTAACGAGATCCTTAGACTTGGTGCTCATTTACTGCAGAATCTGAACAGAATCAAGGTTCCGTTTCTTGTGATGCACGGCACAGCTGATACAGTTACTGATCCTAAAGGTACCCAAAAGCTATACAACGAGGCTTCCTCGTCTGATAAGTCGATCAAGCTGTACGATGGGTTGTTACACGATCTGCTCTTTGAACCAGAACGGGAAACTATCGCTGGAGTCATATTGGATTGGCTAAACCGGCGGGTTTAAAACCAAATGTAGCATTACTCCTTAGGTAATATAGAGGGAAATGCGAGGAAAAAAAAACATAATGAAGAGTTCCTCTGTTTCTGAGGATTTGTTCTCGACACTATTTTGAGGCATCACGCACATTTTTATTGCAATGAATATACGATGTTGTAACTATTTTAGTGGTCATCGTAACCATTTCTTGTATAAATGATCCTGAGTAGATGATTTATATTTTGTTGATAGAGAGATAATCATAATTATCTATGTGGTCTCTTAAAAGATTCAATAGTGCAAGTATTCATATTTTCTGATCATACAAATTCTACAGAAAGTAATAATGCGATTTGGGTCACCCGGAAAAAAGAGCCAGACCCGTAACATCACAAGCAATCGGAACTAAAGACTTTCACGGAGAAAAGAGTGACCGAGAAGCTGCGACGCCGTCCACCTCTCACTCGATTCTTTACGTAAACAACAATCAACAAAACTCCTAAACTCGTCGGAACATCCTTCCGGCGCACACGGTGGTTCTCCAAAGCACACGGCGCACATTAGCGTCGCCCAATCAGGTCTCTGTTCCTGAGGAAGCAACGGAAAATGTCCGACGAAGAGCTCGAGCATCATCAATCCAAAACTCCATATATCGCCTGCGTATACATCGGAGTTTTCTCCGTCGACGGAGTCAAATCTCTCCGGGCTCATGTAAGCGCAAGTGCCGACGTACGAATTGCAGTAATCTAACGATCGGATCATGATTTTGCTCACTCCAAAATCGGCGATTTTAACTTCGTTTCTCGAGTTTAAGAGGAGATTCGCAGGTTTGATGTCTCTGTGAACGATCTTGAGAGAGTGGAGATAACTTAATCCTTTCAAAATCTGGCGGGAAAATCCAGCGAGTTGTTTCTCTGTTACGGCGCCGCGGAGAGATTCTAGGTTTCCGCCGTCCATATACTCCATGAGGATTGAAACCTCGCCGGCGATTGGTTTCTCGAAGATCCCGTGACACCGGACGATATAAGGAGAATCCGTGCGACGGAGGATCTCCATCTCGCGTGTTAATTGTCTTGTGAAAGTAGGACTCATGTCTCCGTTGACTGTTTTCAGAGCGTATACCTCCGCCGTGGTTTTGTGGTGGACTTTGTATACGATACCGCCGCTTCCGCTTCCGAGAACGTGGAGTTTCTCGATATCGGAAGCGGAGATTCCGTTGCTGATGACATTGGATGTGACGGCGGCGGTTGAGGAGGCAAAGGAGAAACAGGGGAGGCGTTCGGAGAGTGGTGGAAGAGGGAGACGGAGGTTGATTTGACGGCGTTCACGAACAAGAGCCATTGAAATAGAAGAGAGAAAGAGAGAGTGATAATGATGATCGGAGAATTATGAAGAAGAAGAGTGATGGAAATTACAGCTTTTTATTTGGAGTCTTGAGTGGGATTTAAGTGAGCAGCCTGGGAAGATAAGCTATGCATTAAATAATAATCACTCTTTTTTTAATCTTTATCTTAATTTTTTTAGTTTAGTTTTATCTAGAAATGGCAAGTAGCTAGTGTTTATGTTAATCTTGCACGAGGTTAAATGCATGGGACTGTAATCTGTCCCACTTACCCGGAAACTGGCTTGTGGCTGGCTGCTATAATGGATAGAGATAAATTTATGTAATGATTAGATTTATATGCATTAAAAGATTTTTTTTTTTTTAGTGATGTGGATGTTATCTTAACATTCAAACACATAATGCATTGTTGTTGAAAAATAATAATATGGAGGAAGCTAAATAATGTAGATTATAAAAACTGCCCTTCTTCTGAAAATAATAAGTCTTTGGGTTTGACTGATTGACTCAGTATGACCATGATTGCTTTGATGGAATCTTAATTGGATGGATGAACAAGAGCATGTGATTATTTCTGGTCAGTGATCACTAGAATCAGGAATACTACATTTGACCACCATTGTCGGTCTCGATTTGGTCAAACCGGGTCTGGTAGTAGACAATGTTACTGAAAAAGAGAGTCCAAAAGGCAAGGAAAGCCCTCGTTTTCACAAACTACTTGATCTTCTGCTCCTCCATCAATGGCGGCTAATAATAATCCCAAGTATCTGTCAGCTCCCGTCGACGAGATCCACGCCAAACCGCTCGAGCAGCCTCCGATAATGTATATACGATGCTGATAATTGTTTATATACACTAGCTAGGGTGCTTTATTTTGGGTGCTCAGCTAGGGTTTTTCAAAATTTGCTAATTTTAAACAAATTAGTGCTTCTTTTGGGTACTTAGAGCACCTCCTACGCTAGAGAAGAAGAGTGAGTTTCTTAGTTAAGAAACGTTTCCTCTTTTTTCTGCTTCTCTCCAACTTTATTTCATCTTAATATTATTTAAATGATTATGTACTCTCCTTCATCCCTCCATTGGGGTTGCTCTTAGGACTACTCTCCCATACGAAGAAGCAGGGCAGAGCTCCAAGGGTTTAGAAGATTCTGCGAAGATGCATATACGGATATAGCCGAAAGGTGATTGTTCACTTGATAGTGAGAAAGACCCATCCATTGGTGATTGTGAGAAAGACCCAGACACTTTCTGTTGCTCAATTTTTTTTACAAAATTGGATTCTTTCTCTCTTAATTGCTCTCTTACCCCTTTCAAACTTGTCTGTTCCTTTTCAGTGCAAACATAATTTATATTTAGAAACAAATAATTTATATTTAGGCCATCATGCAAAAACTTTCCAATGGTCATCGCCATTAATATTGCCAAATTTTATTATTTATATGATGATTTAATTAAAAATTCTGATTAGATCTTTAGATTCTTTAGTGGACAGTCACGTATGACCCTACTGATTTACAAGTATTTATCTATCAAAAGAATATTGAATAAGATTTTGAAGTCAAATCAAATGAATAGCTAATAATCTATTTGTTTCCTACTTGTTTAAGATCAAAAGAATATTGAATAAGATTAAGATTTTCCTACTAATAACTAATAATCTATTTGTTTCAAATGAATAACTAATAATCAGATTTGCTTCTATATTTGCAACAAAAAAAAACTTGTTTGTTTCCTACTTAACATGTTACTCCCAACATATTTTATAGTAAGCTTTTTTTTTTTGCTAAACAATTGTATAATAAGCTTTTTATGCCCCATTTATTATTCGATCGGTATATGAGGCTCTTCAAATAAGAGTAAAATATTTACTCATTTTTAGTATTGAAACGAACGACATTTGAAATAGTATTTTTTTTTTTCACCATAAAACTTAATATATCGATAGTAAAACTTGAATAAACTGAATTTCGTGTAGAGAGATAGTTTTAGAAATATATTTGTTCCTTTAAGTTTTTGGTGTTATTTGGGAAAAAAAAAAAAAAAAAAAGTAAAGCAAAACAAAAGGCGTTTCTGGGCCTCTCTATAATAAAACTTGAACTAATGCTGGGCTTACGTCGTTTATAGTCGAATCTAACTCGGATCCAGACCCGTTTGAAGGATCCGGCTCCTACCGAATAACTTGAGATTTTCAGAGTAAGTTCTTCTTCTTCTATAGCATCCGAAATTTCCATTCTATAACCTGGTTCGTTCGTAATCGGAAAACTCAAAGACTTGTTGTGAAGATATATATATCGAAGAAGAAGAACAAAGACGATTTCCCGGCATTGAAATAGCATTATCGGATCTCGTTCTCACCGGGAAGATTTCCCGGCACACTGAAATTCTGAGTTGGATTCTTCTGTGAAAACTATGCCTTCCGTTGTTTCTAAGCAGTATTCAGGTCTTATTATACTCCTCTTTACTCCCTGACATTCGTCAATCGTATAAGTCTGTAGATATTCCCATAAACTGGAAACAAGTCTGATTGGTCGTGATTGTTTTTGTCGCAGACGATGTTAGTCTTCTAGTTTTGTTGCTTGATACGAATCCTCTTTTCTGGAGCACTACATCGATTACCTTCTCTCAATTCCTTTCTCATGTAAGTGTTGTTTCTAACCAATCAATTGTTTGTTTGTTTCTTAATGCTTTATTTTTTATTCAGAAACCTTGCTGTTATGTGTAGGTGCTTGCGTTTCTGAATGCGGTTTTGGGGTTAAATCAATTGAACCAAGTTGTAGTTATAGCTACTGGATACAGTTCCTGTGATTACATTTATGATTCTTCTTTGACATCCAATCATGGAAATCTCGAGAGCAATGGAACTGGAATGCCTGCACTTTTTGGTTCTTTGCTGAAGAAATTGGAAGAGTTTGTTACCAAAGATGAGGAGCTCAGCAAGGAGGAAGTGTCGGAGGATAGAATACCTTCTTGTCTCTTGTCAGGATCACTCTCCATGGCTCTTTGCTGTATCCTTATGGAAAAGTCATATAGCGTGATAGGTTTCTTGAAGCTATATATAGTATAAAATGATGGGATATGTTTTCATAACATCTGGTAGTAATCTTAAAGCTTAGCTTACTCTCTCTATTGGGTTAAGTAAGTAAGGAACATTTTAGGTCGACATGTTTGTTCTCAGCCAAACCTATAGCATGTCTACGGCCATCAATGTTATCTGGTAATGTATGTATGTGATTTTCAGTCTTCACATTTTGTTGTTTTCTTAATTTCTGGCTCTAGATATACAGAGGGTTTTCCGTTCTGGACATCTTCATCCCCAGCCTCGGGTGAGTGTTCAGTATGATATATGTGTCAGTCTGTTGTCTTGGATAAAACTTTTCATCTTGATTGCTTTGTATGAATCTTCAGCTTAAAGTATTAATGATAATATAGACTCCTCTTTCCTATGATTCATCTGTTCTATCGTGTATCCCCAAAATACAGAACTGATTGTGCTATTGTCATTTATATGAACGCAGATATTATGCTTGCAAGGTTCCCCAGATGGCCCGGAACAGTATGTTCTTCCGTAACTTTTTTCTACCTGCAAGATTTTGTCCTGTTTGTCTGGTCTCATTAAAAATTTTGTCCCTGTTTCAGATATGTTGCTGTTATGAACTCTATCTTCTCTGCCCAACGCTTAATGGTAATCTTCATTTTGATTGGTTCTTTGGGATTTCCGCTTCTTGATGTTATCTAAATCCAGTATCATGTACCCAAAGCACTTAATCGATTGGTTCTTTAGGTACCCATTGATTCGTGTTACATAGGTGTTCAGAACTCAGCATTTTTGCAGCAGGTATATCATTTCTCCTTTGTACATACTTCTTAAGTCTTCAACTTGTCAAACTCGTCATATGCATCAGTTGTTATCTCCTGGCTTATTTGTAGGCATCTTATATAACTGGTGGTGTACATCATACACCTAAACAGTTGGATGGGCTGTTTCAGTATCTAACGGTACGCAACTCAAGTCCAAACGCAAACCATTATGTGTCTCGTTTCATTTAGCGAACTCAATGGGTGCTAACTCTCGATTGTTTTTGTTTTGCACAAAAGACGATTTTTGCAACTGATTTGCATTCCCGCGGTTTTGTACAACTTCCTAAACCCATAGGTGTTGATTTTCGCGCATCGTAAGTGATCCTAGTCATTGACTCTTCAATTGATCGGGTCTCCTCCGCATGTATAACAGATGGTTTAAGTACAAAACTTGCAGGTGCTTTTGCCACAAGAAGACTATCGATATGGGCTACATATGTTCAGTGTGTCTGTCCATTTTCTGTGAGCATCACAAGAAATGTTCAACGTGCGGGTAATAGATTTGAACTGTCATGTTCTTTCTCAAGATAAAATCTATCATGTTGTTTGATTCTAAGATCCAGACGCTTTTGGAATTTGCAGGTCTGTTTTTGGTCAGTCTAAACTTGATGATGCTTCATCTGTCTCTGATAAGAAGAGAAAAGCTCCTAGTACCTAAAATCATCTTTTGTGCCAGAGAGAAACTTCAAACTTTGTTCAATACTATTTTTCTTTGCGTTCATTTACGATAATGTATGTATGAAACCATATATCGAAGTGAAATCAATTAAATTGTTTTGACTTTTTTGTTTCGTTGACTTGAGCAAACAAAACAAAAGGCCTTTTATAGTCTATAAAGGAAGATGGGCTTCTCTATCGAATACGACCATTGGGCTGGCGTCATATATTATTGTCGGATCTAAGTCGGGTCGAAACCCGTTTGATGGATCCGTCTCCTACCGAATCACTTCAAACAAGAAGAAGGAGAGAGAGGAAGAGATCATCGGTGTGGCGAGCAATGGATTTGAAGAAACGGCGAAAGGTAAAAGAATCTCGGAAGTAACGTATGTTTCATAGCATTCGAAATTTCGATTTATGATTTTGCTCGAAATCGGTAATTCGAGAATTGTTGCGCAGATTTTGGAGAAGAAAAAGACGATTCATGACCTTATTAAACGAGCTTCTTCCATTGAAGATCCTCTTTCTCCGTTCGATTCTTTCCGCCATTACCGAAGAAACGGTAAATTTGTTCTTCTGCTCAATTTTATTTGATTTTTAAGTATGGGAACTGATTATCATTCACAATGATTTGATGCATATAAACTTAGTTTTACAATTGCTAATGTTACCACATATTATGAAGTAGATGCAGTGTAAGTTCGAATTCTTGCATTAACATAGATTACATGGATTCAGATTATCTGTGATTCCCTTGCTCATGCAGACTTTGGTAATCTATGATCAAGTGTGCTCTGATTACTTAGTTATGATAATGTTTGTGTAAAATTTGTTTTCAGTGCTTACTCGTTTCATTTTAAGTTCACAGAAGAGTTTTGATGGTTAGCTAATTCTGTGTTTGTCTTGTTCTTACGGTTTGTAGACTTATCTTTGTACCTGGAATCTGGCCGTGGAGATAGACTTTCCTCGTCTGTGAAGCAATACATTCGAAATCTCTTGAAGGTAAAAAGGAGATTGAAGTAGCATTAATTGTTCTGAACATACTTTTTTATTGTTGTGCATGATGTTACTAAATTTCACAGACGAACATGGAAGGGTTTTATGGGTCTGATTGGCCTATACAAGCAAAGGTGAAGCGTAAGGAGATGTCTTCCGCAGACGCACATTATATCTTTGTGCGTGAGCTGCGTTTTGGTAAAGCCTATGAGACATCTACTCGAAGAGCTTGCATGGAAGAGTGTAATCAGATAGCTGGATTTGTGCATTATCGGTTTACTTTAGAGGAAGAGATTCCCGTCCTTTATGTGTATGAAATACAACTGGAATCCCGGGTTCAAGGAAAGGGACTGGGAGAATTTTTAATGCAGTTGATTGAGCTCATTGCTTCTAAGGTTGATTCCAAAATTAGTCTCTCATATTCCTCTTTTTTGGTATTGATGGTACTAGCTTCTGTTTTCAGATTCATTGCTTGATGATAATATGGTTATGTTATTTTTTTCTTCCTCTCAGAATCGGATGAGTGCTATCGTGCTAACTGTTCTAACATCTAATGCATTGGCAATGACTTTCTACATGAGCAAGCTAGGGTAAGAGGTAACCTTTTGGAAGATGATCTTATTCCATGTAACAACTCAGATGATACTTTTTGGAAGTGTTGATGGGTCCCTAATATCTCTGTTTCTTGCTGTAGTCAGTAATTTTTATTTCTGGTCTCGTTACTGATCTTGGCTCTTCCAAACATCTGAATTCTCATTCGTTTTTTATACAGATACAGAATATCAAGCATTTCGCCCTCGAAAGCTAATTTTCCGGTACAGAATCAGTAGTCTTATTTTTCATTATCTTTGTATAAGGCATTCACTAAAAGAACCTTTACAATTTTTTTTTTTGCAGACTTTCTCGGCGAAGTATGAGATACTTTGCAAAACATTTGATTCCGAAGCTAAATTTGTGTTGGAGGTTTGTCCTTTCGCTGCACCACCACTCACATTTATGACAAAACTGCTGATCAAATATAATATTTTAGTTCTTCTTTTGCTTTTTATCTTGGTAATGTATTAAGACTGCTATGCTTGCTTTATTTTCCAAGAAGAATGACGAAGAACCTACCAAAAATTGAGTATCAAGCATCGAATAGCACATACAGATTCACTGTAAGTTTCCACTTTGGTCTACTGGAGATATCAGCAACTCGTTTGCTGTTTAGTTTTCTGAAAATATTTTGCTTGAATCTGACAGACCACAGAGGGTTGTGATAGGATGCAGTTAGTAAACAGACTGGTCCCGATGAAGACTTGGTTCCTCTGATGACTTGGTTCACACCAGAGATAGATACAGAACTCCAACAATGCCTAGCAACTGAACAAGACAACTGAAGTCCTTTCTGTTGCCAAAATGACATTTTGAAACCCGAGTCCTCGCAACAAACCAGTCGTTTGCAACCAGCCTAGACTATATTTGGTAAGCTGTGAGTACTTCTAAGGTTTCTTCACCTTATTGGGAAATTGTAGAGTTATATATTAACAGTTAGGACTAGGACTTGGTAGAGTGAAAACAATTGTTGAATTGGGTTTTGACATAAATCAGAGAGATCTTTTCTTGTTTAAAATTGCCATAAATGTTGAATCATGAGTGGCTTGAACCTTAATTTCTTGTAGACAGACAAATGCGAAATAGAAAATGAACTTGCGTAACGGAGAAGGAACTTAAGGACCTCATAAAAAAATCTTCTTCTTTTTTCGTAGTGTGGGAAAAAATTCAGAAAGCGATCATTTTTCATTTAAAAATAAAACTATTTAAAGATTAGAAGATTTGATATTATATAGATAAATTGATAAATCATATCAAAATAAAGAGATAAAATAAAATAAAAGAGAGGAATGGGGTGATCTGGCCGTATCAAAATTGTGGCTCTAATAGCTTGTGTGATTAAGAGATATAGTTGTCACATCCGACACCATGTGATGTGACTGATTTGCCCATTATCCCAACCATTTATTTTCTTATAAATCTTTTGTCTGAACTTTTTAATTTTCCTTCATACAATTCGTAAGACTAAAGAGATATTTTTTAATCGAATTAAATTACATATCAATCATTCAAGTATTAAATCATTTGTAAAAAGAAGTTAATTTTCAGGATATAACTTTCCCCTTACAAAAATCCAAGGTTATAAACTGAACAATGAGATTAGTTTTGGGGGCAAAGAGTAATATCGAGAAAGCAAGTGGATGTCAGGACTGGACTGATCGGAAACAAAACAAAGAATATCTTTCAAATAATTACAAAAACTCTCAATATCTTTTTTTTTCTCAATATCTTCTTCATAATTTTTAACGTCTCCCTATTTATATCCACAGAATCTTTTTCATTTCGGATGAGAGAAACAGATCAGATTCTTGTAGAAGACGAAGCGCGTGGTACACACTGCCAAAATGCGAGAGTGAGTGTTAGGTTAGGTTTGTTCTGAGCCACAAGATATCTCTCTCTGTGTGTGTCAACCTTCTCGAAATTTCCATGAACATTAAATAATGATAAATATCTAAATCTGACGTGGCAGATATCGGCTATTTAATTTAAAAAATTGGTCACTTGCTATTTCTAGCACCTTCTCTTCACACTCTCCTGTCTCCCCTCTTCTCACTATTTCCTACTATTCTGTAATTTTCTCGAGAAATCGTCTTTCTTGTACACGGTAATTTGATTTCTCGAGAAAAAAAAAAAAAAGCAGAAGAAGATTCTCATTTTATCTATACACTGTTCAGAAATCTTCGGTGGATCTTACAAAGTTTTGATTGAGGTTTATTTTTCTGCTCCCTGTTGTCTCTTCGATCTTGATTGTTCATGCGACTACAAAAATCTTTAATCAGCTTTATGCTTTGTTTTGTTCGGTTTCAGGCTGGATTTGTTAGAATTACTGTTGCAGACTTGCAGCAAGAAAGCTTTTCAGATATTGTTTAATGGCCGCTGAGGTAATTGACTACAGACCTGATGAATTAATAGTCGTTAATTAAGCTTATCGAGTTTCGAAGAAGTAGATTCTATATGAAGAAAGTTTCTTTTTTTGGAAGAACTTGAAGAAAAAGCCATTTAATTTCTTTGTTTTATTTTGGTCCACTTTAGGATCGAAGTGAGGAGCTAAGCAGTAATGTAGAAAATGGAAGTTGCAGTTCCAATGAAGGAACAAATCCTGAAACCAGCAGTCATTGGATTGAAAACGTTGTCAAGGTATAAGTTTTGTAAGAACTGCGAACAAGAGACAAATCTCAGGTTTTGCCAGTGGATCTGACCTCTCCTCTGTGTATTGTTCTTCAAGGTTAGGAAACCGTACACAGTAACTAAGCAGAGAGAGAAGTGGAGTGAGGAAGAGCATGATAGGTTTCTTGAAGCTATTAAGCTTTATGGTCGTGGTTGGCGTCAAATCCAAGGTATTAATTGACTTGGAGCTTAAATTGAGCTTAGAATATAGCTGCTAGAAGATGTAGTTCTGAAGAAGTCTTGATTTTGCTGCAGAACACATAGGTACGAAAACCGCTGTGCAAATACGAAGCCATGCTCAAAAGTTTTTCTCCAAGGTCTTGTGTATTTAGATGTTCTATAACATCAGTAGTACTGATACGGTTAGTTTGTAATCTGACAGTTTTTGTTTAATCCATTGCAGATGGCTCAGGAACCTGACAATATAAATGAAGGATCGGTTAAAGCGATTGTGATCCCGCCTCCTCGTCCAAAGAGAAAACCGGCACATCCTTATCCTCGGAAATCGCCTGTTCCATATTCTCAGTCTCCTCCATCAAATTTTTCAGCTATGGAGAAAGGAACCAAGTCTCCAACCTCAGTCCTGTCATCATTTGCTTCAGAGGATCAAATCAACATATGCTCTTCGCCTAATTCGTGTACCAGTGACATCCAATCCATCGGTGGAACTTCCATTGATAAAAAGAATGACTATACAACATCCAAGCAATCCTTCAAAGAGGATTCTGACTTTGGTTCAACACCCATGTCAAGCATTACACTTTTTGGGAAGATTGTCCTTGTCGTGGAAGAATCTCATGAAAAACCATCCTCTTACAGAGATGATGATGATCCTAAATCAATGACAGATCAGGAGAATCACTACTCAGGGATCAAGAATTCTAGCTTGCACATTGACACTAATTTATCTCTTGGGGTATGGGAAACGTCTTGTACCGGTTCTAATGCCTTTGGCTCAGTTACACAAGTGTCAGAGAACTTGGAGAAGAGTGCAGAGCCGATAAGTTCTTCATGGAAACAGTTAAGCTCATTTGAAAACCAAGGATCATGTAATCCTGCAACTGCAAGTGGGTTCAGGCCATACAAGAGATGCCTATCAGAAAGAGAAGTTACATCATCATTCTCGCTGGTAGCTTCAGAAGAACAGAAAAGCCAAAGAAGAGCACGTATATGCTAGTTTTAGCCATTGTACAGTTTGGGGTCACTTTGATGATCCGTCAACATTGTTTTAGCCATTGCTGGATGACTTGGATCATAACATTCCACGAACCAAATCTAAATCCTAATTGGTAAGTGATTTTTACTTGTCCGCCACATGTAATTCTTGTAATGAAGTTTCTGCGGCTGTCTCACATTAAAAAGACAGTTCTGTTTTTTCTTCATCTACAAATTAGTTTACAGTGTACTTGTTTGACCACCTATTCCTAGCTCTGTTTCAATCTCAGGTTCTAATATTAAGCAGATTAAAATACGAGTGTTTTGTAGACAACAAGAACACGAAGAACTTCAAACTCTGAGAATTGAAACTTTGTGCAAAGAGAAGCCCCTTAATTTCTGTGAACACTTACTTAAATATTGGAGCCCTCAAGTCTAAAGAAATCTATGATAAATAACAACAATAACTGAAGAATATTCAATCAATCAACACAAGCCTTGCTTATTCTATATTTAAAAGTGTAATTCTAGCTTCTATCTCTCTGCGCTCAGATGATGAATTGTATCACTATCACATAAAAGAAGCAGCAAAAAAATCTCAGCATTGGCGTCTGTTAGATATCTCATTGGTTTATGTATGCCTATCAAAGAACTTCTCTATGAGTACAGAGAAAGTTGCAAAGCCAGCGCAACCTATACACGCAGCTTTTGGCCCACCTGAAACAAAATCAATCCATTAAGTCCCTAGAAACACAATGTATCATGTAAGCACATTGCAAAGAGGTATAAATCATTTCAACCGTAAGAACACAGTGTATATCAGAGAAATCAAAGCACCTACAAGACTACAGTTTGGGACTTAGACTACATTTAAATTCCATACACAGAAGATAATAGATCATACCTCGGGCGGACATTGAACCACCGGTCACACATCCAGCTATAGCGGTGTTTGTTGTGTCATGCTTAGCTCTTGCCTTTTTCAGAGAAGTAAATAAAAAAAATTCGACAATAAGGTTGTGAAGTTATGATACAGAAGTGAGTAGTGAAATCTCCTTGTTTGTGTGGGTCAATAAACAAGATATTACCTTCTCGACAATGCATTCTGCTGCAGAGAAAACCAAACCCATAACCGCAAATGTCTTACAGGAATTCCAACTCCTTTGGCCCATTTGTTTTGCTGTGAACACAAACTGCTGCCTAGCCGTCATCGTATCATGCATAATAGGATTATCTAGTGCCCCCAAGAACAAACCCATCATCAACCCGAGGCCTCCTCCTACACCACAATTCACAAAGAATGTGTACAAATCAAACTTAATATCCTCACATGTCTAAATTCTCATTATCAACGTTAGAATAAATTCTACAACCGGCGAGCATTTATATTAGTAAGTAGCTTTATATCAGAATAACTTCTTTTAGAGCATTTATAGACAGCAGATTCGATTTGAGATTTCACATAACCAAATTTGACTCAGAAGCATATCAACTATTAAAAAGCTAAACACTTTACCAATTTCACTATCCTCAAATCAATTAGCTTTTTTTCATTGACCTATATATTGATTTTTTTTTTTTCGAAAATCAGGAGCAATGGAGCAATATAGATCGAGAAAGAGAGGAGATTTGAACTGACCCATGACTCCACTAGTAACAGCGCGAACGGCACAGTTGTTCCAAACCTCTTGAGCTCGGATCTCCTCGATGGTTGGCATCCGGATCGGTTGAATCTGGGTAGCGTTCTCATCAGCACCTACGGAGCCCGAAGAAGCACCGGTTGTTTCAGTATTCGAATCTGCCATTTCAAAGGTATAGAGAGTAGAATCCGACAAGGGAAAGTGTCATCAAAAGCTTAAAAATAAAATCAGATCAAGCGTGTTCGTTCGCGCGCCTGAGTGATAAACAAATCAGGGTTTATCCCGAGGTTCTAGGGTTTAAGCCACAACTATGACAACAGCTAGCTACCACTCAAGGCCCATTAGTTTACATGTTGGGCCTGTACACTCGAGCCTTAATCATCAACTAAGGTCCAATATGTATCCTATATTGGTAAATGGTAACAACGAAGATTGGCAAACAAAGTGTAATTGAGTTAGCAAACGTTATTATAAAGGAACATGTCTAGCACTTTTATTCACAATAAAAGAATGAACGAATCATCAAATACAAAAGAATGAATAAAATTAGAAGACAAAAGTTGACTTTCATCTAACAATCAAAACTTTTCAACACCTCTCAAGAGACAGAGAGATGCTGTGACCAAATGAATCCCTTAGGAAGCTTCAGCTCCGTGTAGAGGGTTTCTAAGTCAAAAGCTCTGTTTCACCAACTCTAAACACCGTATTCTTCATCTGAGTACTACTAATTCAGTTCCCGCTTACATCATCGTCAGCGAGACATTTCAGGTTAATGAATGCTTCAAGAGCTTCTCTCATCCACCAATTCTGACATACTTCTCTTGCTTCGTCCAAACTTACCCATCTGCGTTGTCTCATTTCCGCCTCAGGCCATCGCTCGAACTCTTGACTAACAAGCAAAGCAAACATGTGTCCATCGTGAATTATGCTATGTCTTTTGCTTTTGTATTGCCATTTCCCAAGCTTTTCTTCGAGCTCTCCCGTTACACCCGCTTCTTCGATTGTCTCTCTCAAAGCAGCTTCCTCCATTGATTCATCCGTCTCCCAACCTCCTTTTGGAAATAACATTCCTTTGCCCTTTTGAGCACTGACAAGAAGAACTTGGATTTCTTGCGTTTCAATTCCATTGACTTGTTGTTTCTTGTATCTGTACGGTACACATCTGCAGAAATTTTTGACCAATGTTGAAATGAGATAACCAAACAAAATGAACAAAGATAGTCCTCAAATTTGGAAAATTTCAACACGTTATTTGACCAACTAAAAATCTTCTGAGATTCCAAATTGCCGCGGGAATAATTAACGGTTTAACGATCTTTCTAATGAACAAGAATTGTTAAAAATTATTCTAACGTTTTGTTTACCACAAAACTATATCAAATTACACCTAAATAATATTTTATTGTGAATTCGAACAACAGCCAAAACTAATTTCGAATTGGGGGTAAGATTAATTGATAAGAACAAAAATTATGGTTTTGAAAGGAAAAAAAAAAACGAAGAGGCGTACCCGACGACTTGACGATAGCCAGCGTTATCGTAACGCTGCAAATCGCGACCGGTACGAGAGACCAAAGAGACAACTTTGTCGATCTGTGCGGGAACAACCTTGGTGGAGGGGATGTTCTCGAAGATGGGGGACAAATACGAGGCCACATTTGACAAGTTTGAGACGAAAAGAGACACAGAGAAGCCTGTCATGTCTTTTTTTTTTGTGTGTGAATATCGATGAACCACGAATTCAGAACAAGAGAGAAAAGAGTTGGAATTAAAAAAAAAACGACTCTGCTCTCGAATTCGGGAGTAATCGATTTAAGAAATTCTAGAGAGGAAATGGATAAGCAACAAGAGAGAGAGAGAGAGAGATGTGAATTTGTTGTTAATAGCGTTATTGGTTTTAGGACTATCTTTATATGGAAGGAACTTCCCAGTTCCCACGCGCTTCAACTATTTTTTGTTTTTTTATCTAATCAACTTGCTCTATTCGAAATTATATATATATTTATTGACTCAACTTTCCCGGTTATTGTAATTTAGTTCTCCGTTTGGTTCGGTTTGATGGAATCTCTGTTATCTTTCTGTATTTTGAGATTCGTTAATGAGGCAACTCTCTTCTAAATGGATTCAATATTTCTAATAGAATCTTTACTGAGTAACAAAATTTTGGATTCAGAAACAACCAAAATCGACACAAAAGCTTCTAGAGTTTCCCTTTTATCAAAATAAACACGAGTATATTGTTTATCTTCTGGAATATTTATGTTTTTCGTCAAAGAAAAATCAAACTTAGATATCCTAAAAACAAAAAGGTCAACTCGTAAACGACCAAAAAACCTCGGCACAGACACGGAGAAGACAATTGGGAAGGGTGTGTGAGACACGCGCATACAAGGTGCGTGAAGAAGCTGAGCAAGTGTTTTTGTTAGTTTATGGTTTTGTACTAAGAGAGTGTGGTCATCCACAAACTCGTCCCTGACGCAAACACGGTATTAGGCGATGCCTTTTTATTTTTTTAATCACCATTTAATGTATCTCTCTAATATAAAATGACTGACATTTTTGTTGCTTTCTTCTAGAAGCCCAAACGTTGTTGTTACTACCGAAAAAGCTTATAAATGGGCCATGGCCCAGTACACAACATGTTTTCTATCTTATTACTTTTTTTTTTCTTTTTTCTTTTGCTAATTGAATTTGAAACTACTATTGAGGTTAAAAGCTTTGCTTGTATTATATGAAAATTCTATGATGAATGAGATAATCAAATCATTTTGATAAAAAAAAATGAGATAATCATTCTACGTATTCTCAGATTGGTGTAGGTAGACTTTTGGCCTACTACCAAAAAAACTGCGCAGGTCCTTTTCATTATCCTCCTTTAATTATTGGATCGGCTGGCGATATCTTTTATATTCGGAGTATCTGCAAATAGTTCCAATAAAATTCTAAAGCTTCTATTAATTAGAATTTGGATATATACGTACCAAAGTTTTTTTTCTTTTGATAAATTATACGTACCAAAGTTGAAAAAAGTTGAAAATATATGTAACTATATATAAATACGTACCAAATACCAAAATAGCTGTACCTGAAATCTGGATTACCAGAAAACCCAATTCTTTGATTCGTTGACCAATATTCATCTTTTTATCCAACGAAGAAAAATCCAGACTCATCATAGCCGTCGGATTATTACTTCAACGGCTATATTGTATCCAGTCGAAGTCACTCTACATGTGAGGTTACCAAAAATACTTTTTTTTCTTTCCTTTTCTTTCTTTTCCGACACCCTTTTACGTTTAGTTCACGTACATATGAAAAACACTACAATATATTACTTCATTTTAAACTAGAGATGTATAGTTGAAAAAAAGAAAAAAAAACCTAGAAATGTATATTCTGACTCAAAAAATAAAACTAGAGATGTATAGTTGAACCCAAAAAAATACAAAACAAAACTAGAGATGTATATTCTGACTAAAAAAAAGAAGTAGAGATATGTATGTATACACAAAATTCATACTAATCTCTATACTATACAGACTACAGAATTACAGTTTATATACATATTGGTCATATAAAACGTGTAGTGGTAAGATGATATATCATATTAACTCGATAGACTTTACTCAATTGGATACCGTAAATTAGTTAATTACTTAATTCTCTTAGTTATGGACTTATTTGTGCTGGAGTTTAGAAATTTATATTAAGCAACTAAAACGAAGAGAAACTAGACGTGATCCTCCTCACAATAAGATGTCCACTATAAATTAATCAAACCTAATTACACAATTGAATCACTAAATTATCTACACGAAAATTCAAATCGTGAACAAAACCATATAAGCCTCAATTTCTCTTTAAAACTCGGACAAAAAATCAGGAATAAATAAAAGAACAAAATACTCGTCTACGATTGAAAATTGATTTTTTTACATATATAGTATTTTAATGATCCTCGAGATTTTAGGCATTTAGCTCTCCACGATCGTCTCCAATCTAGGCCTCCAAGATCCATGTTTTGATTCGTATAGTACCTTCTCATCTAGGGTTTCTCTTATTTCCACACCATCGTGATCATGATTATCATCATCATTAGCTGATGATGAGTTTCTTCTTTTGTCTCCCGTCGCCGGAAATATGCAAACAGGGAATATTCTCTTCAAATGGTTATACCGGCTTTCGTTGAGTGTCTCCGCGGCTTTGTCGGAGATGAGAGCGAGTTCTTCATGTGTTAAGACAGAGAAGAGCATGTCGGTCGGGAGGAGGAGGTAGAGATGTCGTCTCGGCCGTAAAAACTCGTTGGGAGACACGGCCGTGACTCGTTGGCCGATTTGGAGTAAAGTTGAGTCGGTGATAAAGTGGCCGGAGTTTCTAGAGACGATGTCGGAGGTTTTGATGGGTTTTGGGAAAACTTCGAGAGTTCCGGTGAATGGAGCCAAGATTTTGACTACTCCTGAGGATGAGTTTGTTGATATGATCAATGGTGCGCATGAAGATGTGTTTCCCATTATTGTGATCCGAGTAGAAGAACGAGAGAAAGAAAGAGAAAGACAGAGAGAGACGTTTATAGAAATGGGCTGGCTTTATAATTATGTGTGTTTATATATATATACTTGTATTAGTTAGGGATTAAGTGATGATTAAGTATTACTAATTAATTTTGTTAGCTGTTTGTGTACAACTGTGTGTATCTTCTTTCTCTTCGTAATATAGTTGTCGTTTCTTAACTTTATCGGGACTTTATCTGATAGATATAATTCAAGTTATTAAACTACAAAAAGTAAGGTTTTCGTTTCAACAACACTAATTCATTAATACACATATATATGGCCGCTACTTAATTAATTTTCATATAATCAAGTCAAACTCGACAATTAATCAGATTCATCCCTTGTAAAACCAGCTTATTTGTTTTATGTTTCGTTCTACCGAACAAAAAAAAGATTACAATATAAAATGTATATATAACTGTGACTTTTTGTTGTGAGAAAGGTCATTTAGAACTAATTGTTCTTATTCAGCAAAACAGCATGAATCAAGGCGATAAGAGAAAGCAGAAAATTATAAATGGGAGTCAGTACAATGCCAACAAAAAATGGTAATCAACATACTATACAAAATTATGACTTAACTATTGTCATAACTCATAAGTAAATATTGTGTTTAATTTCTTTTTCTTTTCCAAACTTGATTGAGACATAATGTGATTAAAGTCTATAATGTGAATTAATACGATAGAGTAGAGTAGGGAGAAGAAAACGCACATGGACGAAGGATGGGTCTGATTGTGAAGAGCTGGGCGATTGGGCTGAGCTCGAGTCACGACGCTACCTAACTCATCATTAGACATGGCTTCTCCCTCCGTTTTGTTTTTGTTTTTCATTTTTATACTTTGATATTATAATAATAACTTTAGTTCTCTGTTCTTAGAAATTCCAAAAGCCAAAAACAAAGATTACATAACATAAGTCGGTACCATGAAACAAAGTAATATATCATATATATACAGCTCAATAGCTGTCTGGATACATTTCATTCATTTAATAAAAGGAAAATTTGTTAGTTGCCACATTTTTGTACATTATGTTTTTTGATCAACGTTTTATATTATTAAAACTTAAAGCTTTATAGGAAACATGCCATAATTAATCATGTATACAGTAGATTTGATATTCAGATGTAGACAGATAAATTCATGTTACACTATAGATTAATGTTATAATTTTTAGTTAATAATTTGTTGTTGATTAAGAAATTTATATATACGTATACACATACTAACACACAAATTAGTACAATTAGTAGGCTTTATAGATGTAAACTATATCAAATTTTGTTAAACACTCTTAATTTATGTCTCTGTGTGCATATATTTATGTGGCTGTATGTTTACTTGCGTATATGTATTTGTCCCTGTCGGAGATTAAAACAGTTCGAATTATGTGATTTTATTTGTAAAGTGCCCTGGACTTTGGACTCTACTTGTTTTGTTGTTTATTGCTCGTTTTGTTGGCTTCACAATCTAAAAGATTAAAATAAATCAAATCGAATCCATTTGATGAACTGTCATATGGTTTAGTATATCAATAATTTTACAACACAGAGTCACAAACACTCGGATAACATTATTATATAAACACATCCATTAGCTAGAAGCCTAGAACTATAGTGAAAAGGGGATCTCAATTAGCTATCGTCAACATATTTAAATCAGGGAATTAATTATTACATTATCTGGGAGTTGCAATGTCAAAATCTTGGCAGGAGCTAAAAAGCTAGTTTCCAAAACGTTACCTATTAAATTCTAGAGAGTTATATATACATTTTAACTGGAGTTTGTAAACTATAGTGGTCTGTATTGTAACGTTAATTACTGTTATCATATTCCATATATATTCAGGTGCACTAATTTATATGTTTATGGACTATGTAGAAGATAAACTATGAATAAGACGTTGTTTGCCACTTGAGTATACTAAGAAATAAACTAGAAGATAAACTATGAAAAAACTATGATAAGACGTTTATTTACCGGATTTCTTAGTTGTAGTACTCTAATCGAGTATGATTGGTAAAAGGGTTAACAGTATTTATCTGTATCTCCTTTCATCTAATTCATTAGATTTTATAAGAAGACAAAAAAAAAAAGAAATTAAGAACCATAATACGATGACTTATAAATCTAGACATTTAGTTAGACAATATGGGAAAAAATGGGTAAAAAACCCTCGCTTTTTTAAAAAACATATAAAAAATCCTTAATATTTTTTGTGAGTTTGTTAAACCCTCATCTTTACATAAATAGTAAAATAAATCCTCATATTAATAAACTAATTTTTATAAACAAATCGTTATATGAAAATATTTCAGAATTTTTTTAGTTAACAGTTTCTATTTTTTTGGTTCTTGTTATTTCTGGATCCTAAAATTAAAATAGAAGATTGAGGTGAATAATAAATCTAAAGGAGGTTCGAGTAACAGTTATTTTGGAATGTACCAGTTGTGTTCGAAATGATATTAAGAAAGAATCCGCAGGAATTTCCAAATACATAGTACTCAAAAGAATCGGCATAACACCCCTAGTCGATTGGAATTGGGAAAATTCTGTCCCTATCGTTATAAACATACAATTCACGGAGAAATAAAAAACGAATCAGATATTACAAGGTACAAACCCCTAGGTGTTCGATTGCACTGAATTCAACGAACATATATAAAAATACTCTACTTAATCTCTATATATCTTCTTCGTCATCATGCTTGATTAGTTGATTTGTTTTAATCTGAAAGGTATCATTGTGGTTCAATTTGAAAAACGCAGATGACTATAAAAAACGCGGCAGTGGATGTTGGTATTGTTGGAATGAGATTTTTCAAGTAAAACGTTGAACGCCAGGGAGAGGCATACAAACAACCTCAAGTCAGGCTTTTACCAACAAAGGAGAAAAGACCACCAACTTTCTACGATGTCCTCTTCCCAGGAGAAGTCAAAGCAACAGTAACATTGATGATCCATAAGCATTTCCCACCTCGTACTCGAACCGCTGGAGAGAAGGTTGCAGGCGTGAAGGTGATGGTCAGTCATCTGACTAAGGCCTATGTTGATCCGTAATGCAGCCCAAGTTAAATCTTGATGGGCCTTATCCAGTATTTTTTGCCAATAAAGAAAGAGTCATGTTTGGTTTTTTTTATTTCTTTTAAAACCACATATGCTCTTGGTTGAGTTTGGTTTTATTTTTTGCAATTTGGATTTAAGTTTACAATTAAACTTCTACAAATGTCACCGGCGGGTATCCTTTTTGTTTTATACAAAAATAATGGTTACAATTGGATTTATGTCGGTCTATCTTAACTAATTTCATCATATCTATCTCCTTTCATCTAATTCACTAGATTTTATAAGAAGACAACAAAATGAAAACTAAAAACCATGATAAGAAGATTTGAACATATGGACATTTGTTTAGACAAAATGTTGGTAAAGCGTTGTTGGAAGTTATTACTATTATTTGAATTTCATAGTACATCAGTTATAACCTTTAGTTGAAATAAGAACGTTACCGAACATCGTCTGATTAATTTCCAACAAATGAAAACCTAGCCGATAAAGACGTACGTAAAATAAATATAGTAGATCAGAAGAAGAGTGTTGCCACGACAGCCGATGCAAAGCTAAGTCCACCGAAGTTGATGGCCGGAGCTGAGCTTGTTGGTTTGGCCGTCGAAGAAGCTGCATCTCCGGTTGAACCGCTTCCTGTTCCTGCGTTTTTAAAATAAAATTACATAAATAATCCACAATTTTAAAACTTAGTTTATACCACGAAAAATATATTTCCCGTAAAACCCTCACAATTCGATTCAACTTTCAAATATTTAAACTTTTATGTATTCATACCGGTACTGGTGGAAGATGCTGGAGGAGTTTTCGGGGTTGCCGGCGGTGTTGAAGATGAATTAGTTCCTTCGTTAACACAAACCAACAGAAAATAACGTCGCATTAATTAGGCTAGATAAGAATTTAAAACGGCGTCGTATTAGGCTAAATTAGAAATTTAAAAACGACGTCGTAGTAGGATTTATTCACCGGCGCTGGTTTTGCATAGTGACACGTCAGCTTTGGCGCCACAAGCTTTGGGGAGATCGAGAGCGTTTTCTTTAGTGAGGTTAAGCGATTTGAGCATATCGACGTTGTTGAAGACGGCGCAGAGACACGTCGCGTCTTTAGCCACGATCTCATTCAACGGCATGCAACACGACGCCGGCGGCGGAGTCGCCAAGTGAAGATACGGCTGACACGGCATCAGTTTCTGAATACACGGCAGTGAGTGTGCGTCTCCTCCTGCACCGCCGCTCGGTGGTGTAGTCTGTGCATTAGACGACGTAACGGCGCAAAATACAAGAACGACGGCGACGGCGAATCTAAGAGCCTCCATTTTTCAAGCGTTAATATCTCTTTATATATGTTCTTTCTATCTTTAGTTGTTGGTGGTAAGATATAAAAGTTGCAAACACATGTGGTTATTTATATATACACACGGCGGTTATAATTTTTGGTTTTTGAATTTAATCCAGCCTGATTTTTCGAGATAATCAGTTTCTGATCCTATCATTATGCATTGGAACGAAGACTAAGCTCTGGATTAGTGAAGATTTTGACTTTGCTTAATTAGTTAATCCAAAATTAATCTAGAATATCGTTATTACAAGAGTGGCCAATTTAAAGAGTTTAGATGTTCGTTCATATAGAAAGTGGAATGATATGGAACCTTAAATAGAATGATACTAGAATTTAACCCGCGGTATACCGCGGGGCTATATTTTTTAAAAAAATGTAATGTTATTTTTTAAAAGATTAACTGAAGATATATCATATTAATTTGTATTTTTAAATGTAGATATCTATCTATCAATTTTTGAAGTATAGATACGAAAACATATATATTTTTTTAAGTAACGATGTATGGTGGATTTTAAAATTTTGAATATTTTACTCTGCAGTATACCGTGGGTCGGTTTTTTTATAACTAAAAATTTTAAATTTAAGTTGGATTTGTTTTGTTAATATGTTTTCTTTTGTTTGTGTTTAAGATTGTATAATTGTATTTTGATTGTTAATTTTAGGATTTCATCCGTGATATACCGTTATTTATTAATATCGACCCAAACCCGTCATCCCATATAAACCCGTCTATATTATCTCGTTAGCTAAATTATTAGTATTATCCAAGAAAATTTATTTTTATTGTTATAAATCTAATAATTTTAGGATCTCACCCGTAGTATACCGTTCTTTGAACGATTTTAAATTTATACTACTAATATATATTTTAAATTTATCATATAAAGTATATGATTTCAAGTTTTTGTGTTTTTTATTTTATTTAAATAAAGCAACAGCTTAAATGATGATAGATATAGTTCTTTTTCCTGTATGTGTATTTGATTTTTCTATGTGAATATTTTGATTATATAAATTAGTATTTTTATTGCTATGCAAAATGTTAATATAAATATTTGCTATAAATGTTTTTGAAGATATATGGAAAGATTGTGTAGAGATTTTTAGAAACAAATTAGGCAAGATATTGTTTGGTTAATATCTTTTATTAAATTTTGTAAAAGTAATAATAAATGTCAATGGCATTCTTTGTAAATACCTGTCCAACCCCAGGATTTATTTGCTAAAAGTGTTCCAAAAATGTATATATAGATTAATTAGTATAGTTTAGTTAACGAAATATTTTAAAATCGAAACTAAATTTCGTTGTATGATTAAAAAATATTTGTATCTAAACAAAATCTATATTTGTTATATTCGTGATTGGTCTCCTATATATTAGGTAATCTCAATAATATATTTAAACCCGTTTGATCCATTGACCCGTTTTTTAATGAATTGGTTAATATTAGTGACATGGAATTAAAATGATTATGATTAGAAATCTCTAATGGCATATATTGTAATTTCTTACAAAATCAACGTTATGACTTATAGGATGCACGGGTCATAATGGCATAGATTAGTTGAAAATAAATTTTGTTTAGATATAAGAGCGTAGACACATTTTCCATTTTAGTAACATTTCAAAAAATGGAGAATTATATAACATTTTCAATTTATATAACATTTTCGAACTATATGAGGTATTATAATTCAAAATAGCATTTTTTATTTTTTATAAATTGGATTGATATAAAATGTTTTCAATGATATATCATTTTCATTAACATTTTAATAACATTTTTTATAAGATGTTCGAATAATGGATTACTATATAACATTTTGAATAACATTTTCGAATAATATATTAGTATATTAGTATATACAGTTTATGTATTATATAAACAAAATCTTTATGTATTATATTTATGTATTATATAACATTTTTATGTATTATATACTCTCGAATATAGATTAGTATAATAACATTCTCGAATTATATTATTATGTATTATATAAACAAAATCTTTTAATATCTTTAAAATCCGTTGACCCGTTGACCCGTTTAAATATATTAGTGACATGGAATAAATTTTATGATTAGAATTATATAATGGCATATATTGTAATTTCTTACAAAATCTAAGTTATGATCCTTAGGATGTACTTCCCAAATAGTAGTATAGGATCATATACGTTTTCTTGTAGTTTTCTCACCTATAACAATACAAATTATCAATCTTTTTTATAAATATGTATGATGTGAGTACTCTTTTTTTTTTTTTATAAAGAAAGTTTTGCTTTTGGCAGATAAGTTAAAAGGCTAAAGGCTTTTGGATATGGATTTCCACGTAAGCCTACACGATGTAAAGTTACATTAATCTCAATTTGTAAATATAGTTTCATATATATAGAGACAGAGACAAAGAGATGCGTATGAAATTGGTTGGTTGACTGTATATTACATCGGAGGAAACGGAGAATCGTAGTGATCGGAGAAGATGGGTGGCGTCGTTGGGTTTGTTGGTCTTGATTCTTACAGCTTCGAATTAGCTTCTTCGCTTCTTCGTTCTGGGTTTAAGGTTCAAGCATTCGAGGTCTGTTGCTTCGTCTTTTTTTTTTTGTGGGATCGGCATGTTCTGGAAAAATCATGTGGATCGGTTTAAATTATTCGGAACCAAACATGTGAAATTTGTGGGTTCTGTAGTAATTTCGAAATACTCAGTCTATCTCTCGGGATTTCAGCTGTTTTACACGTTTATATCAATCTTCACTACAGACGTGAAATTGATTTGATTAGTATTGTTGAATTTTTCTTGGAAAAAATAAGGAGGAAAGCTAAATTGTTGTAACTAATTCGACAGATAAGTACAGAATTAGTGGAGAAGTTCACTGAATTGGGAGGACACAAATGTGACAGCCCTGCTGATGTTGGGAAAGGTATAGCAGTCTCTTAGTGTGTTCTAAGGAATTTGAAACACTAACATACATGGTTATGAGTTCAGATTTTAAGGCAAAAAATGCACATTTTTTACGGTTTATCGAGCATTTGATTTTATATCCAGCACTAGCCTCTGTACATGCAAACCGTCTTCTGTTGCTACCTTGTTTTATGACTCTGTTTACTTTTGATACTGTCTTGTGTTATGTTATTTACCTTGCTTCCTCTCTCTCTTGTGTCTTTGTTCTTAATTAAGCAGGTGCAGCAGCCGTGGTGGTTTTACTATCCCACCCTGACCAAATTCAAGATGTCATTTTTGGTGATGAGGGTGTTATGAAAGGTACTCCCGAAGATTCTTTAGCTCATATTTTATGAAATTTTTCTCAGAATTATTGTTCTTCGCAGGTCTACAGAAGGACGCTGTATTGCTTTTGTCTTCGACAATATCGACTTTGCAACTCCAGAAGCTAGAGAAACAACTTACAGGTTTCAATTTGATACTTTGAGGCATGGTTTTCCTTTCTACACCGTATTTTGAAGTTTGCGCGTTTCAGTCGTGAACTGAAAATGGGATTTGTTTCCAATGCAGAGAACAGAGAGCAGATTTTTGTTGTTGATGCCTATGTTTTAAAAGGGATGTCTGAGCATCTTGATGGAAAACTAATGGTATATACTCTCTTGTCTTGCTAAGTTTGTTATGCTGGTGGACTACTATTGTGCTAGCTGATCTCCATTCATTGTTAAAAGTTGCGTGTCACCGTACTTGTAGTAACCCTTTCCTTTTCAACTTATAAGATAATAGCATCTGGAAGGTCAGATTCGATCACAAGAGCACAGCCCTTTCTTACTGGTAAAACTTAACTCTAGTGTATAGACCCGCTCAAGATGTAGACGTTCTGAATTTTAATTTTGTTACTGAGAAAATCTCTTTGTTTCATTCAGCAATGTGTCAGAAGCTGTACACTTTTGAGGGAGAAATTGGTGCTGGAAGGTATGGAACTTTCCACAATTACCTTCTCGTGGTCACTACAACTTCTAAGAGTTTGACTGCCTGTTTCCTCGTCGCGATTCATATCAATTATAATGCTCAAGTTGTTTACCGAATTTAATGTCATGAAATCTATGAGATATTTAGTCATAATATGCGTAAAAAACACCTTTGACTATTCTAACTGTTCCCCTGCATTACAGAAAACCAATTGATGTCATTGTTTTTTTTTTTCTGAACCAGTAAAGTTAAAATGGTGAATGAGCTGCTTGAGGGCATTCATCTTGTTGCTGCTGTGGAGGCTATATCTTTAGGTTCTCAGGCGGGTGTGCATCCGTGGATTCTGTATGACATAATTTCCAATGCTGCTGGAAATTCATGGTATGCTTTATGCTACTACGATTTTCCTTTTGTTATGAATAATAAAAAGGTCTCTGATAGTAGGACTGTTAGTAATCACAGGTTTGAAAACATTTCATGTATTAGTAGATCTTTAATAACACACATTTAAAGAACGGAAAAAGAATAAGCTGAATAGTCTAATTCTGGAAGTTTTGAGAATAGACTATTGCAAGTAAGTTGTAACTATAGCATGGTTTCCTGTTTACCAAATCTAACTGGAAGAAAAATAGATTTTGTTTTTAGCTTCTCATTTAGGCCCATTGAAGATATCCCTGAAGGTTTATGCCAAATTGACATGCCCATATTTTGACCATGGCTGTCACAGAAATAAATTGTCTTGTGTATATTTTGTTTTCAGGATTTACAAGAATCATATTCCTTTGTTGCTAAAAGATGATATAGAGGGTCACTTTCTCGATGTTCTCTCTCAGAATCTGGTATTATGATACATCAAATAGAAAGTGATATTTTATCGTTGTCGTTCTTTCGGTTCAAAGGAAAATAGGAAAGAGAGAAATACATAATTTAGCTCCAATTTATTTTATTTCTTCACTGTGATTAAGTCTTGATGTTTAGCATATGTAACTAATGAGATGCTAACTGACTTTCTGATGGCAAGGGCTTTGTTGAAGATAAAGCCAAATCGCTCCCATTTCCTGTCCCACTTTTGGCAGTTGCACGCCAACAACTAATCTCCGGTATAAATCAATATGATCTCATGTCCGGGACAATGATAACAACCTCTTTCCACTTATTTATTTCTATGCATAATTTTCCCTTCTCCAGGAATATCACAGATGCAGGGAGATGATACAGCTACTTCATTGGCTAAGGTCCCTAATAAAGTTTTCTCCATCTGTTTTCTAGTTCTTTGGAAACTTGTGGAAATTGTAACTGAATGGAAAACTACTGTCATAGACCATATACATGACGCATGACTCTCTAATGAAACGCGCATGACTCTCTAATGAAAGGTTCATCTAATGATTGAGCAGATCTGGGAAAAAGTACTTGGTGTTGGCATATTAGAAGCAGCCAATAGAGAACTTTATAAGCCAGAGGATTTGGCCAAAGAAATTACTTCTCAAGCAAAGCCTGTGAATAGAGTTGGTTTTATTGGTCTTGGAGCAATGGGTTTTGGCATGGCAGCACACCTGTTGAAATCAAATTTTTCTGTCCGTGGTTATGACGTAAGCCTTTGATTAACTCTACAGTCTCCACTATGAATGGTATAGGGAGTCTATGATATACATGTTCAGAATGATTGTGTTAGTTGGTTTTAATTGGTTATATGAGTTGGTGGTATATATGTATACGAGTAAGTTAACACTGTGTTTATAGGGGCACATGGTTTTCCTCAATCTAGACTTTTGGCTGTAGTGCATTCATAGATTTCCTTACTTTTGGCTGTTAGCTCCGTGAATGTTATGTTTTGGGTGCCTTTTTCATATAATTGTTAATTTACTCATGTATTTGCATTAGCTCGTCAGATTATCATAATGTAGGATTTTCTAATAGGTGACTTAACTTCAAAAAGAAACGCTGTTTTATCACTCTTAAGCAGTAAACATGCAACATTGTTATATGAAATGCTGAAATTGATTGGAATTGCAGGTATACAAGCCAACTCTTGTCAGATTTGAGAATGCCGGGGGATTGGCGGCAAATTCTCCAGCTGAAGTGACGAAAGGTACTCCTCGAAAGCAGATAGATTACAGTGTAGCTGTGTCATGTAGCTCTCAGCTCTTCTGAGATGAATATCTGCCTTTTCCCCTTAAATCCAGTCATTTTCCCTAGAAATAATACTTACAATTTGTATCTGCTCCTACAGATGTAGATGTTCTTGTAATTATGGTAACAAACGAGGTTCAGGCTGAGGATGTCTTGTATGGACATCTTGGAGCGGTTGAAGGTATATCTCTATATTCTAGCTTTTAGCACTGGAGGTTAGAGCTGACTTTCCTATTTTTTCTTTCAAATATTTCAGCTATTCCATCTGGGGCAACTGTTGTACTTGCTTCAACAGTCTCTCCCGCTTTTGTTAGCCAACTTGAAAGGCGTCTAGAAAGTAAGTTTTTTTTCTTTGCTTGATGATAGAGGAAAATCCTTACAAAGTGTTTTCAGTAACGGGCTACAGTAAATGCTGTTCATTCTGGATGGTCATATGCCCCGCTGATTAATTCTCACTTCCATCATTATCTTTTACTGTCACTTGGATTGAGTTCTATGATTTATTCTTGTATTTGGTAATCTTGCAGATGAGGGAAAGGACCTAAAGCTGGTGGATGCTCCTGTTTCTGGTGGTGTCAAGAGGGCTGCCATGGGGAAACTTACGGTATGAAGTCTAGAAATCTATCTAATGCGTCTGTAAGGAAGCTGAAGTTATATAGTTTTTCAGATAATGGCTTCAGGTACCGATGAAGCACTTAAGTCTGCGGGACTTGTGTTATCAGGTGACGATTTCATTGTCATTTTTCTGGTGATATAGTTCTTGTTCACATCATAACCTGGATCACATCATAACCTGGATGTGCCTGATTATATTATTTTTGAGCAGCATTAAGTGAGAAGCTTTACGTGATTCAAGGAGGTTGTGGGGCAGGAAGGTAATTTGTTTTATATTTTGTTATTACCATCACGATCCTTTCTTTACTGACATGGAATCATTCTTTTTTTTTTGAAAGAATGTAAAATTTATTCAAACAAAAGAACTGTTTTTACATAAGATGTGACTTTGGTGCCTAAACATAAGATGTGACATGGAATCAGTCACTTACTTTGTTAATTGTTTATTTGATGTTCCATAGTGGTGTAAAAATGGTCAATCAATTGCTTGCGGGAGTTCATATCGCATCAGCTGCTGAGGCAATGGCATTCGGAGCTCGGTTAGGTCTGAATACTCGAAAGCTATTCAATGTTATATCTAACAGCGGTGGAACATCTTGGTATGCATTACGTAGATTTTAATGGAATAAGTTTTTTTTTTCTTATTTCTGGAAAATTATGTGTTACCATCAACGGCTTTAACATTTCTGATGAAAAGTGCATCACTCTGATGCTCTGAATTTTTTTTAACTATCTTATGCCTAAAGCCTTGTCTTCATGAAACCCTGTGCTTTTGCTTGTTGATATTTATTTTTACAAGTTAATAAGAAACGCGTTTATGTTAGCCTTTTAGGTCATAAATTGAATGGCTCCTATTTTACATCTTGCAGGATGTTTGAAAATCGTGTTCCGCACATGCTCGATAATGATTATACACCATACTCTGCTCTTGATATTTTTGTCAAGGATTTGGTAAGATTAGCAACTGTAATCAATTTGTAAATTTGTTCTGTTTTCTGAACTTATGCATGAGTTTTGACTGTAGGGAATTGTTACTCGAGAAGGTTCATCCCGTAAAGTTCCACTCCATATATCAACAGTGGCACACCAGCTATTCTTAGCCGGTATCCTTCAGTCTTTTAACTGTTCTCAATTCATCTTGCATGTGCATCACTTTTGTCCTACCTTTTCAGCAATACAAATTATTATTTAAGACCTTAGTATTTGGGTTGAATACATAGTCTCATGTGTTGCAAATTTTTCAAAAATATTCTTAGCAGTGGTTCTTTCTACTTTTACTGAGCTATGCTACTATAGTTCCTTATCCTTATTGCCCCATATAGATGGAGACCAATATGCTTAGAGATAATTTCATTTACAGGCTCTGCTGCGGGCTGGGGGCGGATAGATGATGCTGGAGTGGTGAAGGTATAATTTTCATATGTGTACTGATTCCTAGCACCAAGATTATTGTGGTTGAATTTGAGACAGCTTTTGGTTGTTAATTGACGTCTCTATAAACAATAGAAATCCTCTTTTAACTTGAAAGCAAATGCAAACGTTTGCTAGTAAATGACAAATTTACAGTTTATTAAGGTGCTTTTTATTGATACCGAAGCTTAAGATTTTGGAGTTTGCTCTTATAGCTTATGAACTATGGGAAACAAGACCTACTTATAGTGTTTACTGGTTATCTTTCTTAGCCATAGATGGACAGATGAAGCTATAACAGTGTCAAGATTGGTGTCTGTTTGGTGTCTTATTAAGCTGTAAGTAACTGAAACGTCTTATTATATTTATAGGTATATGAAACCCTTGCTGGGATTAAAGTCGAAGGGAGACTTCCTGTTCTGAAGAAACAAGACCTACTGAATTCTCTTCCATCTGAATGGCCTTTAGACCCTACAGCTGACATACATAGACTAAATATGGGAAACTCGAAGACATTGGTTGTTCTTGATGATGATCCAACCGGGACACAAACTGTTCATGACGTAGAGGTTTTAACTGAATGGTTAGTTTTGCATGCTTTCTCTATGACTGAATTTATTCTGTCAACATAAGTCTTTCATTGAAATAATTGGCAAGTCGCTAGCCTAGAACCCAATGGAAAGAACTGATAATTGGTTATTGCTTTTCCCTACATTTTGGCAGGAGTGTTGAATCTATTTCTGAGCAGTTCAGAAAAAAGCCTGCATGCTTCTTCATTTTGACAAATTCAAGGTCATTGAGCCCTGAGAAGGTCAAGACATTTCTTTGATTTTGTGTAGTCTATTTGTTGGAAAGTTCTAATCTCATGAATGTCACATCAACTTCAGCAATCGCAAGCTCTAACTGCATATTTCTTCAACAGGCTAGTGCGTTGATCAAAGACATCTGTTCCAACCTATGTGCTGCATCAAAAGAAGTTGGCAACGCTGACTACACGATTGTTCTGAGGGGTGATTCAACATTACGTGGTCATTTTCCTCAGGCAAGTTTGGTAACCCTATCATGAAATAGCAGACTATCATGTCAATGTTATGATTTGAGCTTGACATCTGTTTCTGTCATAACTTGATATTATGATCCACATACAGGAAGCAGATGCTGCTGTCTCAATACTTGGGGAAATGGATGCATGGATTATTTGCCCCTTCTTCCTTCAAGGAGGACGTTATACTATTGATGACGTGCATTATGTTGCAGATTCTGATAGGTATGTCTTTGTGAGCAACATGTGTGTGTGTTTAATGTTTTCAAACTTCCAGAATCAAGGAACAGTTCCCTTCAGAGGATGAAGATTGATGGTCTTCATCTTGAATATTGCAGGCTCGTTCCTGCAGGAGAGACAGAGTTTGCCAAAGACGCATCCTTTGGATATAAATCCTCAAATCTCCGTGAGGTCTGAATTTCTTCCGACATGGGAATCGTCTTATATTCTTTGACTCTAAGAAATTATTAGTAATGGACAATTGGATATGATTCCAGTGGGTTGAGGAGAAAACAGCTGGCGCCATTCCCGCTGATAGCGTTCAGTCGATCTCAATCCAGCTTTTAAGAAAAGGTGGCCCTGATGCAGTGTGTGAGTTTCTATGCAGTTTAAAGAAGGTAAATTTTCTCAGCAGATTTTGCGATGACTATAGGATGTTGCTTTCCGTGAACTTTTACTGGTCTTCATAATTGTTGAATCAGTTAGTCCCAGTTGTCTAGAAAGCCTTAACTCTATTTCTATTTCATATGTAAATCAGGGGGCTGCATGTATTGTCAACGCAGCTAGTGAAAGAGACATGGCTGTATTTGCAGCGGGGATGATCCAGGTAAGCCTCCCAATTATTCTTCTAGTTTTTTTTTTACTTTTTTGAGGATACATTTAGTTTTCTCTTATATTTTTTGTCCCTTCTTTCAATTGAACATTATATTTGGCAGGCAGAACTGAAAGGAAGATCCTTTTTATGCCGCACTGCTGCTAGCTTTGTGTCTGCTCTAATAGGGATTATTCCAAAAGATCCAGTGTTGCCGAAAGATTTCGCATCTAACAAAGAAAGCAGTGGTGCACTAATAGTTGTAGGCTCATATGTCCCGAAAACAACAAAGCAGGTTAGCTTATCTACTAACAACACTAATTTCTTTGTTATGTTTTCAAAGTTAAAGAGGCCTGAGTCATTTTCTTCAAACTAACAGGTTGAAGAACTTCAATTACAACATAAGCAGAAGTTAAGGAGCATCGAGGTAAAAGAAGTAGATGTAGCACGGGATACTTATATTGGTATTTCCCACATGCATGCTTTCTTTGCTAAGTTCTAGCAATGATCAACAGATCTCTGTAGAAAAAGTTGCTCTCAAGTCATCCGAAGTGAGAGAGGAAGAAATCAGAAGAGCAGTTGAGATGGCCGATGCTTTCCTTCGGGCTGGCAGGGAGACTCTGATTATGAGCAGTCGTGAACTCATCACGGGGAAAAGTTGTTCTCTATTTCAAATCTTTATATCTTTCTGTCGTTGGTATAAAGTCATGACTGAGGAATATCATCATTAACGGGTCTGATATTCATTTTGACAGCATCTTCGGAAAGTCTTGATATTAACAGCAAAGTGAGCTCCGCTCTGGTTGAAGTAGTGAGCAAGATATCTACCAGACCTCGTTATATTCTTGCTAAGGTATTTAGCTTCTATATTTATCTTTCCATCTCATAAACTTCCTGACACAATCTGTCAATGCACAGTTGAAATTGCAACTATTTTACGGTCCAAAGTCTTACGAAGTTTTTTGATACTATAACGTCCTTGTCTAGGGTGGAATTACGTCATCAGACACAGCAACAAAAGCACTTAAAGCAAGACGTGCACTTGTGATTGGTCAAGCCCTTCCTGGTGTTCCAGTATGGAAGTTAGGTCCAGAAAGTAGACATCCCGGAGTCCCCTACATTGTTTTCCCAGGTAAATCTTAATTTGTATTCAAAACATTTAACTGAAGAAAATAGGTATTCTTAATCAACTCTTTTTCCCCATATGTAACAGGGAATGTTGGTAACAGCACAGCTCTTGCAGAAGTTGTGAAGTCTTGGTCAGTTGTAGCAAGACGGTCGACAAAAGAGCTGCTTCTTGTGAGTATCCCTCTCGTTCTCTAGCCTCATATATCTCTTCTTATATTGATGTTGTGTTTATATGTAAAACAGAATGCAGAAAAAGGTGGATATGCAGTTGGAGCATTTAACGTGTATAACCTGGAAGGAGTAGAAGCTGTTGTAGCAGCTGCAGAGGAAGAAAACAGTCCTGCCATATTGCAGGTTAGTGTTCTCACTAAAAGTGGACTTCTGATACAGAAAAGAGTTCATATGAGAAATGAGTCACAATAGCAACCAAAGAACAACATTCTGTTCTGAATTGTTCAAGAATGTCCGACACAAACTGAAATGAAAGCTGATTTTTTTTTTTTTTGTTTGCTTTGTTTTGGCTACACTTTTAGGTCCATCCAGGTGCCTTTAAGCAAGGAGGCATTCCGTTGGTTTCATGTTGCATCTCTGCAGCTGAACAAGCAAGGGTAAGTGGGCTTTATGGCTGTATTTTAATTCTGCATAAGAATTTAGATACATACCTTTATTTTAGCAGTCATGTATTTTTGAACTCGCTCTGCAGCTTTCATATGTGCTTTTTCCGGAATAGACGTTGAAATTAAAACTTAAGTGCTGATGCTATATACCAAATACGTGGGTTTGACACTGAAGTCCCTGATTAATATGCACAATGTGGCAGGTTCCAATATCGGTACACTTTGACCATGGAACTACAAAGCATGAGCTATTAGAAGCTCTTGAGCTAGTAAGTTTGAGATCTCGATCACTTATCTGCAATCTCTTAGTCCTCTTTTACTTATCCTTATATTGAAAAATTCATAACAAATTACTTTCGTGCAGGGATTGGATTCAGTGATGGTAGATGGTTCTCATCTTTCCTTCACAGAAAATTTAGCATACACGAAATCCATAACAGAATTGGCCCGTTCCAAAAACATTATGGTGGAAGCTGAACTAGGCCGACTCTCAGGAACAGAGGATGGATTGACTGTTGAAGACTATGAAGCAAAGCTCACCAACGTTCACCAGGTCCTTGTTGGTTTTAAGCGCCGATGAATCCAATCTCTCACCTACCAAATTTATGTTGCTAAACCAAAGTACAAATATTTTTTATGACTTTTTCAGGCTGAGGAATTTATGGAAACTGGTATAGATGCTTTGGCTGTGTGTATAGGAAATGTCCATGGAAAATACCCCGAGTCTGGTCCAAGCCTCAAGCTTGACTTACTTAAGGTTAATTATATTCTTGTGCTGAGTGAAGAAGTTTTATGATGTGCTGACTTTGTGTCATTCTTATTCTAACTGATCACCATGTATATAGGAACTCCACGCCTTAAGCTCAAAGAAAGGCGTCATTCTTGTTCTTCATGGAGCTTCTGGTTTGTCTGAGAAGCTTATCAAGGTATGAGTCTATCATGTTTGAAAGTTTCTTACTGTTTGGTAATAGAAAACTTTTTATTCGGCGGGAAAAGTTTCTCTTTTGATCGAGATCTTGATATGGATTTAACGTCTTTGTGGGTGTTATGAATCTTGTTGTCTGAAATCAGGAATGCATTGAAAATGGAGTGAGGAAGTTCAACGTGAACACAGAAGTAAGAACGGCTTACATGGAAGCTCTTAGCTCTGGGAAGAAGACCGACCTTGTTGATGTCATGTCGGCAACAAAAGCAGCCATGAAAGCTGTGATCACCGATAAGATCCGTCTCTTTGGCTCTGCTGGAAAAGCTTGAGTTATTGTTGATGAACAATGTCCGATCAATTTGTTTAGTACAGTTGTACATCACATCCAAAGAATAAAAACCAACAAATATTACATCACATCCAAAGAAGATGAATGCATTGTATGCAATGCAGATGCACTGTTGTTGGAAATAAAGAAAACATTTTTAGTATTGTTTAACTGTTTTTTCGTTTTCTTTCTTCAGTCAAATATGCATAGAAAACTAAATGGGCAAATATTTGAGTAGTTACGATCGGATAAAACTACTAATTATTCATGGCTGGATATTATCTCCTATACATATATTCCTCGCAATCTTCGCCGTTTATCTTTCTCGTTACCCGATCAAAAATCCCAAACTCTCACACACATTCTCTTCATTGGGACTCAAATTCTTCTTTCTTTCTTTTTTCGTGTTTTTTTTTTCGAACTCCAACTATTTATCTTTATGAGTCGCTTCGTTCCTATCCATTGATGTCTGCTTCTTTGTAATGGAGATTGCTTCATTTTTGAAGCTTTTGAGTGAAACTGATGGTTTTGGATTTGGGATCTTCGTTTTTGGTTGCTCCTCTCAGTTTTTCAATCTCGTCTTTCTCTGTTGTTTGCTTCTTTTGGGACTCAAGTTTCTATTTTTCAAAGGCACTTCATTGTTTGTGCGGTATTTAGAGAAGATCTATCGAATTTCTCCGAACATTGAGTGTTTCAGTTCCTTCAATCGAGAACGTAAGGATTGCAACAACAACAACAATGGGTTCGTTTCAAAATCTAATTTGGTTGATGGATTGGATCAAAAGAAACCCATCATTTTACACTGGAGTTCTGATTCTACTAATGGATTGAGCTGTGAGAACTGTGATCTTCTTCTTCTACGTGATGGGCTTGATCACATCAAGAACAGAGACAGTACTGCTGCGTTATCAGAGACAGAGTTCGACAAGAAGAATCATCATGGCGAAGAAGAGGAAAGCAAGGACGAAGAAGAATCACAGTCTCGGAGTGATGAAGATCAAGTGTTCGACGTTATTACTCTGAGAAAAATGGTGAAGAGAGAGAGGCAACGTGGAGATTGTATGAAGAAAGAACTGGAGATGGAGAGAAGAGCAACTGAATCAGCTGCTGAAGAAGCCATGGCTATGCTACTGAAGCTACGGATGGAGAAGAGCGTTGTGGAGATGGAGGCAAAGCAATACAAGAGAGTCGCGGAACAGAAGCAAGTGTATGATCAACAAGTGATTCAATCATTACAGTGGATGTTAATGAAGCTTGATGACGAAGACAAGATTCAAGACTAACACTCTTTGATCCTCTGTTTCTATTCTATTTGATCCTCTGTTTCTATTTATGCATATAAAATAAACAAAATTAAATATGCTTTCGATTTCGACTAAACCGAACATTGAATCGAATAATTAACAAACCGAACCCAAAATTGGGATTTAATGTTTTAAGACAAGTCTAATTACGTGGCGAGTGACTATTGGATCTGCGACGACGATTCAACGTGGCAATTTATGGATTGCGTGAAATGACGAAACTATCCTTACATCTTCATTCTTTCTTTGGTCATCCATCTGAAATTCCGATCTGATCACTGAGAAACTACGGCGACGACGAAGAAATTGGTGGAGGAAGAAGTAGAATGAGAATATCAGGTTGCGGAATCGTTGTTCTCTCTTTACTTGTGTTCTCTTTCGTTGAACTTAGCGTTCACGCTCGTCCCGTTGTCCTCGTCCTCTCAAATGACGATCTCAATAGCGGCGGCGATGATAACGGAGTCGGAGAGTCCTCTGACTTCGATGAGTTTGGGGAATCCGAACCTAAGTCCGAAGAGGAGCTTGATCCCGGTTCATGGCGATCGATCTTCGAGCCAGATGACTCCACAGTCCAAGCCGCGTCGCCGCAGTACTACTCCGGCCTCAAAAAGATTCTATCTGCAGCGAGTGAGGGAAATTTCAGGTTGATGGAGGAAGCAGTGGACGAGATAGAGGCTGCTTCTTCAGCTGGAGATCCACACGCGCAGTCGATAATGGGCTTCGTTTACGGGATTGGAATGATGCGAGAGAAGAGCAAAAGCAAGTCGTTTCTTCACCATAATTTTGCAGCTGGTGGTGGGAATATGCAGTCGAAGATGGCACTTGCGTTCACGTATTTGCGTCAAGATGTAAGTAAGATGGAATTGGAATTGAGTCCATATCTGATGACACTAATTCTCAAAAGAACACATCTTTAAGCTTTTGAGTTCCTAATATGTAGCTGAGTTTGTAATTGAATTGCCATTCTGTTACAGATGCATGATAAAGCTGTGCAATTATATGCTGAATTAGCAGAGACGGCTGTCAATAGTTTTCTGATCTCAAAGGATTCTCCGGTGGTTGAACCGACTAGAATTCATAGCGGAACTGAAGAAAACAAAGGTGCTCTAAGGAAATCCCGTGGCGAGGAGGATGAAGATTTCCAGATATTGGAATATCAGGCACAGAAAGGGAATGCTAATGCCATGTACAAAATTGGACTGTTCTACTACTTTGGCCTGCGAGGATTAAGGCGTGATCACACCAAGGCATTGCACTGGTTTTTGAAAGCAGTAGATAAAGGAGAGCCGAGGTCAATGGAACTTCTGGGGGAGATATATGCTCGAGGAGCTGGTGTTGAAAGAAATTATACCAAGGCACTTGAATGGCTTACACTTGCTGCAAAAGAAGGTCTCTATTCAGCATTTAATGGAATTGGCTACTTGTATGTCAAAGGCTACGGAGTAGATAAGAAAAATTACACTAAGGTAGGCTCTTCGTTCCTGGCCTCGCAATTCTCACGCTTACTCTTTATAGACTAGTCTAACTTGCCATTGATATATGCCTTCAAATGCAGGCAAGAGAATATTTTGAGAAGGCTGTTGACAATGAAGACCCCAGTGGGCATTATAACCTTGGAGTTTTGTATCTTAAAGGCATCGGAGTCAAAAGGGATGTGAGGCAGGCAACAAAATACTTCTTTGTTGCTGCAAATGCTGGTCAACCAAAGGCTTTCTATCAACTCGCCAAGATGTTCCATACTGGAGTTGGGCTTAAGAAGAACCTGGAAATGGTAACTATTTTTAAATTTTTTAGATTTTCCTGCCTAAACATGGATGCCAGATAAAATGACTTTTAAATTCATAAAGTCTTAAAAGGAAACGAAACTCAAAAAAATTGGCTGCCTGCTCTTCTAAAGTTCAGAACATTATCTCACTGTTTTTTTGGTTATGTGAAATCTCATTACCAAAATATGTTACTTGCACAAGGAATATTGGAAGCTCTATTTCACTGTCGATTCTATTGATAGCTCCTTATCAGTATTATAATGTCTGACCTGAGGTTGTATATTTTAATGGTGAGTATGAATGATGTCTCTGAATGGGGCAATAGGGTACTTGTTTCTGTTGATGGTAGTCTGTTTGTTATTTTCCCACTATCGTACTCCCACTCCTTTTATATTTTTAGGAATTTTCTTTGAGCAGTTTGGACGTTGGAGACATCTGCAGCGTTGTTGAGAGAATTTGTGGTTTAATTGCTTGTTCACTTCCTTCTTTTTTTGGTTGTAGGCGACTTCATTTTATAAGTTAGTAGCAGAAAGGGGACCGTGGAGTTCTCTCTCTAGATGGGCTCTTGAAGCTTACTTAAAAGGTGATGTGGGTAAGGCTTTGATCTTGTACTCAAGAATGGCAGAGATGGGTTATGAAGTAGCACAAAGTAACGCTGCCTGGATCCTCGATAAATACGGGGAAAGAAGCATGTGCATGGGAGTATCTGGATTTTGCACAGACAAAGAGAGACATGAGCGGGCACATTCTTTGTGGTGGCGGGCCTCTGAACAAGGCAATGAACATGCTGCTCTGCTCATTGGAGATGCATATTACTATGGCCGGGTTAGTTTTCCTCGTGTTTGAAATTATATCATGAAACTGATAACGTGAAGACATGTTACAATGGTAGATGTGAATCAGCTAGAAAAAAACTTGACACTTTTCGCCTGATTCTCTCTTGTCACTCATTCTTTGATCTCTAATTAGGGAACCGAGAGAGATTTTGTGCGTGCGGCAGAAGCATACATGCATGCTAAATCACAGTCAAACGCGCAAGCAATGTTCAACCTCGGTTACATGCATGAACATGGACAAGGACTTCCCTTTGATCTCCATTTAGCAAAACGTTACTATGATCAAGCCCTTCAGAGCGATGCAGCCGCCAGATTGCCTGTCACACTTGCTCTCGCTAGCTTATGGCTCCGTAGAAACTATGCTGATACCGTCCTGGTAAAATAAAAAACCGTACCTTTCTCATTCTTATGTTAAATAGTTGGATGCAGTCAGTTTAACAGATCAAAATGACAAGAGGAAATGGTTTTTTTAATGATAGGTGAGAGTTGTGGATTCATTACCAGAAGTGTATCCGAAGGTAGAGACTTGGATAGAGAATGTGGTGTTTGAAGAAGGTAATGCAACGATACTTACACTCTTTGTCTGTCTCATTACAATTCTCTATCTCCGGGAAAGACAACGTAGACAAGTCGTCGTTGTTGCCGATCCAGTGGCAGCTGACGTGGCACAACCCCTCGACGCTGACGTGGCCCAACACCTCGCTGCGTTCCCACGGTAATCAATTGATAATCGTTTTCGTCATTGTAATAGCAGAGAATAATGAATGGCTTTTTGGTGTTTTTTTCTTCAAAATGTACAGTTAAAGTTAAAACTTTACTTCGAACCAAAATGTGTGATACTGTGTATGTAGGGCCTATATCTCTTATAGACATGGCCCATAACGTTATATTAACAAACTTTAAAGCTCAGTGAATCTACAATGCCTATGTTGTCTTTTGTTTTTGAATTTGAACTAGCCGAGAAAAGTTATTTTTACCATGCTTATTTATTAGATAGACTTTAATCGTGTTTGCTTATAGTTTACCACACACAGACACACTTATATAAAGTGGATCTATAAAGTGCATCGTCAAGTACAAACCATACAATAGTTTTGCTTACAACTAAAAAATGAATTTTGCTAAAAAAACTGTAGATTTCCTCTTGAATATATATATATATATATATAAAGTATAACCACAAATACAAACAAATGTTTACACATTTCCAAGATCAATAACCTTTTTAGCAGTTGTGTTGTGTATTTTAAATCATACAGATATAATTAAGTACAGTATAAAAAAAAGGTAATTAGTAGTAGTATTTGTGTGTAGTCAATTTGTTTAGAAGAGTGTGAAGAGTGACAAGCATTCCGTTCCAAGAAGCGAATCTATCGGAGGAAGGGAGACATGGGACCTACTTTTAAGCGTCGACGTCCACAAGATCGGCGTTTTAGTTAGGATATGCGTCCAAAAGGTAAAATTAAATTAATTAATAAAATGTTACTACTTTATACATTGTTCACTATTACTCCATGTGATACGTAATTACGTAATATTGATCCGTACCAAATTTCACCCCTAGTTCTTTTTTTATTTCTCATTTGTAGCCGTTAGTCAAATCGAGTGTTGCAAACCTTTATACGAATATGAAGAGTTGAAAAGTGAGGATGAAATGGCCAGTTACATTATTTTGACTGTGTAAAAGGAAAAAAGATAGTACTACGCACTAACTCTGGTCTGACAGTCTCGAGAAGTGTGGTAACATTTGCCATTATTACATTCCCCAAATTCTCCTTTTTTCAAAAAATATACTAATAAATATTTTTCTTAAAATTCCATAAAAAGCATTGAGAAGTAAGTAACAAGTTGATTCAGTCTCACTCTTGCTCAGCAGAGCTCCATCAATGGCTTCAATCAACCTCTTCCTCTTTGCTCTCCTTCTTCTCCTCTCTCACGCTTCAGGTTTCTTCACCCGTTCATACACGCATAAAAATGCACATTTTAGTATAGATTTATAGATATTTTAGTTGCAGATTTTTCTAATCACATTAGCTTTGTTGTTGTTTCTTTGTGAGCAGCTTCAACGGTAATCTTCTACAACAAATGCAAACACCCAGTGTGGCCAGGTATCCAACCCAGCGCCGGCCAAAACTTACTCGCCGGCGGTGGTTTTAAGCTCTCGGCTAACAAAGCCCACTCTCTTCAACTCCCACCACTCTGGTCCGGCCGTTTCTGGGGTCGCCACGGCTGCACCTTCGACAGATCTGGCCGTGGTCACTGCGCCACCGGCGATTGCGGCGGTTCTCTCTCCTGCAACGGTGCCGGTGGTGAACCTCCGGCCACTCTCGCCGAAATCACTCTTGGCCCTGAGCTAGACTTCTATGACGTCAGCCTCGTGGACGGGTCTGTAAATTTGCTTACAAATTTGTTTCCTTATTTTCACTAATTTGCTTATTTATGTTTGTTTGATTGTAATGACAGTTATAACCTGGCGATGTCGATTATGCCGGTTAAAGGTTCAGGTCAATGTAGCTACGCCGGTTGTGTAAGCGACCTAAACCGGATGTGTCCGGTTGGGTTACAAGTCCGGTCACGTAACGGGAAACATGTAGTAGCCTGTAAAAGTGCTTGCTCTGCCTTCAATTCACCACAATACTGTTGCACCGGCTTGTTCGGTAACCCACAGTCTTGCAAACCAACGGCTTACTCCAAAATCTTCAAAGTCGCTTGCCCTAAAGCTTACTCATACGCTTACGATGACCCAACCAGTATCGCCACTTGTTCCAAGGCTAACTACATCGTCACCTTTTGCCCTCACCATCGCCATTAAATTAACCAGTAACGAAGAAGAAACATTGCTCTGCTAGCAAAAAAATCTTGTTATGTTTCGAAATCTTGAGTTTGTATCTCTACTTTTGTAACACTCCTATTATCAATATCAATGGAACTCAACCAACTTAGTGACGTGTCTTGTGAGTGTAAATCTCCAAATTTTAAATCCTTTTATGTTCAGTGGCTTTATGTATGTACTAACCAAAAACTTCCATGGAAAGTCTAATAGAAAATGTAGTAAAATTGTTTTTAGATAAAGTTGGAACTTGCAACCAGAATGACATTTTGACACTCTCTTATCCAGTTATCCATCCACTAGACAACGCAAGATTAATGCTATTTTTATGTTGGGTCAAACAAATGCTATTATCCATGTTGAAATCAAAATTACCAAAAACAATCCTCGGATGATCGTTTTGGCTGTAGGAGTCGGCTACGGCAAAGAAAATTATTGATAAGCTAATCTCCATCTAACTAGGAATTTATTTATTATTTAATACTTATATAACTAAAGGACCTATATGTAATATCAGTAGATAAGATTTCCCACACAATTGAGTATTTCTTAATATCAAAACCCTAGCAAATTCGTTAGTCTCTTTCGAACTCTCTAGTCACTTTAGTCAATCGCCGATTTCCATAAGATCCGACTCACAGTTGAGGAAAATGGGGGTCACGTCATCGTCATCCAAGGGGATTGCCGACGAGCTCAATATGCGAAGCGACCAATTCCCGTGGGAGAAAATTGTCTACACGAATCTGGAAGACAGGCCGGAGAAACAGAGAATTTACTTTCGAGCGACTATGGAAGCTGCTGTAGACGGGCTGTGGAGGGAGCTCGACGCTTTATTACCGCCGAAAGTGGGAGAGTCATCAACTGATCAACCAAAGGAAGGTGATACAGAGAAGGACGACGAACTACTTGTTGAGCGGTTGTGCGAATTCATGAAAGGAGGTGATTGCAAAGAATCATTTAAGACTTTAGAAGATTGCGTGAAGGAAAGTGGTAGTGTTTTAAAGTGTACTAAACAACTCCCGATGCTAATCAAGTGTGTAGATGCTCACTCTGATTACTATAAGCCCATTATCGCCCTGGGGGAATCTACTGTGGAACAGTTGGCCAAGGATGTCAAAGCCTTCGTCCTCTCGCAAAAGGAACCGGCTGCGAGGGATGATTGAGGGGATTTTGGTAATTTTTCTGGTTTACGGGAACATCAGCATTGGATTTGGGAATAATATTAGCGGCATTGTCATTAGACGTGCTTAGCCTCCACTCCAAAACAATAATAACTCAAGTGATGTTGTGTTGTCGTTTTCTTACTCTTTGTTTTTTGTTGTTGTTTTGTCGTCTTTGTAATTCATTTAAAGGAAAGAGTTTAGAAACTAAAACAAACAGAGATGTTCAAAACAAAAGAAAAAACATGAATGGGTATACACTACAAGACTCTCAACATCTTGCTTCATCTGCAATCCGAGTGTAACCATGCCATGCCGGTCCTCCCAAACTGAAACCATTATTCCTTTGTTACACTCTTTGCAATGTCACGTGCATTTCAAACTCCATGTTATTTGTATCACAAAAAAAAGAAAGAAAAAAAAAAGAGGATGCATTTCTTCATCATCACTATTAACTTTTTTTTTTGTCGACAGGCAATACACGATTATTGCTATCATTTGCCATATATAAAACCATGTACTTTTTTGTTTATAAACAATTAAACACATATAACAAATGTGTATAATCGTTTTCAATATCATTCAAGAAAATTATTGAGATTACTCCTAATTAGTTAGTTATGGATAATGATGTATTTAGCTAATCTCCACCTAACTAGGATCCAATCTTTATATAATTAAAGACTTATTCGTGTATCAATAGATAAGTTATTTCATAGTAAGAGAGCGAGGGAAATACTGATCTAAACCCTAGAAAACTCATTGACCGGCTGAATCGCCGATTTCCATAAGATCCGGTTTCACGGCTGAGAAAAATGGGGATCATCGCATCATCCACGATTCTGAAAACGGGGGATTCGAAGTCCAATTCTGGATACCACCAAATCCCGGCGGAGAGACGGAGAGCTCATCAAGAAGCGCTGGCGAATGCTACTGTTGATCTGATAGCCAGGGAGCTCGATGTCTTATTCCCGCCGAAACTTGGAGATACGTCAACTGATCCACCAAAAGAAATTGACACAACAAAGAGGGATGAGGAAATAGAATTGCGGTTTTGCGAGTTTATGAAAGAGGGTGGTTGCAAGGAATCATTTACAGCTTTGAAAAATTGTGTGGATGAAGCTCAACGTTACACTGAAACGTGTCATAAACTCTGGCCTAGGCTGATCAAGTGTATGCATGCTCACTCTGACTACTATCAGCCGATTCTCGCTCTTAAGAAAGCTTGTGAAGAACAAATTTTGAAGGATATCTTATCCATCGGCTTATCGGAAGGGGTCTTATCGGAAGAGGATGTTGCGACTAAGCAAGCTGATGGATTTTGGTAATTATTCTTGTTTACGTGAATAATCAATATTGGATTTGGGAATAAATTGTTCTTAGGGGCAGAAAAAGTTTCGTTAGTTAATTAGATTCCTAACTTATAAGATTGGTCGAATCTCTTCCCTAGTTGATCTGCCAATTTGTGCTTAATTACGGAATGACTACTCTTTAAAAGTAAAAACAAAGGTTTTATATGATTCGAGAGATAATTTGCTCTAAAGGTCCATTACTTTTTTGTTTGATGCGCATGAATGTTTTAGTGAATAAATCTTGTCTTCTTAGCTATTTCCTCATCCTTTTTCTTTTCCGCCAAGCTTAGCTATTTCCTCACGTAAATCTGATTTGTTGCTTCTGAACCAGAAAAGGTTAGACCTACCTTTACAAGTAGTAATTGTTTCTCGTTCCTAACATTTTAAAGATCAAGCTGAAAAGTTTACATTTTTGTTGTTTCACATTTTGCTTAAGATACACTAACATTTCTTTTCCCATTTCAGTTTGATAACAACAAGGTTCTGTTTGGTTGATTTATGTCGTGTTTCTCATTTGCAGGAGAGATGAAACATGATACAACTTCACGTCTGTTATCAGCCACATAGATGGACCATATGATTATTTGCTTACCTTGTTAATCATGAAGTTTCTGTGCTTGTAAAGGCTACTATTGTCTCTGCATAAATATTGAGTACCCCTTTTTTGTGGTCAAATGCTACAATATTTAATATGCTTGTTGCACAAGCAAACTCAATTTCAGCAGTACATTGAAACAATCAAGAAACTCTTTGGTTTATTGAAGCCGTGATATCACTTTCAATATGAGCAATAGAAGGCATGCAAAGTCAGTTTTGTGTTTGTAAAGGCTCTAATGCAATTTTAAGAAAAAATGACATACAACGTTACGTTTAATAAAAAAAATTTCTAAAAAGATATTGTTCAAGACTTGTATTTTGTTTTTCATTTAGTTTCTAAAAAAGTAGATGTTGGTAACGCAGCCGCGGTGGTTTTTCACCATAGGGAAGAAGTTTTTTTTGGTGAAATTTGTTAAAATCTCTATTTGAACAAGAAATTGGGAATAATGTGATTAAAATGAAGTTAATTGATAAAAGTATAAGTATAAGACTGTAATAATCAACTCTAAATCACGTGAAGTACAAAATTTAAACCAGTCCATAACAAGCTAGGGGTTTGAATGTGAAATACAGCTAAAGTTTGAGATTCAGTTGTAATTTTTAGAGGCCTCTTGAGTCTTGAGGGTCAAGTACAAGAAGAAAAAAAACACACCGATAATAAAAAAAAGACCCCACTACTACTAGTAAAACAATCACGCCGCGTAAAAGGAGCGTGTACCGGTCGCGTTGGCCGCGTCTGATTGAGACACATTTCTTATTCACTCAGTCACGTTAGCCCCTCGGACTTTTCTTTTCTCTTAAATGCATTATATTAACAAAATACTAAAATAAACCAATGGTATTAACAAAATAGTAATACTTGTAATACAATAGTCTCTACGATATATTATCAAATCATGGTTTTAAGTCTGAATCAACTAATGGATTAAATAAAGACTTCTATGTTTTAGGATTGTTATTTAGTCTTAAACAAATGCAACTTTCATGAAGGCACGTGACATTATCTCGCCTTGCCGTCTTCGTTAAGCCATGTAACACGTGGAAAGATTGACTGATAGTAACATTATATCTTAAAATTTTATTATTGAGACATAAGATCACCATAAAAATATCTATCACATTTTTTGATCTCTTATTCGTTGTGAATATTAATAGGTTGAGATACTTAAAACTACTGAGCAAAAGTATTATTTTATTTTAATAAGTAGTAGCACTTATTAAAAGAGAATACCATGTTTGAGAGTGTATATAACTATATACCATTACTTCTCTTTAATTGGAAAATAATTAAATAATTGATCAAAACATTCAGATTTGAACCAAATACAGTATTTCCAAACCAGATACGTATTAGAAATGTATTAATCCAAATAATCACGAGTATTAATACAAGAATCCAGATATCAATTCTACTATGAAGGGAAATTAAATACACAAGATTCGATTCCCAACTGGTAACTAGTGGCATCTAGCGAAAAGGTCTATAAAAAGGTCAAACTCATCAGCCTCCAATTGCTCTTATCTCTCTCTCCAACTTTACCTTAAACAAAAAAAAAAATGGCAAGCGCGAATCCAGAAACCGCCAAACCCACGCCTGCATCGGTGGACATGGCTAATCCAGAGGAGCTTAAGAAAGTTTTCGACCAGTTTGACTCCAACGGTGACGGCAAGATCTCAGTCCTCGAACTCGGCGGTGTGTTTAAGGCTATGGGGACTTCCTACACGGAGACGGAACTCAACCGCGTTCTGGAAGAAGTCGATACAGATCGCGACGGTTACATCAACCTCGACGAGTTCTCAACTCTCTGTCGCTCGTCTTCCTCCGCCGCAGAGATCCGTGACGCTTTCGATCTATACGATCAGGACAAAAACGGACTGATCTCCGCCGCTGAGCTTCACCAGGTTCTTAACCGCCTCGGGATGTCTTGCTCTGTTGAAGATTGTACTCGTATGATCGGACCTGTGGATGCTGACGGCGATGGGAATGTCAATTTCGAAGAGTTTCAGAAGATGATGACGTCGTCTTCTCTCCTCAACAGCAATGGATCCGCCGCTCCTTCGACCTAGGGAGTTTTCCAGATTCCAGATCTGGATTTGGGAATAATAACTATGGATTTTAGGTACTCTTTTCTCTAAATGTGATCAAATCATCATCATCAGTCTAACTTCAATCGGATCTCTTTTCATTTATACATGGTTGAGATTTAGATCTGAATATGAATATATATCGTTGCTCTCTTTGTTCAATCAAATTTGGTTTCTAATTTATTTACTCTGCATGAAAAATTAATCGTCACCCAAATTAGAATCATGTTTGTGCTTTCGATCTCCAATCTTTTTTGCTTAACAAACCAAAATGGTCAATGGAGACGTTCCCGGATTTAAATGGTCCCCCAAATTTTAACTTTCAAATTTTGAATTTGAGATTTTCGTGATGAACCAACGCTAATAAATTTAGCCGAGGATCTGGTTTCAATGAATTAATATACTCTGATGCTCCTACTACGAAGCAACGTAATGAATGCTGAATTAAAGGGCTGGATTGACGCGTAAATTGATTGATATAATCGTTTCCTTCTCCAATTAAGCTATTTTTGGATGTAGAAACGAAAGTGGTATAAGTATTTAAAGAAACAAATGTGATTAAATAAGGCAACTAGTACTCAAGAAAAAGAGAACCCAGTTTGCAAAAATTGAGATGGGATCCAATGGTGTACATTAAAGAAAGACGTCGACGTCTACGAGTCGTATTCCACTCTTCCTCTTTGGAGTAAAGGAATCGGTCAAAGGCTTCACGAAAATAACTTTGACTTGTTTGTGAAAAATCCGGCCTGTTAAAGCCCATCTTAGGCCCAAGTAGCCATCTTTTCATTCTATTTGTTACAACTCTTTACACAAGTCAAACCTAATGTGAGTCAGTGAGTGAGTTTGGTAAAATGTCAAAAACGTAGAGAGACTACAGCGAAACATGCATGATTTGAGATCCCTAGACAATCAAAACATCACAACTTCATCCTTTTAAAGCTATATAGTAACATAACAACGAGTTAAGATAAATAAGAGGCATACACTATTTGAATTAACGACGTCGTTGACAAAAAAAGAAAAACTGTATACAACAAATATCTTGGATTGTGTTATGTACAATCTCTGTCACGCCTCTTTATCCTTGTCCTGCTCTTTATCTATACTTTTTCTCAAAAATGATTTCGTCCTCATTTAACTCTTCCAAGAAAAAGTAGAAAATAACAATACTTATAATTATATATCTTGTCGCAATCATATTACATTAATATGTATAATTATCCATGTTTTCAATAAATAGAGCCATATATACTTAGTGGAAAGTCTTTCTTGAGAGGTTCTTACATAAAAACAAACCTTTTCTCCTTCGGTTTCCATCATCGATCGATTCTTGTCATCGATTTTCTTCCTTTCTTAAATTTACTTACATAAAACCCTAATCAAACCGGAACAGTATATAACATGGCGGAGGAATCGTATGACGAAGAGTGCGACTACCTATTCAAGGCGGTGCTGATAGGAGACTCCGCTGTCGGAAAATCAAACCTCTTGTCGAGGTTCTCGAGGGATGAGTTTCGGTTAGACTCTAAACCGACCATCGGTGTAGACTTTGCTTACCGGAATGTTCGCGTGGGTGATAAGACTATAAAGGCTCAGATATGGGACACCGCCGGCCAAGAAAGGTAACAGAATTCAACCTCGGATATAAAACTATTTAACGGACTTGATGATGAAGATATATGATCAAAATTTCTGTATTTAACGTAAGACTAATATTGTTGCACAAAACGTAAGACTAGTATAAATGAAATTCTTGAGGTCACTTCCATTAATTCTTTTTTCATTTGACCATGAACAAAAAGATCCTTTAGATCATAAGATTGTTTTGTATAATTTTCTAACGTAGACGAGACTAACCAAGACGTCAAACTTGTTAAATTTTCGATATTTCTTTTTGTATGTAAATGTTAAATGGTAAATGTGTTAGATAAACAACAGAAATAAATAATGAAATATAGGATTGGGATGATGATTAGGAAACTAGAGCAATAATGAAAATCTTGACAAGCAATCGATGTCACGCGGACCTAATCTTAGTTTTTTTTTTTTTTTTGCTATAAACCTAACCTAATCTTAGTTAAATGTCGCGACCTCTTCTTCTTTTTGTTTTTCTTATTAAAATTATATTTATTTCTACAAATTTTATCTTACATTTAGAATTGATAAATTTTTGAATAGTTTATGTGTTTTTACTTATCTTAAATACTTTATTTTTTTGTATGGGAGGAAATAAGATTTAGAGCAATAACGAGTTCGTATTACCGTGGAGCCTTAGGAGCTTTACTAATCTACGACATCACAAGACGAATCACTTTCAAAAACATTGAAAAATGGTTGTCCGAGCTCAGAGGCTTCTCCAGTCCCGAGACCGTCGTTGTTCTCGTCGGTAACAAATCCGATCTCGGGCAGTCTAGAGAAGTTGAAGAAGAAGAGGGTAAGACTCTAGCAGAATCAGAGGGTCTCTATTTTCTCGAAACATCGGCTTTAGAGAACCAAAATGTTGAGGAAGCCTTTCTAAGCATGATCGGGCGAATACATGAGCTTTTGACTCAGAAGATCGCTGTAGACAATAGACTCAACGGTGACGGTAACAACGAAAGTAACGGTGCGGTCATTCCCGCCGGTAAAGAGATTGTGAATATTCATGAAGTTACCGCCACTCGACCGTTGAGTACTTCTTTGTCCAATTGTTGCTACAAGTAAATAAATTGATTATTACTTTATTATTGTTTTCTAATCTTCGATGGTGTAATTTTAGAATTGTTGAAATGTTGGCTTGGCCTGGATTTGTCTTATATTATGTTCTCGTATATAGTTAAATCCTATATAATGACAAATCGTAACTATATCCAAGTTTTGGTTTGGATTATTGAATTTGTAATGAACCAAAGACAAATGAATTATTAAACCGGAAAACAAAAACCGGACTCGGCTGAGTTGGTTGTGGAGTCTCGTTCGGCGTTTGCTAAATAAACTACGTCACCGACACGTCAGATTGATTCATCTTCGTCTTCGTTTTTCTCTGATGCGAGTGCAATTCAGAAACCACTTTGGGTGATAAACGGTGACGTATGGGTCTTTAGTCCCGTGAAGCAAAATGGCGAATTGGATCTCGTCGAAGCTCAAAGCAGCCGAAACGATTCTTCAACAGGTGCGATATCGAATCTCATTTTTGTTTGCACAGAAAACGGATGAATATTACTAGATTTGGAATTCACTGGGTTCTAGTTTAATTATGATCCTCATGTTATTGATGATTTGCTTTGATTCCTCTGTTGATCACCTGATTGATGTCCTAGTTTCCCGGAAAACGGTCCAGTGGAACGATTTTGTTTTGAAATTGATGCGATTCAGGCTTGGACTAATCTAAATCGTCTGGCAATACTATTGTAACACTATCTGGTCATTGCATTGCACCGATTTCTGCTTATGCTATTTCAGAGTCTTGCGTTCTTGTCGAATTTGTACTTGGTACCACAAAATTTGTGCTAATTGGAGATTATGTAAACTGTGCTTTGCAGCTTGATCAGCAGGCAGCAGAGTCTCTTCGAAAAGATGAGAAGTCTGAGACTTATGATGAGGTGTTTGAGACTTCTCCAAAATCTGGAAGTAGCCCTGTTTCGTTGAAAGATCAGTTGAGGAAGAAGACACATGAAGGTAGTGATTCTGGCGGTGGATCTCAGAGAAACTCAACAGAGCAAAAGCCTAGTTACTTAAGTAGCACCAAAAAATTACGCAAACAAGATCAATCACAAGAAAGGACAAGTTCACCGTCACAAAGTTTGACACAAGATAAAACTAAACTCACTGACAGTGACTGGACAGAACTTCTGAGTACTCCAAATCAGGGTAACAGCACTTCTAAACCTCGTACCCCCGGAGGAACATCTGTGAATCGGGGATTGAAGAAGGATGGAAAAAGACATGGGAATTTGGGGAAAAATCATTTGGTATCTGATGGAAAGAAGAGTAGTAGTGGTAATGTGGTTGATTCCAGAGGGAGGCTTCAAAAAAAGACGAATAAGGAACCAAGCGACAAGGAAGTGTCTAGCCCTTCTGATGCTGACATGGAAAGTAGGAATGCTCCTCGGGATATATTTGTGAACTCAACTCATAAAGAGAGTGAGAAGGATGTCAGTGGTAAGCTACCTCCCCTGGATGACTCCAGAAAATCGGCCAATGAGACTCTCCCTAGGGTAACATTACCAAGTGTAGGAAAAAGGGATGGTCGTGAGTCCAGAAAAAGTTCTGTATGGGGAAAGCAGGTGAGGGAAGAAGTCTCACAGAGCAATGTTTCTGATGGTCTAAAGAGGAAAGATTCTTCCTTGTCAAGTGATGAATCTGAATCCGATTATGAGTCTGATTCGAGCACTGACTCTGAGAGGGAGCGTCAGAGGGAAGAACGTAGGAGGAGGAGAGAGAGAATTTTTGCTGAAAAAGTTGCAACAAAAGCTGTAGCAGTCATCAAAGAGCGAGAGAATATGGTAGCAAGACTTGAGGGTGAAAAATTGAGTTTAGAGAAAATAGTCGAAGAACGAGCGAAACAACAAGCACAAGAGGTAGCAATTTTTCCAAGCTGAGAGAAGCTGCTGCAAACACCTATTATATGATTTTATATTTGTATTACTCAAGCTAGATGAACTATATATATTCTGAGCTTGTCCTCTTTCGTTTAGGCTGCGGAGTTGCAAACAAACATGATGGAAACATTGGAAGCTGCTGACCTTGAAAAGCAGAAGCATAACAATACAAGAATGGAAGTTCTCACACGCTTGGCTGGATTAGAGGTATTAACCTGTGTAATTTGTTTGCCGAAAGTTCAAATTTCTCTTAGTGTTACCTTATAGCAAGATGATGATATGATTTTATGATGTAATCATAAAAATTGAATGTTTTAGGCTGCAAACGCTGAACTTACAAGATCGCTTGCCGCTGGGCAGAAGAAACTTGAGACCCAGGTATAAAGATTACATTGGTCTTACTGAAAGATGTAGATCTTCTGAGGCTAAGGATGTTTTAACCAATACCTAATTAATGTTGTTGAGTCAAGGTTTTAGAACCAACTTCTATATCTGCATTTGCGTACTAATCTCTTTCCTTTCTGATATGACCAGATAGATCAGGTAGCAGTACTCCGACAACAAGTTGAGCTTAAAGAGTCTACTCTGGAAGGTATATGTTCCTTCTTTTAGAAATTATACAGTTACTGATATGTATCAAAGACACCTCTCTTATAGAAAGTTTCTTCTACTTCAAATAACTTGTTTTTTACCGCTCATAGTCATTTGAGGATAATCACTTCTCTATTTTGCTGAAGAAGTTGTCTTTATCATGTAGAACTGAAGCGAGATACTTTTAATATTGGGGGAAGTGGAACAACTTTAAAACAGGTGACTTGGGTCTTCTTTTCTTTTTGTTTCTTTTTCTTCAATCTCAACGTGGAAATCTTTGTCTATTTGGTCTGAGAATCATGCTGCCTATATGTGGGCTGTGCAGTTAGATACTTCTAGAGGAGACATATTCGAACACCAAATGCTTGAAGCAGAGATTTCTTTGCTGACTGATAAAATTGGGCGGTTACAAGATAAGGTTAGCTAACTCAGTTGTCTGGTTGACTTATGCTTTTTTCTTTTCTTCAAGATTATATTTAAAGCACATTCCTTTGTTTTTGGCTTGATCCCTTGCTAAAATTCCAGGCAACTAAACTTGAAGCAGACATAGAATTGATGAGAAAGGAACTCGAAGAACCAACTGAAGTGGAAATTGAACTGAAACGAAGACTTAACCAGCTAACTGACCATCTTATTCAAAAACAATCCCAGGTATATGAACACTTAAGATACAGACATTTAGAGAAAAAATTGTTAGAATAAATTCCAAATTTTCTTGCCAAATTTACCAGGTGGAAGCGCTTTCCTCAGAGAAAGCAACCATATCGTTTAGAATCGAGGTACGTTGATGGATCCCACCAACCTGCTCCCAAAACAAAAATATGTTCTTCACATACACAACCCAATTTTGATTCTTTGCCAGGCCGTATCAAGGCTTATAGAAGAAAACAAAGGTATGTCTGCTACTGAAGCCTCGTCCCAAGATCTTGAAGCAGGAGATTGGGAACTCTCGGGATCAAAGTTTAAACCAGCTTTCCAAGAAAAAATCCGGTCAGGCAAGAAACATTTGGGATGGCTAGTGATGCAACTAAACGCTATATTCGTCTCGGGAACTGTCTTCTTGCGTAGAAACCCGACTGCCAAAATCTGGGCTGTGGTCTATCTGGTTTGCCTTCATCTATGGGTATTATACATCCTACTCTCTCACTCCGATGCTTCTTCTTCAGGTGAACTTAGATCAGGTGCAGTGATTTCCTTAGAGAACTTCAGTAACAGTTCACTTCAATAGCTTATCCTTAGAGAACTTTTCTTTTGAATCATATGTAATTTTCCTTCCAACATTTTTTGAAGCTTGGTTTGAATCTTATTGTATTCTCAATCAATGTATCAATTAACTTTCACAAGTATTCAAAGACAAACGAGAATCTATACAAAAAGAGAATTTGCTCATGAAGGAAGAACTAGGAGATGGGTTTGCAAAAACACAGTGACCATCTACTCTCTTTCTCTCGCTCCCTCAGTCAATACTTCTCTGGCTCTTCTTCGAGTTTCGTCTATCCCTTGCACGTAAAAAGAATTCAGAAGTTATCATAATAAAAACTTTGTGCGATCTACAAAGAGATTGAAGCCAAATAAATGATGAATTCATTCATACACAGGAGGCTCACCAGGCTGTAGTCTCTTGAGGAAGATTACGGCTGTACAATGGAAACTCAAAAAGAAAGACTGTTTTGCACCATTTTGGCAAGTACCCATACACTCCTCGTGGTAACAGAATCAGAGGACTGTAAACCAATATCAAATTGAAAGAGGGAAACACTTAGCATTAATAACACATCTCGAGGGCCAATAACGGTGTTCAAAGAGCTTTGTATCATACCTAGTTGTCTTCTTGTAGTGTCGATAAGCTCCCAAGTTACCATATTTTTTGTCCGCAGATTCCTGCATTTGTACAAAACAAGAATGTTGTTTCTGCTGTATGATTTAGAATGTGCCAGAGTGGTTAGAGAGAGGATAGATAGAGAGAACCTCGAGTAATGGTATGCCGCTAACGAAGAAAAGTAGCAAAGTGAGAAAGAGTGGTCCAATTATGACAAGGTACTCGACACCTTTAAGCACAGGCAATGAAGCCACATATATGCCCCACCAGAGTAACATCTGAATTCATAATCACGCCCATCAATTTTTTTTTTGGAGCTTCTTTTAATTCATACAAAACCAAACTGTAAATCGATAAGATACTAACCTCACCAAAGTAGTTTGGATGGCGTGAATACTTCCATACACCAACATCGCACCATTTTCCTTTGTTTTCTGGACACTTCTTGAATGAAAGCTTTTGTTGATCAGCTGTAGCTTCAATCAAGAACCCTGCAACCCACATTGTCCAACCTATAACATCTGCAGGCTGAAACAATCTTCCACCGTTGCTTGCATTAACAAAGGTAACAGGTAAACTAACAGTCCAAACCCACACGGCCTGGTAGGGAAAAAAAGAACAAAAACCCACATGGTGTTAGATCACAAGAATCCAGCTTAGCTGAGCTACTTTCTTCTCTGTCTTCTAAAGATGAAAAACCAAAGTTTGTAGTAGCTAACCTGAAAAATCCAAAAGACAACTAGTTTCCCGATATTTTCACGCATTTCATCAAAGCGTCGATCTTCACCCCATTGCAAGATCCTACTCAAAGTTAGGACGAAATAGATACATCAGACATGACTATAAAACTTCATTAACTAGTATGTATTTCTCTCACACAATATTTGCAAATGCATAACGATTTTAGGCGGTGTTCATGGTGCAAACCTCATAAGGAGGAACAGTCCGAGACGAAGTCCCCATACGACTACTAGCATAGTCAAGACAATCTGGGAGATTAAAGAGCTGAGTCAATTATACAGAATCACGCAGAAAAACACGTTGGGAGCAGGATATAACTCAAGAAAGATACCCTCAGAGAGAAAGAGAGGTGGGGATCTATTAACCTGACGATAATGCCATGTCCCTTTGAGAACCAGAGTCAATACAGCAAGTATCACGAAATTAGTACTTCCTGACAATATTTTTGAGTCATATGTTAGCAAAAACGAAGGAAATGGAAAGTCTATACATTTGTGATCGTAATCGAAAGAAGAATTACGAAACACGAAACACATTAGCATTTCCAATTAGATCAACGTACCGGCAAAGTCCGTAACTTGATCAAATTTGAATAGAGCTGTGATTACGAAGAATATGAATTGATAACCCACCTACAGAGAAAAACGCTAAATTAGAAAAGACTCAACTCGTGATTTCTCGAGAAACACAAAAGAAACGATTTCACCAAAAAGACTCACGGTGACAATGGCGGTGATGGCTAGGTAATGGGAATCGATTACTTTTACCATTCTTCCGACCAATCTAATTCTCTCTACAGCAACCAACAATTCGCTTCCGCCGGAAAAAAACAACAATGTGTTGATTGACAAGAATCGATTCCTAATCCCTTTGTTCCTTTCCTCGTTCACAGAGAAATCCAGCGAATAAAAGATGTCTTCGCAATTTTGGCTAAGACTTCATCAAAGTCGTGTAGATACGTATAACCACAGAAATACATTACGTCACTCTTATATCAATGTAAACATAAAAACATCAAACCGAAGATTTTGATCCGGTTTCGCTCGGTTTAATCACATTCGACCCCAAAAGACAAGTTTAAAACTTTACACTATTTATTTTCCACTCATAATCTCTTATACAACCAATTTGAAGGATTTGGCAATGAAAACACAAGTCAAGCAGGTGCAATTGAGACTCTATCAATCTCAACTATATACTCCAACGAAGCATTGGGAGGAATCTGCAAACCCGATTCCAATTCAGCACCGTCTTCTCCAAATCCTAACAATGGTGGAACGATCACTCTGCGTTTACCTCCAGCCTTCATGGACCTTAGAACATAATCTATGCCTTCACATAATCCTTTGCTATATAGTTTTGAACCCACCACAAGTGCCAATGGCTTCTTCTTGTCTTTGCTTCCAAATGTGTCCACGAATACTTGCCCGGTTCCTTGCACTTGCCCCTTTAGATCAATCACTACCAAGTCTCCTGCCCGTGGTGTCGCTCCTCCTCCAACCCGTAGATCATAGTACCTGCACGGTCCGATTCCATACATCAGTTACTGATGCAAGAGCTGTCTGTTTTGTTATGAATGTCTGAAATTAATTGTTCAGGACATACGGAAAAGGAGACACATTGCTACATCAACAGCACAAGAAGTTAATACACAAAACAAAAGGGCTACAAAGAACCAATAATGATTCAAGAGCTGTCTGTAGACAAGGAAAGGAGACGCATTGCTACATCAATAGCAGACTCATATCTGAGTTTTCATTCAGCACAAGAGTTTTGTTTATATAGCTTTTAAGCAGGTAATTAAACTCTGTATCCATGAATGAAATCATTCAACATTTGTGCTCTAATTAATGGGCAAAAATGTACCTTATGCCGTTGGGCAACACAATCTCTTTCTCTTCTTCTACATCTCTGCAAAAGAAACAACTTGAGATAACTTATGATTATAGAATCCAAAAACCGGTAATGAAAGTTGTTTAAGAATGCAAAATTTTACAGAGATATGTGAATTATTAAAACCTGGTGTTAGCTACTTCCTGAGAAACCTCAATCCGAGTCTTGATCTGCTCGGAGACTACACCGAAAGCCAGAAAGCCCGCCCAGGCAAGACCCGCGCCGATTCCAAACCGCCGGGTCAGGGAAGAAGCGACCCAATCCGTCGTCTCAACGTTCTTCTTCCTCTTCTGTTGCGATGCCAGCGGTTGAGGTGGAGGTGGAGGAGGAGAAGACTCAGGCTCCGGCGGATTGGAAGAAGAGGCGTAACAGTGGTGGTGGTACGGTGCCGTTTTGGTGAATGGCTTCGAAAGTGAGAGGAAAGGAGTCGTAGCAGTGAATAGATTGGCCATTTTCATTCAGCTCTAATTATTGTTGGTACCTTTTTAAAGGCTATCTTGTTCGTGTGATGATCATGTTTCAGAAATTAACAGAAATAAATTTAAATTCGCGCCAAGAATAACAGTGAATTAGTATTTAAGTAAATGAACAATTTACATTGAATTTCGTATATACGAGAAATGAGAGTTCAATTCTCAATGATTTTTACCATTGACAAATTAATTTTTTTTTTTCCTTTTTTTTTTTGTTTTGCATTCATCTTTTTTTACAATTTGTAAACAAAACATGGGGAAGACACATGAACAAGCACGCCACAGAACATAATATGTAAAGAATGATCCCACCATCAGCAACATCATCATCATTTAGTCATCTTCTTCAAGCATGATGTTATTGTTCCTGCTCATCAGTGGTCAATGCAGAAGAACTGGGAACTGCTGCTCTCTGGATGTTTGGACCCATCACAGGTTTCTGTAGCTGCTTTAGAGAAGCCATGATCTCTGCAAAACTTGGTCTTAACCTTGGATCCCTACCAAAACCAGATAAATAAACCCATTACAGACTAACAGAGCTTTAGATTCATCATATAACAGCTACGTGACCTTTCACACTTACGTCTGCCAACATTTCCTGATGATATCTGCAATTTCAGGATCGACAAAATCAGGGATATCAAGTCGTCGATGTTGAAACCCAACCGCGCCAACCACTTGCATTGGGTTCATTTTCCCCCATGGCTGCTGTAACGTAAAGAGTTCCCAGAGAATGACTCCATAGCTGTACACATCACACCTGTTTTCCACATTATATACCTCGTTCTTAAAAGGGGACATTACATGGGAAAAGATAATCAGCTTAGAAGCATGTTGCTTTGAGCAAAGAGCTTAAAGAAAAACCTTACTTTTCATCCGCGGGTTCATTTCTAAGCACTTCTGGAGCCATCCATTCGGCCTAAAATGAGCAAACACAAAATCAAGCCTCCTAGCTTAGATCAAATAACTGGAAAGTAAGACATGAGGTAGTTTCTGATGATAATTGACTGTGGAATTATGATGAAACCACAAGAGAAAAGTAAATCTGTTCATCGGTTTGATGAACTGAGAATCTACTGGATTGTTTTAGTTGACATTAACTGTCCTCGTGGAGAACAGTGAATTTCTTCTACCAGCTTACCGTGCCTGCTGTTGACTTTGAAGAGAGGTATGTGCTTACTTTCATTCTAGACAACCCAAAATCGCACACCTGAGAAATATGTAAAGCCATTAGAGATATCATAGGAGAGAAAATGAAATCGGAGTGGAAGAATTACTGACCTTGACAACCCAGTTTTTGTCAACTAGTAGGTTTGGAGATTTAAGATCACGATGGACAATTACCGGATTACAGCTGTGTAAATAATTCATTCCACGAGCCTACAAAGATTGAAATTTTTTCTGTAAGAAACAATCAAGAAGATACAAATAGATAGTAGAGGTAAAAAAGGATTGGAAGAGAAATGAGTAATAATACAGCATCAAGAGCCATCCTCAGACGCTTTCGCTCATCTAATTGGTTATTAGGCCTGTGGATTAACCTATACAAGCTACCTCTGCACAAGCAAAAAAAATTTTGGTTAATAAACACAAAAGAGACTGAACTCTGCTCACTAATGGATGGAACAGGGGTAGTTATCATCAGAGATAAATCATATAGCGTGAAAACAATTAAAATCATGAAAAGGATCATAGCATACCTAGGAAGAAATTCTGTAACAATTGAGAGATTTGGTGGGCGGGTTACAGCTCCCATGAAGAGAACAATGTTAGGGTGCCTGAGCCTTCTCATCATCCGGACCTTGCATCGAATTGAAGTGAAATGTTACGAATCCGTCACTTAGCGTTTAATGTTTGAAACTTGAAAGGGTACAAGAATTTCCAGAGAAGGAAACGCTGATACCTCACTTCTGAATTCCTCCAGTGCCTCTCCAGTAATATCTTGGTCAATGAACTTCTTGACAGCCACTGCCTACCAAATCAAGAGTTTCATTGATATTGAAAATGAAAATAATAAGCAAATTTACCATGTTTCTCTCGTCGCCAGCCAATTAGTAAGCTACAATGATACTGTATTAAGCTAAAGAAATATGAGATACTTACAGTTCCATGCCAATCCCCCCTATAAACCTCTCCGTATGATCCTGCATCAAATGAGATCAATCTAAATACTTTTTGTCGTAGCATTAGTTACACTAAAGCATATAGTACAGCATATACCCAGTCCGATACGCTCAGCCACAGTAACTTCCTCCCACAAAATCTCGCATTCAGCCACATCATCATTTGCAGGATCAGATTTTGAACTTTCATTGCCAGTAGATCTGTCGGATATTCGTTCTCCTCCTGAATCTACCCCGTGAAGCCCACCAGAACCAGCATCCCCGTTGCTAAGTGAATCTAGTTCAAGCTGCCTGCTCACTGCTGCAGCTGTCGCCACAACTGCAGCAGCAGCTGCGGCAGAAAGTTCTAAAGTGGAGGAATCCGAGTTTGCTGACTTGGCGGCAGCAACAACCATGGAAGATGCAACTACAGCCGCTGCAGCTACGGCAACAGGAACATTTCTGGGATAGTCAGTAGATGTTTCAGAATGTGACGAATCAGACTGACCATCAATATTGCAATGATGAGACAATTGACCGAGTCCAGGTCCTGAATGTTCACGCAGGTCATGGGTATTTGCTTTAGATTGCGGTCTTGGAAGAGGAGGCAAAAACCTCACAGGGACAAGATTGCTCTGGTTTCTTCCTTGCTGGATTGTTCCAAAATCTTTCCCTTTCTCATCATTGGATTCAGCCACAGATTTGATTTCACCTGTTGCCTCTATTGACTCTGAATAGACTTCCGAAAATAAATTTCGAGGAGCTACAACTCCACTTTCAAGCAACACATCATGAAGCTTCTGAGCTAATTGTGGATTCTCTTTGGCAGCATCGATCATATATTGTGAAACATCTTTGACTTTCATCCTGCGTCCAGCTGGAGAGCTAACACCTTCAGTCCAAGAAGGTGATCTGGCATGAGTGAAAGAATGAGTAGGCTTGCTGGAAAGATGTTGAACAGGAGCCTTTTGACTTCCCACAACTTCCCTGAAAATATTTGGACGAATCATGAGATCCCCTCCACCTGCAGATTGGTTTTCCTCCCGAGAACCCTTGGTCTTAGAGCGATGTTCAGCTGACCAAGTTTCTGTGTGTTCTTCAATTGAGCTCTCGACCCCACTGCTGGAAGAAGCTACACGAGATGAATCAACATCTCTGGGACTGGCAGAATAGACAGAATCATCATAGTCCATTTGTAGTCCAGCTGCATCAGCGGGGATAAGCGTGCCTGGATCTCCCATAAGATCAACAATGTACTCCCTGAAATTTACATTTGAATTCGTTAGGGAAAATACTTTGCAACTGCAGACTGCAATAACAGTAGAAAGAACCACAATAGAAGTATGAAACTTGCTTAATCCTGCTTTCAATTCTAAACAGTAGTGTTGCTTAGACCAAAGAAAGTTACACTTTTGTCAAACCTCAGTATTAGCTTTAACCTTTTCAGAGACGTGAGTTAGATATAACTCACACCCCAAGTCCATCTGCACATATTTTCACCAAATATATATACACACACACATTTGGTGACCATATATATATACATATTTTTCTCTACAAATGATAGAGAAATTGTTGAAATTACATAACAATTGATTTTCAATTTGAAAGTCACCTGCCATCATCAGTCTTAATGGAGTTCATTGCCACATCATCGGAACCGGTATATTGCTGTCCTTTGACTATTCGACAAGGAACACCGACACTATCACACAAAACCTACAAAGTCTCATAAGAAAGAAAAGATAAAACACCACACCGCGTTTTAGAGGTGCAATACGCTTTGTATGTAATAAAGATAGTCAGACAAACAAGGGCATTTTGCACAAAATTTCAAACATGCACCAAGCTAGCAAGAAGCCTTAACAGTCATGAGATTATAAAAAAATGCTCCTCTTATGCTAATTTTCACACAAAGCAAAAGTAAAAGAAGGCAGGGTACATACTTTGAATAACAAGGCACGATGACGAGCCAATCCAATAGTTAGAGAACCCAGGGGCAAAACCATGCTATGGAAAGTTGCTTTCAAGCTGTAGCTCAGACTCCACCAAGCTCTTAACGTGCTATCTGGATCCACAACTGGTCCACCCATGTAATCTGCAACCAAAACTGCCAGTTTCCTTACCAATTCGCTGTTCACAAACCCTGACGAAGACGCTGACTTTGATTTTGCTGCAATATCAAGAGCCATTTGTTCAAGTCTCAACAGATTCGAATCTTGGCTTCTGTTCACTAGAACAGCATCCCAAGTTACACCATCTGACATAAGTGTCCCCTGAAGATCAACTAAGGGAGGTATTCTTTCTAAGGAAGATTCATTCATTACTCCACACAGATCATAGAAACCATCCACAATCATGTCATCATAGCCAAGACAGTTATAATTCTGCAGAATTTCAGATGATATAAAATTGGTTAGAAGAGACAGAAAAAAGAGTCATTAGTCACGAAATATCTCTAGGTGGATTCTCGTATTAACACACATTACTAGAATTCTATGGTCAATACTCAACTTAATACTTCTTCTTTCAAGTACAGTCTATTATTGCTTCTTTCAAGTGACATCGGAATTGTTTCTATTTCTAGCAATGAGTCAAAAACTCACCCAATATCTATATGCCATGAGTTCAGCAGGAGAATTCTCGGGAGCAGAAGGACGAGAACCTAAACTGAACTGCTTCATAGCCTCAATCTGAGCAGCTTCAGGATCCTCCCTAGCACTTAGCTCCAGAGCCAACTGTATCTGATATTCTTCCTCAACTTCTGGATCCTTGGAATTACCACTAGAACCCAAACCCTGCATCCTCCCAGATTCCGACCCAACGGGACCACCATGTTCCATGGTAGTTTCATCCTCTTTGCTATTGGCATTGGAAGAAGAAGGGCTTTTTCTGTGAGCAACAGAGCTTAACCAATTTGATAAACCCGAAAAGGGTTTGAATTCAGTGTTATCTTGAGACCTCAATGAATCTGAAGGAGATGGTTCTGCATCACTAGACTTATTGCTTCTGTTTGAGACTGACCCTTCACCATCGTCTCGTTGATTGGGCGTGATACGCAGCTTTTTAAGAAATTTCTTCATGTTCATCTTCATACTCCAAATGTTAGAGCAGCGAACATCGACCCGAAAACTTGTCCATCCCTCGAATCCACAGAAAACAAGAACTTTGTGCTAAAACCCTAATTCCTTGCTACCACGACCCGGAGATCTGGAACTCCGTCCAGATCAACGGCTCGTCAAAACCTAATAACTGCAGCAAAAGATTATCGAGAAGACCTTAATCGGAATCAAAATCAAGCAGCAAGACTCTCAATGGAGATCAGATTTCGATTTCAAGAAAAATACTATTTTTCTCCGGATTTCAAAAGCTGATCAAAAACCCAATAAAAGAAAGAGATGAAAGTTTCGAGCTTTTTCACAGCAGCAAGTAAACGAAACCTCTTCCTTCTTTTGACTCTCTCTTTCTCTCTCCTCAATTGAGAAAGTCCACAAAGACGCCACTTTTCTCTCTCTCTTAAAGTCCGACAAAAATCAACTAAAAAAACTTACGTAAAAACAGAGGAGTTGTTGGATTATACTAGATGAAGGAAGAGTGGATTTTTGAGCTGGAGAGACTTGAATTTTCTTTTGCTTTTTTTTGCTACTGTGTGACATGCAACAAAATTAAATAAACATGGAAACGCAATGAATTTGAAGATTTGAAAAGAACATAAAACGAATTTGTTTAAAATAATATTTACATTGCACCACAAAGATATCATTTTTAAGAGATTTTTACTCGTAAAAACTCAAAAGAGTAGGAGTAATCAAGTGGAATTAAATATATTTTTTTTGACGAATACTTATATTTTTTTGGTAAACTTTAGAGGAATTAAGAAAGTTTTTAAGAGTATATTCTTCTCTTTCTCTCATGAGTTTTGTTATAAAAAAATTACTCTATTTGTACAGTCAGTCAAAGCTTATAGAGCTATTTAAAAACTTACCAATTCATTTTATGCAAGTATACCATGCAAAACCGTTAATTTTTTTCCTATATGAATGTATTTTTTACAAAATAAGAAATAATAAACCGCAGAATTGTTTATGATCGTGCTTTCCATATTCAATAACTCTTCGCGTATCTGGATTTGTTGATATCATTTACTTAAATAAAATTTGTCTTCCTGAGTAAAATAATGCTTCGCTCACGAGTCACCACTTTGTGCATTATCTTCCCATGACAGATCAATATCATCACTAGTATTCACTAAACTATATTAAAACTACATTTAATTGTTTATTAGAAAAACTAACAAGAATTATTTGCTGCAGGTTGCTAAAAGTGAATTTTTTGTTTTTGCTAAAAGCAAATTGCATGAGTGAAACCAGCAGTAAAAAAAAAAGTACTACCACCAACTAGAAGGAGAAAATGGTTATGACCATCTAAAGATTATAAGGAATAAGCTGAGAAAGAGGCAACAGTATATATAATATCTAAACTTTCAATTATGACCTTCACAAGATCAACTGCCTTGATCATCCGACATGTCTCCAATTTCCACACTTTCCCAAAACCCTAAATTCCCTCTGTTTTCTTCCTAAATACGATGTCTTCTTATGAAACAACAATATCCAGCAACTCTTCAAAATTGGTGGGGGAAACTATGTTGCTATTCGTAAGTTAATAAGGATATGGTAGATGAATGTTGCTTTTTCTTATGAGTCGTACAAGTTTCAACGTTCTTTTCGGATGTGTTAATAATGTGTGAAAGCAACAAAAACACAAGATAGAGAAAGGAAACTCGAAAAAGTATTACAGAGAATGGACCAATAGTAATAATTTTTTTTTTTGAACGCTGAAAGATCTGATCTGACCAAGAGAAATCGTTGGCGAGGATTGTTCTTAAATGCTCAAAAGCTCTTAATTCGAATTGGTGTTTATGTACACTTTAGAAACTGATGTGTTATTACTGCAAAAAGAGAAACTTAGATTACGCCACTGTCGGATTCATCTATGACGTCAACTATGATGTGCTCGAACCACAACAGACTCCTGCTCAGGTCACGATGAAAGATGGCGATATCATCAACGCGACAGGCCGGTCCTTACGCCGCCTGATCTCGTCCGAACGAGCAAGGCTTATTTAGTCTTTTAATTTTAAGTGTATCGGTATCATAATTAATTTCGGTTTTCTCATATGTAACATCTTATTATTAATTCGAACCTTATCCAGTTGATTTTAATACGTACTGAGTAGTATTTAACGGAAACACATTTATTGTATGGGCCGCTTTGTAGCCCATATACACAATCAATGCATATGTCCGAATCAGGTTATCATAAACCGGTATAGACAAACCGGGTCGTCGAAATATTCCAAAGGTTTAAATATTTTGGTCTTCTCCCTCCACTCTCTCTCTCTCTCTCTAATAATCGAAAAAAATATCTGAGCATGATGAAAAAAACATAAAAAAAAAATAAACTGAAAAAATAGGAGAGAGGAGGAGAAGAACATGGTCTCCAACTCCGAAGGACAAAATCGATAGACGCGGCGAGAAATACGGTGATTTGATTTGACGATAATTGTTTGGCTCCCAAGGAATTTCGGATACCCAATTTTGTAAATTACTAATCTTTTATTTCTAATCTAGTAGTGGTGTATGGGTGGTGGTGGGAATCTCGTCGACGGTGTTCGTCGATGGCTTTTTCAGCGACCTTCTTCTTCTTCCAATAATAATCACGAACAACCCATTCTCAATTCTTCTTCTTTTTCTTCTTCTAACCCCGGTAACTCTGCAGAGCTTATTATTATTGAAGATCTCGATTTCTCTGGTCTAACTCTTATTAAAGTTCCTAAACGTAATCACTTACCTATGGATCCTCACAAGAAGGTACCTTTTTTCTACCCTCTTTCTATTCTAGGTGATAGATTCATTTGGGAATGTATGATGTTATCTTCTGCTCCTTTTGAGAGAATTTGTTTTGTCTCTTACTCTTCTGTTTTACTGCATTTGATCAGGATAAAGTATGAGTTTTGTGTTTCGTTTGATTGATCTTATTGTCTAGATCCATCAATTTGGTCAATTTTAAGTAAGAATCATGAATAAAATTCTTTAGGGTGTGCAGGAAACTGAATTCTTCACGGAGTATGGAGAAGCTAACAGGTATCAGATTCAAGAGGTTGTTGGGAAAGGAAGTTATGGTGTTGTGGCTTCTGCTGTAGATACACACACTGGAGAGAGAGTTGCGATCAAGAAGATCAATGATGTGTTTGAGCATGTCTCTGATGCTACTAGGATTCTCAGAGAGATCAAATTGCTTCGGTTGCTTCGTCATCCTGATGTTGTGGAGATTAAACATATCATGCTTCCTCCTTCTCGCAGAGAATTCCGGGATATTTATGTCGTGTTTGAGTTGATGGAATCTGATCTTCATCAAGTCATCAAGGCCAACGATGATTTAACTCCTGAGCATTATCAATTTTTCTTGTACCAGCTTCTTCGTGGTCTCAAATATGTTCACGCAGGTTATTTTCTGGTGTACACATTGTTCTCTTTCGATCCTCATGGTTTTTTCTTATAGATTTATTGAAACACTTAACGGTTCTCTGTTTTCAGCTAATGTGTTTCATCGAGATTTGAAACCAAAGAACATTCTGGCTAATGCTGATTGCAAATTGAAGATCTGTGATTTTGGGTTGGCTCGCGTTTCTTTTAATGATGCCCCTACCGCTATATTTTGGACTGTGAGTCAGCTAACTCAACGAATATGAAAGCAAAACTGTTCATTAGGTTTCCTCTAACTCTTTTCAATGCTAGTGAAATCATTTCGTTTATGGATTTTGTAGGATTATGTAGCTACTCGGTGGTATCGTGCCCCAGAACTCTGTGGATCGTTTTTCTCCAAAGTAAGATTCTTTTTCACCGAATGTAACTGCTTTTGTTATTTCTCTGTTCCAGGAAAAGGCTTCTAGTTTACTATTTTGTAGAATATTGTTGTGTGTAGGCCTGGGCATAAAATCCGAAATCCGAAAACCGATCCGAAACCGATCCGAAAAATCCGGTTCCGAATCCGAACCGAATAGTCACAAAACCCGAACGGATAATGAATTCTCCTATCCGAATTATCCGAACCGAACCCGATCCGAACCGAAAACCGAAAGGATATCCGAAAACCGAAAATAAAATTATATATCCAAAAATATTAGTTATATTTAGCTATAATTTTATAACAAATAACAAAAATATCCTAAATAACCTAGATATCGGAAAGTTTTTAGTTATATTTGTTATAATTATACATATTTTTGGAAAACTTAGCCAAATTTTAGTAAGATTAAAACTATTTTTTATTTCAATTGAACATTTTTTTAGTTTTTTTTCCTCGCAAACCGATCCAAAATTAATCCGAAACCGATCCGAATCCGACACTATCCGAACCGAATCCGATCCGAATATTCATAAAATCCGAACGGATAATAAAATCTCCTACCCGAATTATCCGAATCCGAATAAATCCGAACCGAATCCGATCCGAAATCCGAATGCCCAGGCCTAGTTGTGTGGTTCTATAGTGTTGATAAGACCAACCATCTCTAGCTAAGTCTACTCTTGTTATATTTCAGTATACCCCTGCCATTGATATCTGGAGTGTCGGTTGCATATTTGCGGAAATGCTTTTGGGTAAGCCTTTGTTTCCCGGGAAAAACGTTGTGCACCAATTGGATCTAATGACTGACTTTCTTGGTACTCCACCTCCTGAGTCGATATCAAGGGTTAGTCACTCAAAACATCTGTTCATATTTTCTGTAGCAAATTTAATGTGTTCCATCATTTGAGTGTAACTTAATCCTTGTAATGAGCTTTGCAATCTTGGAATTCTACAGATTAGAAATGAAAAGGCGAGGAGATATCTTAGCAGCATGAGGAAAAAACAACCAGTCCCTTTCTCTCATAAATTCCCTAAAGCTGATCCTTTGGCTCTCCGCCTTCTGGAACGCCTCCTTGCCTTTGATCCGAAAGACCGTGCATCAGCTGAAGATGTAAGTGAGAAGTAAATTTGCTTTATTTTTCCCTTATGTTTTACACAGAATGAAACTCTTATATTCTGTCGTTTTGTTTTTCTTGTTACAGGCACTAGCTGATCCATACTTCAGTGGTTTGTCAAATTCAGAGCGTGAACCAACAACACAGCCAATTTCA